AATCCTCATTAATATTTCATTGCCCTAGGTGTATTATTGGCAAGTCATCAGGTTTCGTGTGAGAGGCTCCACAAGGAATCGGCTGGTTATTACATCATCAATATAGAAAAGATCGGCTAGGGGCAGTTCAATTAAAAAAAGCGCTTGATGATGAAAGTTCTGCTGTTGACGCAGTCACAGTAAGCTGGAATTTTGTAAACATTTATTTCATAGAAGGTTTTTTATGCAAATTTGTGTCATATTGATTTAAAGTCCATGATAACATTTTAGTCCTATACAAGTGACAGGGAATGCGAGATTAAAGTTTATAAACATCAAGAAGAAAACATATTTTTTAGTTTGCCTGATGCTGTTGTTCTATTAAATCAGAGAAAATGATGATGGCGTCATGTGTTTACTGGTAAATGGCACCTCCTTATTCACTTCTTCAACCTGCGTAGGTAGAACGCTAAACATGTTTTGCTAGCTATGTACAAGTGAGACTTGCAACTGGTGGCTTAATTTCAGGAATATCATCAAAAATACACAGCTCGTGAATTTTTCATGCATTATCGCTTATGTAAACATGTTGCAGAGGCTTTCTTAAAATGCAAAAACTTTAAGTCATCACTATTTTATGGAGAAGATGCTTTGAATAGAGTTTTTGCAAACGCTGACAAAACCACCTTGTATGCGGAATCAAATGTCTACACGTGAATGACTCATCTTGTAGCTGACTGTTCATGGTTATAGAAATGGCCTTGTTTACTACCGAGAAGTTATATTAAAGGCTCTCTAACAATTCGAAGATACCACCAAGGAAACACATCTATGTAATCATTTCTGCTGTTGATTACTACTGGACATTTGGCCTATTTTGTATAAAGTTTTGACGAAAAAGGCATTTGGCAAAAGACTTGGATGTGTTGCCTAAGGATTGTCCATCTGGTACTCCTGTACGAATGATAACAGAACATTATTCAAGACAAATATATTTTGAGCATTCCATTAATCATTTGGTACAATTAATAACATTGGAATTATTCACAAATGTGTATAATGAAAATCATGAGGCGACGAGGAGCGAACATTACTGTACCAAACAAGGGTGACTCAGGGTTGAAACACTTCTTTAACGGTAAGAAGTCGAAATTAGCTTCGATCTTTAAAGCAAAACCAAAACAGGATGCATCTGTGGAAAGTAGTTTGCAATTTTCAGAGGAAGAGGAAGCATTGAGGTGTCTAGATGAAATTATCGAGTCTGAGAACCATAAAGGGAAGCTTAGAGATGTTTGTCAAACTATTAGGCCATTGACGTCACCGACGTTTTTTAATAGCAATGTACCTAAGCAGACTCACTCTGGCCCAGAATGTCGGGAGCAAATGAAATATGATACGATCAAAGGTTTCGATTCGTTTATGCTGTATTGAATAAGGTATTTCACTGCCAACGTATTTACGACTGAATGGGCGTAAGTGATCCTTTTCATAGACATGTAAACGACAAGCTCCCGTTCAGGCATCCAGTGCCAAGCTCACATCCTAACTGTGAAGTTCTTGCAGCTTGATCATTCAAGATATTATGAGACGGTGCGTATGAATACAACGCTTCATATGAAGGGGTTGCTGATCTTTTTGCAGGGTATCTTTATAGGGCCAGAAATTGTCAGCGCAGAAGAGACAGATGAATAAAAAGAAAGTTTCTTTAATGGCTTCTAGATAGTTTTAAGATATGAAGGAGATAGAACAACGCATGGGTTCCAATCAAAACAGAACGATCGTTTTATATACTTACTTCAACGCTCTACACGCGTAACTAACTGTAATATGAAAGTGATGGTAGATTTTGTCTTCATGTGTCACATTAATTAAAGCTCCTCCGCATAGTATGTTCGTATACAATTAAGTTACTACAGATCAATATACGACACTGCTTATATCTCTCATGTAAGCCCTGAGCTACGTATATTTTACAGGCATAAATTTTAGAACAGTCGATAGTTGGTACTCAATTCTTGCCAATGTTTAAAATGGTCAAGGCACCAAGAAAGGATAGATGGTCGATAGCTAGAATTCCCTACTCCTTAATGTCTTTGATGGTTACGCAACCTAGAGAAGGAGAATGGTCGATAGCCAATTTAAACTCTTTATAGTGATATCTGTTTCTTATTCTCTGAATCATGAATGACATTCGTCCAATGGAGACAAAGCATCCGATCACATTGTTAAGGAGTTTGCTTTAGATGCCCGATGACATTATATGCACCCACCTCAATCAATAACTACCTCGCTTGACAGACATTAGAAATGAGCAAATGATACACACATAGGCTAGTAGTAATTTATCTACTAAAATTAAGGGATTATAAACAATCTGTCTTTATTCAAGTAACGTTCTAATGTAGCATTGTATAAATTATTCTTAAAAACTTAAATGTTTATTTAGACAAAATCATAGAACATCATATCCGAAAGCAGAATTTTTTTCTTCTTTAACTAACATCTCCACTTCTTGTCTTGTTTATATTCCCGTTTCTACTTCTTTAACTACCCTTTTCCGCGTTCTCCTTTTCCTGCTCGATTTCTTCCTTTTAATTGTCTTCTATTCATATTTCTTTTACTGACACTAGTATCAATTTCATTATTTATCTTCCTTTTCTTCCCAATCTTCTTCTTGATCGTATTTCTTATCTGCTTTGTTTTGTCTTTCATACCCTTAATTCTCTTACACCTTAATTCTTTCTCATCATATTGTGCTGTCTTATCATCAGTTTTCTTTCTTTTCTTTTTTAGCACCTTATATCTTCAATTTACCCTTATTTGCTTTCTTCTCTCTTCTCTCTTATCTTTATTATTCTTCATCCAATTTGTTTATGTTCGTCTTCCACTACCTCCCTATAAATTTGTATTGAACATTTCCGGAACTGCGCGTTTTTTATATAATGCTTTTGCAATGACACGAAGATTATGCAAATTTTCCTTTCTCAGAGAAATTCATTATCTGTAGATTGTCTGAGGCTGATGAGAAACTTTAAGCTGACAGCCTGAACCGTGAACATTTGCTTGTATGATTCATTCATAAATCAGAAACATGATCAGCCTCTCTAACACAGCCTTGGGGCGGGGGCAACTAAGCCTTGTATTGGACGGGGACGTGCAACTTTGGTTCAAAATTTGGATCCATAATTCCACACGTCTGAAAAATGTGACCCATAACTTCGCAAACATGATTAAAGCTAAACCTATAATTACGCAATGAAAAAGACATTTTTCAAAACATAGCAAGATCATCAAACAAGTTCCTAAAATCTCAATAAAACACATATTTCGTATTTCATTTCTAACTGGACATTCATTTTTTGATGCTAAATTTCCCTCCTAAGAATTTTGCAATATTTTCCCAAACTGGTGCCCTAATTATGCATGATGTTTTAAATAGTGTGTTTACTTTAAATGCTTCAAGTTTCTAATTCTATGTAATTTACAGTCAAGACTTTCTTCTTCGGTTGTGTTATTCTAATGTCTCTAGCCGCCTTTGCGATGGACACAATGCTTGTGTGTTCCTGAGGACATTATAATTGATTAATTTTAATAACTTCGAAGCTGCTAGAAGTTTTTTGAGTACATTTGAATGAAATTCGTATAAGAAAAATTGCATAATAACATTTTTATACAGTTTTTAGCTTTGATTTATTAAGGATCCCACCCCCCCCCCTTTCTAATTAGCCCCTCTCTTTCAATTCCCACCTCTAGGACTGAAAAATATATAAGCAGCCCTAGGGGCTTAATGGAGCTTTTACGGTGAGTAAAGCATACTGCTAACTGAATCAACGCAATAAAAAACCCCAAAACAAGCATTTACCTGGAACCGTTACTATTCTTATGTTAACTTTATCTTGTTAACATGAAACCAATCTTAGCTGGGTTGGACTGTTGTCTGTCTAAAAATAGGTGTTGTCTAAAATACCTTGCCGCCACTTTACAGGCACATCTATTTTCTTGGTTTGTTGCCAAGAGATATAAAAATTTTCACGCTCTTTTTAGGAGAGAATAGCGCGAGTGCCAATTTCCTTTTCAAGAATAAGGTTCATAAATACAAAGACTCAAAGTGCCAAAAAATTAAGAATGGTTCAAGGGTAATAGCACAACTAGAACTTTATCGAAAGTATTTCTATGAGTTTTACTCCTCTCATATTTAAACCCACAGCCATAATATAATATCAGAAGAATATCTTATGTAAAGAATGTGTTTTATCATTTTACACCGAGGATGAGTTAATTTTAACAATAAGTTATGATTATATTATGGCTCAAAATTGAACTTGTTTAAGAATTTTGTGGCTCAACAAAAATTCAGTCATTCTAATAAAAAATGAATACAAAAGAAAAATCTTTACATCAAATAAGCTATCCTTTCCCTAGAAATATATTAAAAGCCTCTGTGCAATCTGCTTTAGTAAACAATGTGCTTTATATATTAACAAAATGATTGTACAAATCCCTGAAAGTTCAAGGTACGGGTGTTTAAAACTGAAACAAATTGTATACATTTTATGATTCAGTAATCCTGTTAAGATGAGTTTTTTCCGCGTGTAAACGTATTACACATGATTACTTTTCAAATCTTATATTAACTCCCTACAGACAGCCATTTTAAATGATTCCTCTTAGTCTCTGCATTGTGTTGCATCTTCTACCTTAAGATAATACAGTTGATAAGAAATATCTAGCTTTTGTCTATTGTGCCTTTTACTTTCAACTTCATCATGTTTGCACTATGGACCATATTCTTGCACCCCTCATACCCTCTGTTTTTAATAATTCTAAGGTAACGTGGCTATTAATTATCTAAAGGTTTCTAGAATCTGTGTACTTGTAGAAAAATGAGTTCTATTTAATCAAATAAGCCGGCCTGGAACAAGCATCAAGGGGTATTATTTTTAAAATGGTTTTTCCGTAAGTCATTCCCTTACACTTCACGCAACATGTCACACAGATTCGTGAACAACAACTGCAACAACAAGCACGTTTGGTTTCAATTGTGAAATTTCCAATATGGCGTCGCAATCGTTCCATGATCAAGCAAAATGCATCTTAGAAAGTCGTAAAAATGCGAATCTGTTGGTGGCTCTCCTCGAAAATCTTGATTCTGTAAAGAAGGCTGAGCTTTTGGAACTAATATCTAGTCTTGAACTTGTGTTTTCCAGCTATATGTCTCAGGGACTTTGGCAAAAGTATTTGAAAGATGGAAGAAGCATGGACGACAGTGACAGCGAGGATGATATTGGAGAAAATGGTGCCACTCAAGAAGGTAATTTGCTGGAAAAAAATAAAAGTGCAGAGAAAATATTCGCGCACTGGTGCTATGATAAGTATTTGCATTTCGTAGGGGAGTTGATACAACTTTTAGGCCAGGAAGAAAAAGCCGTCCGCAAAAGGGCGCTCGACTGTCTAATGAACCTTCTCGTTGCAGATTACAAAGCTGCGATAAATAGTCCAGAGTACGACCAGTCCGGGTGTTATTTCCCAATTGATTTATTCAAAAGAGTTATAAATGGCCTTCTGACTTGCAATGCAGCTGCAACGAAGAATCATTTGAAGGAGATAGGCAAGTACTTTCGGTATGCCGATATCCAGTTTTATACTTTGAAGAATATAGGCACGATAATTGAAGAAAAGCCTAAGTGGATCTCAAAGACAGATAACGTAATGAGCAATATTTGTCTATTACTATTGAAAGTTTCATCTATGAATAATCAAACCAAAGATGTTGGATTCCTGATCAAAGATGTCGAAAAGATTCAGAAATTTTTACCAGAGAGCAGAGGAAGAAAGAAGCTTTTCAGCAATACGTGGCTGTCATTTCTCAGTCTGGAGCTTTCAGATGATATTTTGAAGAGAGTGCTAGCAAATCTTCATGAAGATGTAATGCCATACATGGAAGATCCCAAACTTTTGCTTGATTTTCTAACTGATGTTTATAACCTTGAAGGCTCACTTGCCCTTCTTGCATTGAACGGTTTGTTTCTCCTCATCCACAAATATAACTTAGACTACCCAGACTTTTTTAAAAAGCTATACATTCTTTTGGATGTTTCTTCTATTGAAACAGAGTATAGAGACAGATTCTTTACACTATTGGATTTGTTTCTGACATCATTGAATCTTCCAGCATACTTGGTGGCTGCCTTCATAAAAAAGCTGGCAAGAATTAGTCTCAGAGCCTCTCCAGATGCAATACAGATCATCTTAGTTTTGATAGAAAACCTCTTAAAACGTCATCCAAGCTGCAAAGTTCTTATTCACAGGAAGGTATGTTTTAACCTTTCAATTCTTGAGAAAGATAAAAATCTACAAAATTAAAGACACAGAATTGACAGTTAATAATTATTGAGTAATAAATTGGATGTTAGTTGGAGGATGAAAATAGCCTTTTGGGCATGGGGTGGGAATTTTATCAAGTTCATTTGACCATAGTTCCTTTAAATACTAACAGTTTGATTTATTGACTAGCGAAGGTGTTGGGGTTGACCCTTTTGATGTTCACACCAATAAATCAATTTTTGGCTTTTAAAAAGAAAATCAAATGCTCTTTTTTAAAACAAGGAACAACCCGGTAACAAGTGGAACAACAGAGTAACAGCCCTGGCACCCCCCTTCCCCCCCCCTCCCCAGTCCTGGTGGCCTTGGCTGTCATTTGTGTCTAAGGGCCTCCAAGTCTTTATCAGGCTAGAAAAATTTGCAAGGGGGATGTCTAGGTCCAGGTTGCTGTATAGGGATTTTCAATCTTTATCAAAAGGCTTACTCCAAAGTTGAAAACTGAAGAAAGTTTTGAAATTCTCTTAATTATTTGAAATTATCTTACACTTTCAATTAATGTTGAATATCTTTCTTTGCCCCAAAGGACATCATTTTAGATTCAATATCGTTGTCTTTGTGGTTCTTGAGTAAATTTACTAATGTTAGTGTAAATTTTTGAAAAACCTAAAGGAAAATTAAACACCAATAGAAAGAATTTGAAAAGGGTCTGTTGTCCTGCAAAAAAGTGAGGGGCCCTGGCTCTCCTGCTCCTTCTCCTTCCTTGGAGGCCCTGTAATGATGGACAGCCCTGTGGTGAAGGACTGCTTTCAGATAAGCGGAAAACTTTGAACATGCTGAAAGACCATCCAAGATGTTATCTTGGCAGAAAATCGTTGGCCTAGGCACCCCCCCCCCCTCAAATGAAAGCCTGAATTTCTGCCACTGATCCTACTAACTGATAAGTATTTAATGGAAAAATATCTAAGAGTATGGAGCATTTTTTTTATGGGGAGCAATCACTAGAGGATTTGAATTATTTGCAAATGAATTGATGGTAAGAGAAACTAGGGGAAAGAAATAGAAAAGGTGTGAAGACAAGAAATTTATAAGTGTTCTTATGTACCTGGATGTAATAATAATGATAATGGAAACATTTCATTTTCAATTCAACTTAAACTACAATTACAAATCTCACTAATACAAGGTAATTTGCAATTGGCTAGCCTGGTTTTACAAGAAAAAACTATAACAATCGTAAGGTAAAAGGAAAAACTGAGAGAAATAAAACAACCAAAATTGCCCGAAGATGCCAAGAGAGCTCATAGAAAGAATAACAAAGGAGACACATTTGAACTGCCCCTGTAAACCAGATAAAAGAGGAGCATACTTGCTGTGTTTTCTTGTAGCATTTGTGTTAAGGTTGGATTCGAAGCCAACAGTTAGCTCTAAAATGTAAATGATAATAATAATAATAATAATAATAATAATAATAATAATAATAATAATAATAACTTCATTTCAGTGTCAAATTGATTTAGCATTTCTACTAATTGGGGACACTGTTTACATTCAATTTTTTAAAAAACGTAATCTATAAAAAGTAAATGTTAAGGTGAAATTTTCAAGAAAAGTTACAGATTTAAAAAAGGTGTAAATTTACATTTAAAAAAGAATTGCATCACCTTTGAAATTTCAACCACTTTTATTGACTTTTGCAACTGGTTCAGACATGGAATATTTCTGTATAGATACATCAGTCCAATTAATTTCTTGGAAATATTGCTTTTTTGACCTCTGGTGGTGATTAGCATATTGCATTATAATCAAATCAAATGATATCTTTGTTATAATTTAAAAAGTATTGATATTAATTTATTTATTTTCTTTTCTACTCAAAGACTGGCTTGTCAATGTCATCTGATACTTCAGTGTCTGATGAAGCCCACTCAGATCCATTCAAGTTTGAAGTAGCAGACCCAGCAAGATGCAATGCTCTTAACAGTTCGTTATGGGAACTGAAAACATTGGAACAACATTACCATGCAGAAATTCAAAAGGCTGTCAAAGTTTTTGAAAGTCATTTTACCAAAGAGGAAAAGGCCATAGGCGAATATTTGAACAATTCCTACGCTGATTGGTTTGAGAAAGAACTGGTGGATTTTGATGAGGACACCCCTGTCCCTATGAATTTCAAAGCCCCTGACTGTCTGTTTGATCGCTCAGTTTATGATTTAGGCCTATGGTCATTGGAGTAACTTTAGTCAGAGATTCATACAAGAGTTGGAACCTTTAACAATTGGTATGTTACTCCAAACTCTAAAAGTGTTATGATGAACCATTAATTTTGAATTTTAGCTTTGATGTCAATGCCTCAGATCGTTTTGAGATTATTTTATGATTTTAGCATGAAGTACCATGATCTTTATTATAGCATATCTTTGCCATGGGTTTTTGAAGTACTGATTCATTCAGCCTTAACAATATAAGGTGAGCTTGAATTGACTGCAACGTATTTTGCTTAAATTTCAATAAAATTCGCAAACTTTATGAAGTCAATTCTTTTTGCTCTGCTGCAACCTTGCCTCAAAATGTGGCCACTCCACTTTCTTGCAAACATTTTTTTCATTTCTTCGAAATTTCTTTTTTAAAGCGAGCAAACAAGCTACTGCAAAAAAACCCAATCGCCTATTATTAGCCATTTCAGCACCTAGAGTATAAATATATGCTTTGGTAGGGAGAGAAAGAAGACAAAATCTTATATTGAGTAAAGCAACACCCTTATTTTACAGAGCACATCCATTATTACGCATAGGTAACCAGGGCAGTCGCTATGGTGCGGCGTGGGATGTGACAAGCCCCTTGGAAAAAGATCCGTCGTTAAAAGAGCAGTTTTTTTCCATGAAGGGGTGATTCGTCGGCAAATTTTCAGACTTGTCAGGAAATATAGGATGGTTCATACAATTTGTTGACCAATAGGTCCGGAGCATCTCCCTAGAGAACAAAAGCTAGCGACGGCCCTGGGTCTAACATTCTAATCTAGAAAAATGGGGGGATGTCTCACTCATTTCGTATGTCCGTTTCATCAACAATTACTGGAACTCTTTTGTCCTCACGCTTTCTTCAAAATTTGCTGCAGAAAAACGGAACAGTGGATATGCCTACAGGTGTGATGTGGCGGTGGTGTCTCTTTAACGATGTTTAAATGCGGAAAATTATCTTGCTGTACCTGTTTTTAGTTCTTGTTGTACCTGTTTTTTTGTCGCCTTTTTGGGCAAAATGACGAACATCAGCATAGTCAACGGACTATTGTTTTTTGACGAGCTGTTGCAGACTAAAAGGGACTAGATGAAGATATTTGTGCTCACCACGATTGCAATATGAGGATGATAATTTTGTAGAAATAAATATGATAAACAGTTGAAAGATTTTGTAATTCGTATTAATGCCGATTACAGGTTTTACGAAACTTTGGAACCGAGACGCGGTGATTTGCTTTCTTTTAGCATAATTGCAACAATTTCAAGGAGAAACGTACCTTATTTTGTGCTAAGAGAACAACTGTTTATAACACTTTTTATCTGAAGATACGAAGGCGTTATTTGAAGGGAGTATGAAAATATCTTCAGCCCCCCCCCCTGAGCCCCCTAACACTACACACCTGTGTTAAAGTATTAAATAATTGCCAAAAATGGAAAGCTTACCCCCTTATTAATTACGCTAGACTGACTCTTTTTAATCCTTTCCGCTTCTTTCTGACATTATTTCACATAACCCGTTAAGCATTTTCACATCTACCATATTGCTCAGAAATTACCTTCATTCGATGATAGTTCAGATAGTTCGCTACTAAAGGTTATTTCACTTGCCATTGATTGTTGGCCTGACGATCCTGTCCCTGTGCTATCATTGTTACCCTCTGATTGCCTTTTTTCGAAGCACAGTATAGTAGAAAGAGTTATATGAACTCATTTCATGCTTTGAAGTAATATCCCGTACGTTCTTTTGAAAATGTGTTCCTTGTAACGGTGCGTAAGTATGCCTTTTTTTTCTTCCTTTCTAAATTGGATTTCCTTCTTTTCTAAATTGGACTTACATTACCATTTCAAAATGTCCACAAGAAGCTTCTTTTTCCCAAACGATATCAAGAACGCAATAATATGAACTAATCAGTTAAGTTTTTATTCAAGTTACATCCGTACCTAAAGGGATATGGGGCAGAAAGAGTGGCTTTTGTTCTTTTCCTCTTTCGTTCTCATTCACCTCCGCAGCTCTCATTATTTGTGGTTACATTTTATATGGTGCTGGCACCACAGATAGAAAAGCATATTTAACAAGAAAAAAGTATTTGGCTAGCCCTTCACCAAGAAAATATTGTTCTTGTAGCCCAATACATTTTGCTATCCCCCGAAACTGTTTAATAAAATTTATTGTGTTTCACCTCATGGTATTGTTGTTCAATAGAAGGGAACAAAAGCACATTCTCAAAGGCAATTACTTGGAAAATCAAATTGCTTCTAGTAAAGGTGGTTATGCATATTGACAGAAGCTGAAATTTCAAACCATCAATCACATTTTTACAACTTCCTTCCCTTCTCTGCACAAACCAGTCATATGAATATGAAGCTTTATTTCCGTCAAAATTGGCCTTTAAAATCCCTTGGCCTTTACCAAGCAAGAAGTTTGTAAGGTCAGTATAGCGTTCTCCATTCAGACTGTTTTAGTTCCCAGACCCTTAACGCCAACAGCGTTGTTTGTTTTTATGTGTAAAGTTGTAGATTTAATTTTGGAAGGGCAAACATTGTCTTAATATAGAGGTCAACAGACTTGAAAGAAAGAAAATATCACAAAGTAAACGAAGTCGAGGACCCAAAGCCCGAGTGGAAGACGAAGTCGTGAAAGCGATTGTTGTGTTCATAAACGAAAGTCGTGTGAATATGATGAATATATTGACGCAGTGTTGAATGCTTTACTGTGTGTATTGGATGACAGCAGGTCCTAAAGGAAATTTTGGCCTTCTGCTTACAATGAGCATGTTTCAGAGCGTTCATTAGGATTCTGTGCAAAATGGTGGATTGCAAAGACAACACAGCTCTATGTGTCGATTCCGAAGGTATGTTCACATGTAGTCTACCTACAATTCAATAAACCTTTTCCGATTCACAAAAGGTTGATTTGTTAAAATTAAATTTTTGCTTGTTAACTTGTTTCAAATTGCTTGTTTGTACTTGTAGGTCGTTTTATAAAAAGGTGATAGATTCAAAGAAGTTTGCGATGGTGTCTCTTGGTCATAACTTTTTTATAACAGTGTCTGAAGAATCGAACTTTCTACTGATTAAATCCTGCTCTAGAATTTAAGATTTTAATCCGAAGATTATTTAATATGTTTTTTCTACCCACGTTATAAGTCTCTCAAACCTCAACGACAGAATCTTCCCTTCAACTGCAATTGTTTACATTAAATTTTGGTATGCACATTCAATCTTTAATTATCAGCTTTACAGCGTAATTGTAGTAGATTCACTGTTTGTTGTTGCTTCCCTCGTGCAAGAATCCCTTGCCAAAAACTTGCTAAGACATCTGTTTGCTGTAGATTTTTTTAATTTACTGGCAAAGCCTCTTAGCTGGCATTTTCTAAAGTTTCTTTGATCCTTTGCTTGCAAGATCATTAGGTTGATAAAATTTTAGCCAGGGAGCTGTGAGAGATTTCAAAAGAGGGTACACGACTCCCTCGATGGTCACTCAGAATTATGAACGCTTATGTGGAACCCCTTTTGTATGTAATTTGACTATTGAAAAAACACAATGCATACAGTTGTATTCAGCACCTCTCTAGATGAAACTTTCATGATTGCCTAAACTATGTAAAGAAGAACAATGTTCTGTTGATATTTAGAGGAGCCGGACGGGCAAATTTCCGCCTCTATGTCTGTGTAGTTCTTCCCCGATTAGCCATTGTTTATTTTTTGTTGAGCACTTCTACCTGATTTTCCTAGCCGTCTGCGGGAATTCTTTCCAAAGCGCCACTAGCATCATCTTCGGCAAATAACTCTCGCTGTTTGTGGCTATAAACGATAACCTGAATTGTGTTTCTACAACAAAGCCATTTGCTAATGTCGTATTTAAATTTTTATACCAGTTAACATTGTATTTAAAAATTGATCTACGAATCATATCGGCATCTCTTTGAGCTACATTCATTTTAAAGTTATTATAATAAAGTAGTGAATTATTCATAAAACATGGTCATTGACTCTAAGGATTCCAGTTTAGGCCATTTCAAACGCTATCTGCTGGTCACAATAATATTCTTGCACGGGGTCAGCATAGCTAAGAGCTAAGATTGGAGTAATTGAAATGAAAGGAAATCAGTCTATACAGTGAGATTTCTGACAATGCATGAGCAGGTTGTCGAGAATGATTTCCCAAATAATAATATTTCTTTCCAAATGAACGCTGTTAATTTTCACAACTTTTCTCAGTTGATCAACAAGGCAAGCTCCTATATTTTATATTCTCCTCAGCCCACCTGCTTTATACACAATTGTATCCATAGCAACAAAGCTCAAGAAAAATACGAAGCGTCTGCTCTTTGTAAATTTAAAACCCGTTCTTACAAAGTTGAGAATGAATTGTTTATCATTTCTGAAAAAGATGTTTTTACTGGTTAAACATTAACTCTGGCTGTTTACTTAATTTAGCTTTGTTTTAAATTAAAATTTGAAGCCGGTATGAACTAGGCCTCTTGCCACAGTCCTTCTTGAAAGATGCGCCTAATCTGCAGCCAGTGCAACTTTCCGGTGATCCCTATTGCGCAGCTGCTGTCTAAGTGATTGCTAACTTTTATTTACCTTCAATCGAACATAGTCAAAAGGATATTGACTATGATTCTAACTATGTAGAATGCATGATTCTAAAACATGTGATTCATATTGTGGCCTAGGCCTTTGCACTCTTATTTCATTTATCTTAACTACTATTTGTCTGCCAAAAGTACTTGGAACACCCAGCAATTTGCATTGCATTTTTTGTCCTTCATTCCTTTTTCGGAAAAAAATTACTACTTCCTCCCCCTTCCCCCTAAAACAATGTTGATGATTTAGAGAAATATCATAAAAGTAGCGCAAAAGAAAGTGCTTCCTAAAATCCTAGCCCGTTTGATAGTAAATCAACATTGTTTCGTGGGGGAGAGGGGGATGGTTGATTTTGACCTTGGAAATTGACGTCAGTGTTCCAAGACTTTAGTCAGGAACTGTACTATGCTGAACCTAGAAAGGGCTAGAAGCTTCTTCCTTCGTTTAATATATTTATCTTTGATCATCGAGACTCCCTGATAGGAACCTCGTCAGGTTGGTTCATTAAAAACAGTACGTTTCAAGCAATGAAGTTGTAAATATATTTGCTTCATTATTTTTGAATTAGCTAAATTAGTTACTGTTAAATCCCATTCAGTCGGATCTCCAAGGGGGGAGAGGAAGAGTCATGGAATAGTCTTAGCAAATGTCAGTCTTATCCGGGCGAAAGCTTTGACTTGAGTAAGGTAGGCAAATCTAATGGGAATTGAAAGTCAGTCCGATTTAATGAAAGTCAAAGTTATCCGGGGGCACGACCGAAATTCGAATGTATTCTAAATTCTATTTTTACTTCTTTTTGAACTACAAACTGATAATAAAGGCCAATCTCTTAAATATCATTGAAATTGAATCCCGAATTAATAACGGATATTTTCCTCCGCAGAACCGTACATAGGAGAAGAAGAACGCATACGTCACGATGCTTTGTTTTTCAGTCAAAACCCGGATGACAGTCTTCTCCTCTCTGGTAAGCCATGCAAAAGCATCAAAGTTGTTATTATTATCAAATTTCTTCTTTTATCAAAATATTTAAAGCTCACTGTACCAGAAATTCACGTTTTTATATATTGATTATGTTAGGCTCTTGGTTCATTGACTGCTTCCTAGACAAATTTGATATTCGATTCATTTTCAGTTATGTTGATTTTTGTGCATTTTATTTTGTTTGGTCATTAATCAATTAGCTATCACTTGATCAATAAATCAACGATTGATCACTGCTTGATCCCCCTAGTGGTCAATCACTAAGCGTATTCCAACGATTCCTCAAATGATCATCTCATCTGTAACATAAGCTATCACTTGATCAATAAATCAACGATTGATCACTACTTGATCCCCCTAGTGGTCAATCACTAAGCATATTCCAACGATTCCTCAAATGATCATCTCATCTGTACGTTGATTCATTCAGTACCTCATCTACAAGCCTGTCTGTTTTTCATTTATTGGCTGACATAAAGAAAAACTTGCTGCTAGATCTAATGCTACGCATTCCAAAAATTACTCTATATTGTCATTCTATCAAAATTTTATTTTGTAGTACAAATTTTCCATTTCTCTCTTTCAATATTTTAAATTTCAGGTGAGCGTGCCCGATCTCTTTTCATCAAATCAAAATTACCACTTCAAGATTTGAGTAAAATATGGTATGATTTTTTAGCTCTTTGATATTCTTAGCTGTCAGACTCTGCAAAACCTTGGACATGAATTTCTGTCTTTGTTTTTACTTTCATGCAGATTTTCCTTTGTTTAAATTTACCTTGAGTTATATTTTGTGATTCACTATATCTTGGATAATATGACTTCATGAATTTTTTCGTCATTCCATCGATGTTAATGATTTATACATCACAACTCCATTCCTTAATCTGGCCTTTCATTAGGCATTTAGCCAGGGGCTGGGTCAAAAAGCTTTTATTTTTGTTGAAACGTATGAAATTAAACGAAATTGAAAGAGAAATGACGCTGTCACTGGATAGGGTATTGTCTCCTTCGAAGTTGTTAGGTCAGAAATCCCCTGTTAAGGTGGAACAAAGAAGTACTTGTGTTTTCTCTGTTTTCTAGGAAGCTTGCTGACGTCACACGAGACAACATGCTGGATGAATGCGAATTTGCAGTCGCTGTTCATCTCATTCAACGGAGATTATGTGGTTTCGATATTCCTGAGCTCATACCTCTTGAATGCCGCCCAGCGCCACGCCCCCTTTTGATAATAAAACAGGCAAGCGATGAAGAGCTGGATGCCTATTCAGTTGTTTATAATTGGCTGTCACCTGAAGAGAAAGGCATTTTAAAAAGTAAGACAAAAGGCAGTTTTTGATAATATAATTCCTTATAGCAAATCCCAGCACCTACCAAATAGAGGACGCGCTGTGAAGCCAAATAGAGAACGACGCTCTGACAATGATATACTTTCTTTCTTTATCTTTATTGTTTATTTAGTCTAAATAAACTGTCAAATAAATGATTTGTAATTAATTTAACCCGTTTTGTCTAACCTCTCAAAAAATTGCCCAGATGTCTTTATGGCCAATCTGTGTGAAACCAAATTTGGACCCGTTTCGATAAATTTAAGTTTTTGCATGCACAAAAATAATGATATCAGAAAAGTACCGAAAAACTACTTGAATTTTAAATATCTTGCTTGTGATATTTTCAAATTTCATCGCTTGAATGGTTTTACCTTCCAAAAAATTATTTCGTCCTATTTTAAAGGCTCTATATGGCGTTATACGTTAAAGGCGTTGAAAATGGTCTACCTTTTACTATCGATCAATAACTGTGTTGCTAATTTAGTATTTTACTCTTTCTTAGGTGAAACTGTTTTGAAATTCTTGGGCTCGTCAGATCTACCAGCAGAAGTTCTCTCGAAGATCTGGTAACTTTGTTTATTCATTTAATCTTTCTGTTTCTTTCTTTCTATCTATCTTTCTTTATTTCCTTCTTTCTTTCTGTCTTCCTTCCTTCCTTCCTTCCTCCCTTCCTTCCTTCCTTCCTTCCTTCCTTCCTTCCTTCCTTCCTTCCTTCCTTCCTTCCTTCCTTTCATTTTTTCTTTCCTCCTTTCCATTTTTCTTTTTATCTTTCTTTCTTTCTTTCTTTTTTCCTTTTTCTTTCTTTCTTTCATTCTTTCTTTCCTTCTTCTTCCCTTCTTTCTTTCCCTTCTTCTTTTTTCTTTCTTTTATTTCTTTTTTTTCTACATCGAATTTCCTTGAAGACCAAAATAATTTTACAGTTAGAAGCAACGGACTTACTTTGAAGTTATTATCACCAATGTTTTTTCTAAACTAATATATCGGATGATATTCTTCTAATTCCGACCTTTTGGCTTTTTTATTGCGATTTCTTTGCCAATGATGCACCTAGTCATAAATATTTGTTTCTTTGACTAGATGCTTATTAAAAGCTCCTCGTGCCAAAACATCTTTCTCACAATGTGTAATTCATTGCCTATGTTTGGTAACTATGTTTTTCGGTTCTAGTCCTCTCCTTGACTAATTAAATGTGAATTGAAGAATAAAGTAGTCCAAAAATATAAAATTGATCAGTACTTTTCTTATGAGATTTCGATAAGAAGTTTAAGAAAAACTTCCCAGTTGCTGCAAGCAATGAAACAAGATTTGTGCTTGTGCCAAAAGCCGAAGAAAATCCTTAGGACTTTTGCGATCTGTGCTAAATGTGCTCGCTAACAACTAAATCAACTTCGTTCTATTGACAAACGTATTTTAAATTATTGTTAGAAGCTAGTTTCTACTTGGTATTGATAAATGTTTGGATTGGCTAGCAGTTTTGATTTAATGTATTTGTCGATATCAAAAATACATTGTGACACCTTTAATCGCTTATCATATCACTCTTTAAGCCTTCCTTAAAACTTTGTAATCGCAAAATATGATGTCAAATCATAAGGTTTTCTATTTCATATCTTCAAATGATATCTTTGAAACTTCAAAGTAATTTGTCAAATGTCATTTGCCTTATTCCTTTAGGGATCTTTCCGATATTGATCGGGATGGAAAAATAAACAAAGATGAATTCTTTATTGCCCTGCACATAACAAGATTCTGCGTCAGTGGTAAGTAAATGTGAATTGTCTTCCCAGCAACGTTTTTTCTTGGACCTCTTTAAAAGTAAAAAAGGGAAGTTTTAGCACACTAATAAAAAATTTCCACTGCTTCATTTAAAGTAAACTCTTCTTTAGAGTAACCAGCTGAAATTTTGAGTTTTGGGATTCCAAATAGAATCTCAATTTAAAAAAGATCTGGTCAAAAATAAAGATCTTTTGATTTGTAATAAATTCTTTGTTTACTATCAGATTTTAGTCCTGCATATGTGAAACATTATCAATAACAAATTAACATTTATCTGGTTGCTAAAGATACGTTTTCATCCCTCCGATAACCCGAGCGATGCAATATCTTTCTTATCAATTCGGGTAGCTAATAGTTTCTCCCTTGTCAAAATAATCTAATAACAGTAAATCTTTTTAGTAAGATCTCAAAGTAAGTTCTCACAAAAATCACGGTAAATTATCTCTCACCTGGCTAGTGTTGTCGCGATGCATTTATAAAGCTCGAAAGAGGTTTTTAAAATGTTTTTGCAAGTTAAGTTTATTTTTTAGAGTTAATTTTTCGATGCCAAGAAAAATATGAAATTTTACAGCAAAACTAATTCTAAAAGGCTTTCGAAAATTTTTTGTCCTACCAAAATTTGGAACTTTCCACGATTATTTAATTTTTCGATTCCAAGAAGAATGTGAAATTTTACAGCAAAATTAATTCTAAAAGGCTTTCGAAAATTTTTTGTCCCACTAAAATTTTGAACTTTCCACGATTATAGAGGCCAAAAGAAGCTCAATTTGTAGCAATTTACTTGATTTCTTTGGCATCAGCATGATAGAGGTGCACGGGGAGAAAGTCACGTGACTTTCACGCTAGTCTTCTCCGTTCTCCTTTATGTTAGTTATTCAAAGCAAGAAGAGAAAAATTTTGTAGCAAAGGATAAGTTTTTTGCTTTGCAATGTCGAAATGAAAGTTGCATATAACCTGACGCTTTGATCTATTGTTTGCCAGGTAAATCAAAGTTAACAGAATCGATCGATGTATTATCAATACTCCCGAAAAAGGTGAGATGTGTGAACACATTTATTTTATTTTCAGTTCTGTATGTTCAAGACGATTCTTTAAGATCGATAATAGCACACTTTCGGCGAGCAGGTGTAAATCTAGCCTGCTAGAACATATGTTCCAAATCGTTGATTGGCTGAACGATCAAAATTCGCCACACCCCATTCAGCCAATCAGAATTAAAACAATTGACAACAAACGTGCCTCGCAGCTAGATTTAGGCCTATTTTTGACGTTTTTACCGCTACCCACAAAAAGTAAACGTGTGAAATGTGCTGAAAGATAACTCAAGTTTTTTAATAGAATAGAAATAGAAAGAAGTCTAGTATAAATATGATTAGTCCTTTGAAATTGGCAATGAGATAGATGAAAAAGATGAAAAGTAAAAAGCAAATAACAGTTATGATCAAAGAACGAAAAAAGGAGAAATAAAAATTAAAAGGGTAAAGAAGAAAATTAACTAGGGAAGTATGTTAAAGAAAGGAGAAAGGAAAAAATGAGTTGAAAGAATCAAGGCCACAAAAATGAAGTTGAATTTTTGTTTAAACTTCATTCTTTTCATCTGGGCGAATGTCAAGAGGTTTTAACTGTCATCCATCTTCGTCTGACATGATTCAGCAGCTGTTTTTATTTGAAAGGAAAGATACCATCGTTAAGCACAAAACATGAACAATTTTTGAAATTTTATTGCCTTTCAACTTCACTTTGACAACTTTACTAAATTTTTAGACTTCAGGAGAATCTATCCACGATAAAAGAAGGAGGTAAGGACAACTTTCTGTTAAAATAATTATCACATTGATAAATGTACATTTTTAGTACAATAAACAAAAAAGTAATGAGTGGAAAATCATTGGAAAACTGGATATCATTATCCAATTGTGGGATATTATCATCAGTCGATCTTCTTTTCGTTATTTATCCTGCTTTTTCTTCCTTGCGTTAGATTAACTTCATTACTTCATTGTTTTCAATAATTCTGTTATTTTGGCATTTTTCATATCCTGCAATCATTTTTTCATTCGGTTTTGATCTACTTAATGTATTTTAAATCAACATTCTATTTCTATAACTCATATTAGCATTTCGTGTTTTTTCAACATCTTGTTTCATTATTCACGATTTCTATTAATTTATTCAACCATTCTCACTTGTATTGATTATCATTTGCTCCTATGATCAATCTTCAAGGTTTTTCGATCGAATTTCAGGAGAACTGAAATTCAGACAGATATGAGAAAGCTAACATCTTTGAAGGTTCGTCATTTATTTCTCGGTACTGATAGAAATATCGGTTTAACAAAACTGCGCTCTTTTTAGTTAGAAGATTTCCAAAGCTGAAAGTTTCATAATTTTCATGAAATTTGAATAATCGAAGTTCCTTAAAATCTTCATTAATTTCTTAATGCTGCTCTTTAGTTCTTTATGCCTCACTAACTCCAATTCAAACTGTTGTATTTAGTGCTTCCGTTCTTTTTGTTCATAGGAGAAGCTTCAAACCGAGTTAGCTAATGCAGAAACAAACGAAAACGAGGCTGCAAAAGCAAAAATTCAGGCAGAGTTGCAAAAAACAAGCAAAGAATTGGAAAATATAGTCAAAAAGGAGAGCGGTCTGCGTAAGGTGGGTGAATAAGGCTTTTTTACTTTTCACATTTTTTTCCATGCAGAGGTATCAGCCAAATGTAAAAGATGCAATTAAAAGTGCTTTCCAGTATGTTTTGAAATGCTTATGGTGATATTTCAGAGCTGTGTAGGGGCCATTTATATGAGGTGAGAACGCATATCACCTTTTGCCCACTCAGGATAACTGAAGACATCGTTTAGAAAAGAGAAAAAAAAGGGACACTCCATTCATGAGACTTCGAAACTTTGTGCAAGCGCATGTGCGAATGTATACGAGGCTAGCCAAGTCTGTTATCGGTAAGGAAGCATGCTCAAGGAAGATTGGGTTGATAAATGCGAAGGATGCCCTTAATCACATACTGCTGCCAACCAATTGCTGTTTAGGTCCAAAAATTAGGAAAGGAACACTTGTTTTGGTCTTACAATTCTCCGAAACAAGGTTAACCAAGCAAGAATTGTTTTCCTTGTATCGCAAAGGCAAAAAAAGGCCGAGCATAAAAAGCGAGTTTACCCGCCCCTTTTTCTCTATTCTGTGCTTTCGTCCCACTTGACTGGGCTAGCGTCGAATCCAAAACCGATGAATATTTTGTTTTACTATCTTGCGCAAGTGCAGTGCGTATGTATTTGTCCCACCTTGCCGGGCTGGCTCACACTGACCGGGTTGGTCTAGCACACTTCTTATATGAACAAAACCTTAGTTCTTTTTACAAATCATCTGTCTACTCTTATCATAATATGCAGTATCATAGAGACGTAAAAACAGTCTTCCTTCTCACAGGAAATCACTCAAATGAATTTACAGACGTCAGTCACAACGGACATAGAGGTGATGCGTCCTTTTGATCGAAGCTTTTTGATGAAAAGACAATCATGTGGTGCTGACTTTCTCAAACAGCTCAACTACAAATCAGGTAGGCTTAAATTTGCTTAGTTTTGCTAAGTGAATTTTAAATTCCTATGCAAGACTTTTCTATGACTACCAAATCAGAGTTAAGGAACACGCTTTAATTGCCAATCAGGTGGAAATAAAACAATGAAAAGGGTTTTAAAACCAAATACATTGTAAAAATTACTTGATTTTCCAAGTGATGAATTTTTAGTTCATCATTACGAAATAACCTTAATAGCAGGTCCCAGAATGCATGGCGATCACGGTCCAGAAACGTAAAGAAGGCTAATGTAAGACAAAGAAACTTTACTGCCACACCCAAACCGCGCCCTGTTTTGTTGTTTTCATGAGGAGGTTTTCATAGCTTTGGGATATTGCTCAGAAGAAATATAGACGATATTCTAAACTTTACCCATTAGCTATTTATTCAAAATGCTAAAATATAAAACTTCCGCAATGCTGATTCTCAAACCATCAACTGCTTTACATTTGGTAGGCCCATAATCAATTCAACTTGTCATGAATACAGACATCACGTTTTATACACAAAACAGCTTCTCGGTGAATAACTGTTAATAATTCATTAGTAATTCTTATCGATTCAAAATTGATATACTAAGGCAATAGGGTTTCCTTATTAACTTTGAGACCAGCATTGCCTCCCAACAATGAATTAGTTATGAATTCGAGGGAAGACTCTAATGAATAAGATAATACATCGCTAGGTCAAGCCAGAGTATCCTGTGAGGGTCAAGCGAAGACATGGTCTATGTTTGTTTACAACACTTCTAGGCTTGTAATTATAAGCACCGTTATGTGATTTTTAAAAGCGGACAGCATTATTTCTTTTGCGTACCATAATGCTTGTAGTCGCGAGCACAATTTTCCTATGAACATGGGAATGTGACGTCGAACCTTCTTCAGGCCTATCTTAAGTTCAGCATCACCGAACAATGTTGTGACATATGATCGCTAGTTTGAACGAAATTTTGATGAAATATCATAGCCAAATGACATTTTCTTTCGAGACAGTGGATGAAAGAAAATATGACGTACTGTATTGACATACAGGTAAATATATATGTTGGTAAAGACAAACGCATAACGACATTGACATAATATGACGTAATGTGGAAAAGCAGAAAAAGTGTTTTAATTATGCAAGGAGGTGGCCTGTTGATACAAGGTCATACTACAAATGACCAATGTGACATATCAAGAATAAAACGCAAACGTATAACGTGAGGGCTGTTTTACAATAGGACTTCTCTTTTCTTGATTGTATAGTTTTTCATAATAACAATTGCCTGATTATCGCATTAAGCGTGAAACTCTGGACAGCACCTTAAAACAGCCCGGTTCAATACCCCAAAAGTGAGTACAATTCTGCATATTCGGTATCAAATACGTTCTGACAGACCGGTAAACAGCACTTTTCTTTCGTTTTTTACAATGCATATAACACCTGCGTGTGTTTTGTTTCTTTTAACAGTTGAGTTCTGCTTCTGTTTTTTTAACAGTTGATTTTCTGAAGTTATCCCACATTTGCCCTAAAATTAGGTCAATTTTCAATTTTATTGGACGCGTTTTTAGTTTATTTTGGACATTTTTTAGATCATTTCTTGGCTCAGATGTTTTATTGTTTTCATTTGAGATAATTTCGGTATTTAAGCTTCAATAAAACAGTTTTCCAGCTTGTGAAACAATGTCCAGGAGAATGTTTTAAGCAAAAATTGTTGTCTTGAATTAGGCATTTCTTTGTATGCAGGTTAAATTAGACACTGTTCCTTGCTTAAGGGAACTTCCGAAGGCCTATCGTATTATCTGATTAGCAACAAGGCTGCATGTTTATTAAAGATTCTCGACAGAGATTTCAATATTTGTATCAAAGCTTGCATATCTTCGAAGATTATTCTCACGAATGAATAATTCATCAAAGTGCATAAAACGAAGCTTGAGTTAATTCCGTCATGGTTTTAGCTTATAAATATTTTATGCTGGCGTGGTTTGTTTGGTAGCTTTGTTTCATTATCATGACTCAGTCAGTCTTGCAACGAAATCTTCTTGTTAGTACTTGAACTGTTATTCGTAAAAATATTTTATCACCACAAACATGCACTTCTACAAAGATAAGAGGTATGTATTCATCCAACCAGGCTGCTTTTTATAAAACATGTGTTGGATCGTAGACTAGTCGCACTCTGAGGTCAACTGACATTTAATTTGGTACATATATAATTTTGTTATCGCTGTGCTCCAATAACACAGTCTTTTGTGGCCTCGAAATGTTTCCAAGAGCCAGGGAAAAAACATACTGTTAAAATGCTAGGGAGATTGTTGTCGCAAATTTTAGTGGTAAAGACAAATATTTATCTGTAGACATTGTTCTTCTTCTTTGCTAGTTTGCTAGTTGCAACAGTTCAAAATACAATACTAGCGATATTTATCTATCATATATCGATGAACCTAGTAGTTGCTTGTTTTTCAATCCATCAATATTTTCAAGACCAATTTTTGAACTTTCCAATTTTCCAGTTAGTAATATAAACATCCTGTGAAGGGGGAAAGGCCTTCAGCCCAAATGACATTTTTGTTTCAGATAATAGACTTTTGTTTTTTGTTTGTTATATACAAGAGCTTGATCCCTTCCTCATCTGAAATCTTTTATCATGACCATGATTACAGAGGGTTGAACAAACGTAACTTCTTTGGATTACTCAGGTAGCGTTGAATTAGGGGTTTTCTCTTACCCAATTTCCCGTCTTTTGTATTTCTTCCAAAATCCCTGGTTTTCCTTGCAGTTTTTTTAAAACTTTTTCCCAAACATTTTGGAGGTAGTTTTCGAATCACGACTTCCCTTCAAACTACCTACTTTCTTACGTTCTGCCATCTTTCCTTGAGTTTCCCTTGAAGCTCCCAAATCTCTGCATCTCTACTGGTGCTGTGAAGGAGCCTTGCGCAGTCGCATTATTTTATCAACATCTCCATATCTTGCAGTTTTTCAATAGCAGCAGTGAAGGGAGACAATTGGATGATATCCATTCCCATGGCAAGAACAATGAGCTCTTGTGTGAATGGATTTCGAAGTGATTCAAATCCTGCTTTGTGATTTGAAAATTGTTGTCTAGGGACGCGATTGGGCCTTTTTGAGCTTTTCAAAAGCGTCAGGGAAACATTGTTGTTTTTATTTCTGCTGGATACAAAGAGTTTTTCGATCTGATGAACTCTTTCTCTGTATGTATCAACTCATAGTTTCCATCGATGATTTGTTTTATTTGAGTACTGGTTGCTTTCAGAATTGCTAAACTCTTTGCTGGATGCTTTTCGGCTTCATGGAAGTAAGTTTGTTTCAACAACTTGATGCACTTTTTTATCATCCAAATCTAAACGAGCGCTGTTTGTGAGGTAGAGTTTGTCAATCAATCAGATCAGAGCTTGCGATCACGAGCGCTCAATGAAACTGGAGAACTGTGCAGTACTTTAAGAATGTAAGCAAGTTTTAAAACTGAGTTCTCTCGCAGATTACAAATCATTTGACTTCTCTTAACCTAACTTGACGTGATGTGGATATTTTGAAAGAATAATCTGTTGTTAGCCTTTAGCGAATGTGTAAGGTTTTCTAAATATTCAAAGTTTATGCGAATGTGTAAGGTTTTCAAGACATATTTATTCGATTAGTTGTTGAGTTTCTTTTGTTTTTCCAATATATTTTCTGAGCCTTTTTGCCTATCGAACTTTAACTTTAAACTTGACATGGGTTAATCTAATATTTGAAACCTTTAATCTTACCAAACCCATTGTTGAAGGCTTCATTTTCATTACCCTCCCTTGGCTCTAAATCAACCTCTAATTCCAAGGCAACTAAACATCATCTAACTTCAATAATTCATCACCCTCTAACCCTTCGTTCTCTTCAATTTTTCAATATATTTCCGTGGCTATTTGAAAAAATTTCGTTTTCGAAAGTTCATAAATAATCAAAAGCCACAAAGAAAAAATAAACATAAATTTTAATAGCACTGTATATTTCTTTTGTTTCGAATTGATAAAACGTGTTTTCGAAGGCTGGACAGAGCCCTCAATGTTATAAAAATGTTTGTCTTTTTCTAAGAGGAGTTAAAATTTTTCTTTGTTTTAAAAACTCGTATATTTCATGAAAAACAGAGATAGAGAAGATTCAACAAATGTTGTTATAGATCTTTTTGATTGACTGACTGTTCGTATATCGGTAACACAAAGTCAGACTATAAGAAAGTTAACGAAAACATGCATTGACCGTTCTAGAATGCCCTCCCCCCCCCTCCCCTCCCTTCAATAACCCAGAGTGAAGTAGAGAAAGGGGGTGTGGCTAAACCATAAAATTAATTTTTACAAAGAGGTTGAGTCTACGCTCAACAATTAATAGAAATGTGGAATCCTTAATCTTCTTTTCTACCTTCAATTTTAAAAATACAATCCCATCCAAGAGTCTTGGAATATTAAATCAGTTCTCAAGAGCAAATTCAGCCCCTCCTCCTCACTCCCCCAGCAGCAGTATTGATTGCCTTTGAAACTTCATTGGAGATTAGAATGTTTTCCATGCGACTTTAATATTTTATGTTTTAATTATATTTGCCTTAACTATCAACATTGCCCTGGGAGGGGGCAAGTGGTGGAGGTAGTAGTATTTGGGGTGAAAAGAAAAATTGTAGAAATACTATGCCTATTGCACGGTGTTCCAAATAATCCTGACATGGATTCTCTCCTCGGTACTATAGCCACTAAAATCATTCAACCACAGCATACCCCTCCCCCCACCCAATAGTTCCCCACCTCTTCCACAGTGGCTTTTGTACCAATGACACCCCATTACCAGTTTTGGGCTGTAAGCCCACATCGACTCAGATCTTGGCGACAACCGCAGAGATCAATTTGTTTTTTCATATTTTTCTATGTACCTGCAATCTATCCCATAAGTCTTTGTGACGTGTAAACATCTTCGCATTATTGTTTGTGCAAGGACCGGTTGAATTGAATCGCTTTAATATAAAACAGTCATTTGTTTGTAGAAGATCTGTATTTATTTGCTGCTTGATTTTAAGAATCCCTTGTTTATTGCCGTTTGTTTTTCTTGGCGTAAATTAAACGTGGCATTGATAACTGGAAGACTGCTCGACTCTTGGTAAAACATTGGTTTATGAACGTCGGAGTACAGCTTATGGTAGATGGTTCTTTTTAATTTTTGTCCGTCATCATTTCATGTATAGAAAATAAAGCGTACAATGGTGCGAGGAGTGTAGCTATCACATAAGAGCTGAATAGTCGCCAAACAGCATACCTTCAGAGCTAAGGGTTTTTAGGGAATTTTTTGTGATAGGGGGGGGGGGTATGTTTCTTGAAAAGAAAATTATTGTGTCAAAGGCGCACGAGATTTTTATAAAGTGATATGGCACTGGTTTTGGTGATAATATAAGGTCGTTTGAACTTGGCTGTCATTTGCATAAACAACAAAGTATCTGGTTTTTAGCTGCCAAACTATCTCATCCTTTGTATATACTTTTCAACCTTGTAGTGATTTGATGCACTGAATCTTTTGTGTGGCCAACTAGAACGATTTTCTCACCGTGCCCCATTCTTTAATGGTAGTAAAATATGGCTGATTTCCTCCCGAGATGAGGGCTTAAATAGTAACAATGATGCTAGAGAAAAACGACCGAAAGCCGTCCGCAGTTTCATAAGATCTATATCTGAATTCATTTTTGTCTGGAAAGGTTTTTATTTTTCCACAAACTCAATGAGTCGGCCAAAAATCAAGGATTATAATAAAATGTGGGATATTGTTTATTTGAGACAAAATATGACTAGCTGATCTGATAGGTAAATCCGAGGGGCAATTCACTCTGAAATTAGCGTACGAGATTTTCCTTAAAACAAAAGGATTTCTGGGGATTTTCAGATAAAACAATAGGATTTTCACAAAAGGTGTACGAGATTTTCTTCGAGTGATTTGCCCCCCGGATAAATCATGCAGCTTTTACACATTTTTTGTAAGGAACTGAGCTCGGGATAAACATTCACTTTCTTTATTTTGGTATTAATTTCAGTCCTCAAAGTTGCTGGAATGTTTCTTAAATGTTTCTTAAATATCAAATGCTAATGAGCCACTTTTTACAAACATAAAAGACGAAACACAAGCTAACATGACGTAGAACCTTCCGTAAGTCACAATGAAGTATTTCTTTTTAAAACTGTGAGTTAAGCAGGAAGTGAGTGGCCAGTCATCGAAAAGAATCATTCTAAAGTCTATCTCAAAACTAAACAAGGTTGATGGTGATAAATACTGCGGCTTCCTAATTGTTTGTCTTATAAGGGCTCAGTTTTTGTAAGACATTTCCTTTTAAAACAAAATGAGTTTCAGTAAAACCACGAAGTTTATGTTATAATTATCCATAAAAAGTTATTTTGTATCAATATGAAATTCGGCACCTGTTGTTGTCCCCTCTAATTTCCTATTCGCAAATGCCAAAATAGTTGCCAAATAAATATATCCTCATTTTCAAATGCATGTTTATAGTTTATTTACATATTAGTTTGAAGATCAAACAAATTGGTAGAGAAAAGCAGAACCTTTTTATGCCCAGAATATCTATATCAATGAATGGAAATTTCCTGGATTTTTGCGAATGGCATGGTAACACCCTGGTTTATCTGTGACAGATTTCTCTCATGAGTCCTGTCATCCCCTTAATCTTTCCTGTCTGTCATTGATTTGCAGCTATAGAAATTTAATCGCGAATTCTTAAAAATTCATTCACCCAAACCTTCTTGGGATGATTAAAGATTTAATCATAAATTCTTGTTTCTTTCTTATAGGCCAATGTCGTTTCAGTGAAAATGTGACTCCAGAAATTTTTACTGGGGAGAACATTTTTGACTTCGCTAAGAATTTACCAGAGAATCCTAACGTTGCGACTAAACGTAGAGGATCCGACAGCCCGCCTAAAGAAAGCTCGAAAGTTAATCAGACCGAAGAACATCCGTCGAAGGCTCATAGCAACGAAGACAGTGATTCATCGGATGATGAAAGTGATTCTGTAGATACTGGGGTAAGAAGACGACGCAAGAATAGGCCTAAATCTGAGCGGAATAAAGTAGCAAGAAGGGATCCAGTTACTGAAAGACGAGTACGATCACTGAGTGAGGCTATTAAAGACATTGCAGCCAGAAACGAGGCTGCCAAAAAGGAAATGGATGTTAGAATGATACGGCATTCGGGAAGTGACAAATCCAGCGAGGTAAGCAATGCTTGTAAAAATACATATAGTTTTTTAAAAAGTTGTCCATGAATAAAAGAGTTTGAAACAATTCACATTTAGTGGAAAGAAAGCTGGCGAACCGGTGTGATCATAAGGAGAGTCATCCAGAGACGCATTTTGAATTTTTTTAATTGTGAATGAATCTATCTAGAAGAAATTTTTATTGTTGTAAACGATTTCGCAGCTGTGTGGAATATTTAGAAGTTATTTTGATTAACGTGGCATCCGTTTGTAAGTTAGAGATTTGGCAAATGCCTGCACGAGATGACAATTTCAACAGGTGGTCATTTCAGATTTTCACAATAGCTGTAGATAATGTGGTTTGCATTAGATAAGGCTTAAATGTTTAGGTCTTTAAATGAAGATAATTGTTTAGGTCTTTGTGAACTCTTTGTCAAGTTAAAGTGAGTCTGGAGTTTTTCGAGATAAAAGATTTTCCTTTTGCAAGATGACCTTATATTTTGTACAATATATGAAATTTTCTCGAAAAACATTTCTAAGTTTTCTGACTGTTGTGACAACTATCAATTTTTTTCTATTCTTGACTGTATTCTTGGCAAGGCAATTTCCCTATTAAACAGAGAGTAGATTTACTTGTATAAGTGTTTTCATCATTCAAAGATAATTAAAGATGCTCATTAAAATCGAGATGGTTTTTTATATTTTCTCCAGTCCAGTTGTTTGATGACTGCAGTTTGACCTATTCCGGTTACAGACACCATATTGTCTCACAAATCAGTTTAGCTTTTCTTAAAAGTCTAGATAAGAATTCATCGATTCATCTTGAAATGAACACAACCTTTCAAAACTTTCTCAAAAAGTTATACAAACATGACTTTTCCTGAGTTTGTGATACATAACGCTTTTTCCAGTGATTTTCCCCTCTGTCTTCAGCCAAGGACCGAGATACTCGGGGGCTTGGGGGCCGTCCCCTCCGCCACACCCCCCTCACCAAAAAAATATAAGTATTATAGATAAAATACTTTTTTGTAAAATATGTCTGTATCAAGCAAAAAGTTGTATCTCGGTCTTTGTCTTCAGCCCTACGACGACCACACCCGAGTGGTGTTTTTCTATCATAATTAGTTGCAGCCCAGTATAAACCAACTATGTAATAATTTTCCTGCTTCAGGGATCCACAACGGAGTCTTCTGTGTCATCTGATGGGAAACAAGGAAAGAAGAAAGATGCTGTTAGACGACGCTCAAAGGGAGCCATGGAGTTGTTTCACAAGCTGTTTTCATCAGACTCAGAGACAGCCTCGGATAGAGAATCACCTACCAAAAGGAGGTCAATAAAGGCTCTTCAGAAGTCACCATGGAATGAAAGGAAGGAAATCAACAAGCAAAGTTCATCGGACAATGAGAAGACTGGAAGAATTCGGAAAAACGTTGAGAACAGGCAAGGTAAGACTATTAACCAATGCATACATTCGAATAGAAGATAAAGAATATGTAGAAAGGGTTACAAGGGTGAGGTTCTTGATCATTTAGGCATTTTAAAGTGTGTGGTTTTGGATTTTCTTGTTAGAATGTATTTTGAATTAACTATGTGCTCAAATGTCGAGAAAGTAAACCCCTCTTCGTGTTAGCCACAGCAGAAAACGAATTTATGCCGGGTTCCGACACTGAGACGCCTGTCAAGACGTTGTGTTATCAGAACCAACAAGAAAGTTCCATCCTTTGGTTTTTTTAAATGAAATGGGATGTGTGTTAGTTGAAAAACTAAAAGTGAAATGTAAAACATGTTTTGTTTGGCTATACTGGTACTATGTTTGCACACCTAGAAGGTATCGATTAATACGGTGTTGGACTGGGTTGGGGGAGAGGGGGGGTAAAGGACCATACCCTGAAACGCTGGGAGAAGTTACTTTTCTATAATCCCAGGATTAAAGAGAGTTTGCAACTAAGAGGCTTGTCCTACATGAGCTTGATATTATCAAAGAGAGCCGCAAACAACCATCATTTCATTTTTCCCGATAGTTTGACGGTTTATGACCTGTTAGATAAGACCTTAGCAATGTATGTCATGCAGGTGGCGAAGTGCAGTCAACGCTTTTCCGCTTTCTGTCATGGCACCTGCATGTTAGAGTGAGGAAGTAAAGCTAGCGATTCTAAGGCCTTTCTTTAAGTGGGAATTTTCATTGTGGTTGGTATGAATCAAATCAGGTAGCATAAAGAAGTACTGAAACTGCTGACATGTGTTGATATAATATTCCAAGCTGAATGGCGGCCTTGTAAAATCCACTCTTGAATTTGTAGTCTTGCAACAGCACAATTTACTCACGTTGAGAATTTATTACTTCACAACTGAAACACCAATTGAGCCTTCTGCAAGGAGAGGTTGCTATCTAAGCGTGACTGATAACATTAAAGTCAACTCCCAGATGATGTTTTCTTTCACTATCAACACTGCTTTTTGTTCTAGGGCCTAAGGAGCTTGGAGTTGAAAATTCAAGAAATATAGCGTTATCGAAGGCAGTTGAAAAGGACACAGTGATTTCGCCAGTTGAAAAGAAAGAAAATTCGTATGATTTTCAACAAACTTTTGATCTTATTGACAAGTTGACGAAAGTAAATGGCGAGTCGAAAGGTAAACGTCTGACTAAAGAATCGGATAAGTCGTCAAACGAAAGTGAATCAGAAAAAGTTTTGAAGAAAAGTCGTAGCGTAAAAAATAATTACAAAAAGGAAGCTGATGTTGGCCAAGATGATTGCAATGAGCTTAGCACATTGATTTTAAAGCCTGTTTCAGTGAGTGGAGTCAACGAAGCTTTTACGTTTGGCGTCGACAGTGATGATAGTCACGTGGAAAAAAAAGCGTACGCAGGAAAACGAGGCCGAGCAGTTGAAGAAGAGGCCGTTGCCCCTATAGCAGTCTCAGTTGATGAAAGAGTAAGAAACCTCATCGATCTTTTAGACGAGACAAGTTGTGACACAGTTGAAGAAGAAAGGTTTAGGAGAAAATTGTCAAAAATTGAAAACAAGGGGATAGAATTCAGCAGCAGTGAATCAGGGCAGGTTACCCCACATAGCGGATCTGATATTGAATGTTCTGGCAACAATATATATAATAATGGCAAGGGAAAAAGCGGCGGAAAATTGTTTGAAGGAAATCTGATTAAACCAGGGATGGCTTCTTCTCCTATCCAGAACCATCACAATTCGAATGATGACACAGGGGATACATCGGGAGGTAACACATCAGACGGGGGCAACCTCGATGGTAGCTCGAAGACAACTGATATAAACAAGGATTCTGCTGAAGAAAGCAATGCTTCTCCTACAACAAAGAAAAGGAAAGTTCTCAGAACAAAAAGTGGCCATATTGTTCGATCAAAATCGATGTATGGCTTAAAGAGTCGCAGCGACCCAAACAGATTGTCATACGTTGACGAATGTGAGTGGCTGGATACTCTTGTACAAATAGAGCTCGACACCATTGAGAAGAGAAAGAGGGCTGAGGAGGAGGCCTCTCTTTCACCAACGGTAGAGTCAAAGCCGAGGCCACCAATTTACTCTAGGAGTGAAACCATTGATGAGGCATCTCTAAATTTATATGACAGTAGGCATTTGGTGAAAACATTGTTAGATATGGAGCTTGAGGGACGAAAAACAAAGGAGGAAGGAGTGAAACTTAGAGAGGGCACAAGGTATAAAGATAAAGAGGCGTTAGATAGGCGGAGGTCTATGCCAGTTGGAAAGGATATTTTAGAAGCAGCTGAGGAACGAAGGATGCGCGAAGAAGATCATCGCATTAAGGCTGAGAGCATAACGCCAAATGACGAACTGAAGCCATTAAAGGGTATTGATGCGAAAGATAGAGCTGATACTATTGGTACTGTATCTAAGACAAAGGATAACGTGACTGGCCAAGGCAAGGAAGTTACGACAGGTCGCAATAACGTCTCCAGTGGTCTGTTACCTAACAGCGATGTAGTTGTAGATAGGGAAGAAAAATCTTCGAAGGAACGAGGCTCCCAGGTATCGCCTGTGCGACATGACACGCCTGCTAAACAGGCAGAGTTGTCGAGTGAGAATAAGCTTACAAGTACTACTGATACTCAAAAGGATGCTGATGCCAAACACACACATGTGAAGAAGCTTCATCGCCAGAGCAGCACTGAAGATGACAATAAACCTTTGAAAAGTATAAAAGCGTTCAAAGAGATGTTTGAAGAGAAATCGAGTCTTGAAAGACCGGTTGATAGCTACAGCAGATCATTTTCTGTAGATGAATCACCAGAACGCCTAACTCGTAGCAAAAGTTTGGCAGAAGGTTTGAACAGGCCGGCTGAAGATAGTAAACATATCAAGGTTGTTGAGAAGCAGCAATCGGTGGAAAAGACGGACCAAAGGTTATTAAATGAACGAAACAAAAGTAGGGATATCGTTTTTTTCGAGGAAGCAAAGAGAGAAAGGGAACGGAGTGAATCGATAGATGAAGAGAAGAAAAGGAAGCTGAAAAGGGGTGATCAGGTAGAAGGGACAGTGAATACTATTAATAATGATGAAATTGAAGCTACACCAATTGCTGTTGATGAAGAAGTTCCTCATTTTAAGAATATTGGAGCATTTAAGCAGTTGTTTGAAAAAGGACAGGCACCAGAAGGTAATGCTTCTAAAAAACGTATAGCTATAGTGAAAAAGGATTCTACCCCAGAGAATGCATCAGAAAACATAGAAAACATTGAGGTTTCAAGGAAAGTTGGGATTGAAAAAACTAGGGAAAAAAGTGGCCTTGACAAAAGTACAGCTGAAATAGTCAGTGAAAAGAAGGTACCAAGTAGAAGTGCGGGGAAATCGGAGCAGAAGCACATTCAAAAAGAGCAAGAGCCCAAAGTTCATGGGTCTACAATCGCAAATCGAGGAAGTCAAGAGAAGATGAAAGAGAAGAAACAGGATGATTATGAATCGAGGGCTGAGAAAGATCAGGAGGAAGTCCAGCACAACGAAGACAGTATTCCAAGCATAAAAGGCAAGTTAGCAATGTTTCAAACCAGCTTCAACCAGGACGATGTTAAGAGAAGAGAACCAAAGATAAGAAAGATTAGGCCAAAGTCGTTCCATGGGAACGCGTTCCATGATGACTCTGAAAACGAAGACAGTATTTCGAAGAGCAGTCGGGAACCTAATCGAGAAGACGCTGGGTTTAAACTGGGGAAAAACAGGGATAAGATTGGCACAAATGCGGAGAGTGTTCGAAATGTGGGTGAATGGGTGCTACACGGAACGACTGACTCAACCACCAAATTTTCAAAGGAGACAGTTGGAAAACAGGAGACCAAAGCTGACGCTAATCAGAAAAAAGTTCTTTCTAAATCTGTATCTCAGGATGCTTTCGTGAAACCACGCGCTGACTCTCAAAATGAACCTCCCAATTCACAAAGGATAGAGCACCACGAAACCGATAAGATTCCTGAGAATGATGAGAGCTGGGAAGCTTTCTCTTATTCCAAAGTTGTCAAAGATGAACGCATAAGAAGGGAACTTGAAGAGCAAGAAGCTAGAGAAAGGAAAATTCGCCACAGAGCACTTAGTAGCAGTGGCCAGAAGTCGGAACATAATGACGTGCAAAAAGAACAAGAACCCAAGGTCAATGGGACTAAAGTCGCCAACCAAGGAGGTCAAGAGAAGACGACAGAAAATCACGATTCTGAGAGTAATGTAGTTAATGGCTCTTTGGACTATCTTGCTTATGCGAAAAGTGACAGAATACGTAAAGAGATCGAAGAGGAACAGAGAAGAGAGATGGAAGTAAAACAGCATTTAATTGGAAACATGGGGTCTTCAAAGAAAGAAGATTTGAACAGTAGCAAGCTAATTAATGAAGTAAGCAAGGAGCCAGTTGTAAATGGTTTCAAAATGAAGGATAATATTATTTTGAGAAATTCTGACAAAGAAGCAAGTTCTTTAGAAGAGACAAACAAACCAGATACAAATGGGAATTTTGAATCAAATGAGAGCATTGAGAAAAGCAAAGTAACAAGAGAAAGCGCAAAGGTGAGTAAAATTGAAACAATTGTTAATGAAATATAACAAGATAGGTTAGGCCTTTTCGATACCATTTTGAAAGATGTTTCATGAATGACACTCTGAGAGCAGTTAGACATCGTTTTAACTTTAATGTTGTCACTAGGCTGAGCCTACACTGCTTTGACTAAAGAGAAATTGTTTTTGGTTTATTTAATATAGCTTCCATATAATGTTAAGAAAATATGTGATTTTTTAGTGTAACTGTTAATTTACATATAAAGATCTTTTCTTTTGCATTTTAGTCACGTAAAATGCCAAGTCGAATCGAAATTGAACTGGAAGAGGAAAGACGAAGAGAGAAAGAACTAGAAGATGAAAGAAAGAAAAGAGAAGAAGAAAGAGCTAGAATGTTAAACGAAGAGAAGAGGAAACTCGAATTAGTTGAAGCTGAGAAAAAGGTAAGAAATTGTCATCTAATTTTGTTTGAACTTGAGAATGAGCATGTAATTTGGTTGGTTGGTACTGCAGTAGTTTGGCAAAATTAAAAAATGGTGACCATGGGCTGAAAATTTTTGGTGTCCAACAGCAATGAAAATGTTGATTGTTGTGACTTTGGATGTTGAGGACTATCTGTCAGGCAACGCTCTGAAAAATTATAACAAGAGGTTGCATGCTAGGCTAGTTTCTTTGTGATGTTCTCCTTGTTGTCACCGGCGTTTTATTCAGCTGGACAAAGTGAACCTGAAGAGGTTCTGCAATTGCTTAATTGTCATACATGCCGGGAAGCTGCCTGCCTAATTGTTGATTGCCTAGTGACCGAATCAGCTCTACTGAAAATATGACATCTAGCAAATTGTGTTGCCTATCCGAATTCACTATGTTTTGCCAGCAATTTTTGCCGGCAATTAAGGTGTAGGTCGCAATAATTATATGTAATGAATTTGGCCCCTGCTAGTTAATGCATAAGTCTTACTTGCTTTTCTAGCGAATCGAAGAGGAAGAGTTTGCAAAACAAAATGCGATACAAGAAGAGAAGGTATGTGTAAACTCTTTGATATTTTTCTTTAAAGATGTACTATTTGTGATTCATTCCCTTCTAACTTAGTTAGCAGTTTTTTTTCAATTAATTACCAAATTACCTGGCAAGGAAATATTGTCGAAATGTTTAGCATTCCTTCCCAACCCATTGATGTTACTTTGTGCGAAATTAAAGGGTGAGCCTGCATTCTTAGGCTTTTAACTTGCCTCCAATTTGCAGATTTAGATAGATTAAGGAAAGGTATAAGCAATTTAGATTTTACACTGAAACAGCCAATGAATTTCTCCCCAAAATCGATGTTTGTTTTTGAAGTATATCTCCAAAATTCGGATTTTCCATTTTTTCGAATCCCACTTTCTGGTGTTATGATTTCTTATATTTTTCTTTGCTTTAGCAACAGTAACTACAGAATCTCACCTCTCAGTAAGGCCTTGTATCCATTCCTTTCCTTTTATTATGAGAAAAACTGAGACAATTTTCACTTGGTAAAACTCTCCAATATAGAAATCCTCTCGCCCTGCCTTCATTCTAGGATTTGAAATTCTGCTATAGACGCAAATCTGTCAATTATATTGCATATGCATGAGAATATATTGCCTTCATTTGTTTACAGTTGAAGCGTCAAGCAAGAACTCGTGGCCTCAGAGCCATGTTTGAGACAAGTTGAAATTCAGCGCTGTTCCATGTTTTATACCTCGTGTAACACATAATCTAGTCGTATTTTTATACCTGTAATTTGTGACCTATTGTAAATAATATATTAAAGTTAGTATTTGTTCCTTGTTTGGAGGAATACGTTTATAGGAAAGTCTGTTTTCATGGCCTAGTTTTGTATAAATGCATAAAGGCGTGAAAATTTTGCATAAAGATATAGTTGTTTTTTCGGTCTGCTAAACTAAGATATAAAATTAAACAACCAGAATTAAATTCTTTTGAGCTATTCCCTGCAAAGACGCTGCTAAGCTCAAGGCCAAGGCACCTCAGATAGTTGAATCAAATATGACAATCGACGATCAACTTCAATGAAGTTTGGATAGTTTTAAGATTATGAAAATTGCACAGCCAAGTCAGGAGATCTCTCTAATACCTGTAATTTAAACTATCCTAAGTAATTGGTTTTTTAGATTTAAAACCTAGATAAAATCAAAGGCGACTTCTTTGGACGGCCTTTTAAATTGTGTATAAACTTCTTAAAGCTTATAATTAGATTTTTAAGTAAGGGATTTACTTGTAACATTTGTTGATGTATGGAAAATATCTTCAGGTTTTCACATTTTTTCTTGAAAATAATCTCAAAATCAGAAATTCTGTATGCAATGAAAATGATCAGAGATGGTTCGGCAAGTACTGTTGATCAACTTATGGGTTGATCAACTTCTTCACGTATTTACACAATTGATTAACTATTTAGCATTTGAGGAAACTTGTTTTACCATGCTGAATGTTGATGTCTTCATTTTTAATTATAAATCGTTAATACTTCTGAGAAATCTGAGAAATACTTCTTAAAAAATGCAGTATGCACTACATTGCTAATTGCAGAAGGATTGAAAATCGTAATAGAGCTATCGCATACAGAAAAAACAAAAGACCAAGACTGGCGTGCAGTAGGGTTGAAGCGGGGGAAGCCTTCTCTGTTAATGCTGAAAAGCGAATAATATTCTTGTTATCGTCTTTTCAGCGGAGTTTTATCTATGAACATGACAACAAACCAAAACTCAGATTTTGGGATAGTTGGAGGATCATGGTAGCCAACCTTCTGATAGAAGATGGTACCTGCTGATGTACGCCTAAAAGTGACCTTAGACTGCCATGCACAAGTAATCCTAACCTTTGATGGGAGCAAAAAATTATCTCCTGTTAAAATCTTGCGGCTCTTTTGCCTAGGGTACAGTAATCCGATCAGTCTCTTTTGACGACAATCCTTTTCTTGTTTAACAAAATATCAAACAACTTTGCCATTTAACTTTTTCTAGTACATAATGCCACCTTTCATTAAAAAAGTGGAATTTTATATTATTAGGATATTTCCTTTAAACATCATTAATTGTAGAAAATTGAGTTTTGAGTGCTGGCATTAGGGCATGATTTTACGTAGTCGCTTAGCAGGTGTCTTTACCCATTTGCCATCTTTTTTCAAACTAAGCTATAAAGCAGTGATGAGGATTGCAGCAGTTGACCCTTATTCCCATGAACGCTACTACTTCAGGGCCCACGCCACGAATTTGAAAGTGGAGGGCAAGGTTTTCAAAAGTGAGGACCAAGGCTTGCAATAGTAGGGGGTGAAGGCTTCTGTCCTCTTTTACTGCAGCTTTAAATCTACTTGCTGGGAAAAAAAGAGGGGGTCATTGTTATTCCCGCCTCCCTCCCGAGAAATCTTCTCAAAATCCATATTTGATTTGAACGATAAAATATTGACAAAAATCATTCCCCAAATTTTCCGATGTATACAGTATACAAAATTAACAAAGTTCCATTATTCAAGAAGAAATGTGAATCCGTGACCTCAGACAGATGACAGCCTCTTTGTGGCTGACGCATGCGTCATTGTCGAAGTTCGATTTGTGGCGCCAAAACAGAAGGTAGTGATAAACGAAAGCAGGATTTGCAGCAGTCACGAAAATGTACATAAAAAACATAATTTTGGACGGGTTTAAATCATACGCCCAAAGAACAGAAGTGTCTGGGTTTGACTGCAATTTTAATGCCATCACTGGACTCAATGGCAGCGGCAAATCGAATATTCTTGATAGTATTTGCTTCCTCCTTGGAATTTCAAACCTCTCACAGGTAAGGCAATTCACAGAAAAAATTCTTACTATGAACAACGACAGAGGCTTTTGAAATACTTAAGATGTTTCTTAAGAATCTTCATTGATACTTCGTGAATTTAAATGTGCTCGCATACAATATTTTGTAATCGTTTACGTTTTTAGGCCTAAAGCAAAAATGGGCCAAATATTGTTTTGATTCATCATAGCGTTATTAAGCAGACCCTGCACATCTTCCATTTTAATACAATTATTAACACAGTTCGTGTAACAAAACTTTATAAACAACTGGAACTGATTTTAAAGGTTTTAAAAGAATCTTTATAAGTTTAAAAAATTTTCTGAGACCTGATGAACCATTTTACAATATTATCTAAAAAGATTGGTGTTACCCTCACTTGTTTTATTTTTCAATGAACTAGGTCAGAGCTGGTAGCTTACAAGAGCTTATTTACAAAAATGGGCAAGCTGGCGTGACAAGAGCAACAGTAACTATTACATTCGATAACACAGACAAGAACCAAACTCCAATTGGATATGAAAGTTTTGATGAGATCACAATCTCAAGACAGGTTGGCTATATTTGATATCATCATCATCATCATTACATTTACATTTAACAACTCTTTGGGTCATACAAATGTCTGCCCAGTCAACTACAACATTAAAATTTTAAAATTTACTGAAGTGATTTCGACATAGGTTGTAAAAGGTATCCGAATTTGCCTGCATCACAATACTGTCTGGCAGGCTATTCCATACAGAAACAATTGAATAAAAAAATGAAAACCCATATTCTCTTTTTAATGTGAATGGAAATTGCTGGGAAAGCTTTTTTCAACTTTTAGAGCCAATTAATTTTTAGGTTTAATTTTAAGGTATAATTTGCTGCAAAACCTTAAAAGAATTTGTTAAAATTTATTTTACAACTTGTAATATAATATATTTGCCATAAAACACGAATGTGTTGACGATTTTATAAATATTCCAATTCTTTTCAATTTGAGAAGACAACACCAAAATATTATGAGTGTAAAGGTATAAACCAATATATCCCTGATATCATTGTTTTGGTAACAAACAGTAAAAATAAAAATTGACAAAGTTCTTCTTTAAATTCTTTAAAAAAAATTCTACTCTTATTAATTCTGTTTTATTTACTTTGTGTAACAAGTCCTGATTGTGTATTCTCCAGATTGTACTTGGTGGACGAAACAAATATCTTATTAATGGGTGCAATGCAAACAACACCAGAGTCCAGGATTTGTTCAGATCAGTCCAACTTAACATCAACAATCCTCATTTTCTCATTATGCAGGTATAGTTTCATATTGTTTATTTATTTTGAAACTTTATTCATTGCCTCTTCAATCAATTAGAACAAATCAAAAGGGAAACAGTAGCCCTATAAGGAAGAATTAAGCAATAAAATTTGTATGGAAATAATGCCAGAAACACTATATAGAGTTTTTCTAAAAAGTCTGATGTTGTTTATCCATGTGACTTCACCGGAACCAACATATTGTTATAGAAAACTTTAGGTCTCACAGACAAAAAGTATTATTGTATGTATTTGTATTATGTATTTGACATTAAATCAATCTTTTTTCTTGATGTAGTGACCAGAAAGTAGGGAGAAAATTGTAATGATCCGAGCCCTCAGCCAATCAAAGATTTGACCGTTATTCTTGCATAATATCATTTTTATGTTTTTTTAGGGTCGAATAACCAAGGTGTTGAACATGAAACCTGTGGAGGTAAGGCAGTAACTCATCATCGTCAATAGGCACAAATGAATATCAACAATTACCATCAGCCTAATAAAATTAATTAGCATAATTATCATAATCAGTTCAAAGTTACAAGAAGTAATGGGTAGACTGTACACAGTGGTGAACTCTGCATAAACAATTTTAAATGACACTAGCACAAAATGCCTTTTGCTTTTAACTTGTGAACTAACTCTTTACTCTTATTGTTTTTATCTATCTCTTTTTCTCTCTTCTGCTATTAATTCAGTTAATCTCTTTAAGTAGTTACAAGTTGGTACAAAGTAATTTTTTATATAGCTGGTTTTACATTTTGATATAGCAATTTTGATATTAAATATTGGCAAAAAGACATGCAAGAGTATTCTTTGGTTTTCTTGCCTTCTGTTAGAATAATCAAGTTTGGTGAGATTGTTTAGATGATTTGAGTTGCAGTATTTGCTAAATCTTCTTGTGCTACATGGCATCTTTCCTGGAAGCCCCTATTGCACATCTTGTCAACATATGCATTACTCCTGTTTTATTCATTTATGCTAGAGAGCTTTGAATTTAACTTGAGCTTTTCATTTCTTGGTTAGATCTTGTCAATGATAGAGGAAGCAGCTGGTACCAAAATGTATGAGAGCAAAAAGCAGTCTGCACTGAGAACAATAGAGAAAAAGGAGAGCAAACTGACTGAAATTGAAAAGGTTTGAATGCCTAGTTATTTAGTTTTTCTTTTTTGTAATCAGTGACTTGAATCTGAGCTGATAAGGACTTTTATTGCAAATCCTCTTTTTTTTATATATAATGATCACAATGCATCTTCTTTGTTTGCAGATTTTAAATGAGGAAATCACCCCAACAATTTCTCGTCTAAAAGAGGTGTGTTCATTTCACTAATATTTGTATACTGAATTATGCTATATCTCAATGAATCTGTGTCTTTTATGACTTTAGTAACTATAAAAAAGGGGAAGAAATTATCCATTCCTTCTTTGATGCTCTCGTTTTAGGAACATCATCAAAAGAAGAACCTAATGGTCCTCTCTAAAATCTCTAAGATATCATTAGATTTCCATAAAATCTCTAAGATCTCCTCAACAACTCAAGATTTTTTGCATGCAAAACTTTACAAACCTACATGTTTCGCTATTCCTGTGTTTGGGAGGCATGCTAGATGCAGCAAAAAACATAGTCTTGCATACTCTGATGTATAAAACAGGACAGTGCTTAGTTGCTACTCCAAGTTTATGCTTTGCCTAGAGATCATATTTACTCAAATAAATGACTCAAAACCATTCTGTTCTCGATTCCTAAGAGTTATTTTGCATAATTCACACATATAATTTCATTCAAGTTTTGCAAAGCCCTCAAGCATCATGAAATCTTTTCATAGGAAAGATCAAGTTACATGGAGTACCAGAAGGTTATCAGGGAAATTGATCATTTGAAGAAGCTGTGCATTGCATATGAGTTCCTTAAAGCAGAGGTGTGTAATTCCTGTAGTTTTTGCTTTTTTATGATCTTGTGATATGAATTCTTTCATTAAACAACAATGCTTAAAAATATTGTAAATAGAATGGCTAGTCACTTTCTTGGTTGTATAAGCTTTTGTTTTTTAAGGTATCCTTATTTGAGAATCCATTGCTTCTTTGTATTATTCTATAATTGTTTTTTTAAATCTTTCAACAGGAGTTGAAAAAAACATCAGGTTCAGGCCTTGATGAGATGATGGAAAACAAACAGAAGCTAGAGGAGAGATTAAAAGAGGTAATTCAAGACATTTTATATTCTTGCTTTAAGAGTTAGAAGCCTAATGTCACATCAATTGTGCTCAAATAAGACAGCATACTGTTCTGTAAATCAGGCATATGAGACAAACCTGGCTGTTTGAGGCAGGCGGTCGCCCGTCCACGCCTCCATGCTCGCCTCCAGTTAGCAAGATGAGTTATTCCTAGCTTGCCTCAATGTCAGTTTGCACGTTAACCGTTCACATTGGTCTTCCTTTCATTTCTGGACACCTCCTGAAGTAAAACTAAAAAATTGATAGCCTGATCCTCTATGTTTTGACTTCAAAATAACATTGATCACCTTTCAATCTCTCAGGAAGTCATTTACTCCTTTAAACTGGTTAACTACTTTACAGGTTACATGGAAAACAAACGAAGCATTTTTAAATGAAATGCAATAGCAAAGAGAATCTTTTGAATGGTTTCCTTTTCATCAGAATGCTATTTCGAAGGCCAATTGAAATGTCATTTGACAGGGTGGCCTTTAAGGTATTCATAATATTCCTAACACATGAAACTCGAATCGTGAGATGATGAGTAACCAGAAAGGATTAACTGTTGAGCTAAGAAAAATTGAAATAAGTTCTTGAAAGAAAAATTGAGGAGATAAATGAAAAGAAGATGGTGACGTTCGTTTGGTGCAAACTTGGCGCTAAATAACTTTAAGTAATTTAGGAACAACTGTGGTTTCTTATAACTCGCTATAGGCCTAATGTTAATTAAAATATACAGGAGATCCCCCACTGACAGATATAGCTTTTTAAGGACCGGTACGAAACTTTCACCTCTCCAAATCTGTTAACCTTAGAAATTCCAGTACTAGCTGAATTGATTGGTTCGGCTTAATAAATCGCCTGCCTGACTTTGCCGAAAAGAGTGATGTACTGCTCTCCTGCTAAAATGCTCATGGCCAGGCCTGATGGGAGGTTCCTGATTCGTGTAAACGATGTCAAAATTCATTATGTAAAAAAAACTTCACGGTATGAAAACTTAGAATCTGCTATCCCCCCATATCGCTTAACATTTTACCCTTGTTTAATGAACCCTTCCCTCAACGTGTTAGCCACTCACCATCCATCCCCCATATATTACTGAACTTCTAAAATTCTGCTCCCCTTAAATTGTTATGATATTGCTCTGTGTTAGTCTCATAACAGCGTCTACATGTTAATCACTCAGTGTGTCTTGTGAATTAAAAAAGTACAAATAATCCAGATGATTTAATCCTCAAACCTGCTAAGTACATCACTCTGGTTTAACAAATTTGCTGTTTAATAACCCTCCTTTGCAAAAATCTGCGATTTTAGTCCCTACAAAGTTTGTTACATTGAGACTGAACTGTATGTGGTCGACAGTCTATTATTTCACGATTTATATTATTCAGTGCTAAGTTTAACATGGCAAAAGCAGTGTTATCCTGAATTTTATACCTAGCTTAGTTACTCATCCTCACAATGTGAACGACTGTTAACTCTCTACCTCTCTCATTGACAGTTGGAAGAAATAACAAATAAAATCAATATTGAAATCCAAGAACTCCAAAGCCGGAAAGATGCAGTGAGTTTTATAATTTTTTTTGTTTGTAAATATCTGCTGAAGATTGGGGACTTAATCTTCCCTGTCATAGACCCAATTAAAGGACTTTATGTATCCTAATTCATTACCATCTTTGGCACTGGCAAGATGATATATCATCTCTAGCAGTTGTCTTTTCAATGAGGATTTTCGTGACTGATCATTCAAGAGGCTTATTACAAATAAGGTGCTTCCTTTTTCTTTTGGTGTTAAGCTATCTGTCTTTGCTTGGGATGTGAGTTTTGATATAAATCTCCAAATCTACATTTTTGCTGTATAATGCATTCTATTCAATTCCCCATACATGGATAAATCGGTGTATAGAACTCGTTTGTTCTAAGATCCAACTTCAAGTTACATGCTTTATACAATTGTCATTAAAACAGAGTGTGTATAGCCTTGTATAATGGCATCGAACATTTTACAACAAGTTGGTAGGCCGTTATTTTCGTTAAGTCTTAAATACACATGTGTTAAAGGCAATACAAATGATCCATAATGCAAACAGACATAAACAAGGTGATCTTCTTGAATATATTTGCTTATCTTTTGTCATTTCAGCAATCTGGCGGTGTTATGAAAGAGCTTGAGGCCAAAGTTAATGAAATTTCAAAGGTTAGTTTGCTTGTATTGATCTCTTTTCGTATATATCTCAACATTGCTCTAGACAATCAACTAGCATAATTTTTAATGTTGCTTGAAAACTTATGTAATATAGTCATACCAGTTGCTGCAATCGGCTTCATTTCAAAAACAATCTTCCTTTAGTAAAAACACAGTCATTTTTAAAAACAACTTCCTTTTTATAATGATTCGAAAACATAACGACAGTGACCTTAAATTGTCAAATAAGTGCCGAGCGCCCCCTAACCTTCGAATTTGAAACTGTTGATTGTTTATAAAGAAGATGGCGCGTAGAATGGCGATGGTGATGACAGTAAATGGACATTTGGATTGGCTTTGAGTAGAGAACTGACGATTTAGTCTAGTTTTATTTTTATTGCATGCATTCTAGAGAAATAGCATAAAAACTAACAAACACCCCTCTTCGAATGAGAACCCATCTTTACATGAGTGCCTTTCCCCTTTTAACAGTCTTGTAGCTTCTTGCAGTGTTATCTGCTCACCATAGTCTGTAGTCCTTTGTGTAAAATATGTACTCTACTAGTTATCGATCCGTTATATAAATAGCTTTTTAAATAGACTTTGCTTATTAAAATTAAAAAAAATCCACGGGAAGTAAAAGTAACAGAGGAAACAATTTATTCCAGTTCATCCTCTGTCCATCCTACTTTGTTTTTTGCATTCTGAAAAGATTGCTTGAGCTTTTATACGCGACTACTTTTGTAAGTGCTTGCCCATGCTTCTTCTCGTTACATTACCGAAGAATTTTGCACCGTTAGTTTAAATAGCTTAAAGAATCTTCCATATGTGTAGGCCGATGTGCAAGTAAACTCCGATCTGAAGTACGCAAGAGAAGCATTAAAAGGAGAACAGAAAAAGAAGAAAGAAATCGAGAAGAATATCGCTGATGTTTGTATTTTCATATTCAAAACCTTTTTCCAGAATTCCTCTTAAAGCATAGCTGCTACTGCACAAAAATATTTGCCAAAGATCTGTTGCTTTTTTAATATTTTTCAAAGTCAGCATGGCAAGCATCAACTTTTGTTTGAATTTTTGGTCGATTGATCGTATTTTCACCTAAAGTGTAGAAACGGATTTTTGCTTTCTAAAAAGGTGGATATACCTAACGATGGACTGAATTTTTATGAGGAAATTACCATTAATGCAGCTGTGTTACGGATTTAATTCCACATTTGGTATCCACAGATTGCACCAAACAGCGTGAGAAGCTTTCTTCATCCATATCCCTCATGGTAAAGAAGGCCAGAACAATGATCTAAAGTCCAATAATAATTTGCTTGAAATTAAATCAATTCGACATAGATTTTGCGAAATTTGATAATTTTTGAAATGTGATCCGAATTTGGTATGTTATATGATATCGCTGATCGGTGCAGCTCTGAAGTATGCTCTGAAGATCTTAGAGCAAGAGTGAATGAAATTTTGAAGGCCAGTTTGTTAGTATTGAGTACTTTTGAGTCCTGTATTTTAGAAACATCCAAGCAGCTTCAGTAGAATTTTTATATGTCCCCTGACAAGCAGACAAAATTGCCTCATGTAGGATGAAGCTCAGCTCAAAGCGAAAGAGAAGGAAATCAGTAAAAGAGGGGATGCCTTGAAGAAGCTTGAAGACCGAAGTAAAGAAGATGAAGAGGCGATTGCTGCTGCACAGAAGCATTTCCACGCAGTGTCAGCGGGTTTATCAAGTAACACTGATGGAGAAGACAAAACACTCGCTGATCAGTTGATGGGTAAGGCGTTAATATCGATTGGTAGCAAACGCTTTCGTTTTTCTAAAAATTATCAATTATATACTGTTCTTTGCATGTGTCAGTTTGGAACTTTTCCTTTGAGCGTCTTGAATTTGGCAGGGGATTACAATTGAAAATGCTCATTCTGTTCCTAGGTACTTAGTGTAACTTATATAATTATTGTTACGTATACTCCCTTCAGGTCCACATGTGTTTTTAAACCAGCGCCTTTCTCATTATTTGTCAAAACAAATAAATATCAAAAGACATAACAATTAACTCTTTGAGAAAATATTTGCTTTAGAAAATTATTTGTTCTTATAACGGAGCGTTTTTTGTCGATCTGGGTGGAACCTGCTACAGCAAACCAACAGAATCATTTAAATACCATTAATCCATAAATCATATTTCATGCAGATGTCATAAATGTTTCTTACTTTTGTTGCAGTTTTAGCAAATTTTAGCTAAAAAGACATTGAAATTATCCAAAGAACTGGCCTAAAAATCAATCTTTTTTCCAGACTGCAAAAATGCTATCAGTGAATCCGAGACGGAGATTAAACAAGCAAACATGAAGTAAGAAAACGAAATATGTTGCCTTTAATTCTAACGAATTTCTGTTTATTTTAAACAATTTTTCTTTTGAACTACTTTTGAAGACTTAATATCATACAGGAATCTTAATTTTCCTCAAAAAAAGTCATCCTTAGCCCAGACAAGGATTTTATTCAAAAGTTTCTCCAAAGCACAATAAAAACATGCCTTGTAAATAAGCTGAAATTATTTTATCTCAAATTGCCTTCCCATTTATCTGCCCGAATTACCTTAGACTGTAAGTTTCTTTTAAACTTTTGCTGATTTCAGATTATCACGATTCTAGTATTCAAAAGAATTATTGATTGGTTTTTTCTTTTTAGGCTAAAGCATTCAGAAAGCGAACTGAAGAAAAAACGGGCGGATCTCAAATCAACCGAAAAAGGCTACGAAAAAGACGCAGCGGTTGCAGAGAAGCTCAAAAAGGAGCAAGAGAAAATCGAGGTGGGTTTCATAAAAAGAAAGAAAATTGTAGGAAGATTGTCTCGTTATAGGCAGGGCCATTCTTTGTATGTGTAGCTCTATGCTGATTGGTCACTTTAGGAATGACCTTTCTATAAATACTTTGTTCCAATGTCTGATTGGTCACTTTAGGAATGGCCTTTCTATGTATGCTTTGTTCCAATGTCTGACTGGTCACTTTAGGAATGACCATTCTATGTATCTTAAATTCCAATGCTGATTGGTCAGTTTAGGAATGACCATTCTATGTATCTTTAATTCAAATGCTGATTGGTCAGTTTAGGAATGACCATTCTATATTTGCCTTTTTCTAACTGAATGTTGAAAGCAGTGCAAAACCACAAGAGATTAGAACGTATGCAAGATATGGATACTGATGAATAAGCTTATAATCACCTAATCGTGTATTCGTTGTTAAAAGTTATTTTTGTTAAACATGCATTTCTTTATTCTAACAAAGTTTAAGGTGAATAGCTTGGAATATTGTTGGTTTGTTTTCAAATGAACTTTGATTCAAATGAAATGTCTTTTCAATTCAAACTGAAAAAATTGCAAAAATATTAAAATAATTTAAACAAGAAGTGCTGCACTTGTCAGGCGATCGATTTCTAGAGTACTGGCATTTCTTTCAAAGAAGCTTTGTAAAATATGGCAATATGCAGTTGAAGTTTCAACTTTCTTTTAAGCAATTTCAGTAAAAGATTTCTAGCACTTACAGAAGTTTATGTACATCCTTTTTGGGAGCATCAAGTATTATTTAGGTGTCTCGCCCGAGTTATTTTACTTTATAAAATGTTACCTAATTTTTGTCTCATGAAGTAAGTCAATATAAAATGTTCCTATGATTATTTAAAAATATTCTCATGATTTACTTTTATAATAGAACTCCCTGAAACAATAGTATTTGAAACATTTAGTAACATTTAAATAAACTTAATACCAAGAACTTTCCTGAATGTGTTTTTTGACGTTTTAGCATTTCCTTTTAGGCCGACTTAAAGAAACTCAATTTCGTCGAAGGAAAAGATATGGAGCTTGCAGGAAAAGTGTAAGATATGCCATCTTGTGAAAATATCATCTAAATTTTGTAATTATGATAAATTTATTTATATGTAGCCTTGTTCTTTGGTTCAAATGTTTTTCTTAAAACATCCAATTCAAGTTGTACTTCTTTTTACTGAACAGCGGGTCTTTGGAGAAAGAAGTGCATCACCATCGGCAAATCATTGAAAACTTGGAACTCAAGTATGCATTATAGCTTTTATGGTTTTTCTATTCTTTTCGATTCTATTTCTATTCGATTCAAATAATGTTTTTGTATGTGTTACCAAACATTTTATCTCGTACTGGCACTATTTCAAACAGCTTTGCTTTCAATTTGCAATAGTTGATTGTAAATCAAACGTGATTGACTGCATTTGAAGTCCAGTTCCCTTCAAAATAGTTTGAAAATGATTATGTGATGTAGACAAGTTTCTGTTTTTGAACGAGATCATTTCCCATCAAGCTATAGCCAAAGGTTTCTAGCTCATGCTTCATTTTTCAAAAAATGCTGCACCAAATCTTTCTTTAATAGATGTTTACTTGATAAAAGTTTCTACGTGTTCAGGATTAAAAATTGTATTTTACCGACCAATTTGAATTTTTACTTAAGTACAAAACGCAAGTTCTCAACAAATGTACATTTTAAATGAATGAGCGTTTCCCGAAAGATACTCCAAAGTCGGATGTTTCTGCCACTTTCCCTCCATCTATTAACAGATTTTTCAGCTTTCTGCCTTGATACACTATATATACGGTATATTTGTCTCAAGTGAATTTAATAAATAGAAAGTTAGCCTAAATAGTATATCTGTTATTTTGCTTGAAAACTTAAGGCCTCATTCGAGGAATGCGCAATCAAGGGGTGCTTTCCTAAGCGACGTTTGTGGGGGGCAATTGCTTTTACCTCCTCTGCCTGCAGACAGATAAAAGCAGGTGGAAACAGATGCCAAATGCGAAATAATTGTCTCATTTTCGACTTTGTTCACTTCAAGGTTTCCACATTTATTCTTCGACTACAAAAGCCCCACGTCAAGTTTTGATCGAGCAAAGGTACTGTGTTCTTATCATTATAAAACAGTCAAAAACTTTGCGTTTGATATTCCTTCGTATTTGAAAACGTGAAACCTGATAGAAGTAAACAACTGCATTTACAGGGAAAAATACATTTGTAAATTGAAGTTGAATAACATAAAAATTATGTGAATATGCAATGGAAATGTGAAGATATGATTGGATTTCTACCAATTTTAATTTTTTCTTTCTGCAGGTGAAAGGTCTTGTCTGCAGACTTATGAAAGTCAAGGACATGAGAAATGCTACTAGTTTGGAAGTTACAGCTGGTGGGAAGGTGTGTACTACCCTGAATATGTTTCTGTTTTAAACGAGTAATGAGTTTAGCTTCCAGGCTAAACGATCCGCTACATATTATACAAAACACAGCACCCAATAATGTTCTCAGCAGCCAACTCTTTGATTAACTGAGAGACCTCACCACTTTTGTTTTCTCCCAATGTTATTGGCCAAACAGCTCATATGTATGTAGATTCCTAACAACAAACCCGAATCACAGCTAAAATAATGCCAATGTTTCGACTGTTTCAGCGACCACGTGTACTGTCCTGTACACAAAAATATTTCATGCCTCCAGAAAGAAAGATTCTGGCTTATGCATATTTTGCCCGGTTTTTCCTAATACATTGCCATTTGATATTTTGGCCTCGAAGTGCAATCTTCAAAAAGAAAGAAGACTTCTATCACACAATCAACAAACACTATAAAGGAGAAGTAGCACCCAGTCTCATTGGCATTTTCTTTTCGCAATCATTTACGCTGGTTTCCTATTTTGGTGCATAGACTTCAAACGAAATTTTTTTTGTAAACACGACCCTTTACCGAGCGTTGATCAAGCAAAAAAGTGCTGATCCAAGGATTTAAGGAAGTCAACAACTGGCAATAAGGTTCAGCAGCTTTCGAAACTTTAAATGTCTTCAAATCGTTCAACTCTGCACCTCAATGATGCAACACTTTACATAGCTTACTGCGGGTGAAGACCTTTATGTCGGTTGAATCGTGGATGAATGCTGGGTGATTTGCCCCGGGCTCCATGCCGCTCTTTCATGGCTTTCTTTTCTGGAATGCAACAATCGAAAATCGATCTGTATAAACGCAGAAAGAGAATGTACGAAGCCAAGCGAAAATGAGAACATACTGTACCTTTAAGGCTATGTTCACATTGCTCCATATTCATTTTTATCCGTTTTCGTATCGATCTGTTTTACCTGTTCACACTGCTCCGGATACATTTGAAAACGGTATGAAAACGATGAAGCGTTCACAATGCTCCGCTCTGGATAAAAAGGAAAACGCCACGAACTGGTTTACAGCACTTGCCACTGCTAATAAACTTCAAACATCTCACTGCCACTAATATTCCTCCGAGTAGTATGCTAACTTTGAGTTAATCAGCCATGTTAAGAAAAGTTGCTCAAATTGGCGCGGTCTAAGTATCTTGCTGTGTTGTTGTTGGTGTTAGCGTTTTCAAAAGCCTCCGTTTTCAAAAGTCTCCGTTTTCAAAGTGCGTTTTCAAAAGTCTCCGTTTTCAAGGTGGAGCAGTGTGGACGCAAGGCACAAACGGATACTTTTTTATCAGTTTTCATATGAATACGGAGCAGTGTGAACGGGGTCTCAATATACAAGTTATCTTGTACTAGGCTATTGATCGAAGAATGAAAATTTTGAAATCTTGAATCTTGAAGCCAATATTGGAATGCAAAATTTTGACTTTTCTAAAAATCGAACCTGCCATTCTTTTTATTTTTGCAGAATTGAAATAGAATTCCATTGAAAGGGGGTCGTATTAAAGTTGATAAAAGTTGACTAGGAAGGGGGGTTGAATTGGCCAAAAATTGGTTGACATCAATTGCGAACGAACCCTTATTTGAAAACCCACTCTAGAATCATCACAAGGGAGCAGTGGATTGGACCGTGTCCGTTCTGTCCAGGCGACACATCGTTTTGGATTTGAATCAAACCAAAACATCCCCTTAACTTAAAATGATATTTTGTTTTATACATTAGTGTTGCGTTGCTCCTGCTTGAGAATTTAGCCGCATCACGCTCCACTGCAATCATGATTGATTTCATCTTCTGGTAGTCAACTCAAGTTAGCTTCCATTTCCTTCATCCGATCATACAGCTTTTTTAACTTCTATTCTTTTCCAATGTCTTTATTCCATTTGACTAGATTTCTATCCATTTTCAGCTCTACAATGTTGTTGTCGACTCAGAACAGACTGGAAAACAATTGTTAGAAAAGGGGGATTTGAAACGAAGGGTCACGATTATCCCCCTTAACAAAATTTCATCAAAAGCTCTTAGTGCTGATGTGATTAAAAAAGCAAAAAATCTTGTAAGTTACCCTATCGAACTTGACTTTTATCTAAATTTTTATTTTTAAAGTTTGCGAGTGTAAAGGAACATTTCTTTAGATTCACCATCTCTTGGAATTTACATAAGAAATTTTAATCGGCACCAATCCATCATAAATGAATTTACTGAAAATTTCCAACTTATATTTTAAAAAAACAATAGTATACTCAAAAGTTCTTTACTTGTTAAATTTATTTTGTTATTGGTTTCAACATGGCGTGAAACAGCGGTATTAGAACGCATGGTCCGGAACGAAAAAGCGATAACAGAAAAAAATGTTTAAATTTAGACTCACAAATCAGTCATTATTCTGTCAACTGTCAACGTCTTTGTTGCAATAGCGAGAACAAGATAATGTCGAATATACTTTTCTAATAAATCGTATACTCTGGTGTAAGTTTTTGTTAAGGCCATCCCCCTCATACTTTGTCAACTAATTACGTTTCCTTTCAAGGTTGGGGATGCAAATGTCAGCTCAGCATTGTCTCTGGTTGGCTACGACAAAAATATCGAGGCTGCAATGAAATTCGTCTTTGGCTCTTCATTTATTTGTAAAGACATGGAAGATGCGAAAAAGGTTTCAATGATATGACTGTCTATTTGATTAAGCTCACTCCCTTATAACGAACAGGCACCCCTTTTTACCATCAAGTATTGAATATGCCCCCTTCTCGAATATGCCCCCTTCTCGAATATGCCCCCTGCTGTTGAAACTGGTGGTATTAAGAGCAAGAATCCAAAAAAATTTTGCTGTTGTGTGTCCATGAATCAAGAAGCTTCCGTTTTCTGCCTGTGTTCTAGCACTGTCACATGCGTTTGTTTCAGTCTCTTTTGTGCCTCGATTTTCACTTCAAACCAGTATATTTGTTTAACACTTCGTTAGCTGCTCTTTGAAATAATTTTGTGTTCGGGAAACAGTTCCTCCAGAAGTTTGATTCCAAAACGTTTCTTCCAAAACAATTATCATGCAATTATCTTTTGGGTTCTGTTTGGAAGCATTTTCAAAAGTTTGACCAGGTTTGACTCTTTGATCAAAATTGACAAATACAAGAGGGCCCTTGTTGACCTTAACCGATGCATTATGACACAGAGATCCAAGGCAGCCGGTGAGCTGCTACCACCTTGTGCTGGAGAGAGATTTGAAAGGAGATGGCAATTTTAGAAAAGAATGGGACATTGCTGCAACAGAAAAGATGTCCCTTTTTTGTTCTTCTGGCTAGGCCCTTCAAGCATGAAAGTGCGTTCCTTTCAGAGTCCATGACGGCACCATAAAACTATCTACCATGATGACAGTTATCTTACTTATATGACCTTGCGTCTTTCTTCAGGTGACATTTGATCCTGAGATCAGAACGAAGTCGGTCACTATCGAAGGAGATGTCTTTGATCCAGCCGGCACCTTGACTGGAGGTGAGACAATCCTAAACTTTAGAGTGCGGTAAAAAGTTCTGTAAAACTTTATAGAATACTCTATGCCTTTCCTTTCTCCGAACAGTGTTTCATCAAAAAGTGCACTTCCTAATCTTCAATGTCATTTTAATGTAGACCAACACATTGTTCCGGAGGGAGAGGGACTGTTTCAAGACTTTTAGCGGGGATTGTAGCCAAGTGACCAATTAATAACCTGTTCTCTACACCAAAACTTTAGAATGCAATTATTCAAACTGAAACAGAGCTTCTAAGTTTTGTCTAGCACCATCCAGATAATGTTTATGTTACAGTTCAAATGTCTGAGGGATTGAAATTTATCGTGAAGAGTGATTTGTTTAGAATTCGCAAAAAGGAAATTTCAAGGATTTTAGAACACCGTTATTTTGCAGCGTTGATTTTTTATAAAGAACCTATCCTCAAGACTTAGTTCCCTTGGTTCCTTGTTTTTGAACCTTTTTTATCACATTTTAATAACAAAAATACAGAAAGGCTCCTTAATTTAAACTGAACGTTTAGTGCCCTTATGGTAGCACAAGCGCAAGATAACATTGAAATTCTGAAATTTGCTTATAATTGTGGCTAGAAAATAAGGTCAAAAACCAGAAAGAAAGCAAGCAAGAAAGATATATGTATAAGTACATTGTCATTGTCCTTGAATTTTTTTATCTGTAGGTTCCTGTTAAAGTGGTTCCTTGTGAAAAACGTTTAACTTGGTCTACAATTTTTATTTAGCTGGATGATAAGTTTGTATGGCTTGTCTGTAAAGTTTGCTTTAGTATAGCCTTGCAGATGAGCGTTAAGTAGTTTGTTGTTGCTTAAATGTATGCAGTTTTTTGAATTTTTTACCTTTTTACCAGGTGCTAGAGCCCAAAGAGCATCAGTTCTTGAGAAGCTTGAAGAGCTCATGAAAGCAGCTGACAAACTGAGTGAGAAAGAGAAGCTGCTACACGAAGCGAAGAAGGAACTTGCAATTTTGAAAAGAAATGCTGAAAAGTGAGTACATGCTCAGACAAATACGCGGTCGTTAGTTTCGACACACATTTGTTTCGATTGTGATTGGTCCAATTCCCAACTCGTTATTCGATTGGTCATTTGTTATTGACATGTCAATTTTGACCTATAAGGTATTATAATACGTGATTTTTCAATGGGCACGTGACTATTGGCAAACACTTTATTTTAATCAGACCCTAACATTTTTGAAGCATTGTGTTGTTTCTTTCAACGAAATCCTGCACTCTGAAGATGGGCAGCTTATGTAATACTTTTTACCCCTTAGCTACGACCGCTTGAAGCAGCAATTTGATTTGAAGTCACGCGAGGCTGAGCTGGTGGAAGAGAGGCTCAAACAAAGCACGCATCATCATAAGGTCGAAGAAGTGAAATCACTGGAAGATGAGATAGGTAATGCTGCGGAGCTTTCACTTCTCTCTGATTTCTTCTCGATAATTGCTTGCACATGGGCTTAGTCAAAAAGAGCTGCGTTTTTCTTTGCCTTGTTTGTTTGGAATAGTTGGTTAGTGCGACGGTAAAGCTGTCGCCTCCGGTTCGAGTGAGGAAGCTTCTTCGCAGTACGATGGGAACAGAAACTCCTTTCTTGCCCAACGGGAGCAAAGGGACAATTTCCATTTGATCCTGGCTGTTCTAGATAGGTGCGGTGATCATAGATAAGATAAACCTGATGAAAAAGCTATTACCTATTTTGATACGGCCATGATTTTGAAACTCCCACGTAAATCTATTCTTATAATGAGACGTTTTGTGCATTCCACATGTCCGTAAAGCGTAATGGCTAACTAGACCAGCTAAGCCCGGCCGTATCTAAATGGCAACTTCTCCCGCTGTTGCTTTTTCGTTCTATAGGTTCCCTGGGTGGTAAGGGACAGCTTGCACATAAATCCCATCCACCCCTAGAAAGGTGCCGTGCCACATCCAAGAGGCTTACAGTTTACTTACAGGCTGTGCTTGGTCCTCAATGTTACCGGCAACTGTTGTATATGATAGCTCCTTCTAAGTTACGATATTTTCGATCAAAATGCTGCGGGACAAAAGTGCCATATATCAAAATGGCCTCGGACACAGGATGGTCCATGCTCTTACCTGCAAAGGTATGTTTTGGTGGCGGTGCTAATAGTATTTTGGTATGCCAGAAGTATTAATTAGAAAATAGCATAAGCAACCGCGTTTTCATTATAGAGGCTTCAAAGGCTTCAATTGAAAAGGCGAATGAAACGAAGACAAATGCAAGCAAGAAGGCAGCTGATTTGGAGTCAAACATGAAGGTAAATTACTTTTAGCTAGGCAATGAGTTTGCAGTTTAGTTATCAGCGAGTTATCAGATCAACTCCCCTTCCGACTCCCCCCTCCCCTTCCGACTCCCCCCTCCCCTTCCGACTCCCCCTCCCTTCCCTCCCCCTCCCCTTCCGACTCCCCCCTCCCCCCTGTTACTGAAACGTAACAATAACGTAAGAAGTACGGCAGAATGTTCGTTGCACTTCTTTCTTTCTGCTACCTTTTTATGGCACTAAAGAAATTTTCGTTTGTCGGTAAAATGACTAGTGCAATCAAAACAACAAAAACAGACTGTGCATGATAATTATTACTTATTCATTATTATAGTTTGTAAGTTATATCATATTGGCTCTATATTACTGCTTCTCTTGGTCATGAATCTTTGATTTTTCAATTATATGCCGATTTTTAATGCAAGATTACAGTGATGAATTTTAATGATCTGATGTTAAAACTTCAAGTTTTCAAAATTTGCTTAGAGATTCATTTATCTCTCGGTACAGAATGCAAAACTTCATAGAGAAAAAGAACTCAAAAAAGCAGAGGATCAGATGAATAAGGCGAAACAAAGAGCTGAGAACTCTACCAAAGAGTTTAAGGAAAAAGAACAGGTTTGGTTTTTTATTGATTTCTTTTTAGAGAAGAGCACGTCTTACTGTACACCTAGGAAAAGTTAACGACAAGTCCTTTCGTAAGGTTCACTTTGAAACCTCATTAATCAGTTAACACACAGTTAACCCCTATATCTAAATCAAGCTTTGACTGTATTAGGTAAATTTTGGGTGTTTGTTATGTTTTCTGTCTTCTGCTGTGTTAAAAATTTGAAAGTTTGATGGCTAAGGACAAATGTCACAAATAATCGCTACCTGGAATACTTACGTGCGAGTATTTAAGGTAACAATGTCAGATGTTGGATTGATTTGAAATTTTAAGATCAGTTGGTTACAATGAATTCCTCTTGGTATGGTTTGTGACAAAACATTCTGTTTTCTTGTAGGAAATAACCGAAATACGATTAGAGGTCGAGGAGCTGCAGAACGAGATTGCATCATTGCAGGAACAGGTTTAGAAAATAATATTTTAAACTTTTTGCAATATGAATTTAAAAAAAGCACGAAAAAGCGGAATTTAACCAGTTTTTCATATACTTCTTAGAATATATAACGTTGTCAACTAAAATTTAAACATGAAGAATTTATATTCAGATGTTGCCTTTGATTGGCTCATTTTCCGACCAATCAGCGACTGCTAGCACCTCACGTGGTTTAGTCCAAGTGAGAAAACAAACTTTCAGTCTACCAAAATCAGGCGTCAAATTTCTGTAAGCAGTGTCGAAACATATCATTTTGATTTTTTTTATCTTTCATTTTTTCTAATAAAAGAAAGAGATGAAAACCCTTATCCGCCGGATGAATTTTGTGTTTTGATATTTGATCAGAACAAGTCAAGGCCTTTTAATGTTTAATATCTGATGAAGCCCTGTATGCCGGGGTAGGGATGTACCGGATATCCGGTAGGCCGGATAATCCGGCGCCGGATCGCTGATTTTTTTAAAATCCGGTTCCGGCCGGATTTGTTTCCGAAATCCGGCCAGTTGCCGGATTTTCCAGAACTTTAATCATAACTAAGAAAATTTGGAAAACCAAGTCAGACTCCCTTCATACAGTGATTAAAAATGGACTTTCCAGAACTAAACAATATCGACGATAAAACAAGCGCCTTGAAAACAGATTTGAAATGAAAGTGCTCGTCATCACGAAACAGGAAGACTGGATGATATAATTCACAAATTTGGTCCAGGGTTGCCAGAGCGGCTTTTTAGGCCAAATTTTTTAATTTTTGGTTTTTAGATTTAGATTGCCTGGAAAAATTGTTTTTTGCTTACTACTTAAATATGACCTTGTTGGCCTTTTCAGCAGACGTCCAAAATTAATAAGTAATTACTACATTCATAGAATAATTAGTAGTTAACTACAAAGTGTTAACCAAATTTCAAATTTTATCACCTAACCTAAATATTATCTTGATATTAGCAAAGGGTTTTGGAAAAAAGTAAGATTCTTATCAAAGCTAAGAAATTATCTAACAGGCACAAGCGTAGAAATATAACCAGTGCCTGCTCGATGGATTCTTGAGAGAGTTTTTGATTTGGCCTTTTTATGAGCATTTTGGCTTAAATTGCTCACCAGTCTAGCCTTCGTTTGTAAATTCAATCTGGCAACCCTGAATAGGTCTCTTTGATCTTCTCGCTATACATTTTTTCGCAAAGTGGCTCAAAACTTTTTATTACTGAAAATTCTATAAGTGGTCAGATTATCCGGTAGAATCCGGCCGGATATTCCACGAAGAAATCCGGTAAATCCGGTTCCGGCCGGATTCTGAAAATCCTGATCCGGTACACCCCTATGCCGGGGCGAAATATTAGTATTTGTTAAATTTCATTTATTTCAAAATTCTATTCGACTACATTGAATTCTCGCCGTCGTGTTACTTTGTTTGACTATTATTCGTATTATTACTCATTTCAAGATTCGCAGAATCTGGCGGACAGCATATCCTGCGCCTAAATCTTTATACAGTTTTTAAATCTTTGGCTCTGTCTTTTTGTAAAACACAGAATTTTAGTTAATCAATATTAAAATGGATATTTTATCTTGGATAATATTCCCACCGTAGCTGAAGTCTTTTGACGAGTCTTTGGCCAAAGTCCAAACAGAGATTGAAAAACACGAAGAACGAGTTAACGAGAGCAAGGTACATGCTTGATCTTAGATATTTTCAAAAAGATTAAAATCTTGATCTTTTAGGCATCCATTGTACGATTACCAATTTCTTGTTTGTTCAAGTGCATTCTTTCTATTGGCGAGTCTCCTATCATTTTTTTGACGCAGAGGATTCGCCTTTCTCAAAGCAATTTTTCACACAATCTTGTATCGGTTGGAACTTTGGACATTGTATGACGTTGCTTGCTGCTCGTATTAAGCCTGTACAGCTCTGCCTATACGGCATGAATCACTAGTTGACAGATCGGTAAAACAGGACATTTAGAAATTTTATAAGTTATGAATTTAGTCAATTATTTCAAAAAATGTTTGCAAATTTAATTCGAATAAAATTAATTCAACATCTTTATTCTCTGCAAAATTTGATAGAGGGGTAAAACAACAAATTTAGAGATTATATAAACTATAAATTTAGCCAAAGGTTAAAAACAAATTTTACAAGTTTAATACAAGTAGAATAATTTGGATCTCTTGATTTTCTTCAAGCATTCTATTATGGATCCGCTTGAAACTGTCTTTGGGTCTTTAGACTCAGTAAATAAAAAGATATCTCTGATTTTTCCAGGTGATAAAGGAGTAAACTCCCCTTTGCTTTCAAGAAGCATGTTTGTTTGCATTTTGACGCCAATCATCAAACCCTTTGCTACTCATTTTTTTTTAATTATCTGTTTATAGTCCTAAAAAAGCTCTAAGATAAAAACGATAAACAAACACGAACATTTTGTCGTTGATTGATGCTTTTATGAATATAGAACAAACTCGAGAAAGCAAAAGATGAGTTGAAGCAGCACAAAGATTCTCTCAAAGCCTGCAGCCAGGTACGTCAGCTATTTATTTCCGCTTTGGGTGAATCATCATCTGAATTTTGTTTCCATTCCGATTTGAACTATCTTCTTCATTGAAAATCTTGATGAGCCTCTTTTCGTCAGTGGGATGATTATGACTGGATGTCATCTGATTGTAGCAATTAAAGTTATTTTGTTTTTGATGGCCTACTTTTCAGCTATCAACAACGTATCTGCTACTTTTTGTGGACACTGCCTGTTGAATGATTTATTCAGTTCTTGTTTTGCGCGAATAGTCATTCCTTTTAAGATTGTTCTACTTTTCACAAGATGGATCACAAAAAGTTGTTAGTCAATTTGTAATTTAGGGGTTGCATAATGCGTTTCATATTAATTTAGCAAGCTGATAAACCGTTTATGAGTGTAATAATTGTTCTGAATTTTTGTTGTTGCTCTGATCTAAATCCTTGGAATTTTGACTGTGAGAATCAAGATATATTTGAGTTTGTATAAACTTTTCGTGTTGCAAAGGAACTAGTTACACGTCCTTGGTCAGTGACTGTGTCGTGTTGTAATTAGCTATTAGGTAATTCTCAATGGAGATTTTAATCTTTAGTGGGTTTTAAAGTAAAAATAAGACCGATTTCTTTGTTAGTTTCATATACTTCGAGTAGATATTAATCGTTTTTTTTTAATGACCCGACCGTTTCTCTTTCAAAAAAGGCCATTGCAGAGAAAGTCAAAGAACAAAATCAGTTAGCCAAGGAAGGAAAAGAGGTTCAAATCCAACTGAAAGAGCTTGAATATGACATTTCAAAGAATAAGAAAGACAGCCAAGATGCAGCCAAAAGGGTAGGCTTGAATTTTTTTCACTTTAAGACAGATTGCGAATTATATTACTTTTTACAAACGCTTTTGATTCCCAAACAGACTCAGTAGTGGGTGTACATAAACCATCTCAGAGTTCGCGACGCCACGATTGAATCCTATTGTTCTATAGCTAGTTCCAGTCTCTCAGGTTGGCAAATCAGCAAAAAACTCACTTTGGATAGAAATCCTCTTCAGTTTTTTTGGCCGTGAAACTTCTTAAGACCAGTGAAAATACTTTTAGCATGAAAATCAGAGTTTCGTCGATCAACATGTTAATAACAGTGGACGCGGCCCTCGGTTTGTCACATACACAGAACATAGGCCAAATGCTACGATCACACTTAAAACATTAACAGTTCATAGTCGTCTCTCTGTTATAACTGTGGACCTTGTTTAGTGTTGTGTTGTGTTGTGTTGTGTTGTGTTGTGTTGTGTTGTGTTGTGTTGTGTTGTGTTGTGTTGTGTTGTGTAGCCTAGCAAGTGAATTATCATAGCCTTCTTGTTCAATGAATTTAGCCTTCTTGAAGCAGGAACTGACGAAACATTCATGCAGACAAGGCCAAAATTGGGCACACCCTTTTGTCTGGGCTATAGTTAAGCCTTCCCTCAGTGTAGACTGGTTTATTATTTCCCTAGGTGGAACATATCCTTGCACAACATGACTGGATAGCCACTGAGAAGCAATACTTTGGGCAGCCAAACACTGCTTATGACTTCAAAGCTACTGATCCAAAAGAGGCAGCAAGGAAGTTGACAAAACTGGAAGAAACTCGAGACAAGCTGAGCAAGAATGTTAATATGAGGGCGATGACAATGCTTGGAAAAGCAGAAGAAAAGGTAATTTTTTATTTCATTGTATCTAGAGATATGAATCTATGTTATGTAAGTTTTATTATTTTGTAAATATTTCGATAAACGATTGCAGTGTATTTTTGTAATTACACTAGTGGGATAAGGGTAGTTATTAGCTCTTAATGTATTCTGATGGAAAATTATCAAATTGCTATTATTTCGAGCTAGTTGTCATAAATATACTTCACTTCCTTTAGTACAATGATTTGATGAAGAAGAAAAAGATTGTTGAGAACGACAAGAAAAAGATCGAAGAGCTAATACAAGAACTTGATGCAAAGAAGAACGAAGCGCTGAAAAAGGCCTGGGAACAAGTCAACAAGGTAGCCAGCCAATTGGTTTAAACCCAATCTTTTCGGTCTAATGTACAAATATATTGAACCTGCGATCATAATAAAATGCCTTTTTGTTTGGCTTGATTACCATAAGAGGATCTGAATTTTTGTCATTTGTCTCGTGCTTTTAAAGATTCTCCTATTTCTCCAAGGACTTTGGTAGCATATACTCAACGCTTCTCCCTGGTACTAATGCCAAATTGTCACCACCAGAAGGACAGACTGTGCTTGATGGTCTTGAGATCAAAGTAGCTTTTGGCAACGTTTGGAAAGAGAGTTTGACGGAACTAAGCGGCGGTCAAAGGTACAATAGTCTTAATCTTTTACTAACACAATATTGTTCTACTTGTCAGTGCTTATACCTTGCAAATCTGTCTCTTGAAGCATAAAACTTTCTGGAACTTTGAAGCATAACTCTTTTGCTTTAAAAACTGTTCTGCAAAAGTATAGGAATGCAGGAAAGAGCACGAAAATGAATGGTAGCAGGAGGCTCTTATAAAAACTCTCACTTCGAAGTCTTGCTTTTAATATCCTGACGTTAGTGTTCCAAGACTTGTTCTAAGCATTGTAGTGTTTCAAAGTAAAACAGTTTTTTATTGTTCCAAAGCCTTTTTCATGTTCCAAAGCCTTTTTTAATGTTCCAAAACTTTACTCCTTAATTCTAGGTCCTTGGTTGCTTTGTCTCTTATTCTGGCTATGTTGTTGTTTAAACCGGCTCCTATTTACATTCTGGATGAAGTTGACGCCGCCCTTGATTTGTCGCATACACAGAACATAGGCCAAATGCTACGATCACACTTCAAACATTCGCAGTTCATAGTCGTCTCTCTTAAAGATGGCATGTTCAACAATGCCAATGTCCTTTTCAAGACCCGGTTCATCGACGGAGTCTCAACCGTTGCAAGGTACACTCAGAACCAGCCTTCATCTTCAAAAACAGCAAACAAGCCACTGCAGCCTGAGAAAAGAGCGCCCCAAAATGCCTCAAAAAGGCCAAGGCACCAGTGAACGCAACATAATTTAATTGATTTTGTATAGTGTATTCTTTATTAAACTAGTGTTTTTAGTTGAAGCAAACAGAAACATAGCGGTGGATACTGCAATCCTAAATCTATCGCCCAGGCCTGATGTCAGTATCGCCTCATACCTCTAGCAATCGATTCAAAGTCCCCTCGAATAAGCCCCTAATCCTGAAATAAAAGTAGTAATAAGTACTCCTCGAGTCCATGGCAGGAAAAATTGAGTGTTAAATGTATTTTTATTAAAAAAGGAAAAATTGTAGAGGTTGGCTCGGATGTCCCTTTCTCTTGGCCTCACAGTTTTAATGAAGATTTTTAGATTTTTGTAAATGCCACTGCAGGAGGACAGTAAATTCACGGCTAAAAGCCACATGATACTGGCCAAATGATTTGAAAATTTTGAAATACAGGGTTCAGTTTGGGTCGTTGCATATTTATTTTACGACTCCTACAAAAAATTTTGCCTTGGAATTGGATTATCGATGTTTTTGATTCTTTATATGAATTATGATTTTTTACACTTGCTTCACTTTCGTTTCTTTTCAAACCAACATAAGACACATCAGCTTGAGTCAATCAAAACTTGTCACTCTACAAAACATACATGATCAGCTTAGTCTCGTAACGGAGGCAGCTGGGGCCCTAAGGAAAAAAATTGAGATGGGGCCCCAATTTACGGACTGCGAGAAAGTCCCATCATCGTTGTAGAGCATGTCAAACACAATAGCAAGATATGAATTGATATTTTTTCTCGTTAACTAGGGGAGCTGAGTTATAGAAGCTTCAGTTGAAAATATTTGAAAATTTTTAATAATGAGGTGAACCTGGATAGATTTTAGGTAAACTAGAAGTCATTGCTAGGGCCCAATGTGGTCAGAAAGACTCAGGAATGACTCGATCTTGCAGTGGAAGCGAATTGATTACAATTTTTACATGTTTTCGTGCCTAAATCAACTGAATCTCATACAAAAAGCGATCGCCTTACTCTCTCCCTCTCGTTACTTATATTACAGGACGAGTATGTTTTTAAAAAGTTCCACCCACTTAGACGGGGGTATCACGAGTTTGCGCTCGTACGCTCCTTGCAATAGATATTTGATGCAACTCACGTCCTTCACATCATCACAATGTAGATTCCAAGATATTTAAGGAGTGTAAAACCACTGAGTTTACGAGGGTTTTACAGGCTTGTGTTCGCAGATTCGGCAGTAAAAGAAAGTACAAAATTCAATAAGCGTGTTCTGATTTCTTGGCTCGACGGTTCCTATAGTTTCATCTAATTCAACAACGACTAAACGGGTCACTTCGGCAAAACTGGTATGCTTCAAACTTCTTGAAATAACAACGGCTATACGAACATCTGAAATCACGTCTAAACCTTAGCGACTAAATTAAACGACTGAATTACTCACAAAAGCCAACAAATATTATACTCAACAGCAATTAAGATAATTAGGACAGTTATACAAAACAGAACAAAGGAGCTGATCACAAGACAGGCTGTTACATGGAAATTGGCCAAGGTGCTAACAAAAGTCAAGCACGCAAATGAAATTCAAACAGCAAACAAGCAAAAGTTTCCTTAACGAAATTCTGTCCTTTTACAGGAGCCCCTTTGGGTTGGGGTCCTTAGTTATCAAACTCTAAGATGCCCTTTACAGCGTTATGCCAATCAACCGTGCTAATCAACCGTGCAACTAATCCAAAAGAGGCATGTAAAACGTTTATTTAGTTGACTCATGTAAGGATTGTAAGGAGGCTGCCGGAAGGGATGGTTTTTAAACTCAACAAAAGTTACCAAGTTACGAAAATATCATTTGTCATATAATACACGCGAACTCTTCCAGTCATTGGCTCAAGATACCTGTGACCGAAAACACGGTATTTTTATAACATAATACATTGTGGCAAAGATTGTGTGATTCTTAGAAGAAAATGCATTTTACTTTATTTTACCCCTATTTCATCTTATGATTTAGGACTATTTTACACGGAGGATTGTGGACAATATTGAACAGAATTAAGATACTTGGCGAGACAGGCCTAATAGATGCAGATGTACATTTTTGAACGAATTTCTTATTGAAAGTTTAGGCTAACGAAAAGCTTTTTTGCATCAGTGCTAATAAAGAGTCGTAATATGGATTGCGAAAATGCTGAATTGTTTTTGGCCTGGCACGAGATTTTTTACGGAAGAACATTTGAAGTCGCGTCAAAGCCAATCTTACTGAATGAGCTGGTTAAATGTATCTAAACAACTGTCTACATTGGGTCGAGAAAGGGCTTCCACAAAGTTTATAACACCGAGGTTATGTGGTGGCAAGGAGGTGTTGTAGTGGGTATCCATCTGGGACCTGGTCATAATGCAATTCAATCTCAGCTTTGCATTAAAACACTATAGGCCTAACCCACACATGGTGGAAGGAGGAGAAAGGAAAAATACAAAAATACAATGTTTAAGAAGCCAATCCGGATAAAAACAAGCAATCGAATGAAAGGATCTGAAAGGTAACTTTTGCTGATTTACTGGTTTTCTCCTTCCTCGATTTTAGATCAGATTTGCCAAATATCTAAGCAAAATGTAGGTACAGCAATCGTATTTAGGAAATATATACAAACTATGATATCACGACCACAGACAGGACCCTTACGGTTACTACAGCTTATGTATCTAATATATAGCATCTTGTATATGTAAGAATAAGTTTCATCTTAGGCATGCACTCGCCTTTCTTTAGCGTAATGGGTGACGTAACTGCACCATTTTACACACACTAAAAGTTCAACACTGACTGTTGTGTATAGCATTTAGTTGGTTTCACATTCTGTTTAGATTCGATCGTTAGTGAATAGTGGCAATTTCTGAGATTCTGTTGCTTTTGGATAATGCCAAACTAAAATAGTCCAACATTTTCGTATTTGGATTTCAAACCCCTAAGTTTCATTGAAGTGGCCCTTGGATGAAACACCTACTAAAAAACATCAGAAAGCAATGCAATCTCGCTATCCGTCCTAGAAACCCCATCACTTATCTCTCAGTTTTCATGGTTGTTTTCATCATTTAATGCATAGCTATTGAAAACGAATTTGCAGCAGCACATAGATTCGAAAATATCATCAAATAATTTAGTCTGGTGGATTTTATGTACTAGAAATGCAAAGGAATGTAGACTTCTGAGAAAGTGGATTGTTCTAGTGTAACTGCTACCCAAAATATCACTCTGGAGTAAAAGCCACTCCGCTCTGCTCTGCTCCGACAGCAATCTGGTATACAGGCCTTGCTAAAGTCCATGAGCAGCACTCGCAGGCAAACCATGCCGATCATATTATGTCTGCAGGCACAGCTGAAAAAGTGGTATTAAGATACTCTGAAAAAAATGAATGAGGCCATCACAACAGGGATCTGAAGCCCAGAAGCACATACCATGGCATTAGTAAACCAAGTCAAACCTTAAAGATAATGAAATGCGACAAGTCAAAGAGAAGGAGGAATGAATCTGACTTATGAACACGAAGACAACGTAAATTTCGAAAGCCATGCAGTTTTTGACAAATTTGTGATTTATCACACAATGTGTACCGTGAAGACAACAAGAGAATTTTGAAGGCCTTAAGTCAATTTTTAATCAGCAAGAACAAGATGTTCAAATATCTTGTTGTGATTATTTATTCTGGTTGCATTGCTGCGGCAAGCTATCAGTTGAATCGGTGAATCGGGAATCATTGAGTAAAGTCTTCTGTGTGCAGGCCATGCTGGGAATGGCGTGCGATCGCACGCCCACGCCTTGGCACACGCCTTCCGCTGCTCAGAAGTGCAGTTTATCGCACGCCTTAAATAATCTGCAAATAACACTTTATTCTAAAGTGACCAATATGGCCCAATGTAATTTTTTTATCATAATTCAACTATGAGAGGCGTGAACTGCGAAAGGACCCCCAAAAAACATTATCTCTCGGTTTAACAAACTCCCAATATACGAACTATTTTCTGGTTCCCTTCAGAGTTCGTTATATCGGGATTCCACTGTAGTTACAACCCCATGGCACATGTAAGGCTTTGTTTATTTAAACAGGCTTATTGATCTTTAAGCTTTAAATGATTTGACCCAGATTACACTGTGGTTTACGAGTGTATCTTGCAAGTGCGATGAGTAAAATCCCGTTTTCTCAGGACTCACAATACCTCTATATACAGTTTACTTTATGTGCATTTTTCTAATCTGTATGCAAATACAAAACTCTTTAGAAACTTTTACTAATAAAATGTGGCCAAAAATGTTCCAAAATTAAGAGACTTTGAATTGTGAAGATTTAGCTGTAGCTTTCTTACAAAATATAAACGTGCAATTAACCATTTAATTCGTTCTAACACTAGTCAACAGATAAGTTTTCTTTATGGTGAAAACACAGTTAGAATTCTTAAATTTTGAGAACGAGATTGTCAGGAGAAGCAGACCAGAAGGGTTTATAAACTGCAGGATTACATAATAATTAACCTACCTTATTGCTAATGTTTTTCTCTTTAATATGTTGGGTTTGACGTTAATAAAGCTTGTTTGATAAAATGTATTGATTGGACTAGCCTTGCTTATGTTTTCTTATGATAAAGTTATGTAGTCTAGTCCATATACAGCTGACTGTATTATTAAGTACTTTGGTGCAATAGCACACCATTGCACGCTTTGGCACCACAAGGAGTGCGATTCATTGCACCCCTGCCATTTTATTCCCAGCATGGCCTGGTGTGCAAAAATTCAGGACAAACTACAAATCTGGATTGAGCACGTGCAAGAGATGGAAATTGTGATTGCTGTTAATCCAAATGTTAAAAAAGCTGAAAGTATCATTTATTAATAGTATCAAACAATATCAAGCAATAAAACCGATTGCCATTTTGTTCATTGCTCGAATAAAATTAAGGACTCAAACGCTTCAAATATTTTGGAACGAATGAAAAAATAATGGCCATATTTCCTTATTTGAACTCTATAGCGCTAGTTATGTTGATAAAACCATCATCATTTTAAAGTAATTTTCTGTTAAACTTGTTCTCTGAAAATTGACTGGTCTTTGAAATAGAAGTGACTCATGGAAATGAAATGAAACAGAATGTCATATTGCTGTCATTGTTCCCGGAGCAGACAAACTACTGGCTTTTCCAAATAAAATTCTAGACAGAAATCAGTTTGCCTACAGACCTATTTTTTTACATTTGTGTACAATGCATTATTAAACCTTACTTTATGTCTCTTATTTTAAACAATTTTATATCCGACGCATTGCATATGAAAAAAATCTTGCAGGCAACTTTCGAAAACAGTTTGTGCTCTCAGGCACAAATATTTTTAAGGAGGACTGCCGGTATAGTGTTACTCTAGCCTAAAGCATTTGATAATTCAGGGCCCATGTGACCGGGGGCTGGAGGGGCCATGGCTGCCCCACTTTTTATGCAAAGCAAGTGGTTTTGAAGCTTGGCCCCCTACTCTTGCTAGCCTTTTAAAGCTTGGCCCCCCACTTTCAAATTCGTGGCATAGGCCCTTTGATATAATGCTTGTAATTACAATTTTTACTCAGTATTCAAATGTAAGATTTTCTTTTTTCTTTAAGGAAAAGACTAAAACAAAGAATATTGCAGCAATTTACACAACTGACAGAGGACAAACTAAATGAAATTTTGCCTAGCAAAGAAGATGTCTTTGTTACAAAAATTGAGAATGGAAATGGAATTTTCATAACAAGTTTCTTCATTGACAGAAATCCCATGTTTTTTGAAATTGATAAAGAAAACCAGCTTTTTCCATCAGGTAACCATTAAGCTCTGCATATTTTTTAAATTTCTTCTCATTTCATTACATGTTAGCTTTCTTACAGTCCATTTATCTTATCACCATTTTAGAATTTTATATTCATTTTAAGCCTCTTGTGGCTTTTTGAAATTACTTAGTCACTTGCTACAAAAAAATAATATTGTTTATAAAACAAAAATGGTTTCTTGATATATAGAATAATATTAAATAAATGAAGTGAATAAAGCTTGAAAGTTGCTCTTTAAACACACAAAGAATGTCAAAATGACTGAGACATCTGTTTTTTCAGTATATGCACTTTGGCAGCATGTGGATTTGATTCCCTACATGGTGACTGCTCCTCCTGTTTTTGAAAAGATATCCAGAGGTGCAGGTAAATCAATGCTGACTATTTTTGCTTTATTCCATGAACTAATTTGGGAAAAATTATATAAGGATAGATAGTTGGCATATCAATCCTCTGGTAAAATCTGTCATTTGGTCATCTCTAGGCAAAGCATCAACCTATCCCCAAATTATTGTAATATATAACGCATTTTCAAAACTGGCAGGCAGCTACCTTAGCACTGCAATTGCAAAAAATGTAATAATTCTGTTATGGAAATTTATTGGGAAACTAGTTCGTATCCAGATCAGAACCAGTTTGAATCTAGATCTAAACTAGTTTGAATCCAGACCAAGACCATTTTGAAACCAGGCAAAAGCCTGTTTGAATCCGAATCAAAACCTGTTTGATACCAGATCAAAGCCAGTTTGAATTCAGACCAAAACCTGTTTGAATCCAGATTAAACACAGTTTGAAAGCAGATAAAAATTGTTTCTATCTATCCAGACCAAAACAGGTTTGCCCTTTACTCTCCACTCTTAACCAATTGTTAGCCCAAAGTCTATGAATGGTATTCTGTAGAAAACTGTGGCACTTTGCAACATGACCTAGACTCCACTAAGCTCTTTGTCTTATAGATTTGATGCTTCCTGGGGTAATAAAGCCATATGGAGGATTTGACCATATTGAAAAAGGACAGATAGTCGCCATCAGAATCGCTGGTAACAGGTATGGATTTGATTTTTTTGGTTTTTTTTATAATCAATTAATGTAAAATAGAGGCCTGCAAAGGAGTTTGTTTTCTTTTTGACCAAGCTTGTTTCTTTTTGACCAGGGTATTTGAATCCATTTGAATTTGTTCTTTGTTTATAAGCTTTGTTTCAAATTTGATGAGATCATTAATGCTTAATATCAGACTACCAAATAAATAATGAATGAAAAATTACTGAAACATTATCTCCTTAATATGCAAAGTTAAGCCATTATTCTAAGCAATTCTTGTTGGTACCACACAACCTTGGATTTCAGGAGACTTTTACCCCTCCCCCTCCCCTGTCCCATTTTTGTAAAGCAAGCTTTTAGCAAAGTCGTTTGCTATGAGTCTTTTAATTGCCCCTGCCTCCTCACCTTCCAACTTTGACCTGGGAGTTTTTCCCCGGGAGTGAGATACTAATGACCAGCTTGCACTATCCCACTCCTCATTTCTTTAAAAGTGCCCCAGTTGCATGTGGCAAAGCAACCATGTCATCCAAAGAAATGCAGGAATCAGGAATGCGAGGGAAAGGAGTTCAGATCTATCATTGGTACACAGATAATCTATGGTAAATTAACTCTTCTTTTGAGAAAGTTACATTTCTAGTTTGAAGTAGGACCTGTAAGTTTTTAGAGGATTTTCAAATTTTTCCATCTCTTTCTTGGTAGTTATAATCATCTATAAATTGTACTGCTATAATTCTCTGAAAATCTCTTATATTGGAAATCCCTTTGTGGTCTCTTCTTTAGCAGGCTAGATCATAGTTGATATTCAGCTATGGAACATTCTTTACACCTTGTATTCAAACCCATTTGCATTTGCATCTGAGAATTTACACAGGTGGTGCCTAGCTCTGTTGTGACTGCATTCTTGACCTTGGCAGTTGTCTCATGTACCCCTTCTCTTTTCTAGCTGCATCTCAGCTTTTGCACTGCATCTATTTTTGCTGTAGCTATTGTCAAATTCATTTGTACACTTGCTTGATCTCTTTTAAAGCTAATTTTGCTCTGTTTCCCAGTTACATCCAACTTTTTTGAAGTTGTTCCCAGCTGTTTTATGGCTGTGTGTAGGCTCTGTTGCCATTGATTTCTGATGCACTGATTACTGTCTTGTCTGCTTTTTTCTGCTTTTTTCTGCTTTTTTCTGCTTTTTTCTGCTTTTTTCTGCTTTTTTCTGCTTTTTTCTGCTTTTTTCTGCTTTTTTCTGCTTTTTTCTGCTTTTTTCTGCTTTTTTCTGCTTTTTTCTGCTTTTTCTGCTTTGTTCTGCTTTACCTGCAAAAGTTTCTTTTTACGCAGCATCAGTTTTTATTTGTGAGTATGATACTAAAAGTTGCTTCCTTATTTCATATGATTTTTCTTTGATACCTAACAGAATTTGATAACTTTTGACCATTGACTATTTCCACCTTCATCCTTATTCAAGGTCATCAGGTGATTCCTCTGATATTCCCAGTTTACCGGACAGTCCACTTGATGTCTCATTCGCAGGTATTCTTTTTCCATTGAAATTTTATTCTATTTTTTCAGATGATTGTTTTTCATGATAAGAATTTTTATTGGTATTCCTTGATATGCTGTAAAATACTAGATATCAGAGATAAGCAATGCAAGGTACCTTCAACTAAGTATAGGGACATTGTGGGTGAGGGCCAGAGCAGCAAATGTGCACCACCTTGTCAGACATTATTTAGTTTCGTCCAGGACAGGATGTGCGATTAATTTCATTTTTGTGTGTTTTAACGCATTTTGTCACACAAAATTCTTCTGATGAAAAATCACTGTGCTCTTTTCAAAAACTTTTGGGAAACCCCGTTTTCAGGAATTACAGTTGAGCCTTGTTCTTGCAAAACTGTGAAATATGAAAACCTTTTTATTTAATGGGGTAAAAAAGTTATATGTTTTCCGATCAAAATGGCTACAGAGTTGCAAAGTATTCATTATATAGCATAGAATATTCATCAGGTCGTTTTCACATGCGTTGAGAAGAAATTTTCTTCTTGTCAAAATTCCTTGCAATTTTTTAACTTTTATTCTTGTAAATAAAATCTCTCATCATGTAAAATACAGGTCTTGGATTGATAATACTTCACAAATTAAACTGTTTAATTTGTATATATTAATATTTTATGTTATTTTAATGATTACTTTGTTTTACGTTAGAATCTCTGGAAAGAGAGTTGGAAACGCTCAATCTGAACCACCAGTTACCGCCCACCAGCACAGCAGTTTCTCCAGAGGAATCTGATGTTGCTGGAGAAGATTGTGAGGTTTTACATGAAGAACCACCTCAAACTCCTGGGATAGACGATAATGATGAAGATTTGGAAATATCAAATGGCAGCGAAAAAGTGGAAGATTTGGAAGATGATGAGCCAAAGTTAACACCTGAAGGTATTAAGTTAGATTGCATTTCAAACTGCCACCTCTTTTCTTTATTGTTTGTGTTGTTTTGCTAATTTAAAGTCTAAAAAAGTTTTCATTCTGGTTTTCTAAATCTCAACTTACACGCATCTTGATATGTTTCATTATTACAGAAATTGCTGATATTATTTTCTGCTAGACAGAATCTCAAGGCAAATCTTGCTGTTTGAAACTATGCTGTAGCAAGGAACATGAAAGTGTTGCCAATTATTTAACAAATATTAAAACATTGAATATATCAAGGGTTATTTAAATTTGAATTTTTAAAATTTTTCATTCACTATTTTTCAACAGCAAGCAAAATCTTTGTAGGACAGTTTATGGTATGATTATTTTGTATGGAAACGACTTTTTAATGTAGTCAGTTTCTTGCAGAACAGACGGAACAGTTGCTAGAGAACTGTTTTTATCAAGCAATGATTGACGCTAAGAAAATCGAGTTGCCTATTCTAGTGACAACGTTCTCAGCACAGTTTCTTCATCCTGCTTGGTGAGTGTTTGTCCTTTCATTCTTTTGGTCATGTGTTAGGAGGAGCCTGAGACGGACATTTTAAGACCTGATTCTTCGGTTTTACGTGAAAGTTGCAGTGGCGGATTTAAGGGGGGGGCAACTAGGGGCAGTTGCCCCTCCCTCGACGAGTTGAAGCAAATCTGGCGCCCCTTTTTTAGAAATTGTGTGCCCCTTTTGAAGAATGAGAATCAGGTGAAAAAGTTTCTGAGACCGATAGGTTAATTTGCTTCAAGGGTTACCTCAAAGTTATGTTATTTAATCTGAAAAGGTATCTGAAATTGTTGTATACAGCGTACTCTCGTAACCAATTTTTGAAAAATTTTCAGCGCCCCCACTACCAACTGCCCCTCCTTCAAATGTGCTCTGGATCTGCCCCTGGAAAGTTGGAAGTATTTTTTATAAGAAGGGCTTTATTTTTTGTGTTTTTATTCTTCTTGGTTGATACTGAGAACGTTAATGAGAAGTTCGTGTTTCGTATATCGCTTAGATAAATTTGTTTTTAAAATTCATTTTTTGAAAAGCAAAAAATTTTAAACATATTTAAGCTTTTCGTCTGACACACGTCATTGATAAAGTGTCATGATAGTAATCGAAAAGTCTAAGCTAGGAATTATACATACCCAGTTGTGAATCGAAATAGGCCAATCAGAGGCGCAAGCACATGACGGTAAAGACTGCCTAATCAATGCTGCTTGCCTATTTAGAATGTTACCAATGATGTCGAGAAGGTGCTGTAAAAAGCTTGTTTTTTAGGGTTAAGTGAAAGAATGTTGACACACAAATTTGTCGTTGACCGTTCTTAATAGAAATAAAATATTTTTGTAACTCTTCACAATTTTATTATCATCCATTTTTCATACATCATTCATTTGATTAGTTATTCATTCATAGCCCTGAGGGACAAAAAATCGACATGAAAAAGACAAGGTATAAAAAGGTAAAAATGGAAATATAAAACTACTTTCATTGCAAGAATCCTCAAGGTTATGTTCCTATGTAACAGGTTCACAAACCTGGCTGTCCATACAACATAAAGCCCAGTGGAATTATCTTACTCTCAACCGAAAAGCTGTGATTCTCAAACCTCAAGAACTTCGGTTCGAATCCTCGCTTGTAAAAACTCTTACTTTGGACAGACTCTTACGGAGGCTTGTTCCGTAATCCCAAAAATTGTAAAAGGACATTCAGAGAGCCTTCGCCGGATTGTTTATGGTCTATTTTTATGGGACGGCAGTTGGTAGATTAATCTTTTGTTTTATTAAAGAGACAGTAGGCTATTTTCTATAACAAAGAGATGTCACCAAAGATGAAGGGGCCATGAAACTACGCCCCCCCCCCACTTCCCTTATCTGTGCTATTTTAAAGGGCGATGCCTTGTGAGCTTGCTCTCTCTATGACATACTTTTGGTCGATAGGAACAAACATGACCGCATTGATACCTAATGTTTCGATAAAATTTTCGACGTAGAACAACCACAAGCCTCATCCCTAGCATGTATACTTAGCGTAAAAAATTGTCCGCTACTCGAGATTTCTGCCGTAGCTGACAGTTGAATTCAAAGCTATTTTTTCTGACCGATGTAGCTGAGGTATCATGAATTATGTTTTATGCGTACGTTTTGGGGAAACTTTTTGAGTATTTTATTTTGTACCTGACCAATTTTGCAACGGAAATACCACATATACAGCAGTTTCCTGAACTTTTAGATGGGGAAATTTCTGCAAGAAATGGAGAGCAGAGGTCTTGTCAAAGTTGGAGAGTTGAGCAAAGGTGTCCTCAGTATAACGGCGATGACCTTTGAAAATGAATGGTTTGTTCAAATCCAAGTAAAATATTTATCGAGTTTAGCATAAGAGCCCGATTGGCATACTTTTAAGAATTTTCTAATTTTTATGAACTGCTAAGCAGTTTAAATACAGGCAATAAAAATTTCATGCAAGAACAAGCGTTCTACTGATAAATTCCTTGTTTCGGCCCTTCCGAATGTATTCGAGACATTGTTTTTCTATTATTGGGTTTACATTTAGATTTTTAATTTTTTAACCTTGTGGTTATACACAGTGTTTCATCTGCTTTGTCAATGTTAGCAATTAGCATTTTATTCTTGATATCTTTTTAGAAATTTTCATTTTGTTTATGGCAAATCGAAGATTTGTCCTTTTGAAACTATTGTAGGACTAGATTTATATTTGATGATTGTCCTTAACTGCAATAAAAGAAAATTTAAACGAACGATCGTAACCCAAGCAAAGAATAGAACCTGCTCCTCCAAAGCATACTGCACAGGCTGAGAATCTGTAATTAAAAAGTGCAAAGGAACAGGGACTTTCTTTAAACCATTACCTTATTTTGAATTCCAAGGGCTGCAGAAAACTGATATAGGACTACTTGCCGTTTCAGTTTTTCAAAGCATTGTTGACCTAAAAGTGAACGCTAGCAACTCTCAATTATCAAGGCAATGATGCATAAGGGCCTGCGTGTTGGCGGGCCAAAGGTTTACACGTTTAAATTCAAGCGGTTTTTGTAAGCACCAACTCGTACAAATTACCCTTAACGTCTTTTAATCACCACAGTCACCTATATTTCAAGTTTCTCGCCTTATAGTAATAGGCCATACCAAGCTTTTTTCCATAAACTAGGAATCATTTTTACAAGTCTTATTCTAGTTTTTTTCCTCTTTAGTCTCCGGAACTTCAAAGCCTCAAGTTTTGCTAAGGACAAATCAGTGGCCAAAGCAGAGGCTCTTGCAAAAAAGGAAGAGGAGAGTTCTAAAGAGGTTGGTTGTTAGAAAAGGTCCTTGTACTTAAGTTGGTCTTCGTAGGCCTAGCCTTTATTATATTCCTGAACTCACTGTTTTTGGATAATTTTCTTGTTTTGTTTTTGCTTTAGTTTTCAGAATAGCGTCTATGGCATCCTTTTCTTTTTCAGGGAATGGCAATAATCGAGTTATTTGGGGTTTCTGGAAAGACACAATCTTTTTTTAAAGAATTCGGCAGAAGGTAATTTGTAACACTTCCATTTTCAGAACTGTTTGAAAATAACTGTCTTATCGAACTTTGTCATCAAGATAAGATTGTTTAAACCCTATATCTAAAATGATTTTAGCGAATTGAAATTATCAAAAATCTTTTCCTATACTTAATAGGATCATTAAACTTTAGAGACGATTACTTACCATGATGGTTATAAAGCTATTATAAGGATTGGCGTTTGATTTGTTTGAGACAATGGGTGCACAAGTCCCACAAGCATCCCTTTTAAGCGATTTTTAATGCTTTGCTAAATATCATCTGTTTCAGCAAAGGTGATGCTCTCACTGCTCCAGAAGTTCGTGATTTGCTCAAAATTTACGTCAAAGACAACGAACTTGTCAACCAAAGTAGCCAAAGGTGAGTAATAGTTTTTCGTTCGTTCATTTTTCTTATCAGTCATTTTCCTTATCAGACAATTTTATCATTGAGAAAAGTCATTCTTCCCCTCTCACATTTCTTTCGTTTCGCGTCTGAATATAACTTTGTGCTCAACTTTTGTCATTATCCAACGTTAATACTCTAAGGAAATGTCAGACGACAAATTCTTTAGTATGTTTCCGTTTTTGTGGTATCTTTAAGTTTTGAAAATGTTTGATTATCTAGTTTTCTATATCTTTTATAAAAATGTCCTAAATACCCATTGTTATGCTTCATTTATGCTTTTGCTCCACCCAATAAAGCCGAAAATTCAAGAATTTAGAAGCTTTTTAGACAATAAAATTTTAAGAATCACCTGGGCTAAAACCTTGGCACATTTATAATAAGTTCTGCATGTATGTTGTCTTTTCTGCGTGTACTGAAAAATGTGTTTGTCTCATTTTATTTATACTATGCTCTGCTGTTTTTTTCCTGCAAAATGTTAATCATATGCTTACATAAAGCTTTAACGTAATTTGTATGTTTTATAAGCGTTTTGAAAAGACCGCATATCTAAGATGACAAAAAATGGATACCATTTAAAAAATTTTAATCAATGATCATTTCAAGAAATCTAGTTGGAAACAGTATAGAGGATTTTGCCAGATTATCGTGATAGCTAGCTGAAATAAGTTTTAATCTGATCTTATCTAATGTAATCTAATCTAATCTAATCTAAGATAACCTTTCCTAATCTAATCTAATTATACTCTTATTTAATCTATCGAAATCAAACATTGCACTGCTCTTCCCAGGAAGGTTAATCTTGACCCGATGCTGTCAGATATTCTTCTTGACAAAAATTTTTACGAGGAGTCAGTCACTTGGGATGTTCTCATGTCAAGGTTTGCCATATTTGATTCGTAGCCATATTTGCAAGTAATTATCCTTTAAATGCTTTTATTCGCAACATACCTTATCAAGCAAAAAATCCAGGGAAAAGTGACTAAATTATTCGCAAGTGACTAAATTTTTACCGATCTTGACTAAAATTCTAAATTTTTATCGAGCTTTCCTTAAAACGGCTATTTCTTTCCCTAATTCTCTTCATGCCCTTTTCTACCCTAAAGACTAAATCATTGCACATTTAGGTGTTATTGGTCAGACTAAAAAGAAAAATAGTTATCCTGATAAGTGGAATTAAGTTTTCATCCCCTGCTTGAATTTTTAACCGAAGGAAAGCGACTAAATCGAAAATTTAGTCGAGGAATGATAACTATATTGTACTTTGTGATACTTTTTCCCGAACTTTTTTCCCTGTTTTATTTTTCCCCGATAAGGTAATAAATTTTTGTTCAAAAATTTCTATATTTGTAATCTCTTCATGCTTTATTGTATATGTATGGTGTGTTGCAAAACCAGGTAACCTTTTCTTAACTTTTGCTGAAAATGATAAATTAAAGAAACAATTGATTTTTTGGATATTAAATTGCATCTAAGAAGAACTTTTTTGTGCTTTACAAGCAGGAATATTATCTCTCCTCGTGGAATTATTTTATTGATAGCAGTATTCACGTCATTTGATTAATCCTGTCATCAAACATGTTTGTAGATAAATCTCCTCCATTTTTTTAATTAAATTATATTTTTCAGATTTTTAGAGAAGATGAATCCTTGCCACAAAATTATTATCAATGGAAAGCCGTCAAAAATTAAGTAAGTTTTGCTATATAGAAATTAAATTTACTTATTGGGCTTTTAATTGCTATGATTTTAAAAGATTGAGTTAAGTACAAATTGGTGTAGAAAGTTTATTCTAGTTGTGTTTTCGGTTTTGTAGCGTTTTTGAAGAAATTTTTACAAATGTATAAAGAGCTGTAAATTTATGAGTGTCAAACGGAAGTCTAAACATTAAATATGAAACAAAACAACCATGAGGAATTAATGAAATTGTTTTAGAATTACGCTTTTGTGTATAGAACAGAACGGTCCTAAGTTGCAACTCCGAAAATCACGCTTAATGCGATACTTAAGCAATTCTTGTACAGCCCCGCCTATACGGCATTGAGCACTATATGGCAGGGCCAAGAATGGACGTGCTCTTCTTGTTTGTCATAATTTTTGTGTTCAGGGGATCTAGTGAACTATAACAGCTTCCAACCGTTTTAACCGTTTTTAACAGTGAAGGTATTGAATAGAAAATGACGTAGAAATTGATGTGTACTGACCGTGCAGTACGGGGTACTGAGTCCAAACATAACGGATGCCATCTCAAGGAATACATAAGGTATAGGTATTCTTGAAATTTATTCGAAGCATATGATTTTGAACAAAATGTTTGCAGGGTTTTAGCCATTGATCTATAAAAAAGACTGGATCGACCTTCTATTGTGATCAGAATGTCATCACCCAAGAAGCGGGCCCTAGAACAGCCCATGTGAGGGAAGGGCCTACACTGTCCCTCCTAGCAATGTTTTCAACTGCTCTAGCCCAGTTCTTTTTCAGCACTCGTACCCACACATGTTTGAGAAATGACTTCCCACTTTTGTTTTGGGTCCTCTCCTTTTGAAAAGAGCGGGCTTCAAACTTTAGTGTTCGATCCATCCTTGTTTATAGATCAATGGTTGAAGCCGTAGAAGTCTGATGCCTTGCGCTTTTGTAGAAAGGAAGAGTTAGTAAATATGAATTGAGGGCGTCTTAAATGCCATTGCCCGATATATAAAGATATAACAATAACATAATGAAAACTATCCTTTGTGGCATTAAAGGTATTTAGCTCGAGATATTATCGGATATTAGATATTTTGCCGGCTAGCATACCTTGCCTTTTTACAAGTAGAATCAGCTACACTGATAAAGCCTTGTATGCCAGGGTGCAATATTATTTTAACGACTATTCCACTTCGAAATTCGATTTACAACGTATTGGATTCTGAAGGTCGTTTTGCTTTGTTCCTGTCTATTTCCTTTTATCCAAACTCGTTGCAAGGTTCACAGAATCCGGCGGGCAGCCTTTCCGGGGTATCTTCTTTTTTGCGTTGCAATTTGAAACGTGTAGCCTGTTGATTGAAAAAGTCTGTGCTCGGAAACCAGGAATTTTGAATAAAGAAAGAATCTGCTCAATTTCTTGAGAGTGTGTTCTCGTTTGGAATTTGTTTCTGGTAAATGTTTCTGGTCTTGAGAGTGAGGCACTCTTTGCTTGACATCTCCAGAAAATCTGCGTTGCCACAGTGAAAGAAAAAATGATTTGTATCGACTTGATTTGTTTTTAGTCAAGATAGAAAAAACAACGCTTGTAGTAGTCTTATACTGAATGCAACGACGGTTGGTAACCTCCATTGTTTACCGGTGAAGATTGAAGTAAAATGTTAGGCCATATGTTGATGTTAAATGTTAGGCCTATGTTTGGAAAATTCTTTACAGCTAAACTCGGATTTACGGCTAATAATTACGACCGTCAGTTCATTGATCTTTAGTTCAACTTAGGCTATGCTTTTCCAAGATCATCAATTAAAACACTGCCTAATTTTAGCTGTTCAAATTTCCATTGTTGGTTGGAAAAGAAGACAATGTTTGTGATTCATTTGGTCATATTAAGGTCATATCTTACGTTGCATGAAACATTCAACTTAGGATCATATCATAGGGAGTTCTGTAATTTGTCTGCAATGAATTATCAAAAATCTAAATCATGTTTGTTACAGTTTTCAGAAATATCTTTACGAAGATTATCTTAAGCACCATTTGCTACCAACTCAATTTTATCCTTTTTTCCTCTCAATATCCTTTTCCTCCTGTCTATATGTTTTCTGAATTCAGCTCAATTTCCTTGCTTTAAAGCCGATTCTATGTATGAGTAGTTCCCGGCAAGGCAGTTTGGTTTGGTTACGAACTGACCTCACCAATCTATTTTTTTCGAAGCAAAGTTTATCCTGGGATTGTTGAATGCACAAATTGTTATTTGTCTAAACTCACATCTTCATTACGAAAATGACCAAGAACTTATTTTGCAAAGACCACCTTTCTGTTCAATCAGGTACTACTAGGAACGTTTTGACGAAGTCACAACCGAAAGCCTCTAAATCTCTAAAGAATTCTGATTGCTTTTTTTAAAGACATGACAACATTTACGTTTCAGCTTTGATGGACAATTAATATGTCAGTAGCCATGTTCGAGTAAAGTTTTTGAAATTCTTATCGTTCTTTACCAGACTTTCGTTTAATTATAGGAAAGGAAAAGCAGAGCCTATTGAAGTTAAGATAGAGCAGAGAATGGGAAACAAAAAGGTTTGTGGATAATTTAATGTCATTTTTGTTGGTAAAAAACTTTAATTGACAGTCTTGGCATTCTCAAGTTGGCATAAAGCCCCAAAAGAATGTCTGGAGACGCTTGCGCCCTTTATTTAAACCTTTTGGCATAGGAAATAAATTGCAATAAGCTTATTTTCATCTCTTTAGAGAATATTAAACTAAAGTTCCCATCGACCCAGGGGAAATAAACACTTGCCAACACTCTTTAACCTTTTCCCCGTCTAAATACCAAGAGAAAAAATACCACATTTGTTCTATTGAAATCGGAAGCTTTGATTACCTAGCCTCGTATCTATTCATAGCCTGTAAACAATCTGCACGGTCGGAAAACGAGCGCATAACTTGAAACCACCTTGGGTAAACATTGTTTTGGGGTCTTAATCAGCTTATTTGTTGTTATCATTCGCCTAACGAACTTTTCTATTGGTAAGGCTTTCCCAGTAAGGCGAGAGTGGCGTGATCATGGTTCTGTTTTGATGGCACGATTTTTCTGTAATTGCCTCAAGGAAATGGTGCGATGAGAAAAGTATCTATAATTTGTTTATGCTGCCTTCGTAAGGTGCCATTGTTGCAGCAAGAAAGCAACTCGTACGATCGCCTGCAAGAAGTTTCAAGCTGAGGCCAATAGCCTCTTAAATTTGAAGACCAGGACTTGGGCCTCAGTTTAGGGTTTCTTTCAAATGTAATTCTTTCTCGATTTAGAAGAAAGGACCCTCTCTCTAAAACTATTTGTTGATTTAGAATGAAACTTTGGCAAGGTATACCTGAAAATCAAAAAACAGTACTAGATGTGCTCAAGATATTTTAATACTCTGATGTTTCTCAAGAGAGATTTTAGCATCTTTATTCTATTTTCATAGCATCAATGTCAAAGTTCTAGTCTTTTTAACCTTCCGCTTCTACCTTCTCATCTTTTCAATTTTTCTAACTACAAAATACCGGTCAAGTATTGTTTAGAAATATTTTCATGTCCTCATGTTTTGGAAGAAAGATTCTGAAAAATGAGTTGTTTTCTTCTTTCTACATTACAGCTAATTTTGGATAACTTTGTTCTACTTTAGGCAAGGAAAAAATGTTTGTTGGTTATTTTGGCTCATTTTTTCATTCTTTGATATTTTAGGTAACTTTAGTGAAGAATCTCGAGCAGTTTGGTATCGACCCAAATGAGTTTGCTCATCAACTACAGGTGGCAGCGGCTTCAAGTACAACGGGTAAATATTACGGTTGTTTTAGGCACTTGTTCGACGCCATCTTTGTTTGATTGGAATCATTTGTCTGATAAAATGGGCCTAGCCATTTGCCTATGAACATTGTTACTGCTTTGAATGTATAGAGGACATGAAGAATTTTAAGGATCTTTTTTCTGTTAGATAAGATACTTGATTATTCTCGGGCATTGCTCCCATTTAGACTAGCCTTTTGTTTTTGAATGGTGTGCTTGTTTTCAATTATACTTTTATCGAACACCTAATGTCCTAGGAAAAATGACATGAATGCAAGGTAAAGTTAATAGAAAGACATTAAGCAATTGGTGTTTAGTTTTACTTTGAAAAATTTCTAGACGAACTAAATAAGTATATAAATTGGTCAAAGTGGATTGGCACTCCAAACCTGAAATTTATGGCCTCTGAAAAGGTCAATCGAGTGTTCTTTCCTGTCAATACAGTTCAGTTTATTATATTTTCTCGTTGCTGGTTTATTTATTCACGTTAAGGGAGTTTTCTGTTTTTGTGACGAGTATCTCCATTACTGAATTTTGTACATTAATAAAGACCTTGTGATGATTTTCAGAAGCAACACATACATAGCATGTAGCCTCTTTCTAATTAATGTACCTATGCTAGGTCAAGCTCGGATGCCTCTTTTTAAATTCCATCTACTAGTTAAAACCTCCACTCAGATAGTTCTTTAAAACTCCTGACACTTCAGCATGTTTAAAAGATTGCCAACCTCTTGATAAACAAAAGATGAACGCGTATATGCTTCTAATTGATCGTATACCTTATAACCAAGTTAGATTTATATTGCTCACTTTTCAGTGAATCCCTTGCCTGGTAAAACTGCTTCTAGCATGCAAGTTCTCATCCAAGGAATGCAGACGAATCATGTAGCAAAAGTCTTAGGTATTTCAATCTTTAACATTCAGCGACTAGCCATTTCCTTTCTCTTTCACAATGTATTATTCCATCGTTGCTACTATTCTTTAATTGCTTCGAGTCTTGATTTGAAAGATAAACAGGTGCTTTTTAATGACATTTTGCAGTGTAAGAAAATAAGGCAACTTTCATTTAGAAAATCTTTAGATTACGTTGTTGTTACAATTTCATCAAATAATGTTTGATGTTTATTTACAAAGAATATTTGAGGTATTAAAGAAATTGTTTTCTGATAGAACTTGTTTAACTTGGATTTACTTAATAACTTGAAATATTTTATTTCTGAAGAAGAATTTAGAGGAGAATTTTTAATACATAATTATTATGACTTTATTAGTTTTTTTGTTCTGTAATATTGCATTGTAGCACGAATTAGTCATACTATCACGCTATTAATGTTACTATTATTATCGTTCCTTACAGATCAGCTGAATGTACCCAAGAAATATATTACCGGACTTGATAAAGCTAAAGGTAAAAATAAAAAAAGGTAGCACATATTTTGCTTAATCATCGCATAGTTAAATATTTTTCGCTGCCTCGATGAATAAAGCATGATGAACGTAGCCATGTTTTATCGGACTGAAAGGCCTAAAGGTGTATAAATTAAAAAAGTGCTTATGGTCTCTTAATGTGGACCAAAATAATAACTTCTCAATGTGCAATTTGTTCTATTCCCAACGCCCCCAACGCCCCCCCCCGACTTACTACCACACGTTTTTCATCACCAGTGGGTGCTACCTGTTTCCAAGGAAAAGACTTAGGCCATCAAGGTCGCCAAACGAGATTTAGGCCAAGCTAAAATGTTCTATTAAACGATTATCAGTTACATATTGTCCAGCGTCGATATTCTTATAAAGACTTTCGGTACACTTATTTTTAAGTCTTATATTGTTTCAGGTAAATTAGCCCGCCCACGAATAGAAACCACTCTTTTTAAAAAACATGAGATACGTCAGTCATGCGGTTCTCTGTTCTGAACATCGCCATACAGGCAAACGGCTGAAAATTAAGGCACAAATATGTGAGCCGAGGCTGAGCATTATTCTAGCAATATTCTTAAAATTTGGATGATTTTAAGCCTGCATATTCTTATGAACCGTCTTCTTATGCAAAAGTGTAGACTTTTCAATTTTCATTTATCAATCAAGTAATATATATATATAAATTTGGTCCCTTAAGTAAAAACCATGCCCCCCCCCCCACCTCACCTATACTTGCCGTGTTAGTAATGTTTAAATTGGAATATCAAATGCAAGAAGGTCATAGAGCCTTATCTACAATATTTATTCTGTTTACATTCGTCCGGATGACACCACGTGTTTTAAGGCCGGCTTGTTTCCTTGTCACAACCAATCGTTCACAGGGATGAAGGAGCACAGACATTTGTTGTCTTCTATACAGATGGGCAATAGGACTGACCCTTCCCAAGGCCCTGATATTTAACCTGCTGTTTCAAACTGACTTTTAAAAAATTGTGATTGAGCATATCTGAAGATGCATTATAATCAGATATAAAAATCGTGATTTTGATTATTTGAGATAGGTTAGTCTTACATAAAGATTCGTATGCTTATCATAATCTGAAACGCGCTATCTAGAATTATAATGTGTAGAAATTGCTCCTGTTTAATGCAGTGCTGGATTGTCTCCGTGAAATGTCATTCCTTGCTCTTTAAGGACACTTGATGTTAAGCTTAGATGTTAAACTTAGATGTCTCAACCTGAAAGCCATCTACCTGCACTTTTCAGCAAAAGTATTCTGTTTTGTTCGAAAAATTGCCCGTATGGGACAAAGATTTAAATTTACACCTTTCAGATGCTTTCGTTTAGAAGTCATTTCAAATCGGGAGAATGTTCCTTTTCAGTGAAAGTTACTTTAAGATTGGGCATTGGTCCAAATTAAAGACGTTGCTGTGTTTCAAGTTTAATAAACTACATACGGTTAACTGCATAAACTACAAAATCAATTGTTTATGATTAAAGCATCTCACCAAAAACTGCTCAGGCATTAAATTGTGATTTGTTAAAAGCATTCCGAGAAGATGGTCGTCTAATTTCAACTGTAAGTTTGTAAAATTTAATGTTTGAATTTCAAACAGAATGGCTATTTGAAGTATCTCCATGTTTTTCTTACAATTGTTTCGCTTATGTGTAAATTATTTATTTCTTACTGGGGCTTTCTACCGCCGAGCCAAGTTGCTAGACCCATCAAGGCGTGGTAGTGCTAGAACCATAGACCCTGAGCCTCACTTAGAGACACAAAAGGAATCCCAAATTTGCTCAGACAGAAACTTCAGTCATGCCAGAATCTCGATACACGGGCTTCTTGTCATACCGTGCACGCATTTTACAAACGGCAGAAGTAAAAACTATTCCATACTATGCTGCTGCGCTGCTGCGATTCGCGTGTTCCACGCACGTCTTTCCAAAGAACCCAATTTTGAAATACCAATGAGAGCAATCTCCAAATAGGAATGCTTCAGGGTTGTCTTGAGTCATTGTTTGTTGTTCGTTGCGAGAATGGTTATGCAGCGCAGAAGAGGATCTGAATAACGTTTTCCAGGATAAACCAAAGAAAAGAAGGATTCGATTTCTTTTCTAAATAGAATTGTAACTACATCATATGGTAACTACATCGTGTGCTGGTTTATTGACCCTTTAACCTGGCATATTCTTATGCTATTGAAGTAAATATGATTTCTACTTTGCTTTATGTTTAAATGAAGAAATTCTCAGTGGCGGAAATTCAGGCTTTCATTTTGGGGGGAGGGGCCAGGTCTACGATTTTCGGACAAGATATCATCTTGGATCATGTTTTATTTTGACGAAACTGCACATTTTTATGAAAATGATGATGGAACCCTTTAGAAATCTTTGCTGACCACGCCATGACTAAGTAGCAAGAAGAACAGTCCATTTATGATTTTTGATTTCAAAATCGATATCTCATCTAAGACAATTGATGATACAAGAGGTAGACCAATTACACTTTTGACAAGTTGTGCGTTCATTTTATGTTTTTTATCTTGTCAGTGAGAAATACGTTTGAAAATAACTTTTGTTCAGAAGAATCCAATAGAAATTTCGGATAATCTTTACGGAATTGAAATTAAATACACAATTCACAAGCAGTTTTGATTTTGGTCATATATTGTTTGATTGATTATTTGGTAATGGCTAATATTTTATCAGCTATGATATGTTAAAATTTTGCAAAAAGGGCACAGAGAGGTTATAGAGGCCCCTGGGGTAAAAAGGGAAAATGTAGATCATCTGCAAGCGAAGAGAGCAGAAAATTTGGCAATTAAGCCCCTTAGATTAGCTTAAAATTGCTTTTCAGAACGATTTCTTGGAGTAATTTCGACACGTTAAACGGTTGTCAATTTTCCGACGAAAGCCCGAATTTTTCGACGAAATCGCTGATTGAGGGGCGAGCCCCCCCCCCCCCAAACCCCCATAATTTCCGCCACTGGAAAGTCTGGTGATCCTCCAAATGGCGTCTTTCAAAATTATTGAAGACCCTTTTTTAACCGCTGAACATGCCTTTATTAAAGTTTATTGAAAAATCTCCTACTCGGCAACCTGGCACCGGACACACCTTAAAAAACTTTTCTTGCGTAGCCCCTGTAAGTCTGGTACGTAATATGCACTAGCATTGTGAGAGAACTGGAGCAACTGAAACGCCGATTTATGTATACTTTCATTGGAATTTGGCTATATATCATTGGAGTTTGGATACAAGAAATAGGAGGAGACCAGCTTCCAGAAGTTGCATAGTAATTTGTGCTTTATACGCATTGCGTTATGTTTTTAAAATTCGATGCATTCTTTTTTCGAAATTGAAGTTCAGGCTTGCAAATGAGTAAGACATCCTTTATTTGCTAACAACTTTGAAAATCCACAGATAAAGCACAACTTGATGGCAGAAAACTCCTCGTTTTTGAGATGAAATATTGTGGAACATTGTATTGTTCAGTAGCCGAGCTCGGCCCAGCCTCAGCTTATTCCTAATTTGTTCTCAACGTTTGACCAATTTTGAGTCTCGTGTTCTTATAAAATTGTTCTTTTAAAAAAAGAGTGTACTGAATGCTGCAATGCTTTTGATGTTTTTATAAATGTGGAAAATTTTCCTGTCCGTGGAAGGGATTCTTTATCTTATAAACGCAAATGAAATCACGCTCCTTTTTACAATATATTTTACACTTTGATTAAGGTCTTCGCAGAAGTTCCAACCTAACAATATTTAAAACTGGGAGTTTTTTATAGTTTTTCAATATTTGTTCTTGCTTCTACAGCAAAGAAACGTTTTGATGGCTTGTTAATGATGTTCCTAATAAACAACCAATTCAAGTTTGCACGGTCAATATTCACATTGCAAGGCGTTGCTTTTGTTTAATCATACATTTCCATTTTGCTTGAGCTACCCAAGTTTTCATTTTTGACACAGAATCAAAAATATAAATCAGATTTATTTCTGTATTTATGCAGGGCCACTTTTAGGTAAGCTAAAATTTTACCAAAGAAGCCCTTTTTTGAAGCAGTAAATTCAAGTTCGATTTATAGAACTTGGCCTCTTCATTTTGAAATTCGTGGCGTGGGCCCTGTCTGGAGCACAGGGTACGACTATGATGTGCAGTCTTCTGTTCGATGTTAAATTTTTTTTCATTTTACGGACAGTTGTTCATTGTATGTAAAGTTATGACTTGGTATTCGTATAGAGGAAGCGAGTGCAACATCGAAAACAAATACGGTCCTGTGTCCTAGGTCCTGGGTCCTGGGTCCTGGGTCCTGGGTTCTTGGTCCTAGGTCCTGGGCCCTGGGTCCTGCCTTATTATCCTGGAGCCTTGTTTTCCGGTATGCCCCAAAATGGTATATGTTCCTGATGTCCAAACAAAGGTTAGGTACTATGCCAGGTTTTCTGGATGAGAGTTGTGTGCTAGTATAGACAGGCACGCCAGAGCCAGAGGGCAGATTTGGGGCAGGGTGTACCTCCTTCATTTTTTGCTGAAGTATAATATTAAAGTTGTGGTATCATAGTGGTATCAAGGGTAATGGTGGAGGTGGAAAAACTACCATTAATGTTTTCCAACTTGTGTAGAGCAAAGAATTTGAAAAAATGTCTTGCTAATGATGAATGTGAGTCAACATCATTTCGAACGCGCGCCCCTTCCCCAAGCCCTTCTTTTCTGTAGATCCTTGCTTTATATTTGCCTTAAAAAAATAGTTCCAGACAGGTTCACTTGACTTGAAAGGCTGTCGTACCTTTCGTACCGGACGAAACAGTTTTAGTCCCAGTGTTTATAAGCTGATGAATCCGCTTCTTTGGTATAATACAAGAAAAAGATTTCAAAAGCACATTGTTTTTTCAGGCTGGGTATCTCCTTGCGTTTCGATATTTTTGGCAAATCGAGCCTTGGCGTTCTGGTAAAATTGTGTTCTCATAATAAAGAGGTATTTGACATCAAGTGCCTTGATATCATTTCTGTGATAGCACGGAGTACGGCAGGGGGCGTTTAGTTTCGTCCTGAAGAAACTGAAAAAGGACTTTCTGTTTGTACACTATTCAAGATTATTTCTCTGCCTTTTAATTCGGCTGGCGTCCTTAGGCCTCACGGCGGCTACAGAAATGGGTTCATGCCGCGAAATGACGTAATTTGCAATCGTGCAGATGATGGTTCGATCTGATGATATCAGGAGGTTTTCATCACCGTATTAATAAACAAAGAGAATCCCCTTCAAGCTGCGATTGTCACAACAATCGTAATAAATTTCGAATTTTCAATTAGAAATACGTAGTTTCTTCTTGACCAGGTGCGCTGTTGAGGTTAGCTGAATTTTTTGTAGCAGGACTTGCTGCAGCAGCTTTTGTTTTGCAGTATGAATTTCAAGGAAGCTTTTCTTTGCATTTCGGCAATGTTTTACATCGCCAGTTGTGGTAAGTAGGCATTTGCGTTTTCGTGTCTTACATCGAGTCTTTGCAGTTTGAATGGAGTGGTTGCATGATATCTGGAGATTTGGCCTGATTCTGCACAATAACGTGCAACTGCATTGAATTTTTGGTTCTTTTTCTTTGCCTCTAGCCACGCCGTGTCCTGAGTGCAAACAGCCAAGTTGAAACCCCCTTCAGAGTTGATTTTACCTCAAAAGTAGACAGAGCAGCAAAATCTTTAATTTTCATGTTGAAATTTGCTCATAAATTTGTAGCATCTTAACATAGTTCAAAAAGGAGGGACTCTTCATTGTACTATTGTTTCTTGCAGTTCTAGGGGAATTCGCTCATGTTATAAAGGACATCCAATACTAACAGGGTTATGGAGTAACAAAAAGAAAATAGTTTTCAAAATCCAGTTTAATTGTGAATTCTAGTTGAAATGAAAGTTGACATTGTTGCTCTAAGTTTAATTATTTACCATAACATTAAATTACTGTCCCATTAAATAGTCGAGAAAATCCATCAGTAACAATTTTAGATGAAATTTGCTTAACTAAATTTGGTCGCTTAAACGTGTATATATATTGTTTGAAGGTGCTAAAAAGTGCAACACAGTGACGGAATTTCAATGTGAGAACGGCCAGGGGTGCATTCACAAGTCTTGGCGATGCGATGGGGAGGACGATTGCAAGGACAGGTCAGACGAGCGAAACTGCAGTAAGATTTTCAATTTGTTTATAACTCTTGTTCGCTTTGTTGAAACAATTTTTTTAATTGGATGCTTAAAGTTTTCGGTTAGTCATAATTAAAGCATGTTCGTAGATCTCCTCCTGTTTAACGCCTTAATTCGTTCGTTCACCCATCTATTCATTCCTCTATTCGTCTATTCCTTGATTTATTTATTCCTTCAATCATTCATTCATCAACATATCTTTTCGTTGGTTCATTTATTCGTTCACTCTTTCATCCTTTAATCGTTCGTTCATCTTTCATCATTAATTGATTAATTAATTAATTAATTCATGCATGTATTCATTCATTCATTCATTTATTCATTCATTTATTCATTCATGTAACACGCTCGTGCATTCTCACTTGATCGTTTCCTTTCCCTCCTCTTTTCCACCCTGAAATAATTTCCCAGGCCAATTATTCACCGAGAAATTCGTGAACTAGCAAACTGAATCCTGCCGGTAACAGAGTTTGCCGATCTGTAAAAAGTCAAATCATAGACTATTTTCGAGCCCTTTCTCTAGATAGTGTTGAGGGCTGAATAGAAATGACCTTGTTTGAAAATCTTCTCCGTTGAAAACGTGTTTCGTAATCACAGCAGGATGGAGGAGTATCAAAGGTGTGTCGTGCAATGTTTTGACGGCTCTCTGTGATCTTCGGATTTCGGAAGCTTTCCTTGTCGTGGAACCTTCTTTCGCGGCTTCATACCCTTTGGCGTTTACTGACCTACACGCAAGCCGCAAAAGAGTTTTCTGAGTGATGACGTCATCAAAATGTTTTTTTTCGGTTTTTTAATTTAGCAAGAGCCGCCTTTGAAAAAGGATCAAACTTCTTACTAGACTTCGTAATTAGCGCTGTGCCCCTCTTAAGACTAAAAAGGACTTCCAATATGATAAACTATTTGATGAAATAAATAAATTAGGTGCTTGTTTCTTAGAAGCCTAGCTCTTCTCGGAATCCGCCATTTGGAAAAGCAAAGGTATTGTAAAGTAGCGGGATCTCCGAAATCTCTGGACAAATTTGGAATACTTGGGGGGAGGGATAGTCCCTAGCCCCCTCAACCAATGAGCCCCTGCCCTACTACATGTAAGAAGAATTCTATCTGTGTAGTGGCCAAACGACGGATGCATGCGTTCTAGATTGTATCTCCATATTTAAAGCTGGTTTTGAATTTTAGCAAAAATGTGAAGATGCAGCAATACTGCAGACATTATCTCCCCACAATCGCATTAACATCAGTTCATGCTAAGCACTAACTCATTACCATGAAAATTGTTGCTTTAAGTTTGCCATGTCGCCAACTAGATCACAAATGTCGCTCAAATTTGCCACATCAAACATCAAATATTTTTAAGATATGAATTTTTAATGAGATTTTAATTGAATTACCTCATCACATGACTGGTCATATAAAAATTTGTATTCGTCGATCCCTGCCAATATTTTAGTGCTCTGATGATGGTTATTTGTGGCCTTGCGACTTTGCAAATTCAGTACAATTCAAAACACAAAATATCGAGATGCAACCAGAAGGAATGCGCAATAATAATTACTGGAAATAATAGTTTCGGTGAATTTGTATCATTAAAAATAGGTTGGGACGAGTAGAAGTCACAAGTGGCGTAGCGTTATCGTAAAAATTCTAGACAGTTTTCAAAATTCTTGCGACATTTCTACTGGTAATAAATACGTTGAAGTGTTATAACATTTTCCACAATAATGGCTTCTCTTTCTGGTCATGAGTGGCATACAGTGAACTCCAGCGCAAACATGCATATTGTTTATTTTCCATAAGTAAACATATTGAATTGTGACATTGAAAAATCTTAATTACTAATTAAGAACCTCCACGTCACTTTTTTTGTCTGTCTTCTTTCGTCATCGACGATAGAAAGAAACATGCGGTGCTCCAGTGCAGCTTCAGTGCAGCTCAAGTGCAGCTTCTGAGAGATGTTAGAATTTTCCGGACTGGAGCTTGCGGTCGGCCCGAGCGCAAGCATTCCCAAGTATTTGATAATCCAAAACATTTTTCTGCCTAGAAGCTGCTTTTTTGCGAATATTCTTTGTGTGATATGTTATTTCAAATCTAATTATTTTGCTTTTTTTAACTTTTGTGCCTGTGTAAAAGTGAAAATATTTGGCATAGTCTATTTGTTATGATCTGCATCCAAGGGGGGTGTTAACTCTAACTTTTGATATACAGCGGAGTCCATCTGATAATTATTGGCAAGAATTTTCCTTGTGAGCTGATATTTTGGGTACCTGATTGAACAATAAACCTTTATTGATGAGTCAAAAACACAAAACCATATCAAAAACAGGGATAACAGAACAGATGTGTTTAAGCTGAGTCAGCCCGGGCTAAAAAAACAGATGTGTATAGGAAACAGTCTAAATAACTATGACTATAGTGTGGTGGAATTAGATGTAAAAACGGTCTAACCCGGATAAAAAAAACATAAAGCTGTAATTTGGCACAGATGTTCTATACTAAGTTGGAAATTACCAGAAAAAAGCCCCATCAATTGGACATTGGGAATTCCTTATTTGGGCAAATACCATAATGGCACACTGATCAGTAGTGGTTCAAAATTTTAATGTTGCTAAAACCACATAGTATGTACATCTTTTGAAAGATAATTTCATGCTGAATAACTTTTATTGAACATACGTATCCTTAGAATATGCAAATAAATGGTGATTGGGCAGAAACAAAGTGGGACTAGTGAATATTGAAAAGCGCGCGGAAAAAATGGCTGATACTCTTGCTGAATATTTTCATTTTATATCGCAAGTTTTATCAATGCAAAATCATTAGAATTTTGCCCGGGCTGACTCAACCCGGGCCCACTCAGCCCGGGCTGACTCTAGTGAAAAAATTTTTTCACTGCAGCAGCAAATTCCGGTCAAATCTAAAGAACTATCTAAATATTCAAAAAAGGTAACTCGCGACCGAACGGTCCAAACAACATGATTTTTTCATTATAAACTAATCTAAAGATGAAGATTTCAATTCTGACAGGTTTTCAACTTTTTCCATTGACACCCTCCATCTTAGTAATTTTTGTTACTAAGACGTAAAAAACGCTGTCAAATTCAGTGCAAATTCAAAGTCGCTGCACAAAACTACAGCTTGATGCTGGGCCAGGAATATTCCCTTTATGCCCTTCTTTACCAGAAAAAGAGATAACTTCCAAATTACGTAGAATCCCAAAAATTGCAAACTTTTCAATTGGGAAGTGCGCACATAAAAAGGAGGGTGTTTTGAGAGTACCCAGGACCCAAAACCCGGAAAATAGTTATGAAAAACGGAAAACCCGGACTTGGAAATTGGAAAATCTTGAGACAAATATATATACTTCAACGTGGTTCACCTTTTCCCGTGTTCTGCATTAAAAGACCTTCGTACCCGCAGTTATTACCAGCAAGAATATTTGTCTGCAAGGCACAGGGTAGATCCTTGTCTTTTTTCTCCAAATGAAGATGTCATCAGTGTTTGCGGAAGAACAGAATTTTACGGAATTTGTCGTAGATTGTGGAAATATGGCAATTTCTCAACGGAACGAGGGGATTCTACACACTTGCCGGATATTCGCAGATTTTCTCAGAATAATACACGGGTTGCAGAAATTTCAAAATGTTTAGCGGGATTCTTAACCTGCTCCTTGTTGGATAGGATTTCATCATCGCATGTTTTGATCTTGTTAATATATAAGTTGTTGATAAATAAATTTATATACATTAAGAGGTGGCGCCAGAAATCTTCCGACAGAGGGGTTGGAGCTTCCAACAGGGGGGGCTAAATTGACTATAATATGCAGTTTTCGTACGTTATTTTGTCAAATTTGCTCCGACGATAACCTAAAATTTTCTTCCGATAGGGGGGCTAGATGCTTCCGATGGAGGGACTGTAGCGCCATAGCCCTCTCCTGGCGCCACCACTGTATACATTCTATTGCCCAGTTGCCCCCTATCTGCTATTTTTGACCAGAAAGCTCTTATTTCCACATTGTAAGGGCGTGTATGTTGAATAAAAGTTGTTCAGCATGAAACTGTCTTTCAGAATATGTACATATAATGTGGTTTTAGTGACATCAAAATTTGAACCCCTGCTGATCAGTGCGCCATATGGGATTTGCCCAAATAAGGAAATCCCCATGTCCAATTGATAGGGCTTTTTTTGGTTCCCAGTATCATATGGAACCTATGTGCCAAATTACAGCTTTTTATTATTTTTGTCCGGGTAAAATCGTAATTTTGATAATAAACTTTAGAGGTCTCTTATGTGTTCAACATCAAATTTTGTTTTTTTATATGTGTAGGTCTTATCAAAGCTTTCTAGCTGATAATTTTCGCTTTGTTGAATTTGTTATGGATACTTTTGGGTGAATTTTGACAACTGCGGATGGACCTCCCCGTAGATAAAAACCTGGGTATTGTGTATGAAACATCTCCCTGAATATAAAGCGAATGTGTATCGAACCCAATCATATCTTCAAATGACTGCAACAGCCCGCAGCCGTCCAATCAGGTTTCAGGCCTGAGCTCCTGTTTCGCCATTGCATCAGGCTGCAACTAATCATTATTGTGTCGTAGAAACGTCAATGTTTGAATTTTTAACTGTTACCCCTTTTTTCTAGAGAGACAGCCGTGGAACCTATGCTATTGTAGAAGCATCAATTTCTGCTACCAAGTTTTGATTGTTATCCCTTATTTCTAGAGAGACAGCGCTGTGAAGAAACACAATTCAAGTGCAAAAACAAAAAATGCATTTCGAAGTCGCTGCGATGCGATTCTGTTGACCACTGCGGAGACAATTCGGATGAAGTTGGCTGTTGTAAGAATGTTTTGTCTTTCAATTTTTCAGCCAATTCTTTCTTTAAAAGTATTCTCGAATTATTGACAATTAATCTTAATTCATTTTTTAAACAAAGTATTTACGATATTCAGTCGAATCTGTCTTGTTCATACTCTCTGGAGAAATGTAAAAATGTTCAAATTACAGCGAGTTCGATTTAAATGGTTTTTTTTAAATTCCTGGATTTTGTTTTTAAATGTTTTCTAAATTCCTACCCTTTCTCTAAAACCCCTTAAAACTGGATTTGCCCCCGTATCCAGTTACCTGAAATTAATTTATTTATTGACACAATGTCTAACCAATGGCGTAGTTAAAGGGGGGGGGGGCCAAAAACTCTTGTAAAGCCAAACTTCTATTTTGTCGGAAATCTTATGATCTTGGCGTAGTCCTTTTTAAACTAAACGAGAATATATGGATACATCAAAATATTTTTTGATTCCAGTTCTGCTGTCGTTGCGTTATGTTCAAGTTAATAAAAAATATAAATTCTAATTAGATTTTGTCAGAAAATCTTTGTTTCTCGCCCTTCCTTTAAATTTTACTATCTACGCCACTGGCTATAATCATATGTACTTTTCCATTGAAGCCTTACCGACTTGCATAGTTATGTTTGATTGAAACTCTTATACGGCTTATATTTGATCTGGGGTAACTTTTTTGTAGCTACGTTCCCGTCATTTTCTTGTAACTTTGAAGGAGCATTTCGTTGTGCCGGAACTGACAACTGTATCGACGGAAAGAATGTCTGTAACAAACATAAGGATTGTCCAAACGGAGACGACGAATCGAAGGACTGTGGTAAGGACTGTTTACGTGAAGAACGTGTCGTATATCAAGCTTTGATTTTGTTGGTCTACTGGCTAATGATTGAAGAATCATGCCCTTCAAAACGAAACTTCATTCATTCTTCTGTCTTCCCAAAGAAGTGCGAAATCTAATCGACAGGTGTTAGAGAATTTTGCTTAATCAAGCATTGTAAGTCATTTTTGCTCATAATTTCACTTGCCATACTCCCCTTTATTTCAAGCTAGACGTATCAATATTAATTGATAGGCACTTTTTTCAATTAAAATGCTCGCCTGTCAGTACATGATATTATTTTCTAAGTTGGAAAGATGGTTCATAACACCACTTAGCATGGCCCAGGTTGGTTAGTGTGAGAAGGGGCTATAGATGGCCGATTCTACAGCTAATTATCATGGCAAATATGCTTGATCACTAACTCAACTCTAAGGGATGTTACTTTGTGGATAGCTTGTCAAAGCAGTTGCAGTTCAAATGCTTAACTTTAGCCTCACATGCTCTTTATCTTCTAAGGTGTGGACGAATGCCTTGTCTCAAATGGCGGGTGCTCACAAATCTGCCACGATTTGGCTATTGGATTCAAATGCTCATGCAAGCCTGGCTTTGTGCTGCAAAATGACGGCAACTCCTGCGCTGGTATGTAGCCTCGAACACTCTAACATCAGTTTGATTTGTTACGAATTTGGGTTCAACAGAGAAAAAGTTTGAAGCAAAAGACAGACCACGTGTTTCAGCGAACTCTGTTAATCAAAGCTATTAGAGACCTTTAGCATGTGGTTATAAGCATAAGCTATTAGCGGAAAACAATAACAATTAGTATACGCTTAGGCTGATATTAAGATCACGCCAATGCATTATAGATTGTTAGATTGTTGGTAACTTCTGATGTCTGAATGCTAAATGTGTGCGTGCAATTTTAAACGAACCTTGACAAGTTGAGAGCCTTGGTAATAGGTGAAAGCAAGACAAGACGATGACGAGAATCCAATTTCTCGCGATTTGAGTTAAAGTTGGAACTAATATTCTGCCCCGGCATGCAGTGCGTCATCTGTGTAAGTTTCTTTGCTTAATAGTGTCCAAAATATAATCTTCTTTTATTCTAATGGAAACGAGGCATTGCTATAATGGCCAGTTTGAGCGAGTTTGAGAGTTTTTCTTCTCCACAGATATTGATGAATGTGCTACCTATGGTACATGCGAACAACAATGCCAGAACACTGCTGGTTCATATAAGTGCCAATGCACCAGTGAATACACACTACAACCAGATGGCAGGTCTTGCAAAGCTAAAGGTGATTAACAATAAGTAATGCATGCAGTCTACTGCTAGTGGCCTGTTCTATCAAATTTCTTTATCTAGATGAACCTGTGAACAGGAAAGCTATAAGTGCTTTTTGTTACGTCAATATGAAGGGATACGAATTTCAAGTGCGTGTTTTAAGCTGTCTAGTCTCTTCTCTTCTATACGTAATTTCGTTTTAAGTAATGTGACTAACTAGTATTGTTTGTTTTCAGGCAAAGAGCCTTCCTTGATGATTGCTAATTTGGTCGACATTTCGCAGTTTAGCTTGGATGATGCTGATAGCAGCCGTATTGTCTATGGCAAGGCAATGGGAGGCTGCCTCGCTATGGATGTCAATCCTCATGATGGACATGTTTACTGGGCAGACTACGTCAAGAAAACCATATCACGTGTCCACTTAAATGATACAAAAAATGTTGCTGTAATCGTGAATGGAAAGTTAACACGTGCTGAAGGAATTGCAGTTGATTGGATAGGGAACAACATCTACTGGACAAATGCAGGTGGGGGAAGCCTTTCAGTGCATCTTATCATTTGATTTCTTTGTTTTTTCGATTTCAACTAACTTGTCTTTCTATGGTACTTACTATGGCCTCCATTGAAGTGGCGCCTGTCCTTTGACATGCTGTTGATCCCCACCATCATGATCGGTCCGGGCCGCTGGTGTGATGGAATTGTGATAGAAAACACAAAGAAATGACAAAAAATTGTAGTGTATGTCTAGGCTCTACAGATTTTGAACTGTTTAAATCTAGGCTCTATTCATTATTCATATTAAACGTTCAACGAGGTCCATAATAGCTAGACATCGCTAAATCGACACAATCTATTAAGGTCATAATTTCATACACTTTTAATGTTTTTTATCCATGTCCCTTCTTTTTAAGCAATTAGCAAGCAAACTGTAAAATTTTGCCAAACTGTTTTAGTTATCATTGATATTTATTGATAGAAACCTTTGAATATTATTCTCGACAGAAAGAAACTCGTTCTTTGTGGATTTTTTTAGGAAGTGTTCCTTTTTCTGGCTTGAGCTCACCAAATACGAGCTTAACTGTGTCAAAGAGCATTCAGCTCATAATGAAAACAGTCGCTTTTTAATTGGATACCTTTACGCGCATTGTCTTCTTATCAATCTGGAATTTTCTAATTACTGCATTTGTGGCAGTTGATTGAATTAGTCTTGCCCATGCAATAGTTTTAAATAGCATCTGCCTAATGCCACGAGATTGCGGCATTGCAAAAGAGTTCCACCTGGTATTCTGTTTTTGGATTCCTTGCCAGTTGCAATTTATTTGTAAAATGTATGTGCATTCCGTTTTCAAAGTATTTTGACAAAGGTTATGGTGAATATCTATTTACTAAACAATATTCAGATGGAGAATAGGTTTTCATAGAAATGTGAAAATCGCGCTAAATTTTGTCCCTATGCTTCAAATTTCGGCGCTGATTGCATAGTGATGTTTACCTGCTCCTTTCTGACAAAATTCTTTTATCCACCTTTTCTGTGTCTCAAATTTTTCAGATGAGGCTAAAATTGAAGTATCCGATGTAAATGGACGTTTTAGGAAAACCTTGTTCGATACTGGACTACAAATGCCAAGGGGCATTGCAGTTGCACCAGCTAAAAGGTTTGTCTTGTTGCTCTTATCTTGGATTTATTTGAATCAATTCTACAGCCCGTCTAGTATTTTAATCCAATCTTTTGTAAATGAGGAAAGCTTCTCAATTTAAACAGTATCGTTATGTTCGTTACCTGATTGCTGGTTGATTTGCAATCATTGATTTATCATTGACCGCTTGATTACATGATTTGTCAATGAATACAAAATGCTCATTTTTTCAATTGAGGTTGGATTCAATACAGCTATATGTGTTCTTTGGCCTAATGTTCTTAGATGGTTACATACACATTACAGCTCTGCTCGTTGCCCGTTTAGTTTCAGAAGACTTCATTTTTAATATCAACGATTTCCCTCATGTTTTTTTCTGAAATTGAGAATTTAGCAATTTTTCTGTATCTGGCGAATCCTTGGGCCAACCAGTACGGTTTTTAATGCAAATTATTGTTTACCATTCAGTCAGAAAATGCACGAGCTGTACACGCTTTTGGTGTATAGAGTAAGACGGTTCAAAGGCGCTACTTCAAGTTTCAGTTCTAATGCGATCACCAGGAGACTGTCATACAGCTTTGATTCATCTTTCATTGATAAAAAAATTTTATTTTGCAGGTTTGTTTTTTGGAGTGACTGGGGAAGTAATCCGAAAATCGAAAGATCAAGCATGGATGGCGCTGATCGAAAAACCATTCTTGGATCAGATACATTGAGATGGCCTAACGCTGTTGCAGTTGATCAGTTGCTCAATCGACTATACTGGGTTGATAGTGGCAATGGGTATATTGCTTCAAGTGATTTTGATGGAAAAGACGTGAGGCAGATAATTACCTCCAACACCGTGTCATCGTTTGGTTTGGCTGTTTTTGAAGGCTCTCTGTTTTGGACCCAGACTCGGGGAAATGTGTTCAGAGCCAGCAAATTTGATGGAAGAAACAAGAGAGAGATCAGAGGAGCTTATTTCAAGCCATACACTGTCCATATAAATCATGTTGCCGCCAAGCCAAAACGTAAGGAATTAGTTCATATTATCATTATTTAAAGCGTTGTGGCCCGTGAAATTTTGCTAGCCACGTGGTCTTGCTCACTGTTCTAAAAATTGTGTCTTTAAACGCAAGGGTTCCCATTCAGATGCGTTTGTTCATAAAATGTGGTCTTGTTGCTGTGTTGTTGTTGTTGGTGGTGTTGATTCTCGTCTTCGTACTAATGGGTAAAAACCTCGTAAGGCTTCACATGATCAAGGTGTAGAAGCAATCTTTATTGTGTTTGCAATGACGTCCCTTGCAGTTCTCGGGAATTGAAGTCCCTTGGACATCCGTTGTTAATCCCTTCGTTAAAGTACAACAACACGTACATCGTTTTATTCTCAAATTGACGAGAAGCGATGCAACTTTAAGAAAAGTAAGTCGCAATATGATAATACTTTGAAAAAGTAAAGTTGACATTTTCTCTTGATGGTAATAGTTGGTTGGTAAACGTAGAAAAGTGTAAATGCACCGCAGTGAATGGTAGACAGAGGATAAAGATAAGGGAGAGTAAAATGGGTTTAACTGTACTCGGAGTTGTCATGTGAACGAAGACCTAGACAGAGGAAGCATGCGACTCGTAGCGAGATATCAAACTGAACGGACTTACAGGGCGGGGGGTTCATGTTAAACAATGTGGGGGGAGTGGGTTGTGTTAAAGAATAGGGGTGGTAGTGTCTGTGTGGAAGTTTATTTTTAACTTGCATATTTTTTGACATATGCTCGTTAATTTGACACATATACCTAAAGTTTTTTGTTAATTTCTTTGCCATTCCAAATGTAAATGGAACTAACTTTTAGCCAGGAGAACAAAGCTTACCTAGCTGTGTTTCCCCATCATTCCAGCTGATGTTGGTCCAAACAATTTATCAATTTGCTTTTCTCATTGCAGACAAAAATCCTTGTGAGAAGAAAAATGGCGGCTGTGAACATCTCTGCCTCCTGAGCTCGGTCACGGACCAAGGGTATTCTTGTCAATGTAGGAATGGCTTTGTCTTGAAAGCTGGTCAGAAAGATTGCAGAATGAATTAGGTAAGTCTCAATAGTTTGATAGTCACGATTTTTAGTAGTAATTACATTACTGACGTGTCCTTCCTTACCCTCAGTTTTTCCCAAAGATCAGCCTAAGGCTTTTGCGTTTAATAATGTTTTCATAGTGCTAACACGTGGCTCGTTTTTTGTTTCAGGTAAAGAAAAGTGTTCCTAGAAATCCGATTGCTTTTCCCATGATTGCGATGACTTTTCTGCCATACCAGTGTATACGTCTGTCATACGCCATATTTTGTCGTGCGGTGAATTGCTTGTTCTTTTTCCGAGCTTAGTAGATGTTGCTTTGAACTAAAATTCATTTTGTTCAAATATTGTATATAAACTATATGTTCTGTCAAATATATACACTTTAATTAGAGGTTAACCAAATCTGGAGGATGAACATCTTTGGTGTTTTACAATCCTTGCGACCCTCGCTGATTTTTCGCTACCGTCGTTTTTAACCAGTCCGAGTCGCCGCTTCCTGATTAGAACGACGCACAACTCGATTCTGAATAGGTCTGATAAAACGCCCCAGTGCATACACCAATTCGACTTACGACCTCGTTTTGGAAATTTCTTCAAACTTAATTAGACGACTTTTTTAAGCTCAGATTTGGTTTTATCGTCATAATTTTAGGCGGAATACCATTTTTCATATTGTTTGAGCTTGTATTTAAGATTTAACCGAGAAATGAAGTTTGAAAACTTGTAAGGGATTTGACCGCAAAAATCGTTCCGGGGGAAACTTTATCCCCTTAGTCGCCAATCACGGTCAAATCCCTTATAAAGTTTTTATCTTTATGTCGTCATATAATCAATATCGTGAGCAATATCATAATGAAAACTTACAAGTAGATTAAAATCATTGCTGTCAATCCGAATCTGAGGTCAAAATTTTTGTACAAAAGAATTTGAAGAATTTTTCAAAATGAGGCCGTAGGTCGAATTGGTGTATTGATTAGATCTCCGTTTGTACACTGCTCTATTCTTTTTAAATTAATTTCGACAAGATAAATTGAGCTTCTTATTTTATCTTGATTTCGACCATGTCAAAAAATCTCTCTTTTAAGAAGCTGCTTGTCTCCAATATTTTAGCGGACGTTTATGTAATATAAACTTGATAATTCAACGTAAGTAATATTGCACGTTGAGCGTATCTTGCGTGCAGAGAGTGGCAAGTGTGCAGAGAGTGGCCATTGTGCAGAGAGTGGCCAGAGTGCAGAGCCCATCCTGCGTGCTATCTACGTGCAGAATATGTTCTTTAGCTTCTTACAAGAGTCTGCACGCAAGCCAGTAAAACATGGAAATATCTTTGATGGCGTTGATTTAAGGCATTCCAAGTGAACTGAACATAACTTTTTGCATGGCTGTTTCTACAAAAAGAACTAGAATCTCTAGATGCAGATTGGATGTTGTATTTTCAGGATCTTTTATTCCTGTATAGAATATTTTTTTCGCTATTATATTGTATGGTATCGAGTATTTAATCGCAGCATGTAAAGAATTTTGTTTGGATTTTTCTTAAAACATAATTTTGTGTGTTGGTCTTGTTTTCCATTTCATATAATTAGTTTTTAGTGAATAGATACTCTCGTTTTCATCACTTTGTCTTTTTGTCTGCTTCTGCAACTTAGCCGTTGTTCATTGAAGTAGTGTCAAGTTCTTATTTTTCATTCCACCTTGTTGTCCACCCCTCCCCCGAGTTTGCCCTGTTATTTTGCATCTCTCCCCCTCCCCCGAGTTCGCCCAGCTGGTGCTATGTTTAAGATTCTGCCCATCCAGCATAACGAGTGTGTTCAAAACTCTCCAACTTCAGGGCCAGTTCAACACTAGTCTACAAGAAGTTCTTATCAGGATTTTGTACCACTACTGACCAATATGATTGTTCAGTTGTGCTCAGTTCAGTCACCTCTCAGTGTCTCAGTCTTCTATAAAATATGGCCCAATCATTGCAGCAGAACCTCTGAAAGCAACCAGCTCTATTGAATTTCAGGTGTCTTGCCCTCTTTGCGTACTGTCTCTCACTTCCTTCTATTCTACATCATAGCACTGAGAACCATTAGAACCTGCAATTCCATCACGTGTGCAGATTTCCCTCCATCTTAAATGTGCAGAAATCGGAATTGAACGTCATTAAATCACGTCTTATCTCGTAAGGATAATCAGAACCGCATTAAACACAGACCCCATTGGGCACTGTACCCAGGGCCCCTAGCGTTAGAGGGGCCCCGAATTTTCTGACATGGTCATTTTGTCGGAGAGGTTTTATGATACATTATCAAATAAAAATTTTTGGACAAATGTACTTCAGGGCAGGCCCGTCTACCTCAATTATGCTCATTTCCTTACCTTGCCAAGGGTTTATACCCCAATAGACCAATTTTCTTTCTCTGGCATTTCCTACTAAAAACTGGATCATTGAGATACCACCTATAGATTTGAGAACAATTGTCAAAAAAGTGCATAAGCAAACAATTTACAAGTATGATACTGCAGTGCTTTGATAGAAATAGTGAAGCTCTTTGTATCTTTCTTAACTTTAAGCCAATCTTACAAGTTCTTTCATTTATGTGTTTCTTGTCGTGTCACGGAAATCAGGGGATACAACTTCAAAGAGTCACGAAAAGCAACAAAAAGACCCCAGAGAGTTTCATTTCTCCTTTTAATAAGATTTTATTATTAGATAAATTTAAAAATTGTAATAACCCTATGAGCAATGGTGCTGCAACCACAGGTCAGGCTGCAACCGAGAACCGAAAAACCAAACTGATTATCAAACAGAGGTCGAATTCGAAAGAGAGGTCAAGTTTTCATGTGGTAACAAAACATGGCGAAGGGAATAAAAAGACCACGAGGCGGTAAGAATGTGAAAAGTAACGGAATCGAACCCGATTCTAAGAAATTAAAGGTATGAATTACCTTTAAATATGTCTAAAGTTTATTTCCAGAATTACTTTATTTAACCTGCTTTAACAGTTCAATGCATATAGGACGTTTTCGTTCAAGGCGTCTGTCTAATGTTCCCCAGGGAAGCTTGAATTTTTGACTACCCAAGCGTTTGCATAAAACTAACTGGGACCCCTTTGGTTTTGATCAAAATCTACCATCATATCATATACTCTTCACATAATCAATAAGACCTCAATTGTTGTAACTACCACAGACGACTGACGATAAGCTAGAGAGCAAAAGATTACAGGAAATGTCAACAAGCGCAAAACCAATTTCACTTGAACTCCAACTTCATATGAGCCCAACTGCCGGTTCGAAATTTTTAAGCTGCTCTCTGAGTTTTGCATGCATTAGTTTTAGTAGAAATCATTGATAAATAATTTATGTGATGTGTGAAAAGAACCTTTGAAAACAGCAAAAGAAAAGACTGTTCGATGAAGTGCCGAGACTTACATTCACAGCATTTAACATCTTTTAAGGCATTTCTCTCCAATTTATTGCTCTTAACAGATGCATTTCCTCGTTTTATTGACCATAATATGTGATTCAGAGCTTATCTCGAGGAATAGACACAGCTTTAGGCTGCATCAACAAGCACAATTTTTCTGGCACCTTATCATTGCGCTGCTATGCTAATCTTTCTCAAAGTGTTCAGAATGCAGAAGTTTTCACAAGTGGAAATCAACTTGATGAGGTGTTGAAACAAGGGGCAGACACTTGGTCAAATATTGGGGGGGCAAGCCTATTTTTTTAATGAGATGTGGAAAAGTGATACCCTGTGCCAGGGGTGGGCAACCTTTTTGGAGACTGGGTTAGATCGTTCAAACATCTCCTTTAAGTGGGCCAAAGGTAATAAGAAAAACGAATACAATTGTTGTAATGAAATGATAATAATAGTGATAATGCAAAACCTTTCTTTAAATTTAATTACACTACAATTACAAATCTTTCATTTACATGGATATTATGCAATGATAGATAGGACTGTTACAATTGCAAATGCAAAAGGAAAAACTGAAAAAACTGATCAAAATTAAAAAGGATGTCATTCAGGGTTTGGAGAGAGCATCTTAGAAAGGAAATGCAGAATTATCTACCAATTGACGTTTAGCAGCGGCTTTTAAGCTCAGATCGTTTACTTTGATTAACACTAATCTATCTAAAATTGCCCCCCCCCCTCTCCTCCAGCACAATAGCAACTGAGACATGACAAAATAGGGACAATTGTGATCCGCGCTCAACTGCCATGAGAGTCAAACCATGAGAGCTCCTTGCTGCATTTGTTAATGTTTGCCAAATACCTCAAAGATTCTGCTGTCCTGTCTTTAAGCAGGATGAATTCGTGACAACGGATAGTGAACAAATCTTTGAACATAATTCCCATGTTTGATGAAGATATTGTATAATCTAATTTTGAATCGATGTGTTTCATTTAATGTTTTTGACCCCTCAGAAAATCATCTTTGCAAACCAAAAAATTATAAAATGATATTTTTCATCTTGTGCAGGCCACAAAAATTCTCTTCACTGGCCGGATTCTGGCCCACGGGCCATATGTTGCCCACCATTGCCCTACGCACTGTGACAGGGATTTTACTACTAGTTACTAGGCAGAAGTCACAGAAATAACATAGTAACTTTGCTTCCTAAAGCTCTATAATTTTTTATAATTAAAAGGGACTATAGAATGGAAAAAATGGACAAATGACAATCCTGGAGAATTGTATATCAATTTTTTTTAAGATAAACGTAAAAGAAATTACTCCAAAGCTCAAGCAGAGCAAAAACATCTAATAAGAATTAATTTTGATTTGAAAAACAATCAAATGAGATTTTTTTAGGGTCTATTGGCAGTTCTCTAGTTTTGTTTATTAGATGGATTCCCAATCTCCTGTTTTCTCATTTTCTCAATAGGTTATTGCAAGTAGTAAACTATACATTTTTGTATTATTATTTTCTAATCTTAGGCAAAGAAGAGTAACTTTAAATAAAGGGCTGTTAGGCTGGAGGAGCGGAACATTAAAGTGGTATTCATAGTAAATAACCCAAGCCCCCTTTGACGGAAGTTGAACAGGAACAATATGAACAGAAAACCAAAGTGTGTTTATGTAAGCAAAACAAAGCAGGCTGCAACAAGCTGTCAATGTGACCGCAGCAGAAGGTTTTTGTTGTTTTTGATAGCACATCTGATCTGTTTTTCATTATTTTCAGAAATGGACAAACAAACAAAGGGTCCTGGTTTTTTGTCAAAGAGGCATTGATCACAGGTTATATTTACGCTTGACTTTTCTCTTGCTCTTACTGTTTCCTTGAGCTTTGTAGGAAATGTAAATCTTTATATGTCTTAATAAATTCAAGGCTCGAGTAGAAACTTGCAGTATTTGGATAAGTTGGATGATGTCAGGATGGCTTGATAGTATCCTTATTACTAGATAATCCTTATCAAACTTCATGTGAACCTGCTTAGTAACAAGATGTTTTACATTTGATAGGCTTAACATGCAGGTGTTTCTTTGAGATGGGAAGTTATATATTTTACTGTATTAACACTTCTCTTAATCACCTTGTTCTTGAGTTCTTGATCCTATTCAATCTGACAAATTTAGCATTTGACAAATTTAGCACCTTTAAAATTCTGTTTGTCAAACAAATATATCAGCAAATGTTATCAACTACAATAAATAACAGATTGATTATTTGTATTTACTTTTAGACAGCGTAAGGTCAGTGTTATAAACAATTGTAATAACTGGACCATATCATAAGAATATGTTGGAGTTGTTACAATCACATTATAAGCAAATTTTTAAAGATTTTTTTTGTCTTTCAAGTTCTGCAGATAAAAGATAATAGAATTGAAACATGACTTCAGACCAGTGGCCCTGCCAAGGGGGTATGGAGGAGGAGGGGGGGGTTAATTACCACCCTCCCTTTTTGTCAAAACATTGGCAAAATATTTCTTATGAAAATTGATTAAAAAGGTGCTAGGTAGGGGTAGATCAGATTTACTAAGGAGAATTAACCTGGCTCAAAACACAGCACTGAAACAAGGCAAAAGGCATGGTCTCCCTGGCCATGCCCATTACCATCCTACTCTGCAGTAGCTTGGGCCACCACTGCTTAACACATTGAAATTTTTAATCTGATCTTTACATTTCATGTTGATTCTTCATTTTTTAGAGCAAGGCATTTGATGCTGGATTTGAGAACTCTTCTTCCACACTCAAGAGCAGGTAGCTAAACTAGCCTTTTTTACAGCACTGACATGTTTACAGGGCTTATATGGTTGCCCTGTTAAGTTACCATTTTATTTAAAGTTGATACTGTTTTTCTATTTGCAATTGGCCTGAAGATTTGCATGTCCAAATTTTCATTTTTGAAAATTGCTTTTCTTATATCTAGTAAATCATTTATTAGAAAAAACAGAAGCTGGAGCAAAAATTGGTCATTTTGATAACATATTCCAACTAACGTATAAAAGGGAAAATTTTGATAGGGTGTGAAAGTTAAATATAAAGAAGTGGAACTATAAAAGCACACAGTGGAATTAACTTAAACTCTCTATTTAGGTAAAATAATCAATACATACTTTAAAAGATATCCTGTAAGATTTCTCTGCACAATAGCCTTCTTTTCTTGGCCCATTTTGTCGAGAACCTTATTAGTGACATGCTGACAATGCTGAAATCATATCAGATGAAAAGCCTTGTTTTAGTGTAAAGGTTAAAAATGGTTCTGCAAGTGTTCTTTATGTAATCCTTGTTAGCTTTAATGTGAAGCTTTGTATTATTGCCATCATGAATGGATAAAGTTTTTCTTCATTATACCAAAATTATTTATATTGCTGTTCACCATTTAGACAATAAGCTGGACAGAAAAGATGAGCTACCCGTGATAAATGAGGTCAGTTAATTAAATGTTTCATCATAATTTTTGTATGGCTTTATATACTGTCATCTGTAATTTAGAATCACTTTCCTAGTTACTTTTTAGCATGTTTTTTTGTGTGTACATGATTTGCTTTAATTTTACCTATTTGTTGTTCAATTTTTTTTAATTTTTTAATTTTTAGATTGCAGAAATGAAAAATTGCAACAAATGCATTTTCTTTCATATGAAGAGAAAGGAAGATCTTTATCTATGGTTAGTATTATATTTGAATAATAACTGAAAAACAGAATTATAACTTTTTGACTTAAATTTTTTTTTTAGGTCACCCTTTTTTTTATAAAGTATTACATATTTTATTTGAATTTTTCAGCAAGTTTCAACAAAACAGCAGTTCTTGATTTGCCCCTATGAACAATCATATTAGAAATATAAAACGATCTTAAAAATAAAGAAGAAAAACAAACTGAATCATAACAAATTGAATTCTTTCTCATTGACTGGTAAAGTATTCTGTAAAAATTTGCATAGCAAACATTTTTTTTATTATTTGATAGAAAATCTGTGATTGAAATAGTTTTTCTACACTTCACAACATGGCTTCAAGTTGATTTTTTTTGCCAAAAGTCTAAGAGACCTTTCCTTTTACAAATATTTTTCCTAAAGCATATTTAAATAGTTTAAATTCTAGACAAAATTCTCTACTCCTTGAAAACAAACACTAAGTTCGATTTCGATCCAGCTGATTCTCTTCTGTAGGCCAAAAATTGAGTCAAGTTTAGTTTGAACACTTGAAGCCGTCTTTTGGAAGGAATGCTGGACTGTACATATGTTATAAATGTATACTATAATTAGGTAAAAATGAAAATTAAAGTTATTTTAAGACTGAAAGCTTTGTCATGTTTTGATAATTACAAAGATTTGAATAAATTTGATTCAATGGTGTTGCTATCATAAGAATTTATGTTCATAATCTTTGAATTGGAATACCTCAAATGTAAAATAATCTGAGGCCCACTGAAAGACTACAGCCATTTTGCTTTGTTTCAAATAGTTCAGAACCAAGACAAAATTGCAGTGATTCAAGAGAAATTGAATGCGTTCATTGGGCTGCCTGTCAGTCCATATTTGTTAGATTCGTAAAAATTACCATAAATCCTCGAATTGGCTCCCCCTTGAAAAAGCCCCCCTCCTCAAATAAGCCCCCACCCTAGAACTACAAATTGTCAATAAGCCCCCCCCCTCGAATAAGCCCCCACTGCTACTGTCAATTCTCGAATTGGCCCCTCCATTTGATGATTTTTGCCATCTGAGGTTGCCTACAGCGTTTATTGAATTACCACAACAAGTTCATACTTTTGGTAAGAATTAACCAAATGCTCATAAAGAAATTCCTACTAAAATAAACGAGGTCTTTTAATAATGTCTTCTTAATGTCTAAAATAATTTTATAAAATTTTATAAGCCCCCCTCGTATAAGCCCCCCCTCCTCGAATAAGCCCCCCCTCCTCGAATAAGCCCCCATCCAAAAATATCAATTATAAATAAGCCCCCAGAGGGCTAATTCGAGGATTTACGGCAGTATTAAAGTTTATGATGTTCTTTCAGGTGAGTATTTCAATGATTTAATCACTTCTGAACTCTATTTCATTAGACCACGTCAGTATCAAATTTGAATATGACCTGTGTGGACATATCTGGAAAAGATTTTGTGTCTTTCTCAATTATGTGCAAACTTAGATATCACTGGTTGAGATTTGATGCTGCCTTGAACTTGCGAGTAGCTAACTTTGTGGTATTTTGTTTTCAGGATGTCTTGTACTCCTCATGGTCCTTCTGTTAAGTTCCTTGTTGAAAACAGTATGTTGGTTCAAATCTTTGCTTACGTTAATTGTAGTTTTTATTCATTAGTTTATTCGAGTTCCCCATAATGGTGCTCTTTGGCTTTTTTGACAAAGTTATAAAGGATAATGTCAGGCTTGTAGCCAATCTGACACTGAATTGATCCTTATAATAAGTAAGTCTTAAATGTATCAAAATTTTGTCATTTTGACTATATTTGTAAGATTTCAGGGACTTCTATAATGCTTTTAATAATTTTTAATTGAGCAATATATAGTGCTATCACCATAAAACTGTCGCTATATTTGCCAAAAAGCTTGATTTCGAATTTTCACTGCCAGAAAGAAATTGATTTTCTTTTATTGTTTGACTTTCTTTGAGTCATGGAATTTTACGCAAATATATTTTGGGTAATTTCCTTACGTATTTAATGCTAAATATTTTCCTCTTCAGTTCACACAATGGATGAACTAAAGCTTACTGGAAATTGCCTGAAAGGATCTCGTCCATTGTTGTCATTCGAGAAGGTCAGGATATGTCCATTAACTACTGATATGTCGATTGTCAATTAGGTCAGCATAGTTTTACCCTGGGGTCAGGGGGCGTCATGGGTGGTTATCGAGCAGGATGTGTTTCTTTTGTCTTTTATTGTATACAAGTTTTTCCCCATCTTCATTGTTGAATTTTTAGTGACTAGCTCTTTCAGCGAAACTGTGAAATTATTGATATTTTGTTTTTGATGGAAATTTAAAAATCGTGGGCACTTCCTTGCAAGTAAGCTTCGTTTCCAAATTTTCTAATGTTTCTTTTTTATTGTTGATATGAGACGATACATAATGATGCTTGTTAATCAATTCTTGTGTCCACAATTTAATAAATAATTGAAGTGATATTATGAGTTGTATGTGGTTCTATCTAGTCTGGTAGCAAACATCGTAGCTACTTTCCCTCCAAGGGGTTCGTTCCCTCATTCCTCAGAATTTATAAAAATTCCCGTGTTTCCAATGAACATTATGATTTTTACTGTTCTCAAGCACGGTGCCCCAATGCTCCTTTTGTTCTCAAGCATATTGCCCCAATTATATCCTTCTCCCTATGTTTTACAACTACTGAAATCTAACGGCATTATGAAAAATACTACTACCCAAAAGCAGATTATAACACCTTGTTCAAACTTGATTCAAAGTTTTAGATTTTTTTATTACGTATCCAACCGATGAAAATACAACGCCATCGCAATATCTGACATCTTGTGAATTTTTTGAACCGATCTTTGATTTCTTATTGGAGATTAGAATCCTCTTGTGACGATGATTAGAGCATCGTCTTATTCTCTTTTGAAGGGGATCCCCTTTACTTGCTAAATGGATCGTTCTTATCAAAACCAATTAATCTATGGATCAAGCATTAAAATCAGATCGATGTATATTTCATGAAGCTTTAGATAATTGCCACTGGAAACGAAATCAAAAAACTTCAATAGAGGCCTGAAAGAAACATGAATTAAAACTGAAACTGAAAGACTGAAAACTGAAAACTGAAAGGAACTGAAAGAAACATGAATTTCTGGAGTGGCTTGGTTCACAGAACTTTCATTCTCCCTTACTCTCTCGCTAATTATTTTCAATTTTCCACAGGCGTTTGAGGAGACATCCCATAACAAACTGCTTAAAGAGATGCTAACGCAGATTTTTGGCACGCCAAACCTTCACCCCAAAAGCAAGCCTTTCTTCGATCACGTCTTCAACTTTTCGATTGTCGATAACCGAATATGGTTCCGACACTATCAGGTATGCTTCTTAGAGATTACGCTTTAAATAAGTAGTGTACGGTATTCTAGATGGTAGGGCTGTAACTGTTTTCAGTCAATGTGTTTTTAGTGATAGATGGCTTTTGTATGCCTAGTTAAGCCTATATTCTGATGTGTGAACGTCTCTCTGACCGAAAGAGCCTCACACAAAGAGTACTGAACTTTTCTTCCATATATATATAAATATATTGTGCATGAAGTCCTCTGAAGATGTCTCACTTAAGTCTTTATATATCAACGAAAAGACAGTAATATTATCATTGACCCACAGAAACGTCCCTGTATAAAATGAACCAATTAGGTTCAAGCCAGCAAAAAGAACCAAACCCTTTCTCGGGTTTTCTCATTCTCGTTTATTAAGTCACATAGATTGATATTGCTGTTGGTATAATTGTTGTCCCTTTTTTGGTCCCGACAATTTTCTTTTAAATTTTAATTGACACATTGACGTGAACCACTTCATGAATCATTGTTTACGTTTTATAAACCCTCTTTTTTATAAGAACACGAGCCTCAAAATTGGTCATAAGTTAAGAACAAATTAAGAAAAAACTAAGGCGGAGCTACTGTAAAATGCAACTTTGAACAAGTTTTATCTCAAAAACAAGGAATTCTAGCAATGAGTGGCTGCTTTTTCGGTGAATAGTCAAATTTGACGGAAAATAAAGGTTGTCTCATTCACTTTGTTGGCAAAGGAGGCCTGAACACCACCCTAGAGCGAAGAACCTAGCAATTGAATTGCTTACTCTCTATTTATTTGAGAACAAATTAAGAACAATCCAGCCTCGGATTTTCTAAAAAATTAAGCACAGTCAGCCTGAACTTAAATTTACTTGTTCTTATAAAAAGGAGTGTAATTTTGTATTGATATTATTGTGAAAGGTTGAAGAGGCACTGACTAGAAACAGGAATCGTTTATACGACGTACAATCCTCACCAAAGTACAATCGACGTTCTTTATTGAGTTGTAAACATACCCACGTTTGTTGCTATAGTGGCCCTCATAGAACATTTTTAGAAAGTAATATTTAAAACGTTGTCAAGCCATATCCTTTCAGCCGTAATGAATTATACAATAAGGCAATTTAAAAAAGTTATGCTCATTAGGCAAAGCTCTTGGTCAAACATACCAAATAACTTCATTCTACTGTAGACATCCTATTCGTAGCTTAGTATTTGGTCTTGGAAATCACCACACAGTTTCAATTATTCACAAGTTTTGGGGAGCGTATAACGAATTCTGTCTATACCCAAATGAGCTGATAACGACCAAGCGAGGCTCTCAGGGGCGGCTGGGAGTAAATTTTTTTTGGTATTACTTTTTCAAACGTATGGAAAATGCACGAAAAAGGAAAATTAACAATTTCTTTATGAAGGAATTTTGAACCTCCTCAGCTGGAGGGGTATAGGGGTTTTGCAACACCCCCCCCCAAATTTGGCCTAGCCATACGTTGGGGAAATATGCATATCTTCAATTGACTCTAAACAACAAACAAAAAGTCACTAAAAGACATAAATTGGTCGGGTATACACATTTTTGTAAGCAACTAAGAATCTGAGCGAAGGCTGAAAGTTTTAAGTTAATTGGCAATTTTAGTGCTGTATCTCCTAGAAAATAAATGCAGATACTTCCTTGCTAGCATATCAAAAAGAAATCTATGAAGAGCCTGATTTCCTGTTGGTCTTTTTAAACAAACTGGAGGGCTGTAACATTTGTCTGAAGGGCTTTCGAGTGGTGATTAGTCGTGAAAAATATTTGGCGGCCCCTTCCTCTGAGCCACCATGTGGGCCCGTTATTAGAATCGCGATTGTAATAACGGAAACCACTGCGTGAAAGCCCTCTGAACACATTCAAGGTTCAGTTCAGTTCATCATTCATTTTAAATGCCTTTACATAAGCAACTTGCAACATTTTGAATAGCTACAGTTTACAAATGTACAAATAAAATTTGAAAGGATGCAGGCTAAAAATTTATTATAGAAAAATACATGACGAGATATATCTGGCACGGTCTTTCAGTTCGAGACGTTGCTAGTGAGTTAATTCAACCTGTTTCAAAACAATTAGAGATACAAAATAATAACACTTTGAACACCCAGACGATGGTCATTCACTTGATCTTTCACAACACGATTCATTTTGAAACAGCTAACTTACAAGCAAAATCATAAAACAGCACTGGCAAAAGGTAAATGGCCGCGTTATTAGAATCCCAGAAGTAATAACGGGGCTGCTAGGCTCCTTTATTTCAAGGACCAAGAACAATTGAATTTTACGTCATCGGTGAATCCCGTGACAAAGACTTTGCTGTTTCCGTTATTAGAAACGCGAAAGTAATAATGAGACCGGGAGCCTCGAACTAGCTTTGAACAATTTGAAATACCATTGAAAAACATAATAGGCTTCCTGTGGTTAAGGATTAGCAGGTAATTATCATCCCCTTCAGATGAATAGAGGACAGATACCATATTATTTCTACGTCATTGGTTGTGTCTAGCAGATGAATGCACCAAACTGATAAAGACTTTGGAAAAAGTGCTATTACAGTAATAACGGTAATAACACTGCCCGCCGCCCCTGGAGGCTCTTTGTTCTCGTTTCAGGGATGCTCGATTTGCCTTTTCCGACCAAATTTTCCAATTTTGACATTTTTTAAAATTAAATTGTCTGGTTTGGATAATCTGTTTTTGGTCTGCTACTCATATTTGACCTTTTTGGCCTTTCTCAGCAGAAATTTGGACTTTCCTGTGTTTAGATAAACTTTTACACCCTAAGTAACAAGCAAATTTTAAATTGAAATAGCAATCATCCTCAGTTAATCCAAATATCAAATATCAAAACCTATCCTAACGATTAGCAAACAAATTTAAAATGGGAAGTTTCCCGGTTTCTGGCCTAAATTTGGAAAATTATTTAGAAGACGCATGCGTAGAAATATTAAACAAGTTTGCGCAGTGTTTTTTACCGGATTTTTTTTTGGCCTTTTTATGCTCATTTTGGTGCTGTTTATCTGTCTGGCCTTTTTTGTAAATTCAGTCTGGCAACCCTGACTCATTTAAATAGGTCTCTTGGTTTTCCTTCAAGTAAATAGTTTTTGTATGATAATAATGACGTCACATGCGTTCACCTTCAAGTAACAGAGTCTTAAGCTTATTTCCTTAAGTATGTGTAATGGAAACAGAGTTTGCGAGGATTGGAAACTGAAGACATACGGTCTTTCATAACATCAAAAGAACAAACGAGGAACTGGATTCCTTGATTAAGGACGATTCTGGTTAAATCATGCATGAATGAGCGAGCACTTTGATTAAGGCGAATTCTTGTTGATTTACGTAACTTGGCGTATTTGTTGCAGAAGTTTGTAACAATTTTCTCATTTGATACAGAAACAAAAAATATTTCTTTCAAAGCCAGCCCCATAATAAACTTTCTCCAAGGAAGCTTCGAAATCATCCTCAGTGGAAAGTAAATTTTGAGCGGCGTTTTGGGGACTAACTTGAGCGTTTTTTACGGTTAGGTATACGGTTAGGCCTCGAATGTCAAACAGACATTCTCAACCCGGAACTGTGAGAAGCCTCTGTTTCAAAGATAAATTTCCTAAAGGGTTTCAAATGGAATCAGTTTTGCAGGCGAGAAAATTCAAGCATTGCTAGCACTTGTACGTATTACCTTTTTTAAGTCCAACCCGGCTTCATTGAAAACCGCATTTAAGTCGAAAACCGCGTAAGTCGAAACATAATGACAGTTCCGTGTTCAAATGTTACCTAAGTTGATGACTTACGTTAGTCCCAAGTTCTCGTTGAAACTAAATGCCTACCCCAGGAGTTTAAAAATTTGCTGATACGGTCGACTCAGCTCTTAATTCACTCAGCTTAGTAACAAACCACTAGTTACAGTCACATAGAATTTAATCCCAAATAATCAAAACTACTCAATTTAGCTCCGTTTACAGTCACACTCCGCTTACTGTCACAACATTTAAGTAACATTTGCTGTGACTATAATCAGAGTCCTCTGTTCTTCATCTGGCTGGTTTAGGTGTAGAACTTGAAATTATTTTGATGTTAGTGACCTTCCGCAGTCAGAGTCTGAAGCCCTGTAATCCCACTAGTTCTCAACTCTGGCCTTTCCGCATCCTGATGGACCAGAGTAAATCCACAATGGCTGAAAAAGTCATGGTCACTACAATCGATTTTTACCATTGTGGATGCTATATACAACGCTCAATCAAATAATTGTTGATTTATACGATTTTCGTACTGCAATTTCTTTATTTTTACACCCCTTATGGTCGTCATCTGAGGTTTTTTACCTGCGGAAAGCAAAGCAGGACGAGACGGAATGAACTTTAGTGTAATGCGTATTATTTCTGCCTATTCGTGTCATGTAATATGATTTCAGAGTTTGATGTAGTTGTTATTGGACACTTTTGGCTAACACGTTTTCCAGGGTTTTGAGAAAAGAGCGTGCAGAAGCATGAAGCTATAAGTTTGCTAAGACAAAACATAGCCAAAAGGTTTTTCTGACCAGCACTGTGACCAGGTTAAAATATGCTTTTGTCGCAGCGTGTTTAAACTGATAGAAAACACTTTAGGCAAATTGTTTTTGTATTGTTTATGCCAGAGATTAACAACGATGGTTGATTTTATCTTCTCTTGTCGATTTGTTGTTGTATAGAGTGGGTTTTCCTAATTTCCTCCAACAAAGTATTTAACACTCAGAATAATTATATTTTCCTTCTACCTTGTTATATTGGATATTTGGTGCTAGATTATATTATTTGGTGCTTTGTTATATTGGATAAAGCAGAGTTTGTCCCTCAGGCGAGCAAAGGAATGACTTTGTAAAAGCTGATTAAGCAGAGTATAGTTTGCTAGAAGTGAATAAGTCCGAGGGAACTGACTCCAGACGAGATTTATTTCACCCGTCCAAATTTCTCTACGCCTCTTCAACAAGACACCATATTTTTCTAAGAGACCAAAAGACATATTTTCTAATCCTTTCATAAGTTTTCAGCTCCTATATCTTAATTGTTATTAACGATATTTCTGGTTTCGTAGCGGTCAAATAACTACAAATTCAAAATCAATGATCATAATATATTATTCAAGTTTATCGATTGGTTTTAATCTGGCCATTTTCTTTCTAGATTGTCAACCAAAAGGATTTCTCTTTGAACGAAATAGGTGAGTTGATATTTTGGTTTGGTGACGATTTCTCTGAAATTTATAAGCCGGAAATTCTAATCCGCGTTCTATAGTTTTTCATTCATTGATCTACGGGATTTGCAAATGAAAATGAAAATTGACGTCATAGTTTATCACAGTTAACAAGATAGAACAATTTTAGGATCTGACTAACTGCTTGTGTTGTGTGGTTTTTCGTCTCTATGAAAATCTTAAATACCCAAATACCAGCCATTTAATTGGCTACAGGATAAATATGGAACACCAGATATATAGTTCCGTGATAAATAGTCGTGCTATTTGAAATTTGAAGGGATAAACAAGCTACAATAACTGCCAAGTGTCTTGCAACACTATATTCAATCTTCACGGGCAAATGAAGTCATACTCTTCTCTCCCTTGTAAAAACGTTTGTCTTTTCTAATATTACGTAAAAGATTAGGAAGTACGTTTTTCGTGTGACTTGTATCATATTTGCCTATACTATCAACATTCTTTGATGGAAGAAAAAACGGAAGTAGTAATGTGTGGGAAAATAACTGAAAAATATAGAATAACATCGCAAATCGCTGGGTGCTCAAGTTAATTTTGGCAGACATTGTAGCAATATAGGCTGTGCATCAAATGGTGGTATTTTTAGCGAAATGATGCGACTAATACCTTATCAAAACACTGCATACTTCTTTAGATTCATTGCTGCCTAAAATCATTCATTACCCATTTTTCATATCACTCATCAAGCGGATGGTCTTTGGGGTACATGAGCAAAGTTCTGACCCTCCCCCTCGCCTTCCCATCAATTCTTTCAATCCATTCGAAGTGCTTGAATTGAATTGATATATTTCAGCATAAATTCTGTGAAAAATCGTCTCATGATAAATAAATACACACTTACCTCCTGCCAGTTAGATCATATAGCTGAATGCTTTGAAGTTTATTTATTCTGTAAAGAGATTGAAGGTTTCTGCAAGTAATAGAGATTTCTTTCATGCAATTGAAGTTTACAGCAAAATTATTCTCTTCGTGATATGAGTTGCTAAGAATCATGTTTGCCTTGTCTAAAGAAGCAAATTATATTTTACAGGACCAAGATTTGTTCTCAATCCAATCCGAATTTTTAGTGGCAGTTTTTCCGGCTCTACGATTTACGAAAACCCTCATTACATTTCACCGAACCAGGTTAGTCCGATGCAGTTTTTCTGAAAAAATATTTTGCCTATCTTTGATGTGATTACACTAACCAACTGAGGAACAGATTAACCTATTGATTACGTGAAAAAGATCTATTTCAAAGTTTTTTGATTTGGACAATTTAATCTGAAAGAAAATTTTGAAATAATCATAAATGTAGAATAACCAGTAAAATCTTCCCAGTATCAACCTAGAAATGAAGCTCGAAAACTAGAGCGAGAGAAATTTCACATTTTTTTATTTTACTTGAGAAAAAACGGTGGTTATCGCCATGATATTACTTAAATTTCGAGTAAAAGTCTTATCTTAGCAGTTGAAAATTTAGCTGCTGTCAAAGCACAGAAATATTTTTTTACAAAAGAGTGAAACTTTATCAATAAATATTCTATTCTTGAAATGCTCTGCGATATTGTATTGTTCACTCTAGTCGCAAGGAAAGTCTTTTGTTTCATACAAAAAATAGGACGGGCCTAAATGGGTTGTTTCAACGTGTTAAACTCTTATTCCACCACGTAACAGTTGGTTTGACAATACGCGGCATTTGTTTAAACAATGCATGGCAGGTGGATCATTCGAAAATCGAAGCACAGAATCTGCTCCCACGTTTGATTCTAGTAGAATTAAAGTTGCCTCTAATGAATAACTGGATGGTTATTTAATTGCGGTTTTATCTCTGATTCTCCCAACTTGCTTAAGTATAGTGTGTTACAACCTCAAATACCACTGGTTGTTTTGTTGCGGTTTTCACTCACACCATGGTTTCTGCTATTTTTGCACCATGACGTCATTTTCTGCATTTAGTATTATATTTCTAGATTTTTTTTTATTTGCGTCTTTTCTCTTCATAAAATTCCTGCACCTCATTTCTTCCTTAGTAGAGGTCTTACTTACTTTCCGCGAGGTAAACGCGGGTCTTCTGCAGTGTTATAGACTGTACTTAGCCAATCGCTTGACACTTGAAGCTGGACATGTGACTTTGTACACAGAGAACATTACCTTAACTGTCTTGCCAAAATTTTCCTTCCTATTTTTTTGTGGTTACAGGTTTTCCAAATTAAGTGACGGATTCTGTTAGCTATTTTCAGAGATAAGTAGTTTCGAAACATAAACCGTATGTAGTTAAAGGGAACCATAAACAAAGGCTGTGGTTAACGGGAATCGACAGATACTCAAAAAGCTTAAACCGCCTTTCAAACAAGAATTGACCAATCAGTGAGTGTGATTCCACTCACACGCTTATTGATTGGCTGAAATTGATCGACACATGGCTCAAGCCACTTTATATCTGTCGACTGCCTTAAAAGATAAGAACTTGGCTCATGATCAACATTGTCTTTTTGAAAAATCTCTTGGCGATAACCTTTGCAATTGTCGTTTGTTATGCCCATATGCAACGTGTGCTGAAACTCTGCTATGACGATTCTTCCCTTTTGTAAACAAGGATTGAGATCATTTCACATACGTTGTTACGTCACTCGTTGACTTTTGAATCTCTGGTACAACACCTTGATCTTATTTGTACTTGAGCTCCACGTGTCTCCTGAGTGGTTTCGAATCACTTCAATTTTCATCTTGTTTTTGATAGTTTTTAACTTAACATCTAACTAAGAATAATATTCTATAATAATCTGAATAAGAATTTAAAAACATTGCTTATTTTACACAGCCAAGGGTTCTTTGAGACTTTGTGCCAATTTATATTATATTTAGCCGATTGTGTTTGGTATAACAAACTCTTTAGGCTCGTCTCTTTGTTGATACTTTCCATGATGTTTTTGAAGCTTTCATCCTCAGTTCGCTACTTGTTTTATTAGTAGAAATTATTATTAGTAACTTTTATTATGATTATATTATGATTTTTTGATTTCTTAATGGATAAAAAAGTGTGATATGGACGCGGAAACTGAAATATTTCGCTTACTTTAATGAACCCGATATAGGAAATACCAAACTAGTTAGAATTATTTAGTTTTTCGTCTTCTCTGTTAATATCTTTAGCATTAAATGTATAAAAATGTAGCTATATCACCCAAGGCTATACCAAAATTCTGTGCACATTTCATCTTCTATTCAAACAATAGTCACTATATTTTTCGATCCAAACCGGTTGTCCCTAAGGTGTGACCTATTCAAAATTTTGGCATGGCCCTTAGCACAACTGTATTTTTAATTTGTAAACGTCAATGGGTAGCCATACCTATCTTGCTCCCTATGGCACCGTCACTGCCACTTTTTTGTCAAATGTACTTTTCAAATTTTGTTTATAAAAAACACGATAGGCTTTTCATAAAATCTTAAAATTCAGTTTATGCAGCCGAGGGCCCCTATTATGAGTTCGTGACAACTTTTTCTTAAATATTTAGTGAGAATAATTTTTTGCAAGTGCAGACTCTCTGCCTTTGATTGACAAAATTAAGGTGGTATTTCCAACAAGGGGCCTACTCATAAACTCACTTGTCCTATGTCTATACGGGGAGACTGTGATAGGCATGTTGCTTTTCTTGTTATTTACGACGATGTGGAGGATGAATTTAAGCGTACAAACTGTGCTTATGGCTCCTTAGCATGGCAATTTCCTTTTCAAGGTGGCAAGGCTCTATCACAAACACAAAAAAAGGAGACATAAATACTTCACCCTTTGATATAACCATACCATGGGACCTCCATCAACTGGCACCACTTTACAACGGACACCTCTATAAAACGGACACCTCTTAAGAACGGACATATTTTTGTCTAAGATGAGCAAATTGCTTTTAAAAGAGCGTTGATAATCGACAACATTCAAGTTATTAACCTTTTAAATTTAAAGAAAAGCTAAATTTCAAGTTAAATATAATCATTTAAGTGAAAAGATAATGAACAAAATGTAAAGAAGAGAGTGCTATTGCAGCTAATTGCAGACAAAATCACACTTTATAGCGGACAGTTAGAATTGTCAGAACAGTGTCCGTTATACGGAGGCTCCACTGTATGATTTTACATGTCTCAAATCATAGGCCCGATAACTTTGGGTATTTGCCTCATGACGATGATTGTTTTGCCTGTGAAGTTATTTCGCCCGATAGAGCCCTTATAAGTTATTTGAGTTTCTGTATATCTGGGCTTCTGAACGCCGAATGAGAAGTCTTTTCACGAAGAGACGCTGTTACGACGTTTCTGTAAAATTTATAATAGAAACCGCAATTACTGAAATGCACCCAGCATGACTGAATCGCACCTGCCATGGCGGAGTTTTTGGGATATTTTGAGCTGCCTGTTCCAGTTAAAAGATATACACTTTCTTATTGTCATTCAATCGGCGTATTTTGTGTTTCCTTAGCAACAAGGCAACTGGCGGCTCTAAGCATGTATTTTATAGCATAACGTGGTCACCCTGTGCTCACATGTGTAGAGAGGGATTGAATGGCCTAATGAATGAATGCCATTGCTTGTTTTTCTGTACCTCGTTTTAATGAGCATCTTCTGAAAAATCACGTTGCCATGGCAGGTTACCAACAGCATTTGCAGGTTGATCTGCAGCAGACAAAATCTAGCCACCCTTTTGTAAACAAGTGAAGCAGACAGTGCATTCATGGTGTTTTATTAAATGAAATTCTGCAAAAGGAGGCTGCATGAATTGGATAATACGAGATCGAGACAAAGCGCATTGTCATTTGAGCAACAGCTGCACAAACCTAAATCAGACAATTATTGTTTGTTTGTTAAGTCTGAAGCATAGGACTTTCAAGCGTCGTTCCAACCATCAATGTCAACTAGACTCCGCTTTGTAACATCCCCTAATCGTTAACATGTATTCACATTTTTCTGTTCATTTTCGATGTGTTTATGATAACTCGTGGATCGAATCTTTGTTAAGAAGTTCAAAGTAGGCCAAAACTCTTCAGTTTCTCCATTTTCTGATAATCTTTAACTCTTAATATTCGTAACTAAAAAAACTCCTTTTTCTATTGGTCGATTTGAAAATAAATGTTATATTCAACAATTCTTTAGACGAATGATTTTGAAAAATTGAAGAGGTTGAGCACTGAAATTTCAGTTGAATTTGCGATTAACGATTTGTGATACAAAGTATGTGTTTATGTTTAATGTATGTGATACAAAGGATAAACGCAAATGAACCTAGTTGAATTCTAGGTTAGATCTTTGGACTTGGGATTAATATCAGCAGCGAGAAAAGCTGTTGAGATGGAAGGCAGCAATGAAATATTTACAGGTAGAGAATCTCCGCTGTTTTTATATCAGATCCAGCAGCTGTGACGGTTCTTCAGGCAGGGACCGTCATCGGGGGGGGGGGGCTTAGGGGCCATCCCCCCACTTTTTGGCAAGCAAAAATATTTCCATAGAGGTCCAGTTTTGCAGCACTAAATTCAAGTTCGATGTATAGAACTTGGCACCTCCACCTTGAAATTCGTGGCGTTATGGGTTTCTTTTGGAATTTGTTATAATTTGAAGCAGGAGGTTTTGTTGGCTTTTAATCGATGTTAGTCTCCTGTCCTGTTTGCAATGATAGGACGAGTTTGTTGGAGTATTATAGAGAAAGCACTTAAGAACAGAATCATTGTTAATCAAAATAGCTCTATCGTGGGACAAAGTCCGCATTTGTAAGCCACTATCACACCGAATCTCTTAATTCAGTGATTAGTATCAAAATGAGACGAAACGAATCCCAGCCTAGCTTAAACCACATCACATGGCATCTGTACTTCTTGAATTAAGAATACGCTTGTCTGGGTTACTGGATTTAGTCAGACACAGAATCTAGAGGCATGGGAGTAATATGACATCAGTGTGATTGAGGTCAGTTTTTGTTGACGCATTCCTTCAGGATGCTCTTTGCCTCAAAGTTATTTTTTTATTATCATTTTTCGTCCACTTTCTTGGAAAAGCTCCACTACACTCTGAGACCTACCCTGGGTCTACATATTTATTGCACATTGTTGTGTTTTTTTGAGAGTTAATTCCGGGGAGGGGGTAACTTGTACCAAAAAACGACGGAGGCGTGCCGCCCAAAATATAGCAAACTTAACCACTTTTAAGGATTGGAGAAACAAAACCCAGTTTTAAGTTTTATAAAATCAACTGTAAGTAGCAGTGGGGAGACTGATAGAATGACAATTTTCAACTGATCGATTGCATTATGTATCAAGCATCGCTTTAGTCGGGAAGGAGTGTATGTAAACAAAAAATTTGGGTTTCTCGACAGTTGAGCTTACCCATATACAGTATGTGGGAGTCAATGCATTTTGGAGACCCATATTTGAAGACATTCGACCCACCCACATGGGTGGCATGGCACCGTTCAGCTACACATTAGTGTTACCCCCTCCCTCCATCTCTCCCTCCATCTCTCCCTCCATCTCTCCCTCCATCCCTCTCTTCATCTCTCCTTCCATCCCTCCCTCCATCCCTTACTCCATCCCTTCCTCCATCCCTCCCTCCATCTCTTCCTCCATCCTTTCCTCCATCCATCACTCCCCCTCCCTCTCTCCCCCTTCCTCTCTCTCCCTCCCTCTCTCCCTTCCTCCCTCCGTGGGGAATAAATAAACAAAGTCTCCTCTTCGGATTAAAAGATTGAACAGATGTAAAGGATCCAAGAAAGACCCCGCTTCGGCAGCTGGCCATATGGATAAATGTCCAAGGCCTTTTGGGAGGTTCCAAGAAAGAACTAAAATCGCTCAACAGAGCCAATGATTTAATAATATTCCTCGGGAAATGATAGCCAACGCCCCTTTAACAGATAGGACTGTTTGGCCCTGGAAGATCTCAAGAGTGCAGGCTATAAATACCCGCTTATAACTGTAATTCTCAGTCTGGAAAGGTTCGTGCAAAATGTTCGTCTACTTCTTGATAAGGTTCGTCCACTTCTTGGATCAATAACTTCAAATATTTTCAGTATGAATATGTAACACTCACTTTAAAAAATAATCCTAATTCATATTTGATAAAAGTTTTCAATCTTTTTTGTTAAAGACTAAAAGAGTACTTGGTTGGTGATTCATAATCTTAAATTTTTCATGATCTGCAAGTAAGAACTAAGTATTTCAATTTTATGGGTTTAACTTGTTCTTATAGGCGTGTTTAATTTTACTTAATTAAAATCCTAATACTGAGTGGAATGTTTTGTAGCTTCTCGTGACACAGTGGGCATTGCCAAATAATTTCTTTCACCCCACATCCACCCACCCCTTTAAAGGCAAAACAGTTCGCACCTTTGACCATCAGAATCACACTTCATTCAAGATATTTTAGATAAAAAAGCAGCTCCGACATCACGAGCTCCTGAACAAAGTTCGCGGCCAGATTACTTGTCACGCTATCAACTATTGAGCTATCTGCTTCTCAAACGAAGTCCTGATTAAAATTCTCGTAAGCTGTCTCTGCATTATTAGACAAGCTTAACTCTGCTAAGACTAGCTTTCCTTTTTCTTCATCCTTGAGAAAGTTTATGATCACCCATTTCTGCAAATCTTTGCAACATGACTTGGATTTTGTACTGCTTGCAAAGTCAACGGAAATTCTTCGCCTGTTCCCATCCGCAAATCTTGACCTTATCGTGCATTTTTGTTATGTTTTTATTTTCGTAAAGTGATCAGTCAATGACGTCATACTCTTTGTACCTGTTGCATTTGAACTTCGATTTTTAGCTGATTTTTTTCGACATATCGTATCATTGTCGCTGTTCGCAATAGAAAAAACAGAGCACTCCCCATTAGAGGTCAACGAAGAACAAGGGTAAACTGTGCGAAAAACCCTCTGGATTTTTTACCCCTTGGGTTATTTACCCCTCTAGGTTTCTCACTCAAAGGCTATAAAAGTAGCCAAAAATGGGGTCAGGATTGTCGATGATCGACAGAAAGGGGTCGGCGGACAGATATCGATGGAATGTGATTGGTCGTCGCTGAAATAGAATCGAAAAACCTTTCAGAAGTTTTTGCTAAAAAGCAGGGGTGGAAACGTGCCTAAGGAAAAGTACTAAAGGATGATTACGCTCCAGTTTTGCGGCAAAACCACTTCCTCTTTAATTTTTATTCCAGCGTGAATCCCACATCTGCATTTATTAAAACCCATCCTCCAGTTTGCAGATCATTCTTCTCATGATCCACCTGAACGCTTTTTCTACTCGATTGTTCCCCACCAGGTTCGCCATTCTCTTTGGTCCGTCCACGTATCAACCAGCAAAGCAAGCAACAACAACATGGATGCCTACGTCAATCGACCAGCAAATTTTCTTCGTCTCAGAGACCTTTTATTGCATTATCTAAATTAGATATTGTCTCGTATTTACTAGACGGCAACAGACTGGAAATTTGATTTCCAGATGATGACAAACATCGTTTCAAAAAAGGATTGTGGGTTGTCTCCTGGACAAGGCACAAAACACTGTGCGATGAGCGTAGCTTCTCAGTGTTCTTAAAAGTACTTTCAGTTGCCATGTAGAAACAACTACAAATACTGGGGACCCAGGGACGCTTTTTGTTGGATGATAGAGAAGGGTGACGTTCTGTTTAATGAACTGAGTCATCCAAGTATTATTTGCTCATTTTTTATTTTGTTAAACCTGATTTGAGTTTGATCGCCTTGAGCCACGCTGTCGTCAGTGTGAAAAATAAAGTTCAGTTGCCTCTCTGCAAAGATTTCTGGCTGTTTAGTATTGAAATTGTCCAGTTTGATTTACAGACTATGCATTAGTTTGACCCTTCCTTCCTGGGCCAGCTCCTCACAGTCATTCAAATAGAAGCTAGAGTATTGCTGAAGAATCAAGGGAACATTTCAAAAACCAGTAGCCATGACTAGACGCTTTTCCAACTGGTCGAGATTTCAATTGGGAAATTAACTCTTTGATATAAAAAAAGGGACTCGAAATTTGTCAGCATTCAAGAACAAATTAAGAACAAGCTGAGGCTGAGGTACTGTGAAATGTAATTGGAAACAAAGTTGTAAAACCACCTGCACAGTTCCATCCTAAAAAAAAGAGTGTTTTGCTTTATAGGGGCGCTTCGTTGGCGAATTTTCAAACTTGTGGGCAAATAAAGAACGGCTCACTCACTTTGTTGGCAAGTGAGGGCCTGAACACTCCCTTTTACCACAATAGCTAGCGTTCGGTTTACACCAATTTCAGAACAAATTAAGAACAATCCATCCTCAAAGGTTTGGAAAAATCTCGAACAGCTAGCCTGAATTTCAATTTACTGGTTCTTAAAAAAGACAGGGTACTCAATGTACTCATGGACCTGCTCGTATGGTTGGAATAGCCCACTCAGATGGAAGACTGATTAATACATAAAGTACTATAATACAGAGAGTCCCCGCCTCAAATCCAAAATGAGTCATCCACCTGAATGGGCTATCCCATCTGCTTGGGTCCTGATTTTGGATTGGGTATGGCAGTGAAGTGATGGAGAATCACTACCTTAAGTGACAATGGATCATTTACTCAACAAAACATTTGAATATTTGGCTTTATTGGCTTTGTTGACATTTGATGGACAATTTGTTGTGTGAAAGCCCCAATAATTGCCAGTTTTGTAATGTAATTTACCAAAATATGATATGACAGGAAATCATTTCATTTTGATATATTCTTTGTTTGCTGTTTAAAAAATAATTTTTCTCTAGATTATTTTGATGCTGTGGCTTTCTAAGAATTGTGGGAAGTGATTTTATATCTGAAGACGATAACTGAGTCATTTCTTCATTAGATCTTGCCGTCCTTCCGTCGCTTTTTATTGCAAACGAGGTCTTATATTTTGATTGCATCTCGATTACAACGTGTGGCTTTATTCATTTGTCGTCTGAAGTACGTCTAACACAAATGCCATTAAAACGTCTTAACTTCCCACCTGGTGGATTGTAATATTACGGATTATGCTAGATCCTTGCCAGCCTATGTTGCTTATGTTTGAGATATGATATTTTCTCATCTCATCAAGAAACTAACCTAATTTTTCTGCAGGGTATTCCTCGTACAAAGATTTTGTCATACTGATAATAATCTCCAGGGAAAGATGGAGCCCTCATGAAACATTTATCTGAAAAATAGCAAAGAGTGTAAAAGATCTCTTTTGGTATCAACCAGGGAAACACACAGCCTCCCACCCCTCTCTGAGGCCCCAGCTCTTCACCTTTTTTAATTTCTCCCTTTTCATCACCTCGTAGTATCGAATGCTGTTACGGAAAAAAGCCGCTTACAAGTATCTTCACAGACAGAAAGCGTACGAGAAGCTTGGGGAGAGGAGGAAAGATATGGAACTTCCCGTTGATGAGCTAGACAGAGTTTTTCATACTGTTACCGAGGCAGACATCTTGGCAGCCAAAAACCAGTAAATTTTATGTTAGATATTTCTATTCCTTGGATGATTCTTTGGATTTAAAAATAAAAGCGGAAAGCTTTTCCTGCTTTCTTTATCATGATAACTTTTATTCACTTCATATTTTTGTTTAAGTTGAGATACTTGCTGGTAAGTTGTGATTGTTCTTCTGCGTAACTCCTCCGCAGATCCGGTAACTTTTGTTTGGCAGTTGTTGCTGCCAAGGAGAGTCATTCTTTCTAGACAGCAACCGTTTGCTCGCCTTTAGGTGGATTTAGAGAAGCCCAGAAGAGCAAGAAGGATCATTTACACTCGTTACATATCACCTGAAAGAGCAATGCTACAAAGGGCTAATCTCACCTTGCTCATGCTATTATCCTGCATTGATCCTTTCCGTGGCCTAACAGAGCTCCTAGATTCATGGCTCAAGACTCTTCATTCGAATGAAAGCAAATGCTTATGTTCCATGTCATAACAATAGCCTATTTCTTGTGAGACAATTACCTTTCTTGCAAGACTCACTTCAGTCCTCTTGCTTTTCTTATCGTTAAACAAAACCCTCTAGTAATTTTGGTGATGCATTAAAGGTAGTACGATAGTGACTGAGTCCTAGAAGGGAATCTTTGGTAGTAAAAAACTCCTAAACGTTCACCGAAACTGTACAATGTCTGATATTGGATTGGATGTGATAGGGTAGGATAGAATAGGATATTATGGCATAGCAAATAGCAAATAGCAAATAGCAAATAGCAAATAGCAAATAGCAAATAGCAAATAGCAAATAGCAAATAGCAAATAGCATAGCATAGCATGAAATAGCATAGCATAACATAGCATATTATGGCATGGCATGGCATGGCATGGCATAGCATAGCATAGCATAGCATAGCATAGCATAGCATAGCATAGCATAGCATAGCATAGCATAGCATAGCATAACATAGCATATTATGGCATGGCATGGCATGGCATGGCATGGCATGGCATGGCATGGCATGGCATGGCATGGCATAGCATAGCATAGCATAGCATAGCATAGCATAGGATAGGAAAATGGTTATCCCGCGTTGATGTTGGCGTAGTTTTAAACGGTTATTTGATTCTGTACTAGTTTTTGGCTATGCCAAGTCCTTTGGTTTTAGATATTTAAGTTATCTAGATTTGAAGTTAAATTATATCTTGAATTAATAACAAATAAGATAATATCATTTAAATGAATAAAAAACGAAGAAAATCGTGAAAAAGAAGCTACTATCGCCACTATTGGCAGACAAAGCACGCCAAATTTATGCTAGTTGAGAAAATCATTATAGACAAGAATTGTTGGTCAGGCAGAAGTGAGTTTAACTTTATTCATCATTTTATTCAAGATTTGATAAAATATCTAGTATCAAAAATTAAAATAAATATAATCAGCTTATTAATAACATTAAATGCTTAGGAACTATGGCTGTGTTTCGAGTTTTTTGGAAATACGTGTTTAAGGAATTTGGTTGCTTTTCAATTTTCCCTGGGAATGTCTTGTTATCTTCATGGTTTCTGGATGAATTCGACCTAAATTGTCTAGGATATATGGGATTTGAACAAACCGTTTTGTATTAATACTATTGACAGACGTAATTCCACCAGTGGCATGATCTTTAGGCCTTAAGGTAAATTCATAAGATCTTGTTTGGAAATAAAAGAAAGTTCACCGTGCGTTTTTCAAGAACAGAACAATCTTTTCAACTGTGCTTCCTCCCTATTCAAGCCCGTCGTTGGTTTTTCTCTTTGTCGCAATTTGGATTTGATACTCGTTCCAGGTTCATAAACACAAAAGGCGTTAGAAAATAAAGGCGAGATTGTCTTCAGAGACCATATCAATTGCCATTGACAAAAACTGCCGTCCAAAGAACTCACCTTTTTTATCATTTATCAATATTTATACACGAGTACCTTTCAGCTAACAAATTAATCAATTTTTGGCAATATATGTCTAGGAAAAATAAAATTGCTGCTCTACCAGGGGATCGTGCTCGGGTGCCGCATGGGATCAGGCAAGTCATTGCCTACCCTAAAAACATATCGCCTGTGGTCTATCACCATATCTTCACTTTCCCTGGCATTCAAACAAAGTTTATTTATTCTCATCCAATTCAATATATTTTCCAGCTCATTTTTCATACCTGTTAGATCAGCATACAAATTTAGGACCATGCTTTCCAGACAGTTCCCAAAGCCATTGATATATAGTATGAAAAGCAAGGGTCTCAAACACGAGCCCTGCGGAATACCACATTCAATGTTGCTTTTGCTAGAAGGAGACCACCCCGTTAAGGAGAGCGAGGGGGTCGAGAAGTAAAGGCAATGAACTTTTCCCGTCAATTAGCATGCCTTGTTCATGCAAAATCGCCACCAATTCCTTCATTAACCAATGCATTTAACATTGCAAGTGAAGGATGCCAATAAAAGCCGAAATTAACAAGAATTTGGTTGTGTGGGTATGGATGCAAAATAATTTTTTGTTCCCTAAAGAGGCTGCATTTATTGCTTCCTCGACCCTACTTGTTATTCATTTTGGGGAAGACTGTAATTTACTCGACCAATTGTGGATTCAAGTGGCAATACTTGGTCTTTTTCCTACAAGACAGTGCATACAATACACTCCTCATGGTGTGAACCTTTGGTTGATGGGCGAAGGTTGGCTAGCTTTTACAGCAAGATCAAGAAGTGGATAGGGGAAAGCCAATGAGGATCGTATAAAGCAATTGGGGGAAGGGCTTCTCTTGATTGGCTGTCTTCTGACCAATCATTAAACTCTAAAGTGCGAACCCATTTCGCCTGCCGCTTCGCATGAACCTGTCCGTGCACATAAACCATTCTCTAGTTCTTTGGTAACCAAGCACCGCTTGGTTTTCAATTCACTTCCAATGACCTTTTTTCAGCTTTCATCTGGCCTCGCAGCTCTCCGTTTGGCTTCTGTTGACGACCCATGGTTCCCGGAAAAGATTACCGACACTATTAAAAAGAATGGTGTAAATTCTGAATTTAAGCTGAATTAATCCTTTGATTGGACAGATTCAAGTCGAACACCCCTGTATTAGCACTCAGCTTGAATTTACACGATGGCACCAACAAACCACTATTTTTCTGCTGGATCCTCAGCTGATGTTATTTAGTTCACCATTATTGTCGTCAATATGGAACTAAAGGCTACGATTAACCAGCCAATAGGGCAAAGAGCTAACGTGGCAACTGTAAGCGATATAGCGATGTGACAAAACTAGCAGGGCGCTATGTTACAAATATCTACTATTTGCTATTTTTGTCCTTTGGATTTGCCTTTTATCCTTTCTGTTCGTAATGCTAAGTAGCTCGAGATTTAGTGGCCTTCCTACATCCCGGTAAATGGAGGCTGACGCCCCTGGCTCAAAAATATATAGGTTGTCAACACGGCAAAAGATTTCCTATAATCTGCAAATCGACACAATTTTGCTACTGTTCACTAATTCACCAATTCAACGTCATCAAAACACCAGTAGTGCTCGTCATTCAACCCTTTCTATGGCCCGTGAATTCCAAAGAGCTTGACTCTTGTGGGAGGATTTATTAACCATTATGGCATTAACTCCCTTCTGTCACCAACGAAGATCCTTTTCCTGTATCGGATTGTTTTGATATCTTACGGAAGCCCACAACATTCCTACCCCATCGTTCAATGGTGATGTTGCTTACGACATTTCATTTCCTCCTTCATTATTTTCCTTCTTTGTCCAATACATCTATTATTATATATATATTTGGCTGGCGACAGGGGCTGGCTAGAGGGTTTGACGACTAGGGGGCTAGGGCAGGATTCGATGTTACTTTTAAGCTCCTGATTTGAGGAAGATATTTTGCCCATCCTTGTCTGTTTAGTGAGCCCACTCGTTGAAAAAATATTTATTTGCCATTCCTGTGGCCACTAGAAAATAAGAACGAGAAAATAATCACTTGAAAATGATCATTAACTGATTGGCCACCCCTAACTGCTTGGATTGTAAAGAATTTGTCGAAAGGAAGCCCATTGATACGGTGCTTTGGTGCTTTTACTTTCAGAATATTAATTTTTAGAAGATGACATTCTACATCAACACAAGTCTTCTTTATTGTCTTTTTGGAAGCAGAAAATTTAACTCATTATTGACCATGAATGCATTTCTCTAATGGGGTTGAAATTTATATTAAAAGCGAACTTAAATTCAGAAACTTTATAAATTTTTTTTTTCCAGTGGATACGCCCCCCCCCCCCAGTTCTCGGCAGGTTCATTTTTGTATTTTGGCAAAGTACAGGGCCCACGCCACGGGATTGAAAGTGGGGAGGGGACCAAGACCTCTTTCACCTTTTATTGCAGCTTTGAAATTACTTGTCTCGCAAAAAATGGGGGACATGGCCCTCCGACACCCCTGGTGGCATGGGCCATGAAGTATTCTTTGTGATGTGGTTCTATTATTTGTGTAGCCAAAATAAGTTTTTGGCTTCGTAACTAAGTTTGGCGTCGCCTATTTGGAAAAGGGCGCGGCCTAGCAAATTTTCTGCCCTTCTCATAGGCTTGTGGCTGCCGCCGCCATCAGTCGTTCCTCATAAACAAAACGTGTTAATCTCTTCATCTCTGTGAAAGCATAGCCTTTTGATGAAAGTATATCTGCTTGCTTTGTTATTTCAGACTGAAACTGCTGAGAGATTTAAAAAATCTCACGACTTCCTTCTCGTGTAATAGCATGCAGTGGGGACAAAAGCGCTTCCTAAATGTAGGCCGGCGATCGTTCGATTTTCACGACATGGCATCGTACGATCACTATCTATGGTACGATCAACATTTGGCGTGCAACAGTTTAAATTATATATGACCAGCTTATTCGAATTCCACATCAGCTTATTGAGAACTACTTGTCTTGCTGATAATAAGTCACCTGCAAATTATTTGTGGCTAACGAAATTAAGATCCGTCTATGGGCACCTTGTTCGACACTATAGAAGTCTGTCTGATCTCCCTGTGAAAAAGAAATTTTTCTGAATGAAAAATGTAGTAGTGTAGTGGTGTAGAATTGACGGAAATGTTGATTCACTGCCACAATCGTCCGATACTCATTTTAAAACGATATGATCATTATGTAAAGGGATGCTGTGAATCAAAGGTAATGTTGAAATCGAGGTTCTATTAACCAATATTGCCATGATTATCGAGCTCCTAAAACGGAAAACGCCCATCCGTGCTGAATGTGCCCCTAAACCCTCTAGATTTCCACCACTGCAGTGAATATTTCGAAATCTGTCAGACGATTAGTATGCTACTTTTGCTTAGGGGCCGTTATAAAGTGACGCCATGCTTAACTTCATCGGTTTCAACCACTACGCTCGAACTTGTCACAAAAATGTGTTTTGCCGGTTCTCTTCCCCCCTCTCATGACGTCACTTAAAAACCTGAAGTGCAGAAGAGAAAACATTTTGAAGGAAACTGTGAGATTTCGTTATAGTCATGATTATGGTCTGTTTTTAATAAAACTCTACTACACAACCCCCCTGATTACCGATTAATTCTCACCACATTTATAGATTCATTCTACCATATTGGAGACAGAAATTATATCTCAATCCATATTCATTGGTATGATATTTAAATGACGTATAAATTGTTAAACAAGTTATTGTTTACCGGTGTTAATCAAACAAATCTTGAGTAACTACTCCGAAATGGAGACTTTGTTGCTACATTATTATCATCATTATTATTATTATTATCGCATTATTACTTTTAACTGCCCATCAAAAGATTTACTAAACAGCAGAAGCTCTATTTTCATTCTAGAAAATTCAAAATAACTATTTGAAACCAAATGCAAGCAATCGGTTTAATTTTGTTGTAATAGAATAACCAGGATGATTTCGTTTAACATGCAGCTGAAAACGCAGCCTGCATTTCTTCTTTTCAGCAAAAATAAATGTTAGATAACTATTTGATCCATATATACTGATGCGTTGTCAAATTTGAAGGGGAAGCTGTTTTATCAGCTTTTCGCAAACATTGCATCCTTAATTTACTCTTCTTAAACCTATCTAAAGAGACTTTCAAGGGAAATAGAGCTGACTTTTTGCATTAATATTTGTCAATGTATTTGACTTGTTTGCATTTTCCTTCAATACATGGCTTTTGAATAGGCTGAAATCAGCCTCTTTGAACTTATCCGTTTTCTATCCCGTTTATTAGTCTTACAGAGATCCTTCCACGTTAATTCTGTCCTTGATTTCAATTTGCAGCCATGCCCCTTTTCAACCATTCCTAAGTTTCTCCAGTATCTAATTGATACCATGTACTTAGAGAAGCACATTGGCAGGGACGCTGGAGAGGGGGGCGGGAGAGGGTCAACCGCTCTGTTGCCTTTGATGAGGAGGGGCAAGAGGGGCCAAATTGCCCTTTTCATAGAAGTGGCCTTGATATCGGCCATTTGTAGAGCAATTTCTTATGTCAAAAGTTAGCCGATATTCAAGATACCTACAGAAAATCGGCACAAATTGAAAGTTACGAGGAATTGTTAGTGGCTGTTAGTGGAAGGCTTGCCCCCTTGCATACACTTCACAAAAGTTTTTGGTCTGTGGCGCAGGCTACCTTGCAACTTGGTCGTTCCGGCGTTCTGGCTCACAGTATTCTGTTGTACCGCCCTTTGATACTTATTTTCGCCTATAGGTTTTCTTTTTATTTTCATATTGTGGCCCGTTTTCATTTCATTTCTAATGGGCCACAATATACCCAAATTAATTGCTGTGAGGTTGAAACTCTTTTCTGCTACAAGGTGACATAGCGTTCCAAACCTATCCTAGGCAACTTGATACTGCAGGAACTAGAGGTTCAGATTTCCATATGCCCGGCGGGAACCGTTTTCGATTTCCTAGAAACGGTTGGCATGCACCGCGCGCTACCAACAAACAGCGCTTCATCCCATCTTTGCATTCAGATCTCCTATAATCCTTTGTTACGGGTCATTTTAACCCGCAGCTAATGCTCTGTTCAACAACAAATAAACCTGTATCCAATGGTTGAGGCACCACCGCTTAACCTACATTAACTTAGAGGTTACTTCTGTGCTTTCATGTCCGCTTCGCGTTCTTTCGTGTCACGCTGAATGGGGCTTAATTTTGAGAACCCTCTTACCTAATACCTGCTACTCAAACTCCGAGATACAAATTTTTGTTTGGGGGGGTCAGCCCTGATAAATTAGTGAAAACAGCCATATTTTTCACATTTAAAGTATTTTAATTATAATACTTAGGTTTTTTGGGGGGCCAAGCCCCCCCCCTGCCCCCTCTCGGTATCTCGGTCCTTGATGCTGCTATTACATATTCCTGAGATTTTAGATCAGTTGAACGAAATGTTTATCAAAACCTTCGCTTCTAAATCTGAAGAAACATCAAATATTGTTATTAATTTAAGGCAAAGAAAATATGCCGCGGTCACGTCTAAGCCCGCCGCTTATGGGAAGCTTTCCGAATAAGTACACAACGCGTGGGAGGCTTGGCGAACAACGCGAGTTATAACCGCCTTTTTCCAGAGCTCAAGTTTTTGAGGTTCGTGATATCATGTTTTTTGTTATATAAGAATCCGTCTATATTCGATCCTTTCGATAACCAAAAAAATACAAAACCACGAGGCAACCTCAGGAAACTGTGCAAAAATCCTCCTTTTGAAGATGGGATGGAAATGATTAGACACCCATCTCCTGAACAAGAAATAAGGAATAACTTTTAGCGACTGCTATGTGCTCTTTTTCATGCTATATTTGTAATATTGTAGTGTTTCTCAAAAGGAACTCGATCGCTAGAGCACTTGATATTTAATAAACTTAAATATCTACCAAAATAGCAAAAATGTTAAGAAATTGAGCACTGATCTCGAGCTGAAAATCCCGAGCTGAACTTCTAATAAAAAGTATATATGTATTTATTCAAGTTTTCTTGACTCTGCATTTTTCATCCACAAAGTTTTTTTCCTTTTCAGTTCAGTGTTAATCTCGTCAAACTTCCTGCTTACGTCATAATTTTCTTCAAGTTTCCTGAACCAGTACAAGCATTAATTTTTTTACCATCTCGGAAGTAACTTCATAGTTCTTATTTAATTATAGGAAAATACAATACAAGCTACGGCTTCTGAAGGCATGCAGGTTTCCTACTGTTTTGCTAAACATTTCCTACTTTCTATTTGTGTTCTGATTATGGAGCCCTGTGCTTTGTGATTTCAGATTAAATAAACAACGGCAACAAGCACAAATGCATCAACAAGGAAGTTTCTCTCTGCACCCTAGGCTGCAGATACAGACGTATTATTTTTCAAAAACGAAATATTTCTTCGACTTTCACAATTTCAGAAACAAACAAGGGCTGAGAGGGGTGTAGGAGGATTTGACTTCCTCCGATTGATCATGAGTTGGTTAGCTAATCTTCAGTTGGTCCTTGTCTTCATCTGTAAATTTTATTTCCTTTTGATGATAGCCCTCAAACACCCCCTCCAACACCCTCAACACCCCCTTCCTGCTCTGAAAACAAGTTTTCACTACGCCACTGTAAACAAGCTTTGTGTTGTGACAAGGCCAGGCAACAACCTGTGCAAGTTTTCCAATCGGCAACCTGTCTTCTCTTGACCCGAACAAGCCCGGCAGATTTCAGAAGCAAATTTTCTCATATTCAGCTGCATTATTGATCGAGATCTGCGTTAGCCATATAAAACCGGCCTTTTGTTGCATTCTACAATAGTATGTTAGTAGGACCGATAATAAACCATTAATATTGCAAGGACGAAATTCTAAGCTTCTATCTACAACAGAATTCTGTGATCGTACGATGTGCAGGCACGCAAGGGGGTGTGTCGGAGGCAGGAATGAGTCATAGGTCGCTGCGGAGCGTGCTCGTTTGTGGCTGGTTGATGGCAATAATAAACTTAAGTCTGCTCTTCGTAGCCAATGGTTGTGGGGGGGGGGGCACAAAGGGTTTATGACGATTTTTAATTATGATTTGAAATTAACCATTCCTGGAAAAATATTGTTTATATCATACACGATATGTCTTTAACGCGTAATTCGTTATACTAACTTTGTATAACCAAGATAAAGTCTTGATATACCGGACTGAATAAGTGAGTGGATGTAGTATCTATACATAACAGCCAGGAAGTGGGACTGGTTTCGACCTTCTACATGCTATAAAATTTCCTGTTGTCAAGATCAGCAAATTAAAACCACATTGTTCAAATTGTTCGCCACAACGGACAAATTGGGTTAGGCCAAGATCCCTATCTCTCGTCTATTTCGTTGTATTTCCTTGCACATTTAATGTCCACAATCAACGTACATACAGTTGGATTTTTATGTTTATATAAAATAATCGACGTTTAAGGCTTGTGATTTTAATAATTATGAAAATGCTTCGTATAATGTCCTTTTTGCTCAAGATTTCTTATCGCCTCCAAACTATCGCCGTGCCTGCCAAATGAAATTTTCCAAAAACGAGGAATTTAAATATGAAATATCTATACTTTTGGAAACTCGTTTAAAAAAGAGTGGTGTTTTATTCAGGTTGCAGTTTCCTAAAGCAGTATTTTTTGTAGAAGTGAAGTTATTTTTCCGGGCGTAGCTACGGAGGATTGTCGTATGGACGCCCTGTGGCTCCAGGATAGACCGATCGAGAATCAGCCAATCAGATTGCAAGTTTTTGAAAGTAATCAAATTGAACGTTTCAACATCATGGTCTATTTACTACAATGTCCTGGCTGGCAAGGGCATGAAAGAACGTAGTTAGATCATTTGCTGGAGTCCATCCTATAAAAGCGGGTTACTTCCAGCAAAACAACAAGACATCATAATGGAGAACTTTGTACACGTAGTTATCCTATTACTGTTATCGACAAAGCTGTATCTACAAGCTGGTGAGTAAGGCCTTGCCTATAAAGCATTTCACTTTTCGGATCGCACGATTTATCGTAAACACGTTTCTCTTATAACTTTATGATAAGCATTTAAAACGATCCTCTTCAATTTATTCTGAAATTTCACTACAATCGTTATATTCATGCTAGTTTTTAGGCGGACCGGGCTATTAAGAAGGAAAATAATTGTGGGTTCCCTCCCTTAATATTTTACTCTAGCTGTTGAATGTTTTCATGTCTAATAGGCGTGTTTTGCTGCCAAAACAGTAAAAGAAAATCCTCTTCACAATTGAAAAATGTTATCAACAATATCACAGTAACAAATAAACTTGTACTTAAATTTTAAGGAGGTAGCCTACACGTATTCGTAAGGCATTTGAAACACGTTGGAGGCTTTCTAAGATTTGTTAAATGAGCCATAAACCGAACAAGATCCTTTCAAGTTTTACTGTTCCTTTGTTTTAGTAGTAATGTTACCCAAACTATTAAATGGATAAAAATATTGATTTCGAAGAACCGAATAAAAAATAGGAAACTCGACCGTCATCAAATTTGCCTTCTGGTACCACTATTGTACTATATTGGGTGGTCTCAAAATTTGGGGGGAAATACATCATCTAATGTTGTCCAAGGAACGATTTATGCAAGAAAGTCAAATGTTGATTATATTGGATAAGCAAATAAAAAATTATATTTAAAATAAATCATAACTTATCACATGCATTAAGTATTTTCAATGAGCAAAAAAATGAAATTTTTGTTTTATTTAACAGATGCTTTGGCTTGTGATAAAGGGGAATGGCAATGTGGGAGTGGACAATGTATCTCACTTTCTTGGAAATGTGATGGAGAAGAAGATTGTGTCGATAATTCAGACGAAGCAAGTTGCAGTAAGTTGCCCAGTAGGTTAACTTTAATTTTTTAAGTGTGGAATACTTTGAATGGACAGTTCGTTTGTGTGTACGTCGGACGTGAGTCAGAACTCATTCATATCGTCAATAAGTTGTTGACAACTTGCCAATATGTGTAAAGTGCAAGGTTTGTTCAAGTTATAAATGTACTCGAAATAGTAGCTTGTTTAAAAACTTAAATTTGTCGGGGAATTTAAATAACTGCACAAGCTGTTCCCAGCCATTTTTCTCTGTTCGAAATCTAGAGAGGGCAAACCGCCCAACTGTCAAACCGCCCCTTTATGGCAAACTAGTCATGACTTCCATAAGATCAAGCTATCAAATTACGTTGTAAATAAAAGTAGGAAATTTTCACGTTTAGTAGGAAGACTTGATTTATATCATGAACCAGTTTCAATTAATTTAGGCCTGAAACTTTTTGAATCGATAAATTCGTGGACTACGAATATTCACTGCATGAGTGGTTGCAGGTCGTCTTAGAAAACCTTTTGCTTGGAATTCAGTTTTTTTGTAAAGGTTGTGGTTTTTAAAATATTTCTTCTGCAAACAAGGATTATTTAATTTACTGTGCAACTGCGCTTCGCAACCGTGTTTAGCCACATGCTGTCGGCTTTATCTCATGCCTGGCCGCCATTCATATGATTTGCTGAATCAGAGGCGTGTCGTGGGCAAGTTTTGTGAAAACTGCCGTCTGATTGGCTAGATTTTATCATCTGACTGGCATTGCGTGATTTGATTGGCCAAAGTGTTTAACAAAGCGATTCACGCTATTTGATTGGTCTATTGATGTGGTGGAACCATAGGATTCACTCTGGGATAAAGTTTTGTTTGTGAAAATGCTACGCATTATTGCCCAAATCCATAGAAAAACCGTATGGTTCTTAAAAAACTTCGTAGGAAGTGTTCGCCCACAAATAAGCTCGATATGTTAGCTGTAAATACACTTGCTGAGCAAAATATCCAATCGCACAATGACTTGCAGCCATTCAAACATTTGTCTCAAAGCTCTTAGTTGTCCGAGAAGTAAAATAGGCAAATGTTTAACCCTATCCAGACTAGGCTTTTTGAAACTTTCGGGAGACTAGGGGGGGGCACAAAGTGCCCCCCCTCCGTAATTTCTTTGTCCCTCTAGCTAGGACGATGAACTTTGTTTGGATGGTACTCTTGTCTTTTCTCCACATTTTAGTATTATTGTTCAATTTTTAAGTCACGTGGTTTTACGATGACGTCATCATAATGGTGGCCGGGTGAAGCAAAAATTTAGAAAATTTTAGAAAATTTTAAAATATTCATTAATTCCAAAGCATCGGGCTAAGATATTAAATTAAGCAAATTTGATGCATTTTCTAATAGAAACAAGAAGATTGACACAATTTTAATGTTACTTTTCAAAATTATTAACGCTCAAAACAAAAGAACTCAACATATTTTGTAATTGGCTATAGTTTTTTCTATATAAATAAATGATCGATACAACCAAATGTCATGTTTGAGTTCATTTTTAATGCCTTAGCAGAAAAATTACTCTAAACTTGCAGTTTTATTATTGTAATACCTATAAATATGTCAACAAATGTGTGCGCATGCGCAGCAGAAAAATCATAGAAAAGGATGTTGAATTTGAATTTTCTGGCTAGAATCATGAAGAGAGGACAAATTAATGCCTATATACTAATTTTCATCAATATATATTATTTTGTTGCGAATCCGTGGCAGATTAAACTATTTTTTACTTGACTAGTTTTGAAAACGCCCCTACACAACCCCCCGATTAATAATAAAAAAATTATCTTTTTATCTGAACATGTGTCAGATAGGTTAAAACTAAAAGTCAGGAGGTCTGAGGGGTATTGCTTTGAAACTCCTGAAGTTATGAAAGAAAAACCAACTAGGGGGGCACTTTGTGCCCCCCCCTAGTCTGGATAGGGTTAAATTCCTCTAGACTGAAACATAGAGCATTTTCAAACGCAATGAAATATTTTTTAAATACAGATCAGCTCTAGCTCAGATGAATGTGATTTTTTTAATCTCCTTTGTACCTTAAGTCAGAAATTCTAAGCTATATTATATTGTCTTGCCCTCTTTTAGCAAAAAAATGTTCTGACTCAGAATTTGCATGCAAAAATGGCAGAAGATGTATACCGAAAGCATGGACTTGTGACAAAGCAAATGATTGTGGTGATAACAGTGATGAAAGTACAACAGATGGACCAAAATGCAGTATGTATTTAGTTTTCAGCATCTGTGCTTGAGATTCTGTTTAAAGTATATTAAAAAAAGCAACATCATAAGCTACAAGATGACATGTTGGTTTTTTCCATTGCTTAAAAGACCCAACAAAAATGTCCACATCTTGTGCTGACAGAAATCTCTATCTAAATTTTTTCCTTTATCTTATTCCCAGTCAAATTACAAGTTGCAAGTAAAGGGGTTGCTTGTCTTTTATGTTTCCTATGCTAGTGTATGATGCTTTAGATTCAATTTTCTGCTGGTTTTGATTTCATTAAACTCTTGTCAGAGGAAGGCTCTTTTTATTAGCTTTTTGTCATTTCTAGCTGCGAAATGCCCATCAACTGATTTCCAGTGCAACATTTCAAAAGTTTGTCTAGACAAAGCTCGTAAATGTGATGGCCGCAAAGACTGTGGTGCTAATGATGATTCTGATGAAATTGGATGTGGTAGGTAATTTTGGTTCTTTTACTTTGTTTAACAAAACCCTTGGGCTTTGAAATCTTCTCTCTTCTAGGTTGGAGACTCATATCTTGGTGGATAGTACTGTCTGTGTTTCAAGTATTGATAAGGGATTACGAAATGGATTTCTTTTAAAAGATTCCAGTTGTCTATATAAGACATGTCTCCCTTAGAATTTGTAAAGATAGTTTTATGCTAAAAGTTAGCAGTTCTTCGCTAACAACAAGTTGTGTATTTATATTTGCGTGTGTGTCCTATTGTGTTATATGTTTGTCATTTCTTGTTTCTGCAACATATTGTTTACAATTAGACTCTTCTTCAAAAATTTTTCATTGTGGAAAAAATTGGCTTATTCCTATGGAATAATAAGATGTTTCTTTGTATCAAAGAGCATTGTTCCAAACTCCAATTCTGGATGCACCTTTATTTTGATATTATTATGATTTTATGATTTTGATATAGAATTTTGATAAGATTCAGAGTATTGTTCTGTTTTGCATCAAATGATACATGCACGCCAATGAAAATACTAACCTCGTTCTTAAGTATTTTTCTTAAAATAATGCGCAAATCTTGAAAGAAAGCATTTTTGGTAGCGCGAGAATACCTGAAACTTCATGCACGGCAAAATTTTCAGCATGACAGGACAAAGATTGGAAATTTGTTTGAACTAGGAACATTTGTCATTCAATCCTGGTGAGAAGCCAGACTGGATGGCATATATTCTGTGGTAAGTAAATATTCATAATGCTATAGAATTTATTTTTGGGCATATACAATTGCTACAAAAGTTTCTATTGAATTTCTGTTTGAATATGAAGTTTTGTTATCTTTTTTTTGAAGTAGCAAGTTTGATCTTTAATACTCCAAGCTATCATTATATCTTATATATATAAATTTTTTTATTTAACCATTTAAATTCAGCATTCATTTTTCAATGTTCTTATCCTTATCACCTTTTTAGTAACAACATGCAGTGAAGATGAGTTCACATGTGGGGATGGCAGTTGCATCTCAAAGAGTTGGCATTGTGATGGTGAGAATGATTGTGCTGATGGTGCAGATGAAAAAGGCTGTGGTGTGCAAATTTTTCATTCTTGTTCTTATCCTAACAATTGTTGATACATAGCCATAAACTACTGGCTACATACTATGTATAAATATGAGTGAATATAATTTTACAAATGCCATGCAGAAATGTGCCAAAGGAATCTTTTAATAGATGTGTCTCTACTGCATTTTAATAATGACAGGATAGGTTTAAAATTTTGAATCTAACCCCTTTTATTTTTTTTCAAAATTTATCCTAGCTAAAATCCGGTGTCCATACAGTTATCAATTTCGTTGTGGATACCATGGATCTTGCATATACAAGTCTTGGACCTGCAATGGCTACGAAGACTGCACTGATGGCAGTGATGAGGATGAAGCCCTATGTAGTAGGTTTTTGCATTTAGTAGCAGATATTGGCACACAGCAGTATCCAGTTATTACATAGTACAGCCATAGCTAATAGTTTAGTCCAGTAGCTTTTCTTAGATCAGTTTTCCAAGGTCAGTTTGCAAGGTCAGTTTTCCAGAGTCCCCTGCAGCATCACCAACTGTTGGAATAATTTTTTGTGTATTTTGTCAACTGTACATTATAAAAAAAAGTAACAATGATTATCTTTGTGCTTTTTTCATTCGTGCTTCCAATAAGCAGTATTTTCATTTCCATGTGTTTTTGTACCATCTGTGTCTTATTGTACAAATTGTACAAAGCTTAATTGTACGAAGTTTTGTCTTATCTGCTGTTGTTAGACTTTTAATTGAGGAAGATGTTGTAATTTTCTTTATCCTGCTTAAAGTATATGATACACAATCAGATTTTATGTGCATCTCATCTTTAGCATTTTTCTAAAGAACTAACCAACATTTCTAAAAAAATTTTGTTATATAGTATTCAATTTATCTATTTTAAGAATATATTTATCCAATTATATATCTTCATTTTTAGTTTGTAAATAAAATTAAACTCTTTAACATTAAAAGTTATAAATTATGTTTTAAATTTGTTTTTAGTGGCAAAAACTTTAAACTTTGTTTAGTTGATAAAGAAATAAAGCCATTAAATACTTTGATTGTAAAAATTTTCAATGTACTTGTTAAATGGATTGTATGTACCTTTATTTTCATTACCATTTATATGCTCTTTCATTTCTTAAATTGTTTGTTTCCATTTTTCATATAATTTTTATATGTAATAACATTTCAGTATTAAGCAACAATTCTTTGTTGCCATGAAATGTCGAAGTATTTATGGTATATATCTTCTGACAGTAGATCAATTTAACTACATCAACCCATTTTTCTGAAACCTTTCTCTATGTACATCGCATCAGCCCCTTGATGTCCTAAAGATCTATCTGCATTAGTTGACTCTCTTGATGCAGACTGGTGTTAATTTAAATGTGTGCTCCATTGCTGTTCTATCCCTTTTCGTTGTTGGATATTAGTACCTAAATTTTGTCATTGTATATGTCTATGCAAATTTCAATTTCCATTATGTCACTATTTGCATTATATAATATTGATACATTTCTTTTATTTATATCACATTTTATAATGTATGCTTGATTGTATTAAAAAAGTTCATTGTCATTAATAACTGTTCAGTTTATGTCTTGCTTCATTTTGATGCAGGTTTTATTTTCAATGACTATTTGCACAGAATTCCCTTGATTTTTTCAATCCTTTTTTCTGGCTGCCTATATCTTAAAATAAATCTTTTTGTCTTTAGAACCAAAATGTGGAGCAAATGAGTTCAAGTGTGGAGACAATAAATGCATTGATGCAAAGTTCAAGTGTAACAAAATAGCTGAGTGTACAGACAAGAGTGATGAGAAGGATTGTAGTAAGTGAAAACCTTGCTTATTGCATCAAACATTATTTCTGACATCATTTGCTGTTTTTGTCAAAAATCTCAGATTAGCAAGGATGCTGTTAAGGCCAAGTAGGATCAAGTAGTTTGTATCTATTCAGTAGGATCAATATCCTAGTTGCATAAAAGGGATATATTTATGAACAGCCATCACATTGACAGTTATTTCAAATGCCAACGATCTTGTACAAAAGTTTCTTCCCCATAATGTCCGAGATAAATGGCCACTTTTCTATAAGCTTAGTTTTGCATTGAACATGGCTCTGATGCCATTGTCATGTCACTAGTTTTTAACATTTGAAAGTGTTGATTTTGTAAAGGTTGTGGTTGATATTACACATTGTGACGCAGGGTTGAAAGCTGAAGGTAACTACTGAGCAGGTATCAATAGAAGGATTTTCTTATTTGCAGCTATCCCTCTCTCCAGATCAGTTTTTGACTCTGCGTGTTATCATTATCTTTGTTGAATTTATATTCCAACTAAAGTCAATTTATCTTGCAGATACACAGCAATGCTCAAGTACACAATTCAAATGTGTTTGGAGTGGACACTGTATAGATAAGACAATATGGTGTGATGGAAAAAGTGATTGTGTTGATGGATCTGATGAACAAAGATGCCCATTAACAAGTATGTAATGGATATTTGTAATCTCAAAACACCAAAGTCTATCTTGACTTTGTCGGTATATGTGACAGAATTGAACCAACATTAAATTGTCTTATAAAGTTCCCTAATCCATGCCTAAAAGAAAAATTCAAGTAGAAAAAGGAAGGGGACCTAACTAATCCTTGAAGTTACCTGAAGTACATACCAGGTCCATATTTTGCAGTTAAATCTAATTTGATTGTTGATGGAAGAAAGTACACTGTTTTCATTGAATTTCTGTTGTGATTTATATATTTAAGGTTTACTTGTAACAAGATTAAATGATATATAAGAAGTCTTATTTTTATACAACTTCTAAGTATTTTGAATTATCTTTTATACCCTGTTATCCACAGTCTACAAGCTAGTATTATTCTCAAAGCAAGGCTGATAATCTTGCAGAATGTTGCATTAAACTTCTAGTGGAAATGGATATTCAGAATTAATCTCATTTGCTTATTGATGTTTCTGGAAAATTTTATTCTATATTTTTTGTATGTTAATATATATATATGATCTTCAAATCTTAGCTAAAATGACCACAACAAGAAAAACTACTAAAGGATCAACAACACCCAAAAAATGTGTCGATAATCATTTTAAATGCACAAAAAGTGGCAAGTGTGTCCACAACTCATGGCTTTGTGATGGAGAAAGAGATTGTGCTGATGGTGAAGATGAAGCAAAAGAGCTTTGCGAAAAAAGAACATGTAATCCAACACAATTTGCCTGTAAAAATGGGAAATGCATTCTGGGGCATTTAAAATGTGACGGTATGAACGATTGTGGGGATAGTTCTGACGAGCAAGATTGTCCAAGTAAGTCATTTCTTGGATTGCTGTCTAAATTTTTCGCTTTAAACTGTTTTCTCTGGTTTTTAATTGTAAAGATAAAGTAGCAGCACATTGTAATGTTGTGATATATTGTAACAATAAAAGAAATTGGTAAAAGCTGAAGGCTTGTTTTGTGCTTAATTAAAAAGTTGTTTCCAGTCAAAATCTTCACCTACTTTACACCAAAGATATTTTTTATTAAAACTCTTCTGACTTTTGATAGTACGTCTAGATGCGTTATGATAAATTATGATTTTCTATATTTTGCTTTTTTAACATTCATTTCTATAAGTAATGCTTGAACACTCTGGAATGGGAAAGGAGGCATCCATAAGTTTACTCAAGTTTTAGCAGTCTTAACAAAGCGAGGGTAAAGTAGGTGGCGAAGGTTTAGTGACTTTCACCACTTGCCTGCTTCTATTGAAATCCCTGGGTATAGCAGATTACCTCAAGCATTTAAGATATTAAGAGCTGGCAAGTATGTTTTGATGTCAAGTTACAATCTCCTTCCTTAATTGTAGTTCCAAAATGATACAGCCATGTGTTAAATTGTTCACTAAATATACTGTCAACTTCATTTAGCTCTGAAACCTATAGAGTGCACTGGTGAAGCATTTAAGTGTGGAAATACTTCAAAATGTATCAATATGTTGCAAGTTTGTGACGCAAAAAGAGATTGTGAAGGTGGTGAAGATGAACCTGCTGAATGTGGTAAGAATAGGATTTTAACCTATGTAACTAAATCATGTATGTGTCAGCTTGATTTAACTATAATTGTTTGTATGTATATATAGTATGTGTTGTAACATATTGTGATGTCTGAAGATCTGTCCACTTATTGTTTATTTATGAATCTAAACATAGAAAACCACAGATATCAATTTCTTTGAAGGTACAAGATCTTAAATTATAAGTTTATCTTTTTGGATCAAGAGATACCATTTAGCGAAATAAAAATATAAAATTATATTGTCAGTTTATGCAAACTTCAAATTGAGTCTATTATGTATAAACAGTTTCAACTTGATTCAGACCATAGCATCCAAAATACATTTTTATTTTTCTAAGGTAAAAATGAATGTCAAGATGGAAGCCACAGCTGCTCACAAAACTGTTTTGACCAGAAGATTGGCTACAAATGTACCTGCAATAAAGGTTTTCAGCTGGCTTTAGACAACAAAACTTGTGTCAGTAAGTATGAGGCATAAAGTTTTCAGTTTCTTATTGATCACATCTATCAAGTAAGAACTGTTAGAAAGATATGCATTCACGACTTCCTTGTGTGAAATTGGAAGTTTTTATTAAGTAAGAATCATCTGTTTATATGTAATATAATTTATTCTTTTCGTATATATATGATGTTTATAGAGAACAGTTATGTGAGAGATACCTAAACTGTTTCATGCATCTTTCATTGTGAGCTGTCTCAACTAAGGAGGTAATGAATAGAAATGACTATATTCAGTGGCTAATAATGATTTAATGAGAGATCTTGTTGGTTTGCATTACTTGTTATCATTATACTTTTGTGGATTGATGTTTTCCTTCTTCAAACAGATATAAATGAGTGTCATCAGCTTGGACAATGCAGTCAGAAATGTGTTGATTTCAAAGGATCGTTTAAATGCTTATGTAATGATGGGTACAGACTTGATGGAGATATGCGAACCTGCCGTGCTTCGGGTAAGACCTTTCTTTCAGTAAATTTCCATTTTCAAGTGTCAAATGCAGGTTAACAATGAGTTTAGTTTTGTATGACAAGTAAATCTACTTCACGTCACTTCTTAATCATCAATAGACCGTCAGCACCATCCATGAATAGTTTTTTCCGACACCGCTGTAATTTGTTACAATTGTGCCTCTTTTATCAATCAATTTATTATTACAATTATGGAACTGTGTCTAGTTGAAGCATTTTGAACTTTGAAAATCTAAGTTTGCAGTGCCCAATAATAGTTGTTGCCAAATTTGTTATTAGGCTCATTGGCAGAACTTGTTATTGGAATGCGTTCAGATATTCGCCAACTGCGAGCTGATGGACAGCACTATAAAGCTGTTGTGCATGCAAGTTTCGTTGAGGTTGTAATGTCTCTGGATGTTGATGTCCAAGGGCAGTATGTGTATTTTGCTGATATGGGAAACAAATCGATAGCAAGAGCCTCATTGAAAAGCTCAGACCACTTTGTACATCTGGTCAGGAATGTCGAGAAACCAGAGGGCATTGCATACGATTGGATCTCAAACAAAGTATACTGGACTGCAACTCATCCAAAATGTAAGTTGTGTCAAATAAATGTTACAAAAGGCTCTTATAAGCTTTGTCTTTATTTATGACTAGTTGCTGTATATAACATTATTAATTAGTATATTGCTAAGATTTCTACTTGAAAATATTGGGTTTTTAATAAAGAAATGCATCTGTTGATCGGTTGCATTCAAGTGACCTTTGCATTCAAGTGACCTTGTTTCTTGGTATAGTCGTTGTACATAATAACATTGTATTTAATTACAGATCAAGGAGTCATTGAAGTTAGCAATGCAGATGGTACTAGTCGGTCGGTGTTGGTGTTCAAAAAGGTTGATGAGCCAAGAGCTATTGCAGTGCATCCTTTGAAACGGTATTATATTTGAATTTCAACTTTGGTCATTCAGACCCTTAGAATTTAACTCTGAGATAGTTGTTTCAATTATGGTTGAAACCTTGGGAAATGGATTGTCATCTTATATGTGTTGATCTTGATAAATCAAACCTTCAAGGGAGTAAGGAAATGGTCTGAATTGAATTTAAATCTTTTTGTTTAGTGAAAGTTTGAATGATCTGAGATACAACTTAACGAGATCAAAATTGTAAAGATCAATGGGTTTATTGACTCCTATTATTTTTCAGTCTTCTGTTCTGGACTGACTGGGGCAGCCGTCCTCGCATTGAGCGTGTGAGCATGGATGGACTGCAGCGACAGGTTATTGTGAACTCAGAGCATGTAACCTGGCCAAATGGTCTAGCTGTTGACTATGAAGCGAACCGCCTGTACTGGGCTGACAGCAAACGAAACAACATTGGTGCTTGCAACCTGGATGGAACAGGGCTTTTCATAGCTGTTAAAGATGTTCCCAATCCGTATGGTTTAACTGTTTTCGAAGACAGTGTATACTGGACAAATTATAGGCAAGGTCAAGTCTTCCGTGCAAACAAGTTCAATGGAGCAAACAAGTATGAATACCAAGATGGCTTTTTTGCACCAATGGATGTGCAAGTAATGCATCCATTACTACAACGGCAAGGTGAGAATTATTCTCTAGATGAGCTTGTATTTTCAATTATTGCATTGAGTTTATCTAAAAGTTGCTTATGTAATAGAAAAATATTTGTGAAAAAGAGTTTCAACAGCAATTTTGATAGCAAACGTTTATCCTTTGCAGTTTGTTATCAAATTCAGTATCCGACCACTATTTTGACATGTTGACAATACGTCAGAACAAAATTACTTCACTCTACAAAATTTTCGACCATTTGAGCCATACATTATCTCAAATAGACATCGTAATTCAAATTCTCATGTTGCAGTTTCCAATCCTTGTGCATCAAATAATGGTGGATGCAGTCACTTATGTTTGCTCAGCTCCGTGAAAAAAGAAGGATACTCTTGCGCATGCCCGACAGATATTAAGATGTTTCCAGATGGAAAAACCTGTGACGTTGGTAAGTTTACCTTGCAAAGTTACCCAGTTCTTGTCACCACTATAGTTCGGGTCACATTTTTAAAATGCCAGATATTTTCTTTAAAAAAACTTGGATCTTGTACTGCTTCGTGCAGGGTATCTTTTGGTTCGTAAAATAGAATTCCGCCTTATTTATTAATATTTAAATGTGTGATGTTTAAACTATAATAGCATATGCAACCCTTTTTATCTGACATCGACAACATCGCTAGTGCCGACCCAAGCAGATGTTGAAAACACCATCCGTCTGCAGTGCCAAATGCTGAACTAGATTTAAAGGGTTGCAATTGTTTTTTAAAGAGTGGTGTGTTTAATTTTTAATGATTTGTGTGGCTTTCGAATTACTTAAAAATTAAGCCTTGGTGCCACTCTGTCAATACCAATGCCTTACCTCTCCTTGTGTTACATATGCACCATTGCACTATTGGTCTCTGCACAGCACTCGGTCATTCAGCGATGCTCCTAATAAACACTCTGCCATCTTCTCTTCATCCACAGTTTATCCGACAACCACTAAGGTTTTAACAACAAATCAAAGACTACAAACAACCAGCTCAACGGGTGCAAAAGGTAGCTTAAAAGTAGTTGACTTATATTTTTATCATACCTCAAAATTTAACATTTTCCCTAACCACTAACTACCAATTATTAATGTTTTTTTAAAGTGGTGGTTTTAAAGAAGTTTGTTTAAATGTGTGCTTGATGTTTACAGCAATTTTTTGATATTTTCACGTTTTAGGTCAATAAACGTTTTCATACTATAATTTATGTTCTAATTAAGCACTTCAAAATGCCTTTCTCTACCACATGAGTTGTACGGTAGCTGTCGCCCCTTCTTGTTTTAATTCTTATTCTATGTATTAGCACTAACCTAACAGGGTGATCATCATCAGTGTTTTTCAGAGATTCACGTTATTCTAAAGTAACTTGCCAAAATTTTGGTTAATATATCAACTCTAAAGGTAGTTATTTAGACCTATTATTCTTTCTCTCTTCAAATCAATTGATTCCTTAATGCTTTCGTAAAAATTTGCCGTATTAATTTTAGTAACGACAAATAGCATGACGTCACGATCAACGGGAGCTTCAACTACTGTAATTTCGACAATGAAAGTAAATTCGAGTGTTAAACCTGAAATAACAACTAAACAAAGAAATAATAAGCAAGGTATACAACATAAGATTAATGATGTGTTAATATTTCTTAACATATATCTATTTCTTTGCAGCTTTTTAATTTTTGCTGTTTGTTCCTCTCCTATGTAAAATATCGAACGAAGATCTAGCTTCTAAATTTTGAATCCGTTATTAATTAATGAATTTACCCTCAAGTTGTGCAGATTAATGATAAGAAAACATTTTAATTATTTTTAGCTTTAATGTTGCTTACTCATTCTGCAATCTTTAAACTCAGGAAACATACCTCATTAGCTAACGTAATCTGTGTGTTTTCTAGAAGCAAAAAATCACCTTTGGTTGCGTTTTTTTATATTAAACCCCCACCCATCCCCATTTAAACACCAGTTTGTTCATGTTTAAAGTCAACTAAAACTGCACGTGAAAATTCAGGATTAAAGTACTGAACTTTTTAATTTTGTAACCTTATGATAACAGTGAAAATGAAAGAAATTATAATAGTTCAATCGTGTTAAATCTAAAATGTTTTCTTCTAAAGTTGTGTTTTCATTAAACTGCATAAAAATGTAAAGTGAAATTACGTATGATGTAGAAAACAGGTAAGCTCACGTGTATGTTCTGTCCCAGGTTGTCACGATCATGAATATTTCTGCCAGAAGTCAAAAGTTTGCGTTTCCCAAACCAAGCTTTGCGATGGCGTCAGCGACTGCCCTTTAAATGAAGACGAGGAGCTTGATCGTTGCAGTAAGTTTCAAATTTTTGGTTTTCGGTTTATGATGATATGTGTGTTATTGAACTTTATTCACTGTACTGCTTTGTGGGACTGGACATCAGCAACAATAATACGATCGTCGAAATTCGATACGATTCGGCATCAATTTTTTTGTCATTCTTGTAAATAGGCTGCCCTTCAAGTGAAGCTGTTTTTCAAGGGGCCCTCCTATAAAACGTAATTGCTATAAAAATTTAGGTGCTACTTGTTTCTAAAAGAAAATTATCAGCCATCTTATAAATCGTATTATCATATCCCCATCAATTTTCATTAACACAAGTCAATCTTCATTATTATTGTAATAATAGTTACCATCATTAATGATCATTTGTCGACATCGATTTGCATCATCAATCATTATTATAATTATTATCAGTTTTCATAAATATAATCGTGATTACATTTTCGACATGATCTGTATGTGAGCAAAGAGACATCTGTCTGTGGAAGCTTTGGTTCACAAATTGTAAACATGGCTGAAAGAATATGATTTAAGAACAAGTTAGTCTTGGCAGCGCACCTCTTTGACGATTGGTTAACAAAACCCGTCCTACACGCAAATTATCCCGCGGAAAATGTTTGTTTGCGGCTACGTGACCCAACCCCTTTAAGCGCGAACCATAATGATTTTTTCTGCGTGTAGCTATTTTGAAACTAATTAGAAAGCTATCTTTATTTTAGATTCCGTTGAACTTGCGGCATCAAAGAAGAAAAAGAGCTCCAGCAGCACCCCATTAATCGCAGGAGTTCTCGCGGGGATCGCTTTTATCGTGCTATTAATTGTCCTGGTTGTTTTGCTTGTGTTCAAACGCAGAAGGAACCAAGCAAACCTTAGCATTACGTTCCATCCATCGGATCCTGAGAAGCTTGCAGTCCAAACAGTAAAATTCAGTCCGAATGGAACTCACAAGAAGTCTGCTAACAAGAACTTCGAGAACATAAACTATGCTCCTGCCAGTGAAACTGAGGAGCTCATTCCGGACCCCGGACTCATGAATGTGCCGGACGATAGTTCGTCTGATAACGGTAGTACATGCGACGAAACGAAGCCGGTCATGAATCACCAAGAGTCAAACTCTAGCAACAGCCTGGAGTGTTGACAGGCAGAACGACTTAGTGTAACACGCAACCAAACACCAAGGATGTGAGCTCTTCAGGCCCTTGCCTTGCTAGCTACTAGGCTCTTTTTCATTACGAACCTTGTTGTTAGCGAACCCTTCAACTCCATATATGCTCAAAATTAAAGAGAAAATTCTTCTAACAAATTTGTGCTTGAAAACCTATTTAAAATCCTCCATAACCCGATTGAGAGAAAACCTAACTGAAAGATCAATAAAGTAAAGTAATATTATTTGGTCTAATTGAAATTTTGGCTTCACTTAAAAAACACTAATTTATCTAGCAATTAGTACCTGAAATACAATAATCTATTCAACATATTCAGGACAAATTTTTTTGAGTCTGTAAAAATTTAGTCAAACAGTTTGTTTTTGTGCATGCAACTGTGTTAGGTTCTAAAAAAAATCGAAGCGTGTTAGGGGTTATTCATTTGCAGAAGCTGTATACTAACTTCTTCTCTTTGCCGGTCTTATCGTGAAAAATGTTAAGTTATTTGCCACTTTGATATTTAAGCATTTCCTTGCACCTTATCATGTCACTCCCTTATTTCGCTTTCAGTAGAAATCAAAGCTGCTGCTAATATTCCTTTTATGAGGTCAATTCTAAACATCCTCTATCTTTTCCTAGTACCAAACTCGCTCCTGCCCCCAGTATAAAGTGGAGTTGCTCCTGCCCCCAGTAAAGCAGTGTTGTACTTCCTTTACAAGCCACCAATGCCCCTCGCCTTAAGGAATAAGAACTGGAGTGTAAGGACATGCGCTTTGCAGTTGTTCCAGGACGCCCTGTGTTTGAACTCCTACGAGTAACTGCAAGCAGCAATATCTTTTTCTGTGTACTTAGGGTATTATGCTATCTATTTTCATATTTGTTGTTGTTGTCTTTGTTGTTGTTGCTGTGTTGGTGAATGCTTCGCGTTAATTTGCATCCTGTAGACACGCTCTTATTTATGGTTTCACGCAGCCTTCAAGTAGTCTTTATTTAATACTCGCTCGTCAATGATCATTTATTATATGTCTTCGGAAATTTAATGAAACATAGCCAGTGACAGCTTAATTATTAACTCTTATGACGTGACGTTTCGTCATCTTGTCTTGCCCAACCGAACTTTACTTCAAGATGGGGTTTGAGATGGGCTACACAGTTGAATCTCGTCAAGTCGTATCCCGATGCGGATAACTCTGACTTTCACAAAGTCGGGCTGATTTCAAATCCCATTGGTTTTTCCTTCCTTTCTCAAGTCAAAAGTCGTATCCCGGACATCGGACATTGGCTAAGTCAGACCATTTCCTTACCCCCCTTGAAGGTCCGACTTAACGGAATTCAACTGCATTCATCATCTATTTTTCTGTTGTGGCCTTGTCCAGTGTAAAGAACGAGACGAAACTTCTTCACTTAGGTAACTTATAGTTGTAAATATGTAGAAATTTTTTAATACTCTAGATGAATGTTATAATTAAAAGATAGTGATTCGCAACTGAGTCGACGGCAGGGTTGTGCTAAAAAAGATTTTCTATTCCCCAACAAGATATCCGCAAGCCACGGATATCCCCATGTTCCTAAGGTGGATCCCCATGTTGCTAAGGCATCCCCATGTTGCTAAGGTGACATCCCCATGTTCTTAAGGCCGCTCAGTTGCGCATCGAAGTATCAAGTTATTTTCTCAACAAGCTTTCACGTGTATAATGCGTTCCAACGTTCTGTTGTTAGTTAGGTTGAGAGATTAAAATTTTGATTGATGCCCTCTCCCATCGCTTCATCCAACTGTTCAAATGACCACTCTTTCTCTCAATTTTCATTATTTGTTGTGTTAAAATCGTTGTTGTTTCATTGCTTAGATTTCCAGCGTGAATTAACCTATGACTTTGAAAACCATTCGAATTTAAAAAATTCATATTTTATCCCTGTTTTTCGTTATGTACATAAAAGTGAGTGATAAAAAGAAGATATTATTTTAATACCAATTTTCATTTTATCTTTATATGAAACCCCACTAAAAGCATAGATTTCAAATCTTTATCCCCAAACATCGCTTCGAAGTCTGTCCCTCCTGTGAATGAATCTGTAACCAAAGTAGATCAATGGTTGTATTTAATGCTTGTCCGGACGTAGTGAACCTGGATACGGAATATGAAATCCACTGGATGTCATACCTGCGACAGGGCTAACCCTGACGCTAGACGACCGATGATTCGCTATTTCACTCTATCTCTTCCTTAGCATGTATGACATGCAGTTCACCGGATTATGTTATCAATATTCGCTTAGACCGCGTATTTCAGATTCAAAATTGTATCTATAGTAACTGTCATTTTCAATTTTGAATTAGCTGCTTAACGAATTGATACCATGAACGCTATATGTGTTTAATTTAAGTTAAAAATCGCATAATTACTGCATTGTGTGTAAAACCACTTGTAAATAATGTTACTGGTATTGAAAATGGAAAACTTTCTGCTTTCTAAGATTCTCCTTTGTTAGAGACAGCGTTGCGCTTTAATATTTTTATTTGACTCTCTGAAGTAAAAAATATATATCTAAATTGATAAAGAATATTTGATGGGTTGCCTTGTGACCACGCTTAAAAGCATTCTGTCTCGTTGTGGATTGGTTAACGAGAACAATAGCTGGAACAATAGCTTAAACACGATTCCAGCGCTCCGCCATATTTTTTACAATGCGATAAATTGAAGGGGAGCTGGAAACAATAAAAATCCCTTTGTTCTTATAACCAATCAACGTCGTGACAGATTGCCTTTAACTCTGGGCTGCATCTTAGAACCAGTGGTATAGTTCTATCAAAAAAGCAAGGGGGACTCTTGCACACAATGTTGCTAAAAACAATACCAAAAGTATAAATTGGCTAATACTCGGCATTAACAAGGGGAGCTTAGCCCTCCTTGCCCTTACGACATCGTGCATTATAAAATGAACGGTCCGGTAGAACAATCATTTTCTTAAACTTTTCAGTTTAAAATTCCTTTACATACAAACATTTTCAAATAAGCCAATTGGCTGTAAATAAATACAAATACTAACAATAACAAAGATGCAAGGAAAAACTTGCGTGCAGGGAACTGGTTAAGGTGCTATTTATAAAGGAAAAACTTTGTCTTGTAGAGATGGCTTACGAAATATCTCATTTATCTCAATTTTCTTCCAGGAAAGAGCATATCCAAAAGCATGGGAAACTTCTTTTATTTAGAAGGATAGAGAAGGACTATTGATAGGTATTTCGCTTCCAAATTCTACGGTAGTTAATAGGCCTATAGAAAAGAAGCGGCTGAAAAGATTCAAGTTATCAATAAGATGTTTGAACAACTTTCGGCGTCATAGAACTCATCTCCCTTGCACTGGCTCCCCGTTTGATACGAGTATCATTTCATCGTCTTGAATGTAGCGAATATTCATTCTAGACACAAAAGAAGCCAAATAATTGAAGTCTCTCGCTCAGTAAACGTGAAAAAAGTGTTATCAATTCGATAAACAAAGTGAAGAAAGGTTGGTGTTTTTACATGATTTTCTACAGCTGAAGGCTGCTCACATTCTGAACACATCTACGCAGAAACAATAACAGTGAAAACTCTTTGAATATCTCACACAGGACACCAATGTAAACACATCAGGTACGCGTTAAATTTGCTACAGAGCCGTAAAGAGAAATCTTGAAAAGCTTGTTTCCCCAGATGTAAGCAGTATATCGGTATAAAAGGAGTTTGAAAAAGTCTGGCTTGGGATAGAACGTTTTGTGCAAAGGTCTTAAGAACTTCTTTATGCAATCTATAAGCTTGGAAATTCGAGAAATTTAGCTTTCAGACACCCAAATTTACAAGCAGAGAGAAGAACATAGCCCCTGGTGATCATTTTTTGATGATTGAATTGATGAACTTTAATCAGAGCAATGCTGTGGAGATTTTGGCCTTTTGGGGATAATAATCAATGGACTCAGCATCAAAAATGGTCCCAATGGGTTGGAAATTGCGCGAAAACACAGGGCACCAGTGGATATGGAATGCAAACTTGGCGATCTTTTCGAATCATACACGTTTCAAAATGCCGATTTCTTAGGTTGAAGCAATTCTTCGTCGAGCTTAATGTCTTACCTAATGTCTTACCTTCAAAGAAAATACTGTTAAGAAGAAAAGTTTGAAAATGCAGATGGAAAACAGAACGTATTTTTTGATGGCAAAGCAAAGTTAGCGCTTGGCACGATTTAGAAAGATGGTACTTTGATTATGGGCATGGTCTTCGGATTCTCCTTTAAAGGTACGTCTCAATTTATGAGCCGAATTCGTTAAATATTGTCAAGGTACACCTTCGCTAGATTGTTGCAGGGTCGCCAAATGTATGTATTGGCACTCTACAGCAGAGGCACACGGTCTATAAATTGCAAAATTGTCCTCTCTCTCTCTCCCATTATCAACAAAAAACTGAACATGTGGGGTGACGCGGTAACAAATCATACGGCCTTAAAAACTTTTAGGTGCCAGTCCTGATCTACCTAGCAGAAAACATGCACGCAATCGTGGCCCATCATGGTCGTTTGTTTCCGTTACATTTTCCTAGTGAAAATGTGGTATATATTAATAGTATCCGTAATATTCCCAAGCGTGAAATTTTCTTTTTCAATTTATTGCAAGTGACAAACGCGATATTTTCCATTATTGGCTTTGGATATGTTTGAGTTTTTCTTCATCGATGGGTGCCGTGCTTCTAATAAAGGGCAAGCCTTTCTTGCTGCCCCCTGATCTTGCTGCTATCAGTTATGGTACCATGGGCTTGCTAGGGGATGCAGTTGAGCAACAAGCAGTCTCGGGGCTCTGGGAAAAACAAGATGTGACCTTTTAGGTGACTAAAGAGTTTTAGTTTGAAAAATGCAATCTCAAAATAGAACAGTCATCCTTTTAAACGGCATTTAATTTCCTCTGACATGATTAATAAATATGTTGCCAAATGTATAACTAATGTATGAGCATAGTCTACAAGAAGGATATTCCATTGCATTCCTTTTGTGGAATACACCATCACATATGAAATACAATGCATTATATACGAGTAACTAACAATAGATATTAAATACATCTTACTGATTTTTGAAGAATATAACACAAACTCTTATAATTATTGTAAGGTATTGTTTGGGGACGCTCTTATATCTTTCCGATTTTGAAGTAATTTTATGGAAGAAAAATGATGCACCACATCATTCACCAGAAACAATACACTTTTTTTTATAAAAACAATTTTATGAGAACACGAGCCTCAAAACTGGTCAAAAGTTAAGAACAAATTAAGAACAAGCTGAGGCTGAGCTTCTGCAAAATGCAATTTTGAATAACGTTTTTTCTCAAAATCGAGGATTTTTAGCGATGTGTGGGTGCTTTTTCGGTGAATATTCAAATTTGTCAGCAAATTAAGGCTGTCTCACTGACTTGGTTGGCAAATGAGGCCTGAACACCTCTTTAGAGTGAAAAAGCTAGCAATAGGACTGCTTACACCCTCTTAATTTATGAACAAATTAAGAACAATCCATCCTCAGATTTTCGAAAAAATTTAGAACAGTCAGCCTGAACCTAAATTTACTGGTTCTTATAAAAAAGAGTGTAATTGTCAAAGTTATTGTAAACAAAGGTCTCTGTACTAGCACCTTTACCATAAAATTTATTAAGCCCTCCCTCTCTATCAAACCCCCTCTCTATTAAGTCCCCCCATATCAAGTAAAAACTTTAAGCCACCCCTCTCTATTAAGGCCCCCATTTTTAGCCTTTGATGTCAAACATAGAAAACATGTGCATTTAGTGGGTCTCTTGACGACTAATATGTGCGACTTAATAGTCAGTCGAAATTTGTTTTGAAGATGTCCAAAGGTTATCAATTTATCCTGATGATGTAGCCTGTGCTCCAGACGTGCTCCAGAACTGAAAGAAATAAGTAAGCCTCCCAGGGGTTCAATAGAGCTTTTACGGTACATCCTACCCTGGGTGCCAGACGCACTAAATATATATATATTTTTTTTATTTTATGTATAGTGAGTCTGGTACCCAGGGTAGTGTTGTGCACCAGATCGAACGAACCATTGTAGGCTATAATTTAAATATTTGGCAAATACTTTATTTCCGTTGTTAATTATCTATGTTTCTTTTGGTTGTAGGTCTTACGTGTTTTTAGCTGATTGGTTGTTATTAATACTTGTAAAATGCTTTTATATATAAATACGCTGTAGTAGTTTTAAGAATTAAACTTTTTGGGAGAAGCATCTTGCTGTTCGTTCAAAGTGCTGACGAAAGAAGTCGTTGTCTCTCTGCTCCTTTCTGCCACAAGTCGAGTTGAAAAGGGCCGTGAGTTATTTTATATATACTTGGTTGCACTGTAGTTAAAGTGTAGTATAACAGTAGGTACATCCTTGATAAGGACAATTTCATAAGGATTCACAAAGGTTCTAAACTGATCGAAAACAAATGAAGAACAAATTAAGAAAAAGCGGAGGTTGAGTTACTGTAAATTGTATGAATTTTTTGCTAATTTGTTTAAAAACCACACGTGGGCTATACCTGTCTCTTTTGTGTGCAGCAAAATATTGTCTCCTGTCCAAGTTTCTAAAACCTACGCTCTAATAACATAACTTAAAATAAAAACAATCGAGCCTCAAAGTTTTGGAATACTTGCGAAACCTGAATCACAACCTCAAGAATTTCGGGAGGAAAGGGGCAGGCAATAGTCTGTGCTCCAGACCCCTATCTTGAAAGTAGAGGGTCTGAGATATAGGCTAGCAGGCAACAGGACAACATGATTTGAAAAAACATTCAGCTCTTCTACTAATTCTTTAGACTTTGGCTGCTTGTATTTTTAATTCCATCAGCTGTTCGGTTGGATGCAATAGGAAAATTGGTTGGAAAATAGGAAAACAATGTACATACCATGAATCATAGACGTAGAAAGCATTTCAATATTGGGGGCATGTCCCCTGTGCCCCCTGTGCCCCCTGTGCCCCCTGTGCCCCCTGTGCCCCCTATGCCCACCGTGTCTTACGCCTATGTCATCAATCATCTTGCTAGATCCAACCTACTCTGGGCACCAGAGACCAGACCAAGAAATCGGGAAGAACATTTTTTTCCCTTCCATTTTTCTCCATTCTTCCATTTCCAAATTGTTCACAAAATTAAGAACAAGCTGTGGCTGAGTTTCTGCATAATGCAATTCTGAAAAACATTTTATCTCAAAAACGAGCATTTTTAACCATGTTTGGTTGCTCTTTTGGTGAATATTCAAACCTGTCGGCAAGTGAAGGTTGTATCACTCACTTTGTTGGCAAATGAGGCCTAACACCTCCCTGTAGGGAAAAAGCTAGCAGTCACACTGCTTACACCCTATTAATTTAAGAACAAATAAAGAACAATCCAGCCTCAGATTTTCGAAAAAAATAAACACAGCCAGCCTGAACTTTTACTGATTCTTATAAAGAAGAGTTTGGTTGGTGGTCTCTGTTGACAAGCCTTGAGGTCTACCGGGTGTGGGCGAACCATGGCGACTTTGTGGATCTACTTGTTTTGTTTAAAAAAAGCGAAGTGCTGCCGTTAATTGAAAAACCGAAACAAAGCAATGACTCCACAAAAGGTCTTACAAATACTCCATTCAAGTTGAGACTTTTGTCTTGCGAACAATAGAAAAAAAATTGGGTAGTTAGTTCGAAACTCGTGGCATTTGGATGGAAAGATGAGTGAAAGCATATGGTGAAAGGAAAGACTTAGCCTCTCAGAATAGGTTTCTATTTGTTTTACTAGCAGGTGAAGGAAGGAAGGGACAACGACGGAAAGGGATGGCGGTTAAGTGTTTCCGACTGACTGCTGAAATTTTTTACGGGTTCAGCGTGTTTACATTTGCGTTCAACGCAGTTGTTATTCCTCAGCTCATTGAACACAAAGTTTGCAGCAACAAGTACAACTCTTCCGTTTGCAGTCATTTAAACAAACATCCAGAGATCGACGACGATGTTCAGGAGAATGCCGCCGAATGGATGTCGGTGCTACCTTTATCGGCACTTCTCCCTGCCTTCTTCACAATCCTCATGATCGGTCCGATATCAGATGTGGTCGGCAAGCGGACTACAATGAAAGTGCCACCACTGATTTATATGATACAGAGCTTTATATACATCGCGATGACAAGAATAACAGTTCCTTTTAGCCCCGGATTCTTCATTATACCATACTGTCTTTCCGGTGTTTTTGGCGACAACGCCGGTTGCGCCTCCTTAGCGGAAGCATACATCTCCTGCATAACATTGCGCAAGGACCGCACCTTCAGAATGGCTGTTTTAGAGTCGGCGATATTTTTCGGTACTGTCATTGCAGCTGTCTCATCTGGGGTTCTGTTAACATATTTCGGGTTTACAGGGGCATTCTGCATGACAGGTGCCGTCAATCTTCTCAATTTTCTCTACGTCATATTTTTGTTGCCATCCGAGAAAACACTATTGCCAGAATTATCGAACGAGAGCGAGCAAAATCAAGAGGATGCAACAGTAAGCTCAACACCGTCACATAACAAAAATGGTGATGGGGGGCTAGGCAATAAAAGGGACATAACAGTAAGGGAGATGATAAAACCATGGAGATGTATCAAGCAAATTGGCAATGCCATATGCGTTCGCAACAGAAGGAAGTTGATAACCGCTATACTTATCTTATTTTCGATTTCACTATTTGTAAACATGGGTGAAATATACTTCGGTATTCTATTTATTAAAAACAGACCATTCAACTTAAAGGCCAAAGGGATTGGATATATAGTCGCCATCCAGGCTTTCTTTAGGGCAGGAGGGGTTCTCTTGATCCCTTATGTGTGCCAGCGCTTCCTGAAATTCAAAGACATCCACCTAGTAATGCTTGGTTTCACAACACAGACAGTTTATTTCTTGTCTTTTGGTTTTGCTTCTTCAGTACTCGCCCTGTACTTGATCCAAATTATTGGGATCCCGTTGTCAGTTCACCAGCCCGTTTTCCGCTCAATGATTTCAAAATCGGTGGACACTCATCAGTACGGAGCAGCGATTTCTGCAGCCGAGGCTGTTGATATTGCAAGCTCTCTTCTGACCAGCCTCATTTCCAACCAAGTATATTCAGCAACGTTTCCGATATTCAGAGGTTTTACAATGTGCTTACTCAGCGTCTTGTCGTTCATGGGTTTAATTGGCGCAGTCGCATTCTCGTTCACATTTAGAGGTGATATTAAACCCATGCATAACGAAGAACAGCAATCTTTAATAACAGATTGAAAGACTGGTGTTACCTATAAGAGAAGATGAAATGTTTGAAATGTGTGTAAGATTCACGAATTATTAAGAATAATTTTAATCAAATGCATCTATTTTTTCCTACCAATGAAAGTAAATTCTTCCGGATAAAAGTGAACATTGTGAGTTTGTTTTTGCATTCACCCTTCTAAGATTAAAGCCAAGAAGGTTTCATTTGTCGCAAAGATAACAAGATTCGCCTAACTTTTTGTGTTTTTCATTTAACCTTATCCGTCATGTTTTTGATAAACATAGAATGTTGAGTGGTGGGACATTTTTCAAAAGGGCCCATGCTCATCTCAAAAATTGTACAGGAGTTATGAAAGGGAGCTTCAGATCGTAATATGCTTCTGTTTGTGCTAAAAACCCCGATTTGTTGCAAGAGCTATATGACTGTATGACATTTTCAAAGAGAAGTTAGCAATTTAGCATGAAATAGATAATTCAAATCTTTGCTATATTTGCAATTTTTTACATTAGCATTATGGGGCAAAATGCTCCCTGTAAATTTGTTTTTTATTCCCATTATAGGCTGATTAAACAATAACTTGATCAGACAAAAATAACAGTTGCTGTGTGATCTGTTTTATCATTGCAGATGCAGTGGAACCCCGCCTTACGACCACTTCGTTAATACGGCCACCTCATTATTACTGCCACATTTGTTTGGCCCGGAAAAACGGCCATACATAGTCTCATAAAAAACCCCGTTAATGCGGCCTCCTTTTAATACGGCCAGCGGCCACATTTTGCGATCCCAAACAACAGGATTCTTTATAATTCCACCCCGTTAATACGGCCATTTGTGTTCAGCAAAACTGTAATAAAATCTCAATAATCTCATCGTTTTACAAAAGAACTTTTTATTATCAAAGTCGCTTGCTTTCAGGTTTGATTGCCCACACTTAAATGGGTTGCTTGGAATGCAGACGAACCAGTCAAAAGTCACCAAATTTTTAGCAAAATCATGAACATGATTTGGTGATTAAGGCCCAAGAACCCAGGACTTCCGTTTCGTTTTGTTTGTGGATTAGTTATTTAACATATTTTTTTATAACTTTATCTACATTTCCAGATGTCTATTAAAGAGAACAGTTGATATTAGGATCTTATTATTAATTTCTACCTCTTAAACTCCAAAATTTGACCCTTCCTCGTTAATACGGCCATCCCGTTAATACGGCCAATTTTTGGTGGCCCGTTGGTGGCCGTGTTAACGGGGTTCCACTGTAATGTACTTTTTGGCACAATTTCTTCAAATCTGATAAAGACGTTAGAATCTGATGGAAGTTTATCTACGTACAGTATTCTTAGACATATAACGAGCTATAAAATGCATTAAACTTAAGCCTAGTACAAATAAAAATCAACTACAAGAATACTACTAGCTCAAGAATTATTAGAAAAATTAACAATAGAAAAGGAATTTGAAAATTTATCAATCTGAACTATCTGGATAAGAAGAAACAGCCTTCGTTTTTTGCTTCAAAAAGCTGAAGCCAAAAAATGCTGAGGGGAGGGGGTGTAGATCCCCAGATTTGCCGGCAAGAAAGAATGGCGTTTCTTAGGTGCAACTGTTGGCAATAATATAATGTAGACAAACTTCTTCCAGTGAAATCTTGAGCCATTTGATTTTTAATGAAAGATAATTTTTAGGCAGAAATGGAGTACATAACATGAATGAATCTGATTATCCATATTCTAAAATCTTCGAAATTTAAATCATTAGAGCAACAGATGATTAACTCAGTAGCATCTAGGTCATTAGAATGTGACAACAAATTCAAATATGATTGCACCCCATTGGCTTTGTCCTGACCTTCCGTTTATTATATCGAGGGGCAAATCACTCCAAGAAAATATCGTACACCTTTTGTGAAAATCCTATTGTTTTATCTGAAAATCCTCGGAAATCCTTTTGTTTTGGGGAAAATCTGGTACGCTATTTGCAAGAGTGAATTGCCCCTCGTAATATATGGTTTTTCTATAGACACAAATGATCCCCCAAAACTCATAATATGCTTGAGAGAGAACAATGCTGACGCTGTGCACAAATCAAGAACAATGCTAAACTCAATGTCAAGATTCAGGGCAAATATTTTTGATAAATAAGTCACTGTAAAAGCAATTTGAGACGAAGCAATCATCATTTTACCAATCGTAAATCCTTGAATGCAAACATTCAAAAGACAGCTGCCAGAAATGGATGCTACACTAAAATGTTAGTCCCTATTGAGAGACTGGCTCAACATCGTCAAACTTGAAAGAAAATTTGCCCGTTGTATTATACTGCACATGATGTTTATGCTGGCCAGTGACGTAGACAGGAGAATTCATAGGAGGGGCGATAAATTTAGATTTTCCAACAAAAATTTTATAACAGCTTTTATTGTTACCAGAATGTGGACAAAACGCCTCTTATGTCACGTGTCATAAATCATAATACTCGAAGATTTTTCTTGTCTTCTCTTCTAAAAAAGGCATTTTTAAGTACTATGCCTTTTTGAAAAAGATTGTCAATCACAAAACAACAGAAGAAGCTAACATATTAAGCTTTAAAATCTTTTCTCACAAAAAGTAACACTTTGAAAGGTATAGACAATCATGTTAAATTTACGACAAGATCAGAAGTTTTCCAAAAAACGGCAGTTCAGATTTCATTTTATTTTATTTTATTTTATTTTATTTTATTTTATTTTATTTTATTTTATTTTATTTTATTTTATTTTATTTTATTTTATTTTATTTTATTTTACTTTTATTTTATTTTATTTTATTTTATTTTATTTTATTTTATTTTATTTTATTTTATTTTATTTTATTTTATTTTATTTTATTTATTAAAGTAACTTGTCCGAAATTGAGATTTGGCAGAATATGATTGTTATTATTATTCGAGTGCAAACGACCTCTTTTTGGTGTTCCTTTTTCGCGGGTGTGAGACTGAAGGTTCATGGAAGGAATAAACCATTCCTAAGGAGTAAACAGATTTCTCGGTCAAATTTATATTTAGTAATTTAGCTGCAATCATGGGTGGCTATCTTGGTAAAGCAATGAAGGATACAATGGATGAAAACATGAAAAAGAACCAGGAGTTCATGTTAGCAAGTCAAAAGATGCAGGTTTGTCTATGATCGTTATTAAATCTCTATAAGCGAAGAAAGCTTTTCGACTAGCAATACAAATCATAATATATTATAGATAATAAGAATGTTACAAAAATCAACATGCTAATTGACTAAAGATTTTTGAAAAACACCCGTTCCTGCTTAGGACACCTATTTTAAGGGTTGTGGGTGAAATACACACCAGAGGTTTGTGCCTTGGGTCCGGGCTGCAGTGTTCAGTGATGGCGCTGGAAATTTTCCGACGGAGGGGCTTGACCTTCCGACAGGGGGCTATGTAATCGGGAAAAAATATGGAATCCCAGTTGAGAAAAGACGCACAAACATTAAAATTACAACAGGACATGAATTTAACCAACAAGGAATAGCAGCTACTTAGAGCAGGATTAATTTTTTTGGAAGGGGACTCGCTTTTATATCAAAATGCTCCTAAAAAGACATATTAAGAAAGTTCTTTGTAGGTCTTTCTACGTGATTTTTCTTTATCCTCAACACTAAACTTTTCCTAGTAATAAAAAATAGACTCCATTTAATCATTAAACAGAATAAGAACCATTTTTACTTAGGTTTTGGTCATTCTATATCAAATCATCAGATATTTTTAAGATTTGTAACCCATGGTCTTAGAATTTCTTGATTTTTTCACCACAAAGAGCCACTTTGGAGAAAACACCAAATACAAAATTTCATCCTTATATCTCTTACGGTTGCAATTTTGTAGCCGTTTCAAAAGTGACCCATTTTAGCCAAATATGCCACACCCAGTTTACCAAGCGATGGGCGCGGCTTTCTATCAATAGCTGTAACTTTTCTATAGTTGTCAATATTTACTTGAAAATAATGTCAATTATTGATTTGATACTGTAGATTTCAAATATTGCATCAGAATTTGTCAATTCTCTAAGGTGAAGCAGATAGTCATATGTTAAAGGTTATCACTTGTTTTGAAAATATTCCCAACCGATGTATATAAATATTGAAAAAAAGTCCTGTAGCTGGAATCATAGCATTAGAAGCTTGCTATATTCTGAAAGTGTATTCTTTGGGCTATCAGAAAATGTTTAAGATTACAATTGCAATTGAAGTATTTTGAGTTAATTGCACCTTACAAAATGGGTATAATTTTGCAAGAATCGTGAGCAAAAAAAATTTGTATTTAAGGTAATATTGCATGAAATAAAAATAGCTGCTAAAAACATTGAATCAATCACGATTTCACATTCAGAGACAACAAAGAATAATTAAAAATGATTCCTAGCCATGGACAAGCTGAGATACTGCTTTATAGTCACTGTAGCTGAAGCTTCAAGTTTGACCTGTAATTGTTTTGGATGAATCAGTTTTACAAAGCATGTAAATGTGATACCCAGCATATGTATGATCTGCTTGATCATGTAAAGTTCTGAGTGGGTTCAGGTGGGTGCATGAAGTTCATTTGAAAGTCCCCTTAATCTTCATTAATGTCATAGAAACCCACCCATCATCGTCATATAGGCAAGCAACATACTTTATCGTTCGAGTCCAAATGCCATTCTCTCCCTTCTTAGAAAGAAAAGCAAAGTTTCCTGCAAAGTCTCTGTCATCAGAAAATTACTTGAAAGCAATCTTTTCATCTTTAAGTGGAACAAACTGATTAGAAACAATTCTGTTTGTGGTTGTACTACATATCAAAATTCATCACTTCCAGTTGCCATTAACAAAACATACAGAGATATGATAGACATGACTGTCTGCTGCAAGGACAGTAAGCAATGTATAGCGCACAGATGTGGCAACTGTTCAGGGATGTCTGTACTTAAAAGGTTTCTTGATCAGTGTTTACATGATGGTGATAGTGGTATTTTTTTTCAGCATGGTGATAACACTAGAAGATCAAAAATAGTAACAAGGTTCTTGAGTATTGCTCATTTTGTTGAGCTGCTGGTAAAGTGTATTGTTGCTTTGACCTCTCATTCTTTTCTTACACAATGGCAGTCAAAATACCTTAAGTGAAAGGAAGAAATGGAGATGATTCTTGTTTTTTGGCTGACTTTGCCAAAAACTATGAATTTTTCACTTAAGATGAAATTCAGTCAGCCCATTGGAACAAGCAAAATTGCATGCTACACCCCAGTTCCATTTCTTCCTTTCACTTAAGGTATTTTGACTGCCATTGTGTAAGAAAAGAATGAGAGGTCAAAGCAACAATACACTTTACCAGCAGCTCAACAAAATGAGCAATACTCAAGAACCTTGTTACTATTTTTGATCTTCTAGTGTTATCACCATGCTGAAAAAAAATACCACTATCACCATCATGTAAACACTGATCAAGAAACCTTTTAAGTACAGACATCCCTGAACAGTTGCCACATCTGTGCGCTATACATTGCTTACTGTCCTTGCAGCAGACAGTCATGTCTATCATATCTCTGTATGTTTTGTTAATGGCAACTGGAAGTGATGAATTTTGATATGTAGTACAACCACAAACAGAATTGTTTCTAATCAGTTTGTTCCACTTAAAGATGAAAAGATTGCTTTCAAGTAATTTTCTGATGACAGAGACTTTGCACTTTGCAGCAAACTTTGCTTTTCTTTCTAAGAAGGGAGAGAATGGCATTTGGACTCGAACGATAAAGTATGTTGCTTGCCTATATGACGATGATGGGGGGGTTTCTATGACATTAATGAAGATTAAGGGGACTTTCAAATGAACTTCATGCACCCACCTGAACCCACTCAGAACTTTACATGATCAAGCAGATCATACATATGCTGGGTATCACATTTACATGCTTTGTAAAACTGATTCATCCAAAACAATTACAGGTCAAACTTAGAGCTTCAGCTACAGTGACAATAAAGCTGTATCTCAGCTTGTCCATGGCTAGGAATCATTTTTAATTATTCTTTGTTGTCTCTGAATGTGAAATCATGATTGATTCAATGTTTTTAGCAGCTATTTTTTATTTCATGCAATATTACCTTAAATACAAATTTTTTTTGCTCACGATTCTTGCAAAATTATACCCATTTTGTAAGGTGCAATTAACTCAAAATACTTCAATTGCAATTGTAATCTTAAACATTTTCTGATAGCCCAAAGAATACACTTTCAGAATATAGCAAGCTTCTAATGCTATGATTCCAGCTACAGGACTTTTTTTCAATATTTATATACATCGGTTGGGAATATTTTCAAAACAAGTGATAACCTTTAACATATGACTATCTGCTTCACCTTAGAGAATTGACAAATTCTGATGCAATATTTGAAATCTACAGTATCAAATCAATAATTGACATTATTTTCAAGTAAATATTGACAACTATAGAAAAGTTACAGCTATTGATAGAAAGCCGCGCCCATCGCTTGGTAAACTGGGTGTTGCATATTTGGCTAAAATGGGTCACTTTTGAAACGGCTACAAAATTGCAACCGTAAGAGATATAAGGATGAAATTTTGTATTTGGTGTTTTCTCCAAAGTGGCTCTTTGTGGTGAAAAAATCAAGAAATTCTAAGACCATGGGTTACATGGGTCTGATGATTTGACATGGAATGACCAAGTGTTTATTAGATCTCAAATGCTTTTATGTCTTTTTAATGCTAGTAAAGGGGGCTGTTTCCATTCTTGTTTTAGTTCTTTATCTTTTGAAATTATTTCCCAGTTCTCTGCGTATGTTGTTTGGTATGCCAAAAGAGAGTGTTGAGTTCCCTGATATGGTGTGTAAAGTGCTTAGAAGTTAGCTGGTTGTACATCTATATACAATTGGATTTCTGTAATCAATTTTTCTGTATCTTTCGTAAAAATTTACAAATGGTAGCAAAATCTTGCTGCTACAAAATTATAAATTTTATTCGTATATCTTCTGACATGTGGGCTAAGCAGCCCCATGCCCCCCTCTGGGGCCACCACTGTGCAGTGTATGGGGCAGTTTAAAATGATATTTTGGGGTGCAAGAAAAAAGTTTCTGTTTGTAAGTGTGCACATTGTTATAAGTGTGAACTTCAATTATGCAGGGTTTAGTAAAGAGCACAAATATTTCGCCACAAAAATTGACAGTATTGATATATAGTTGTTTTGTATCTATCCAAACAAAGCAAGACTTTGTCAATAACAAAGCAATCTAAAGGTTATAAGATATTGAGTCTATTAAACCTAACCCTTACTTTGCCACAATATTTTGCTATCTCTTTTGCCTCTTTAAACTCTACAAACTCTGCCTCTTGACAATATTTACATAACCACAATATTAAACTGTCTCTTTTGCCTCTTGAAACTTTACTGACCTATCCAAAAACTTCTTTTCTCTCTACCTACCACCATCATTGAGCAACTACAAAATGTAACTAGTGAATGCCAATCAATTAATATTAAAGCCTGGTTCACACCAGTGAGATAACAATATTCTAACTGATTTTTCAGTGAACTAAACTGTTATCTCTCTAGTGTGAATGCCTAAGATTTTTCTCACATGACATTTTCAGTGAGAAAGTCAGTGAGAATGATATCAAAAGGATTTGCTCTAGCAGAAGTACGGATGTACCCTTGTTTATAGGACAAGTCAGACCAAGGGTACAAAGAAAATGACAGGAACATCAACGCTTGGAAGACTTTCTCTGTACATGAAATGCATTTCTTGCAGTAAATTATGGAGTTGGTCATGCTGCTTTCAAACACTTTAAAAATATCCGGAACTCAAATCTTTCTATTTTATTTACATAAACAAGATCTTTGAGATCTCTGAACTTAAACAAGAGCATGGGCTGCAACTTCGAAATCTTTGTCTGAATATCATATTCTCACTGGTGTGAGCCAGGCTTAAAGAGCAAACAGCCAAAATAAGACCACAAAACAATCAAAACAATTTAAAACACAGCACTGAAATTTCTTTGTTTTAATGCACAAAACATAGCATGCAAATGCACACATTTAAAATGCACACATTTATGCCTCCCTATACTCAGGTGACACTGGCAGCTTTAACAAATTTCTCATCAAAGGCTTTGGGGAAGAGGCATGGAATGCAGTCAATATTCTCAGTCACCATTTGTGATGCACATTTGATCCCTAACAGAAAAAGGCTATACATCGTTGCAGCTGCGCTGGGATCAAAATAGGCTTCAACAGAATTTTGTCATTGTTTGTCCATAATTAGTAAACATTTCTTGAGGTGGCACATTGGAATGTAATGCTTTGAGGTTCGGAGTAAGGTTCCATAAACTTGCATGTAACTGTAGATAAATACAATGTTTCCAATCAGGGAAAAACTGAGAAAAATTTGAGTTTTCAGAGAGTATCTATCTCTGCTTGAGCCCCCAGGCAAACATAAAATATTAGTTTAGATTGCCAATTCCAATCCAATGCTGGAAGAATTAAGGTACTCTGACTTTTGCTTGGATGCTTAGACTTTTGTTTTGCTTGTAGCTTATAATTTCTTAAATGTTTCCATTAAGCTTATTAGTCTCAAAGACTTATTAATCATAAGTTTGGTTGTTTTTTAGATGGATAGGCAAATGACCATGCAGAAATTAATGATTGAAAAGCAGATGGCAACCAAAGTTGCAATGGCAAGAGAGATGTTTGATTGGCTAGGGTCATTTTATGCACTTGCTTCAGTTGGAATGTTTGTTGGGTAACGTCATGTTTTTATTTTGCTTCTCAATTCTATTTTATTTTTTTCTCACTTGCTGCCAAATTTAAGGCAATTCAATGATTTCTACGGGTGCTAATATAAGAACATAAGGATTTGTTGTTTTCCAATATTGATAAATTGCCTGAAAAGAATTTTTGCTCTGTTTTTTTGACACAGATCATTCATCATTTTGTTTTTATACACCATGCCACCAAATCCTTAGCGCTTCAGATAAAGAAACATTTCTTCAACCCAGTGAATAATTTCTTCCATCTAGTGAATGTATTAAAACAAGGTATTGTGGCCTGTATTAACGGTATCAATAAATATGTTTGCACAAGTCACATGGGTAGCTTGGTGCAGAGGATAGTTGAAGAGGATTAAATCAAAGATAATTAAACTCTCAATTGTGAAGAAAGCATGGCTCAAACTGCAATGAGCAATAAATTACTTGATTACATACTTGATAGTTTTCAAAAAAAGCATGAATGAGGAGAATGCAAAATTACAGCAGTGAAATGGCAACTAAATATAATCAAGTTAAAATGAAACAAATTAAAATAAACAGCTAACTTACCATCACTGACGAGTGACAATGGACAGTGAACGACAATGGACAGAATGTACTGAACATATGATAAAACAAACCTAACACAAACAACAACATTGCAATGAAATCCAACCAAGAAAGAAAGTTTCCCCTAGGTTTCGCAATATTAATGTCAATTGCAAGCAAATGCAAAAGATTTGGAAGATATAGGTTTCAAATAAGGCATAAAGTAAAGATTAGTGATCTCAAATTGAAATTGTATATCTAAAACTGACATGAAACTAAAATTCTGATGGTATACGTTATATAAACTTTTTGGCATTGAAATTTCCTGATTGTTGCTTTTGCATCTTAAAACTGTAAATTGTTTTTACCTTTAATCATTAATATATAGGTATTTATTTCCAATATTCTATACTCTAAGATACTATACTTCTTGTTTGGAATAAAAGTCAAATGTTGTGCAGTGTTTTCTATAGTCCTTCCATTGTAATTTTGCTGCTTAGTTTTTTTCTGTTCTTTAAGCAATTATTTTTGTTGTTTCAGTCCTACAAAATCCAAGGTTTCCCCCTTTTTACAGGTTTGCAAAGAGCAAGAAGCCAACTGTGCTAATGCCATTTGTTCCACTGACTTTCATTGTTGCATATCAAGCACATTTGGCCTATGGAAATAAGATTAAAAGAATAAGAGGTATGTCACATTCTGTTACTGCAATATTTGTTCATGTTTGCCATCACTAATGGGAACAGTGTCTTGTTTCCCTATTATACCACAAGTTAACAATGAAAATGGATGATGGAATGTGACTTTCAAAATCTTGGGTCTTAAGAATCTCAAGGATCTCAAGAATAGTCAGGGAGGGATTTACATGGGGGTGCTAAAACACCCCCAATATTTGTGTGTCCTTCAGTAAATTTTGCCTTTAATCGGTAAAGAGCCTGTTTTGATGGTCAGCAGTAATAAAATAATGCTTAAATTTTATTTATTTATCTCCTTATTTTCTGTATCTTGAAGGTTAAAGCTTGTATTTCTGAATGGGTTTCCATCATTTTCCATTCACCTGAAGGGTATGGCACAAATCATTATCCAACACTCAGTGTTTTAGTCTAACAGAATGAAATCCTAGACTAAAACACTGATCACAGAATAATGTTTACTTTTTGCTAGAAGTTGTATAGGAAAACTACCAGAAAGATCTAAATTTAGAAAGGCCTACGTTTTGAAAGCGAGGCCAAGATGGAGATAAAAACTTGTATCAATAATGGCATCACATTTCAAGCAAATCTGAAAGATTGTCATTCAGACTATGTGTTGATCCTTATGAAATGACATAAAGATATCTTGTTTTGGTTGAACATAAATTTTTTCTGACACCTCATTTGAAAAATTCCAATTGGACAAGAACTGTGTGGTCAGAGATCACCTGACTGTTTGTTTGGAAATGGTGGCTTCAACATCCCTTATTACAGGCCCTGCATCCTTTTTTAGATGAGGCAGAAAACATTCTTAAAGAAGAAAGAGATCTGGTTGCACTTCCTGGAGGTCCTGTAACATTTGAAGCCGTTGAAAAGGCCAGGCAATCATTGAAGTAACTTTTTTATGGACAATTGCTAAGATATAATACTCTGTACATTTGAAGCATTCACTCATTCAAACTATTTTAACAACACTGACAACAGGGCCGGCAAAAGCAGGGGGCTTGGGGGCATGGCCACCCCCCACTTTTCTGCAGAGCTGAAGGAAAATTTTAGGCAAAAGTGAAAATAAAGGTATACTACATCATTCTGTAAGTAACTGTGCTTAGTAATCCCTTACATATGCTTTTAACAGCTTGGCTTAGGAAAAAGATCGAGAAACCTGATCCAGAATAACTTGGTGCCAGACAAATTGACTGAGTTTCGTTTATTCTATTGCCTATACTTAGCTCTCAAGGTCCATTTGTTAACAACAAATTTTTCAGGAACATTACAATAAGAGAGAAATCGCGAGCGATATGGAAGGGAAAGAAACTGATGAAAAGAAAATTTTTGAGGACATAAGAAAGAAAGAATGGGCAGATTTGTTCTATAAAAGTAACATCACGAAAGCTTCAAAATTTTATTGTATCGATAATCCATTCCTACTAAAAAAGAAATTCTAGACGCAATTATAAATTCTATTAAAATAATTTTCGACCAGTGCAGTTTGAAAGTTTTAAAATCCAGAATTTTTGTTAAAAGCACCTTTTTCCGAAATATTTAAGATCAGATGTTACAAAACAATATCCCAAGTTGTGTACAAACTGCTTAAATTTGCTTTTATTTTAGTTGATAGTTCTTCTGTTTTTTTTAAACTTGTACATATTGATTAAACAAAGCTTAAGTATATTGCCTCGGATTTTCCTTCAGTCAAAGTCCATTTTAGATACAGTCTCTGGCCATCCCTAAAAAAGAAAAATCCTAAAATTGTTCTTGCCGCCAACCATTGTGGCGGCCTAACTTAAGCCCTTTCAAGACTTCCATATTTGGCCCCTCTAGTTTCAAATACGTTTCGCCGGCCCTGGACAGTCCTTTCTTTTTTATATCAATCCGCTACTATATATCTGATAAACTTTCACTAATTACGATTTTGCTCTTTTCTGTCAAATTTTTGCCAAACAAATTAATTTAACATTGAATTGAAGCATCAATATAAGGAATTTTTATATTTATCGTTTTTCTTTGAACTTTGCTGGAAATTCTTAACTTCTTGTTGGGGCCAGAGATGGCGCCAGAAATCTTCTGACAAAGGGGTTGGAGCTTCAATGGGTTATATTTTAGAAAACCGACTCACATTGTTTGAGATTTTTTTGGGGCATATCCTATTTTCACTATCTTGATGCCCCGTTGTTGGAGGAACAGGTTTGCTAGCGAAACTTTTGAGGGAACGACGTATTGTGTCTGGTGCTATGATATGATGGTGCAATGTTTCATTCACAGAATTCATAGAACTTTCCAATCGTGCCTGGGAAATTTGAAACGACTATCAGTATAGATATAGGATAAAATATTTCTGTTATTGTTCTCACATTTAAGATAAGATAACAAAGAAGATAAGATATTTTAACATGTTGGCGTGCACTGTTTTTTGTTGATCAACCTAAACATTCCATTCGTGTTCGATTTGGTCAACTCTGACGCAAGCAGTGGTATTTGCAGCTGCCATATTAGATTTAAATATCTTGAGCTAAGCGGAGATTTTGTCAAGATAGCTGATTTAAGATCGTTGATTGGTAGGTTCACAGAAATTGACGTGTTTGGTTAAAAGTCGCAGAAAAGTTTCGTGCGGAAAGAGCAGACAGCTGATTTTAAAAATGTATCTGCAGATGTCTATGCAAATGATAATGTTTCAGTAAGTTTTCAATGGGTGAGATGCCAATGAATGAATATTGAATTTAAACTAAGTATACCTTCTATTTATGCTTAAGAATCCCTTTAATCGCCATCAATGGCAATGGAAAACATTTTCACACAAATGCCTTCTCTTTCTTAAATTCGCAAGAAGCTGAAACACGTTTGCCTTACCTTACCTTCGCTATGCAACGGACTGAGGTATTAAAGACTCAGGTATTAAAGACTCAAGTATCATCATTAGAGGCACCATATGTTGACGAAAGAAAAGAAGAAAAAGCAATAAATACAACATAACTATAGCAGTTGATAATAAGAGAGTACATAGAGGTTTCTCTCAAAGCCCCTTTGCAGCAGTAGCCTCAGGCACACTAAAAATCTGTGATTATACTGACTTGATGCTCCGGCCATGTTTTCATCCGGAAATTTTCTGGCAGCGGACATAAGTTCTATAGTACCACATAATGTTAATCTCTGATGTTTATCTTTGATTTTTTTCAGTCACTTCACGCTTACTTTAAATTATCAAAAAGTAGAATTTTGCTGACTCAAAGTTTGGCAAAGGCCTTCGCTCACAAATTTCCCCAAGAAGATCTGTTTCCAGCATAATCAAACCAGCTTCGCTTTCTCTTTACTCTGTCCCCATTCAAACCACGCCAGCTACTCAATTTTGCCTTGTGAAACTCCACACCAATTGCGACACACCCAACAGGTTGCAATGCGTACAGCCCGGTTCTAAATAGAACAATGGCAGCAGATACCACTTCACAGTTTACTTTGGGAAAAATGAAAATGCTAATTTTATTCACGGCATCAAACGAAGCATCAAGAATGGCGCAGAATGCTATGAGAAATCCAATTTTGATGAGTTTTTCGTCAAGCCGCTGTAGAGCTCGTCCTAGTGCCCCGATTTTCAATGCAAGCTTCATTCGATTGTTCCATTTTTTCTGTATTAAACAGTAGCATATTGTGTTGATTAAAAAAGATAGTGCATCCATTCCCAGTAAGAAGCAAGCCTCAACACGGTTGTCCTTCTGTATACTAGAGAACACTATCCAAGATACGAGACAAATTATTAGTCCTATAAACAAGAACAGCCAGTGGATTTTTGCCGTTGGCATAGCTTTGTATTGTAGAGGGACGATTATTTCAACAAGTCTATCTACTGTCAATCCAAATACCATTATTACTTGAAATACATACAGTGCGTTTATTGTAACATTGAAGACTCCTGCAGTTCCCTGTTCAGGGCTCAATAAACTTGATATCCACCAAAGGAAAATCGCGAAGCAAGAAGCAGCTCTTGATAAATTTATGCTGCCAATCAAAGTACGCTGGTTTTTAAATGACTTCTCTGATCGCAGCAAAAGGAAAGCTGTGATATTTAAGAGGAAGCCAACGACAGCTAGCGAAATTCCTGGATATGATATATGCATGAGAGTATCCTTGTTCGTTTGAGACTTCAAGTTAGCCATGCTACCTTTCTTTAAAGCTGTTCAAGAAATTCAATCTTTTACCAGTTTTGTTGGCTTTCAAGGCTACTTCGCCGTAAAGTCTTTACCAGTGGCAATATTTGTTTGCCATCACTAAATACCATTACAATGTTCGTTGTAAGTCTCCTTCTTGCACCCAGTCAATTTCTTGAAAAAAACATAAGCAGAACTGCTCCATCACTTTCTTCGATCACATGGAAAAGTATCATTATTTTATGAATCACCAAATTTCATTAACAATATCCACACATCTACCAAGAAACCTCCTGAGAAGATCTAAAGAATTTTCATTGAAATCTTCTGAATTTGAATTCTCTGCCATCAATGACAATGTTTACTCTGCCATCTTCTTTTAGAATTACACATTTGCAAATATGAATAGGCTAAGGTGATTTGAATTTGATAATGAATTAGCATTACCAATGAACATATGTTTCATAACCTGTGCTAAATATAACCAAAATCCTATTGCGGAAAGTGTCATTATGAATAATAAACCAATTCAATTAGCGGTATCAAATAAAATAGTTCGATACATGAGTTTCTCTTCAAATTTATGGTTTGTCACGAAAATTTAGCCTAGTTGAATGTCACCTATATCCACTTGAAGTGAAAATTTCAAACTGTCAACATAAAACGGTCGGTGATGATTTTTTACTGTTTTATTGTTCTGCAAACAGTGCACAATGCATTATAGGGAAGCTGTAAACGCTTTGGTGAATGGATCTAAACTTCAGAGTTGCAACTTGGAAATGCCCTGTTCTATACACCAATGCGTAAATCGGTCGGTAGATGCAGTAGGTTATTTTTATTAAACTCGAAATTCGGATTCCAAAATTTGGCATGAGTCGTTTTTCTCAGAAATGTAGCTGATTCGCACTCCTTAGACATTAGACAATAGAAATCGCATAAGTTACGTCATGATATATCTTTTCCAAACGAGTTGGCTTTTCGAAATCGAGGCACGAGAGGCCAATTTAAAAATGGCTTCCATGCAGAGAGGTAAAGCAGTAGGGTAATGCCACTAGATCAGTGAAGTGGGTAAAGCCTTGTTCGCACAAACAGCGATGATAAGAAGAATTTTGGCATCTTTATTGCCCCAATCCAACGTCAAAAGACTTGTCGGTGTTGACCATCTTGGTAACAAATATTATGAAGTTGAAAAAGGTAAGCCAAGTTTCAGTGTCTCGACGTTGTGTCCAGACTGCAGAGTACACTTGGGGTACAAAAGTATGGAAATGATAGTCAATAATGGCGGCTCACAGTGGCCAAAAGCCTAAGGCGATAAATTTCCGAAACCAAATTACTAGGTGAAGGGGCCTTCGTTTCTAGTGACTTCGGCGGGAAAATAATGTGTCATTTCAATGGCTTAGGAATACAGAAAAGAATTTGAAGGATTATTCAACTGTTTTGAGAACAATAATACAGGGAAATGTTGAACCAATGTTCTGAAAAATTCTGAAAAAAATTATCGAAGCATTGATAAACAGTTAAGACAAAATGTTGGCAATTTTAAAGAAGCACAACATAAATCAGGATACGTTTACGTTTATTCTGACAATAAAATTATTACTTGAGAGATTCTTTTAGGTGAGATGTTATCCTGCAGATTATTGATAATGAAACGAGATGAACACCGTTAAAAGTTGACGTTTAGTGATCAAAATAGTTTATTCTTTAAAAAACATAAACAGTGGATTTAAATAATTCTATTCACGATTCACAAAAGCATAATGAAGATAAAACGTTCAACTTAATGTTTTTGAAGTGTTACTTGTGTAGATGATGAAGATATTAAGAATTCAAAAACCTTTTTGGTCAAATGAACAGCGACACACCTGGTGTCAATAGTGAAACTTTCGAGCCCTATATTTCTGCTAAAAAAGTCTTCTAAGTAATAATTTTGTCATCAACGCTAAGCTTGAAGTTTCTTTACCAATATTTTTACTTAAGCATTATATTTTTTTACAAAAAGCTTCATTTCATTGCCACTATTTACAAATGCTTCAGAAATTTTGTACAGAAGAATTTTGAAGCAGTGCTGCAATATTTTACTTAATTTCCTTCTTTAAACAGCAAACGTATCATTCAATTTTGTTTTCAACTGAAACTCTGTAGGACGACAAATGCATTTTCATGCCATTATCTGTCATCCCCCAGACCCTTCACCTAGTAATTTTGTTTCAGAAATTTATCACTTTAGGCCCTCGGCCACTGTGAGTCGCCATTTTCAACTACTGTTTACATACTTTTGTAACCTAAGTGTAATGGCCAGTGCACACCTGAGATATTTTTTCTTCAGTCCGGTGTTAAGTAGATCCACCGATAAAAAGGAGCTGTGACAATTATTAAGAGGACTTTATAAACATGAACATAATTTAACTTGAATACAGAGACCAAGATAAAATAATTGAACTAAGATTTACCTCCCCTTTTGCATCCAGATTCTCGGTAGAGTAGCACTGTGCCAGATTGAAAACGTCAAAGGAGTTGGAACCCAAGATTGTAACCGGAAATTTGATGCACTTGGCTCAGATAACTTGGGCCTTTTCAGAAGTGTGCCTTTGTTAGGAGGTTATTTATGTCAGAACAACAGGTCTTGAACTGATATGATTATGTTTGTTTCGTTTATTTATCTCAGCAAAAAGTTAAGCCATTCATGCACCTGAGCTAAATGATGCTCATTCCTTTTGAAACATGTTCAGATGAAATGTGTAGTGCACTTTCTGCCTGCACCTGAAGACTTTCCAACCAGTTTTGCACCCAAGATCAAAAAGTGCTGCACATTACTGTCTGGGTGATGAAAACGCACCCAAAGACTAGATGCATTTGATGTAAGTCTTGTAAAACTAAAAGTGTTGGTACGCCTGGCAATTTTGGATGGTAATGATCTTTGGGTGCTAATGTCAAAATTGGTCACACTCTGTTTACTGGCAAATTTTAGTAAGCTTTCTGTGATGGAGAATTTCCAAAACCAGGAGGGATGGAGTCATAGCTACCAATGCTGGAAGAAGTTGGGGGAATATTTTGAATAAAAAGTTTTTATGGTCTTTACGATCTACTTAGAATATCACATTTTTTGCAAATTATTGCCTCAGGTATACAGGGCATGCTACTAGCAGGTACCATGCAACCAATTGGGCTAGCAGCCTGGCAATAGCATAGCCCCCCCCCCACTTTTTTGCAATAATAGGGTTTGAAAGTTTTTAAAAACATGATTTGTCTTGTTATAGCTAATGTGTCAACAGTATTAACTTAAGCATTATGTTAACCTCATTTACACATGGTCCCTTTGTCAACATTTGTGTTTCTGATGTAAAGCAAATTGGGTGTTTATTATCTCTGTTAATTGTTACCATTTATTTTGGGTTTCGGGCCTTAATTTCAGAAGAGGTGCGAGACTATTTGTGAAAGTATTCCGTCACATTTAAAAATTGCAATTCACCAAATCAGTCATTCAAAGTTTATGAAGAGAATGATGGGTACATCAAAGGTTTTAGTATTTTTACTCGGCCTGCTTTCCATTTGGCACAAATTTCTGAAAGTTAACGGAATCAACCAATCAACTGGGCACTTAAAGATTCACTGAAAATTGATCACTTACAGTGCAGGGCATTCTGGTTCATTTAAGCCAACAGTGATAACAAATAAAGAAACTAATATGATTAATGTAACATGGAAACATGGATGGCAAAAAAGGACATAAGAAGGAATCATCACCGAAGATAACAGTTTTTTAACACCTCAGATAAATCACGTGAGTTATGCTTGTGTTATTATACTTCTTCTCTCACACTTTTTTATAAGAACACACTTTTTTATAAGAACACACTTTATAAGAACAACAAGGCTCAGTTCTCTAAATATAAGAACATAATCAAAAGGTACCAATCTCATAAAAAAATTATAAAAAAAAGTGTTTTTGAAAATTTTCTCTCATGTTAACAAAGTAGAGGAGATCGTTATTTAGATGTTAATTAGAAACCTTTTATGGTATGTAGTTGTAGAAAAATCAATGTTACCATATGAAGAATAATAAGAACAACCGAGCCTTAAATTATCAAAAAAATAAAAACATTGAGTTTTGGCAGAAATTATCTGGTTCTTGAAGAAAAGAGGCTACTGCATTAAATCAATCACTTGCTATTTTGGACTTTAAAACTTAACTTTAATTTCAAAAACCAAATTTTTATTTATTTTCAGAGATTGTGAAAAGAGAGAGAGTGTGAAAAGCAATAAAATGGCAAATGTGATTCAAAAAACTCAAAATGACTCGCCTAGAGGAATTTACTTCATCCATTGAATTATCCATTGTCAATCAACTGAGCACCCCCAACATGCCAAAATCTAACCTCTGCAAGAACTACACAACTACACACTCTCCTGCCGCATCAGTCACTCTTTAAGAAAATGCTGCAATATCCTTTACTACACCTTTCCAACCGGTTCACTACGACTTCCCAAGAACGATGTTCGGAGAACAGTTTGGCTCATGCCAGGGTGTTTGGTTCAGGAAGTTTCCATGGTTTCATTATGATGTTTCTCGAGACTGTCTGCTGCGTTTCGTTTGCTCGCGGCAGAATGCAAAACTTTGTTTGGAGAGCAGCAGAAATAAAGAAGATTCTTTCATTACATCAGGATTCTCAAACTGGAAACATTTGGAATATTTCAAACAACATGACAATTCAAAAAGACTGCTCTAACTTTTGAATATGTTGTTCCAGAATGCGGTGATGCACTTGCCATGATACATGAGAACGCGAAAACAGTGATGGAACAAAATCGTCAGTTTTTTGAAAAATCTCCAGAGTATTCGGTTTCTTGGTAAACAAGGAATCGCTTTCCAAGGAGATACAGATGAGGCATCAAACTTTCTGTAATTGATAAAGTTACGCACAATAGATGATCCAATACTGGCTAAATGGATTACAAAAGGGGAGAATCTTTCAGATCATGTCAAATACTATCCTGCGAGATGTAGCTAGGGATATTCGCCCCAATTTCTATTCCTTAATCTGCCATGAGTACACAGATATTGCAAATAAAGAACAAATGAGTTTTTGCCTTAGATGGGTCGATGAAAAATTAGATGCCCGTGAGGACTTTTTAGGATTTTACAATGTGCCTTACATTGAATCCAAAACGATCCTAAATGCTATACAGGATTGTCTAACAAGGCTTTTATTACCCTTAAAGTTGTTTTCGGGGACACTGTTAAGATGGAACCAGTAACATGCTCGGTCAAAAATCAGGCGTTGGGAAAAAGATTTGTTAAATTCAACCGAAGCCACTGCTCACCCACTGTCATGCTCATTCTTTGAGTTTAACCGTAAAATATACTACATCGGATAGCATGGTATTATAAGATGCAATGGGCATTTCGAGAGAAATCATCACGCTGGTTAAGTGCTCTCCAAAAAGGGAGAAAATTGTCGGCGAAAGAAAAGACGACATTGAGATTGAAGGTGATGTGGAAGACGTAACTGCTACGTCAGTGACGAAGCTGAGCACTATCCGGTGGACTGTACGGGCAACCGGTCCCCAACGGATCATTGAAAATTACGATCGAATCTTTGAGTTATGACGTGTTTGCTAGAATCTGGAACTTTAGATTCAAATGCCAAATCTAGAATAATTGGTTGTGAGAGCAAAATGAAAAGTTTTGAGTTCTTTTTTGGATTAAATCTCGGTCAAAGGTTATTTGTCCATACTGATAACTTGTCAAAGACTTTACAGGGGAACTGTCAACTATCTCTGGAAAGCGATTGGCACTTCTGACTAAAAGAATTCTGGAAAGTATCTCAAGTCTGCTGAACTTTGTCTCATTGGCGAAGTGGTTACCATTTGCAAGGTTCTGCACATTAACCCAGCAACGAGTGCATCTGCAGAGAGATCATTCTCAATGGCTAGACGGCTAAAATCTTGGCTTCGTTGTAATATGAAACAAGCAAGATTCAATAATCTTGCGAAATTGAACTGCCACAAAAAACGAGCAGACATAATGTCCCTCGTGGATATTGCTAACGATTTTGTTTTTGTTAAATCTGTTCTCATGATGGAGGTAAAACTTAGAGAAAACTCATTAGATTATTGGTAACATAACGTATTCAACATAAACAAATGTTAACATAATAATATCTGCCATCTTGCTAATCGAACTAACAAAAATGTGGCGCGCGGTCAGAGAACTAGGCACCACTGGAAGGATAATGTTTCATAATGGTAAATGTTCATGTTCATACATAGGTAAATATAAGTCACATCTCAACAGTTTTAAATGAAAACAGGCATCGCATGGCTATTGGGGACCTCCCACAACATCCTTTACATCTATCCATCTAATTTGCCTTCAGGTCAGTCACTCTGCTTTTTCTTTTTAAAGCCAGTTGAGATTTTTATTTAATCTTATTCCAGGAGATGGAAAGAAGAGGCGATTTTTAGAAAGATCAGATGGTGTCAAACCTGAAGATTATGTTCAAGGAATGATACCAAATCAGTGGGAAGGTTTGTTTGCTGTACTTGAAATTTTTTGTTCAAATTCATGATAAAAAAGCTAACATTTGCTACTATAATGATAAATGAAACTGATGATAACTTTCTAGTTGCGTTATTCCTTTTAACTATTAAACATTATTTAATTATTAATCAAGTTTACAATATGGCATTTGCATGAGTCGCTAGGCCTAAATTGCTGTTATTTGATTGTTTTGATCACAGCGGTTTTATTATTTTGGTTGCCTGTTACTAACAAAACTTATTAGAAAACTTTTATATAAATTTGTTAAAAGTTCTATTTGTTTAACAGCATGGATTCGTGGAAGAACTGACACACCTCCTACTACCATGGTATGTTCCTTTTTTCAAAATTGAAAGAAATTCCTGGTGAATGAAAAGACAATCATAATGTGGCTCACGACAAATGCCCTCTCTAACAGGCACTTCCCTTGCATTTGGGGTATAAATGGGACCAACCATTACCTTAAGACAGATGGGAAACCTAATACTGCGAAAAGCTCCAAATTAAACAAGATTTTCTGAAAATCTGCCACATTTTAACACTAATCTGCCACAAGTTTTAATTACTCTGCTCTTAAAGCCTGGAACGACGTTCCAATTGATATTAGAGAACTCCCGACTATTTGTCGCTTTAAAAATCAACTAAAGGAGTACTTGAAGAGCTGACAGATTCGTCTATTAAAGCACGACCCCCTGGAAGAACAGCATTTTAGATTGAAATTATATCTCTTTTTTAATTGAACAAATGTATTTATACTTAATCGATATTGTATTAGGGTAGCTGAAGGGTTGAATCGTGTAAAAAGAAATATTATTATTTTTATATTATTATTATTGGAATAAACCTGTCCTATGACTGCCTTAACAAGCCAGGCATTGGTCAATTTCAGCTTATGTAGCTATATTCCCTAATATCTTATATTAGAAAACATGTTTTTTATAACATAAACTGTCAAAATTGTTTGGGGAGAATATGGAGTAGAAGCAATAGTATTTTGGCAATGGAAGAGATGTATTTTATATGCATTGTACAAGGGAACAGGTGATTAGTATAGGTAGTTCTCGTCTTATAGAAATATAGAAGCAAATTATTTAGCAGAAGTGGTATGGAATTTCTTATTTCACACATCTTACGCGCCGTTAAGGAACAGGGGTAAAGCCCCAGCCAAACGACTCGATTTTTCAATCGACTTTTTACTCAATAAGAAATCGAGTGAAAAATCAAGTCGTTTGGCCACCTTGTCAAGCGAGTCGAGTGGCGTCGAGTGATGTCGAGTGAAGTTTGATCTTTAGCAAAAAAGTCGAGTGAAAAAGGTGTTGTCGAATGAAAATCGAATCGTTTGGCCACCTTGTCGAGTGAGTCGAGTGAGCGCGTGCGCAGTTATCATCTCATATGCTTAGTTATTTTGTAACAGAGCTGATATATTTGAAAGCCGGGCGGCCAAAAGGGGGGGGGGAAGCATACTACCATGGGGTCTCTAGGTCCAGGGGACCTTTTGAAGTTATGAATTCCAATTTAAGAATGGAATTAATCAAACGAAACAAGAGTATGCCTAAAAATAGAAATTTACTTAAGCAAAATGAAATAGTTAGTGACGGTTACACTCTGAAACGAATGACGCTAGAGTTCGTCCAGTTGATGTAAAAGGACGTTTGCATGTGAGATAAGCACGGCAGCCGCTTTGAGTTTCTTTGCCTTCATTTGTTGGCATGAGCGAAAAGTCGAGTGAAAAATGGAGCGAAAAATCGAATCGTTTGGCGATCCATGCTCGACTTTGCTCGATTTTGAGATCAAATGTCGAGAGAAAGATCGAGCAAAAAATCGAATCGTTTGGCCAAGGCTTAAAGCTTTCTGTTCAACTTTTATCTGACTATAAAATGCTGTATGGGGACCAAGAATTACAATGCTACATACTTAGCATTGAAACTAAAGATCGAGACAGTGGCCCTTCCTCCAAGATATGTTCTGTCAGGAACCGACATGCGTCACTTTTCTAGGGCAATGCTGCGGAGATAAAAATGCCTGTATGAATTAATGATTGAAATAATAAACCTGCTAGTCCTGTGAGTACAAGTGCGAACAAGTGTATGGGCCCGGTTGTGGCTACGTTCCATTATCTCATGCTAGTTCATTACTGTGTTATTCTGTCCTGATATTAGCATATTCCATAACAGTTAGGCCATTGTCATTTCAACAACAGTTAGATTTCAGTCAACAATAGTCAGTTAGACACATCCCATTTTTGACTCGCGTTCTTTGTTGATCCACTATGAAGACCTTTTAACCTTTAAGTTTGGAAAGCATGCGTTTCTGATGCATTCCTCTTTATCTTAGTTTTGAGAAACCTTTGATATTTGTCTATATTAGGAATTGCTGGAGAGAGAAAAAGTGGAGAAAATAATCGCAGCGAGAGGAGCTGATGTCCAAAGAAAAGATGATGAGGTTTGAAACTTTATTCTTTAAGCTGTCAAAAGACTTAGCAGTCGCAGTATTTTATGTTTAAATCTGTAATTTCTTATGCATGTCCTATATTTTTATTTGTGTATTACAAGCACAAAATTAAGCTCCTTAATTCTAAACTAGAGTATAATCTAAATATCGGGTATTTTTCTAAGCATTTATTTTCATTTTATGCCACAATGCATTGTTGTAAATGTAATGCTCTAACCTCTGATAAAAGGTGCTCAAAAACTAAAATCCCCAAAATTGTAAAAACAAAAACGTAAAAATTTTTCAAAGCTTGCGTGGCTGAAGTAAGGCAAGTTTTTTGACAGTTGTCCTAAGACCATCGAGATAGCCTGTGGAGAACTGCATAAGATTGGCCGGTAACAAACCTTTCATATCCACATGAAACTGTACAGATACTACCACTGATGTTGCTTCAAGGAGACCAAAGATGTTCACTCTTTTTTTTAAAAGAACAATTTTATAAGAACACGAGCCTCAAAACTGATCAAAAGTTAAGAACAAATTAAGAGCAAGCTGAGGCTGAGATTCTGCAAAATGCAATTTTGAACAAGGTTTTTCTCAAAATCGAGGATTTTTAGCGATGTGTGGGTGCCTTTTCGGTAAATAGTCAAATTTGTCAGCAAATTAAGGCTGTCTCACTCACTTTGTTGGCAAATGAGGCCTGAACACCTCCTTAGAGCGAAAAAGCTAGCAATAGTACTGCTTACACCCTCTTAATTTAAGAACAAATTAAGAACAATCCAGCCTCAGATTTTCGAAAAAATTAAGAACAGTCAATTTACTGGTTCTTATCAAAATTTACTGGTTCTTATTAAAAAAAGAGTGTTTTTCGTGGTACCCTGAGACATGTCCGAAAAAAAGAAAATATACACATAAATCTGTCCCACAGAAATCGTATTTACTTTCCAGAGCTGGAAAACTTTTTAAGGTGTTACCCTTTTCATAGTCTAACATGTGTACTGTACTCAACAACCTTGGTCTAACCTCCATCTCTTCTGAGCCTCTGTCCTATTATTTTCGATTAAAGATTGAAATTTGGTTCCTGAACTTTGGTTTTCCTACAAGGAAGCCCTTTGAGTAGCTGAGCTTCTAATAAATCTATTAACAGGCTAAGTAGCACGCAATTCTCGACACAACCAAAGATACAACTTTTTTGGAAACAGGCTGGTTAGCATGCTTGAATAGTTTCTCGTTTCAATAGCTCACACTTATTCAGAGTTGAAGCATATGCAGTCACAATCAGATAGTAAAAATATACACATTTAGGAGAAGGAAATGATTGAGAGATCTTATTAACTTCAGTTCAGGAGGTAGATCGTGCTCTTATTGTAAACATTCTAAGATTGTACCATTGGAACCTTTAAGGCAAACTCCGCCATTAAATTTTCAACGAGAGTACTTAGCTACTGGCGCTTGTGGCAGTTAGTCTTATTTCAGTCACTTTGTTGCTCAATGAAAGTTCTTATTTCTTCGTTCAAGGCCCAACAGAAAGCTTATGAAGGTGAGTGTAGTTTTCACATTTAAATGCAACGTGTATTTGTTGTATCCAATGTAAAAAAGTCCTTCCCATTTATAGGGGCCACTTGTTGATGGAATATGCCTGATGATAAAAAGTGTCCTGCGTGTAAGCTTTTGTCCTGCTGCACGAAATGTTAAGTAGCATTTCATGGTTTTATGCAATCTCTTTGAATGATCGAATATATCTGGTATGGTGCCATTTCATAATGGGATTGGGGGGAGGGGGGTGGCTGAATTTATTTTTTGGAAAATATTTACGGTCCATTTCATTCTATTATGGTCCCCGTTATGGCTGGATGTGAAGGGTAAGAAAATAGCATCTTTCTGCAATTGTCTAGGAAAATGATACTATTTGTCTACTTTATCCACCCCTGTTTATCTTGGTTCTCATTTTCCAGAGTATCAGCTTCCTGCTATTACAACCCCTCTAAAAGACACCGAGAATAGCAGTCACATGCTAGCAAAAATAGTAAGCTAAAGAATATCAATTGTTATCAGCAAATTGCCAAACTGTACATTTAAAAGAATATATTTTAGTTTTGTAAAATTATTTCTAGACGGGTTAATATCCAGAGTGACAGAAGCAGATGGATTTAGAGCCACAAGAACGCAGCAAAGTAAGTTGTGCCTGGATGGTGCTTTCCCCTTTCTTCATATGCACATTTTTACAGAATTAAATTGAATAGAAAAGGTTTTACACAAGGCTTCGGATTTGGAACAATAATATTTTTAATTAGCTTTGAAAAAAGCAAAACATTTGAGTATACTGAAGCTTTTCGTCTAACACTCTTCAGAGCATAAAACGTTAGAACATGGATCCAAAACTCCACGCTAGGAAATATTTATACCCAGTTGTGGATCGAAATAGGCCAATCTGAAACGCGAGCACATGACTTTTGAGGCTGCCCAATCAGTGCCTCTTGCCTATTGAAAATGTTACCAATGGAGTCCTAAGGTGAAAACTAACTCCTTCTGTCTACACAAAAGCGTTTTTTCGTGTTTATGTAGATAGATTCAAAACATCCATTCAAAAGGATTGCGTTATCTATCTACCACCCAAAAGAGTTCCGTTATCTTTGAGTTAACTTGCCAGTGTGATCAACAACTGGATATATATATATCCTAGCGTAGAGTTTTCGTTCTATGTTCTGAAGTTTTACACTCGGAAGAAAGTCAGACTAAAAGCTTCAGTATACTCAGATGTTTGCTTTTTTTAAAGCCAATTTTAAGTTTTGTACCACCAAAAAATTGTTTAGTAATATTTTTGATGTACACAAGAGGTCTTTTTTTTCTCTAGATACATTGCTTCGTCTCCTTTTTTACTTAAGAGTGCAGGTTGCCGCACAATTTATATCAGAGATCCCTACTCTACACAATTAGGCCCCAGGCAGTCATCTAATAAACTATCAACCTATCTCTTTGAAAACGTTCTGAAGATACAAATAAAATTTTGAGGTTTACAGAACTTATTTTAAGACGCCTTTTCATGAGCAATGATAGGGCAGACAGTATCTTTCTCTGGAATAAGCTAATCTGGAAAATCAAACTGCTAGCCTACCTAGAAACATCCAAGAAGAACGTTTGATTATAATTTTACTTTGTTTTAATACTTTTTCTTTACTTTTGTACTGACAGTTTCATATGTACTGACAGCTCGTTAACCTTGATAAGTAAGAGAAATGAGAAATGAAAAAAGAAAAAATGAAAAAAAATTAAATTAAGATTCATAATGAATTTCTTGCAAGTCATCTAGTCTAAACATAAATTTTTTCTTCAAAGCATAATCTACCTGAATTTTGTGCCTTAAGAATGTCTCTCAACTCATCGACCAAAATTTATTTCAAATATTCTGTCTTTTTAGCTTATTTGCTAAAATTTACCACGTATAAGGCAGTATGATAGAATAAAAAAATGTTATGATTGTGTCCCTATCTATTCAATTAGCCCATCTTTCAAGCAGCGAGTTTGAATAAGCCCTTTTTGGGTTATTTCAATCATTACGAGATCTACTTCGAAAGACTTCGAATTTGCTTTCTTCGAAAGATTTTTGTTTTCAAAGAAAAAATGGATCTCTTAAGAGTAATGAAAACATTGAAAGAAGTCCTTTTTTTGCTATTTTTAAGATAATTTTTTATATTAATGAAGATTTTTTTGAAATTCTAGTCGGGCACGCCTCTGCGAACTTCTTTGGCCCCCGTCAGCAGACATTCGAACCTTCCACTGTTGGTAGCAATTTTGAACCTGGTTCGTGGAGGCCAAAACCGAACACTAAAAACTCTGAACAGGAAATTAACGAGGAGGAAAGTTTTAAACCGGAGAGTTGGACACCAAACAAGAAGATGAAATCGTAGCAGTCGTGTTAAGGTATTTAGTAATAAGTGTGAACAATTAAGGTGTTTTGTTATTCTATTAAACTATCGACCTATCTCTTTGAAAACGTTCCGAAGATACGAATAAAGCTTATGTCGTCATTTTGATTGATTGACGTATAACTTAGTATTTGAGTATCGAAATCAATGTTGACTGAATGAATGAATGAATTGAATAATTAGGTCACTGTGAGTGTCAAAGTTGACTTGTTACGAATGAATAATTACGTCACTGCGAGTGTCAGAACCATTTGGAAAATGTTCATTGAACTTCTCAGGAGTGCTTAATTAAGTGTTCTTTTATATTTCTTCCATTGCAAATCAAAAGGTGTGGACAATCGCAGAGGCGGACTGGCTAACTTTTTTGGCCCGGGCACATTTTGATCAAACCGGCCCATAATAATAGCAAATAAAAAATTCCTCGGAAAATTCTAGTAAATATTAGTCTGTACGGAAAAGAAGTTTTTAAATTCAGTAATTTTGTGCATGGATGAATGGTTAACAGAATATGGTTAACAGAACATGGTTAACAGAAAATGGTTAACAGAACATGGTTAACAGAACATGGTTAACAGAACATGGTTGACAGAACATGGTTAGCAGAACATGGTTAACAGAACATGGTTAACAGAACATGGCTAGCAGAACATGGTTAATGACTTTGAAAAAAGCAAACATTTTACGACATACTAAAAGCTTTTTCGTCTGACACTCCTCAGAGCATAAAACATCAGAATCAGGGTCCGAAAGAACACGATGAAAAATATATACCCAGTTGTGGATCGAAATAGGCTGTTCTCTTTCTTATGTTGGAAGACGAGGGGCAGTTTTTTTATGTTGGAAGAAACATGCTGTTTTATCCAACGTATCCAACATGTTTTATCCATCATCTGGATGACAATAATGAATTCACAATTTTGATGGTTTTGAAGTACTCGCGTGTATATTTATTCTTTCCCACAAAGTCTCTGAAAATTCAAGTCAAACAGATCAACGCGTGGGTATATTTTTTTCTCCTTGCATTCACTTTTTAAACCAATTTATTTTTTTGCATTTTTATTGACCGGCCCTTAAACTGACCGGCCCTTCGGGCGATCGCCCGAATAGCCCGACCAGCCAGTCCGCCCCTGGGCAATCGTATATAACATCTAACGGAGGTGAAAACCTTAAATGTGTTCTTTTTTGGAAAAATCGCTTATTTCTGTCTCATCATCAAATTCCAGTGAGAGGAGGCCAAATTCAACCAGTTTTGTGAAAATTAGTATGTATGGGCCCACTTTTGTCTAGGCATTTTGCTAGGTTATATATCGAAGGTTTGTTTCTTGGACTGATTTTAAGGCATTCTAGAGGGAAAGCCGTGAGAGGGGCAGAAAAACATTAAAGCTTAGCGAAGGATGCCATTGACTTGAAAGAAGCTTAGTAATATCTCTTCTGGTCACGACACAGCAAAAACGTTTGAAGCTGAAAAGAAACCAACAAGATCAAGCAATTGAGGTGAAAATGAATGAGCAGCCATTACTTCAGATTTACCAACAAAAGCTCCTTGGAGTTATTATTGACCAAGATCTTACATTGAACGATCAAGTTAAAAACGTATGCAATACTGTAAGTCGCAACCTTGCTCTATTTCGTAGGATCAAGTCTTACCTGCCATTTGATACAAGAAAATTGTTCTATCAAATCTTCATACAAGTCTATTTTGATTACGGCAGTGTGGTTTGGGGGTCTTCTACGAAGATATCCTCGCTGTTGAAGCTTCAAAAGAGAGCAGCAAGGTTGATATATGACCTTCCAGACCGTGAACATTCAGGTCCACTGGTTAAGAAACTAAAGTGGCTGCCCATTCAAGGACGAATCAACTTCAAAACAGCCATAGTAGTCTTCAAGGCTCTAAATGGACTAGCTCCAAAATATATGACTGATTTGTTCACTCATCAAAATCAGATTAAACATCGAGATTAAACATTGAGGCAGAGACCACGGAAGCCCCTCTCCCATAATTTCCAAAATGTACTTATTACCATACAAACAATTGTCTTACTCTTGGTTTTTAGCATGTTTAGCCCCCCTCCCCAATGTTTTAGCCTTCTCAATCTGCAATATACTCCGCGGTCCTTGGCTTCAAGTGAAGGAGAATCCTTTCTGATATCGCTTCCCAGTTGCCAGTTTTAAGCAAGAATAATACTATACCAATCTGCAATACCGATCGTATCAGAGGCATTTTGCTAGCATTATATATGTCAGAATATATATTTGCTGAGAGGTTGGCAGCGATATAGAAATGTTAGTAAGCAATTCGATCGTTTTTATAAGCTGGTCACGGCACCATGAGCAAAACGATGCTTTGAAGGGGTATCTGTTAATCTATCTTTCTGCCCTTTATGGACAAAGCCCCTTTCTGATGTAGTCAATAAAATTCCTCCACACAGCATTCAAATAAAGAGTTTTTCAAACAGTCTTGGCTATTTCTTTATTTCAATCTTTATTTAAAAGTAGGAGCATTCTGCTCTTACTATGTGTTTTTTATTAATTTCAAACTTCCTTACTTATTTATTACTATTTGTTTATAACTCGATAAAAGTAATTGCAAAGCCACGTATACTTGATAAAATGTCTCTTAAAAGGCCTTCTACTTTAGCTTGTATTTGTAATGACGGCAATTTGATTTTTCCTCTGCTTTAGAAACAAACAAGTGATCGAATGAACGTGTGCATTCTGATAAACAAACAGCAGACAGCAGATTGAAACAAACAGCAGATTGAAACTGACGAACGATATAATGTAGAATGCGGAATCCTAAAGAAATAGGTTCTGGGCCAGTAATTCCTGAGTGCGCTTAAACCATATACATTCCAGGCTGCTAATATGTGGTGTGTGTTTACGGCTCTCAATTGCGCAGATAATAGCGGGGCATGGGAGTATTAATCCCCCCCCAGTATTTCGATAGCTGGTTCAGAAATTTCTGGCGATAGGCTTCAAGAAAATATTTCTTTGTAGAACATTTTTGGGATTAGAAAGGGAAAATGATGGTCATAAATTTCCGCCCCACTGGAGCCACCTTTCCAGTGATTTGGAATTTAAGGTTTTTGGGAAAAATGTTTCCGAAGATTTCGCAACGAAGCGCAATTCGAAGTATCCGATATATTTTCAGGAAATCCCTTAAAGCATCCTGGGATTAGATACATATGTAATTGCCAATTAAAGATACACAAGGCTTAGATTCTGGAAAAGCGTTGCAAACACTTGGACATTAATTACCTTGCGGGATTCCTATTGGGTGGAACTTTGAGGAACTTTCGAACTAAACAATAAGGACACCTGTTTCGATTGTTCCTGTTTTCGGACCGTACATATGCACAAATTGAAACACCCGTCTAAACTGGAGACCCAGTGCTATTTTCACGGACAAGCCAATTAACCTTACTTGCCTGGTCTTTGACCCCGAAAGCGTAGCATTTTGTGAATATTTCAGGCCTAATCAACTCTAAGGCTGGACTGTTGAAGAGGAACAAAAAGGATTTTCAACATGTTTCCGGTAGCAGTTGGCCTAATGTTGATTGTTTGTGCGTTTGCGGGGTTCATGGTCGCAACCGACGAGTGTGTGAAGCCCAAAGGCGAATGATTGTCCCACGGTTGTGCTGCAACTAATGGTGCACGACTGAAAGTACTAATAACAAATAAACAATTCGCTTAACATCACAACCGACGCTGACAAATAACGTAAGAAATTACATATTAGATATACGATGAGACTGAAAACTGGAGAGGCCTTTTCATCCTTTTTATTGCTCGAACTGATCAACTGCTTCGATGCAAACTTGCACAAGGAAAGGACAATTGACCAGTACCGCAACTGAGACGTCTTTTTATAATTGCAACATGCCCGAACAATATTTTGCGCATCACCAGAAGAAAAAAGAGACTTCTTTCTTCACAGAATGAATTGATACTCCTTAGAGTAACACAAACCAATGCAGATTTCGAGGGGCATTGACAAAGTTCGTTGTCGTTTACCCGACTTCATTTCGTAGGGGATGTAAAGCCTCCGAAATGCAAGTTGCTATCATAATTTCGTATGGTAGTGTTTATTTGCCCTCCAGAGGGGACAAGACAGCATTCAAAGTGGACGAATTTACCCGTCTCAATTCACTGAAACTAATAAATTACAACCCTCTAAATATGCTACTATGTTAGTACACTTCTAGAAGTTCTCAAGACTCGATCTGTTGACGCCAATTAAACCTGGTGCAAGTAGAAATCTGCAGAGCTTTTTAGTATCATCACTTAATCACGGAGACAGGAACTGTAACATACGGCATTTGTAATGAATACTAATTATTTTCTATTAAAATGGCTACAAGTTGTGTATTTTTTCATCGATCTTCCAGAGTCCACAGTGGGAGAAAGGTAATCCAACGATGCAGTAGTTTGAGGGGAGGAAGGCGTGGAAGGGAAGGAAAGAAAGACCAACTCTTCATGATATTACTTGAATTCCATTTCTAAGGAACTTGATCAAAATGTACAAGGAAACTTTGAGGAGGCAAGTAGGGAAATATTTTGTCAAGAAAATGGTTAACGTGTTTTCTGAACTCTACGATCTTCATACATTAATATCGACATTATCAGATAACCAGTTTTTCTACCGTTTGTCTGTTTAAATTATTGAAGATGAATTGAAAAGAATGAAATTCAATCTGTTTTACTCTTGCCGCGGAATTTGTTTAGCTCTAGAAAAGCTGCTTCTTTATCTAGCTGGATTTTTCGAGATTTTTTCGGAATTCACATGATCTTCCTTCAATGTACCCTGATAAGTAGAGGCTAGTATTTTTCGGAATGATTTCAAAGCTTCAAAATCAGCGGTAGTGACCACTTGCTTAATGTGGCAGTTACCGAACGTATGAGCCAACCCGTACTGTGTTTCCCGGGTTACTTCTACGGCCTTTCCTGTCTTAAAATCGAGACCAGAATCTAAAGAGGACTGGATCAATCAATGATATGACCGATTTGTATGAAGCAGTAGGGCGGAAACTGCATTTTCCCAATTAGTCCCAAAAAGTCCAAAAATGTCTTTAAAAAGCTTCTTGTTCGATTTCTCACTATTATTTTTACTATCTTTTCCAACTCTTGGGACCGACTACAAATTTGGGAGCGTATTCAAAAAAATTTGGGGGCTGATCACCCCCCATGCCGCGTTAGCATTTGAGCCGTTTATAATCTTCCATACACGGTGAAGACTATCAGTCTGGAATGTCTGTGGTTTAAACGCGCCCAGGCATTCCCGTTTTGGTGACCTTGGAAACAAAAGCAGAGATCGGCTGGCGTTTGCGGAAGTCGATCGACCATATGTATGATACAATTCAAAATGACGGGGGTTATCATTGCCTATTACATTAAGTTAGTTAGTTTAGCACAGTTATGGCGTCATGCTAGGGAAGGGCTATGAAGGGCTTTGGCTCGCAAGCAAGCAAGGGGTATGTTAGAAGCGATCAGTCCGTTCTTTAGAGCATTTCTGCGCCTACCTCACCTGCCTTAAAATTTTCTGGCGGAATATTTCATTTTTAAGAAGACCAGAGGTTTAAAATGCCTCAGTGAAAAACTCCTGAAGAGGCTAGTGTTCCACGGAATTCGGATTCACAATAGCATGATTTCTATTAGCTCGTTCCCAGTTTTTCATCTTAAATACAGAACACAACAGCCTAGTCTAAGAAGAGTTGTTGGCCTTTGATCGGTGCATTTATCGTTTTTTGGGCGTTTTTTTTTTAATTTACAAAAAAATTCCTTGATTTTTTTCAAAGATGGCTCTCTTTTATTTTGTGAATGTAGCATTATACAGGTGCCATCAGCCTGAATGCCGTGTTTACTTATTCGTGAGGAATTTTTACATAAACGAGGAAAAAGGGGCCCAGACAGGAACCTTGAGGTATATCTTCGGTATCCAATGTCTTATTTCCCATTAGTGCCTTCGATCCAGTAACTTCATTTCAATAACGTTCACTCTAAGACTTCTTGTGATGACGTCGGGGGTACATCTCAAAAAAAGGCGTCTAGAAGAGTTCCCTTTCTTTTTATAGTTGTTGTGGGCAATTTTATGCATTATTTCTTTTGTTGGCAGTTGCTTTAAATTGGCTTTCGTACTAGATACCTACGTTTTGGTACTTCCCTTTTCCATTATATATTGAAACCCCCTTTCGCGGAACTTTCCGTTACGTTAGCCGTGCTAGTTGAACCACAAACCGCCGAAATTTCAAAGTTCTTATCGGTATTATTGCTTATTTAAAGGCTCCTTTAAGTTGGTTTTTACAAAGAAGAGATTGAAGAATCCTAATGAATTGGCCTACAGGCATTCAAGTATGACTTTCTTGCCTTCCGTTCTGTCAATTTCTCAAAAGCGATCACTTGTCTCGTAATACTACTTTTGGAAGGTATTGGCCGCTCGTAAGTTCATTTCGCTCAATTCTTCAATTGCACACAATTGCATTTCACCAGTCCTTAAAGTTTCAAATGTTTAAGAATTCTCCCCAGAAAGAACACGACCAACAAGTGAGACAACTCTGTACAGTTAAACAGCGTCATTTGAAGAGAATACTAAAGATGAAATGGCACCATTAAATCAGCAAAGAAGAAGTTCTCGCAAATGGAAATGTTATTTGTAAAAATGTCGATTACGCCGGCTAGGCCATGTTTTCAGAATGGAAAATGATCGTCCACTGAAATTCTTATTGTATGGTGAATCAGGTGAAGGTACAGGTCCTGTTGGTCGTCTAAAACTTAGTTATAACGACACTATAAAAGTGCGCTGAAATGTGGTGATGTGCTTGACAAATGAAAGGCAAAGGTGGAGGGCCGATCTGAGTGGAGACAGTGATTCGTTAAACCTGTGAAACAGTAGATAACAAGAGAGTCAATATAAACGAATAGCAGAGGGAAAGAAAAGAAGTAAAAGAATATATCAGACGAGGCACTAAAAACATTTATACTAGCATCATTGATCGACACTTGTTTGTCACTTTGGGTTGTGTGTGTATTAAATAAATTCCAGCAATTACAGAAACTTCAAAATAGAGCAGCCAGAATTATCAGTGGCATGCTCCTAGTAAACCTCTTGTTGAAACCCTGGATTGGAAAACAATCGAAGAGCTTAATTCGGAGCGAAACACAAGTTATGGTCTTTAAATCAGTAAATAGGCTTGCCCCACAATATCTCTCTGATTTGTTTGTCACAAACTCATCTGATCCCTTATTATAATCTAAGACGAACTGCTACTGATATTGCCGAAGTAAATGTCCTCAAACGGGCAAAAAGTTTCTCTTCTAGGGGAGCGGTATTTTTGAACAGCCTACAATTCGAATTAAAGCGAGCATCTACCTTGCCACCTTTAAAATCAGCATTATGCAGCATTTTAGATTTTTTGTACGTTTTTTGTATTATCATTCTTCATGTAAATAGATTTCTAGCAAAAAGTTTTTATTGTAATTACGTTTTAATTAGGTTTAGATATTATATGATGTATTTTGTAATTAGATGAAAGCCGTTTGTAAAGCAGCTACAGCTGAAGTGCGGAGAAAATCTCATGAACCCTATGTGTCTGTGTTAACTTGGGTAAGGCATAAGTAAATATATATTTAGAGGTATACCGGGCTTTTGCGCCTGCCCGGGGGGGGGGTGTAAGATTGAACGCCGAAAGGGGCCACTGTGAAAGTGTCTTTGTTAAGATAATCCACGAGAAATTGATTATCAGAGAGTTCAGTTTTCGTCACCATGATGAAAATTGCATTAGAATAGACTTTTCGCTACTCTTTTGTCGAATTCAACCGCTGTTAAATTTCTTTTCGTTCTGTTCAATTACAGTATCTCAGTCAGCATTTGAACTTCGCCTTTCGGTTCCTCACAGAAGGGCTGCCACACATCCGCAGCAAAAACACAATTTTGTATATGTAGTAACCATAAAGTCCCATGCGCACGCTCTATGACTCCAAGACGGGGGCTGTATCACTCATTAAAATTTTTTATCTGTCTCCCAAACAATACCAGACCAGTTGGCATCATCCCTGTTTCAAAGGTTGACAACAAATAACCTTTATAATTTTCTGTCGTTCATCGCCCTTCTCGCACATTTTCCTGTTTTCTGATTTCTTCCGGTTTTTTCTTCCTGTTGCCTTTTTGCTTTCGATTTTTCTTCTTACCAATGCCCATCAAGATACCCGAAGCAAATTTGCACCGGTCACAGAAAATCTTTGGTTTTTGATAAGTAGTTATCCGTTTTTCTAAAACTCAATGCCTAGAAAAAGCGAAAAAAATTTGCCAGACACATCGAAAATTCAAGAACAACTTGTTGTCCATTCGTCACTCTCTACCTGCACAATTCAACGGTTTTTTGATATTAAAAGAATTCGTTCATTCGATTGGTTGCAAAACTTCAATCGCTGGCATTTGGTTGGCGGGGACATCATCAGCTATAAAATCAGAAATTATTTTACACGGTGATCTGGACGTTTCTTGTTTTGCCCCGCCACAATATTCTATTGCACATGGAAGGTTGGCAACTATAGGGTATCTCAAGGATTATCCCCACCAAAGTTGCCAGACTGACTTACCCTAGAGTCTAGTCTAGTCTAGAGTCTAGTCTAGTCTAATCTAGTCTAGAGTCTAGTCTGCAACCGTCAAATTTGTTAATCTAAGATTTTCAGCATATTGCACCAAGAAAATATTTTCCATTTTAACAAATTCCAGAATACTTTTTGCTAGTCCAAACGAAGGGCTAAAAGTCCCTAATGTTAGGGAAGTACCCGTAGCTAGCTAGCCCTAAGAGAGTATGCAGGAGATCGATAACCTTGCGTGATTACTCTTATGAGCCTCTCTATCAATATCTGCAGTGGTATGTTAGTTTATGTTTTGTTCAGCCAAACTTTCCAGTGTTTGCAGTTGTGTTATCTAACGAGATACCTCATTGCAGGTATTCTAGAAAATAAACTAGCTCTTAACAAGTAACATAGAAAGCTATATTTTAGTCATATTTTCAATAAATCATTAATTTCAACTCGCAGGGTTAGAAAACTGTAGTCTACATGCACGGCAACAAATTTCCGAGGGAAATGTACTTTTTGTTCGTTTTTATAAAACAGTTTTCTAAGGCTGAAAGTCGGATGTTTCAACTGAAGGCGTCTTTTCAAAATGACGCACACCTGAAGGGCTTTCTTATCAAGCTTGGGCGTTATCTGACAAATGGTCTTGAAGTGAACTTTCTAGATTCCTAGCTTTGACAGTCAGCTAAGATAAGCCATTTTCCCCAATCAAAATGTCCAGCGCTGTTACCCTGGGTTCCAGAGCCACAAAATTGCATGTCTTTTACTAATACCACCAACCCGGATTTGGGATTGCTAAGTGATGAGACAATGAAGCCTAAAGAGGATCGATCACTGATTGCAATCCGGGAAACCTATAATTTCTAACGCATTTATGATCCGGTAGCAGTGGATCAATAATTTGGAGCGTTGGATTCTCCTAAATCCATAGATTATAAACCGATTGTATTTGACTGGCGAGGCAAAAGGAGAGGCATTTCGCTAAGCGAGTTTCGCTTGAAGCACGCCGCAAGAGAATTTCTATTTTATTAGCAACAACAGGAGAAAGAATATCGATAACACCCCTAAAATAAGTCTCATTTAATCATTTAGTTCTGTCGGTGTAGGTGTTCGGTGAGCACTTGACTCGGCATTTGCCACAACTTAGGCCTTGCAGTTTTCAAATTTCATCTGTTTTGTTCAAGAAACTGTCACAAAGTTCATGTCAGCCACAGAAAGAACATTGGTTTTTGCGCCTATCGCTAGCAAGCGCTCTTTACAGTCGCTTCTTTTGAAGCCTTCTTGGCTCTCAAAACATGGCGACCAGCTGAAAGCAATATTTGCGGTAGAAAATAACCTGCACAAGGCTCGCTTCCAAGTTTTAGCGGCGAGAGAGATAGTAAGAAAACCAAACGCGAATAGGCTCCCGTCTCACTTGAAAGTTTTTGCAAAAGGAAGTGACGTTGCGAAGCGTTAACCGTCTCGACAGGGGTGTCACTGGTTCGCTTGTAAACAAGACCAATATTTGCAACTTTCCCAGCCCTTTTACATAAATAGGGAAACAGAATCGATGGATCAACTTCGCATAGAGTTTTCTCTGAGTTCAGGCGATGAAATATTTTATCAAAAGGCAGTTTTCACGTGTTTAGTAAAGCGCAGAGAGTAGCGCTTTTCTCCCCTCGCTGAGCGTCTCAATTGTTCGTCTGTAAAGACTGGTCGTTTGGAAGACGGGGGATATATGAAGCATAACGGCAATTTTTATGCCTGACGCTCAAAATTGTTAAATAAAATCTTGCCGGGAAATTTCTGTAGTAAAGAAATAAGATTAAGTTCAACGTAATGAAAAAATATTTTGTCATTTTGTATCTCCGTAATATTTTCAATGGCATCAGCCGAAACTCTGAACTAGTGGGTGTACCCCCGATTATGTAGTCGAGCTGTCTGCATATTATGCGTTTGCGGCAAAAGGAAAGACTATGCAAATTTGTGTGTACTCGATCCCGGTATTTAGTAGGGTAGTCTGTATTTCATCGAAGTTTTCAGTTTCTATAAATTCTTTATAAGCGAGATTTTCCTTTGGCAGTATGGATGAAAAATGCAAACTGATTATGGAAACAATCGCTTTGGTCCGCTCTCGGAAAGCCAGACCCGATGTGGATCGCATTTGCAAAACTATGCAACGCAACCACGGCGTAGACCCGAAAGAGACGGAAAAGTGGCTGGATATTTTGTGTGATAAAGGAATTGTCGCTCGCAGGCCTTTCAAAGGTGCTGTTTCATATCGAATTGTGGCCGATGAGAAGGCTGGAGCGGCCAAGGCACACGCGAGGTATCACAGGAACGTGAAGAAAATAACCAAGGCAATCATTGACCTCGACCCGCATGGGTTGGGTGTCAGTTTGAATGCCATTGAACGATACGTTTCCACTCACTGGCCAACGTCTTGCTCCATTCTTAGTTTGAGGGTTCGACTAAAGTCTGCATTGAGAGATGGAATTGAAGAGGGTAGATTTGTCAGGGCTGTTAATGGATGCTATAAACTTGGACAAACGCAGCCCGCCGACCCACTTGAGGTTAGTGTATTATCCACATTGTTGTGCCTAATCAGTCTTTTTTTCATCAAGATTTTTGAGGGAAGAGGATGACCCATTGATATTGCAAGATAAATTGGATTCTTCCCTAGATTGAAAAATGATGACAAAGAGCCTGAACTGTCTCAAGTTAGTTGTAGGAACTAGGAAAGAGTTGAAGTAATGCATTTCCGTTTATTTGGTTTGGAACCCTTTCTTTCAACATTTTTTCAATCTATGGGTTACTTCTTGAGGGATTTATAAATAATTGGCCAATATTAATAATTCATTTTGATCAATTTGGCTACAATTATTAAATCACTAAGGGTTACGAGCATTGTGAAGCTTGCAGCGCTACTGCTGGGGCTCCGATGTTCGGCCTAATGTTTACGAGTCCTCTCGTCTCGTGTACAATCGAACGAAACTAATGGGGAGGGTTGGGAACTATAGTTTTTTTGGAAACGTGAAGTGACTGAAGGAAGAAGACTCGCATTGTTGTGAAACGTAAAAGGAAGGAGAAAGATAAGATGTGGTGGCGGTGCAAATCGGTGCCTAATTTTAGCATTTTTGCAAGACCTTGATTTTGCTAAATGGAGAGAAGGGAGACCAAGGGGTACACGCCTGGGAAAAATTTTGCTTACCATGCCCTTCAAATTGATGTAAGCTGATGCCACAAGCAAATATTGTCATCAAACTAAAGTTTGTTATGTTATCTAATTTTTGCATGAATTTGTGACATTTTAAATTAATATGATAGAATGGGCAGCAGAAATAGTCACAATCAATAATTCCTGAAACAAGTTAAGTTACTAAAATTTGAACAGCTTTGATCAGGGGCGTTGAGGGGGGGTTAGGAGGGACAAAAGGTCCAGGGCCCTTGCACTGATGTGGCCTGTAATAAACTAGCAAGCTATATTTGAAATGCAAAAAGCTACTACACCAGGGGCGGACACTTGATCAAATATTGGGGGGGGGGGCAAGCCTATTGTTTTAATAAGATGACGTCACATTTCCCATTGTTTTAGAACAAAAGACCATTGTCCTCTAAAGTATTGGGGGGCAGTCACCCCATCGCCCCCCTTTGGCCCCCCAAGTGTCCGCCACTGTACTACACGCTTTTTTTATAAGGAACTTACCTCTAGGCCTTGTTCCAAAAGTTCCTTATTTGAAGACCTCAAATCATCGAATTGTAGTACCAAAAGTTCCTTAATAGTTTCTTAATTTGTTTTGACTACAATAAGCCTTTCCACTAAATAGAGAGAGGGGCGAGACAGCATATGCAGAAACTACTCAATGAAGCACTTGACACACGAATAGCAAACAATCTATGCATGTTAATAGGCTGCAAATGAACAGAACTGGCTTTTTAGTTATTGCTGCTGCAAATTTTCAAATCGAACAGTTCATTAGGGATTTCGTTTTTAGTAGTAAAAGTTCTATGAATATTTTGGCCTTCTACATGTAGGTTCCTTTTAAAAAGGCATGTATTTCAGCTACTTACATTGAATCAATGCCTGTAAGTTTATCGCAGAGATATGTCCACATGCCCTTGATTCATCTAAAATGCTTTTGCACATTCTTTTAAAAATCCTTAAAAAATTTTTCAAGAGTTTTTCCTAAAAAAGGTGTTTCCTTTGTTCTCCGGGAGACTGAAGGGCATGGCCACAAGAAATTTTCTTAAGGGGGTCCAATTTTGTGAATCATGTTCTCTTTCGTATAGTTCTACTGTGTCTTCACTTGCAATGTCCTTATCTTCTTGTAATCTGTCATCCGAAAACCAGGATATTGATTCATCCTTTTGACTGTGCCTTTTTCTAAAATATGGCATGAGGGTCATTCCATATCAAATCATCAGATATTTTTAAGATTTGTAACCCATGGTCTTAGAATTTTTTGATTTTTTCACCACAAAGAGCCACTTTGGAGAAAACACCAAATACAAAATTTCATCCTTATATCTCTTACGGTTGCGATTTTGTAGCCGTTTCAAAAGTGACCCATTTTAGCCAAATATGCCACACCCAGTTTACTAAGCGATGGGCGCGGCTTTCTATCAATAGCTGTAACTTTTCTATAGTTGTCAATATTTACTTGAAAATGATGTCAATTATTGATTTGATACTGTAGATTTTAAATATTGCATCAGAATTTGTCAATTCTCTAAGGTGAAGCAGATAGTCATATGTTAAAGGTTATCACTTCTTTTGAAAATATTCCCAACCGATGTATATAAATATTGAAAAAAAGTCCTGTAGCTGGAATCATAGCATTAGAAGCTTGCTATATTCTGAAAGTGTATTCTTTGGGCTATCAGAAAATGTTTAAGATTACAATTGCAATTGAAGTATTTTGAGTTAATTGCACCTTACAAAATGGGTATAATTTTGCAAGAATTGTGAGCAAAAAAAATTTGTATTTAAGGTAATATTGCATGAAATAAAAATAGCTGCTAAAACATTGAATCAATCACGATTTCACATTCAGAGACAACAAAGAATAATTAAAAATGATTCCTAGCCATGGACAAGCTGAGATACTGCTTTATAGTCACTGTAGCTGAAGCTCTAAGTTTGACCTGTAATTGTTTTGGATGAATCAGTTTTACAAAGCATGTAAATGTGATACCCAGCATATGTATGATCTGCTTGATCATGTAAAGTTCTGAGTGGGTTCAGGTGGGTGCATGAAGTTCATTTGAAAGTTCCCTTCATCTTCATTAATGTCATAGAAACCCACCCATCATTGTCATATAGGCAAGCAACATACTTTATCGTTCGAGTCCAAATGCCATTCTCTCCCTTCTTAGAAAGAAAAGCAAAGTTTCCTGCAAAGTTTCTGTCATCAGAAAATTACTTGAAAGCAATCTTTTCATCTTAAAGTAGATAAAACTGGGGTGTAGCATACAATTTTGCTTGTTCCAATGGGCTGACTGAATTTCATCTTAAGTGAAAAATTCATAGTTTTCGGCAAAGTCAGCCAAAAAACAAGAATCATCTCCATTTCTTCCTTTCACTTAAGGTATTTTGACTGCCATTGTGTAAGAAAAGAATGAGAGGTCAAAGCAACAATACACTTTACCAGCAGCTCAACAAAATGAGCAATACTCAAGTACCTTGTTACTATTTTTGATCTTCTAGTGTTATCACCTTGCTGAAATAAAACATCACTATCACCATAATGTAAACCCAATGCCATTCTCTCCCTTCTTAGAAAGAAAAGCAAAGTTTCCTGCAAAGTCTCTGTCATCAGAAAATTACTTGAAAGCAATCTTTTCATCTTTAAGTGGAAACTGATTAGGAAACTGATTAGAAACAATTCTGTTTGTGGTTGTACTTCATATCAAAATTCATCACTTCCAGTTGCCATTAACAAAACATACAGAGATATGATAGACATGACTGTCTGCTGCAAGGACAGTAAGCAATGTATAGCGCACAGATGTGGCAATTGTTCAGGGATATCTGTACTTAAAAGGTTTCTTGATCAGTGTTTACATGATGGCGATAGTGATGTGTTTTATTTCAGCAAGGTGATAACACTAGAAGATCAAAAATAGTAACAAGGTTCTTGAGTATTGCTCATTTTGTTGAGCTGCTGGTAAAGTGTATTGTTGCTTTGACCTCTCATTCTTTTCTTACACAATGGCAGTCAAAATACCTTAAGTGAAAGGAAGAAATGGAGATGATTCTTGTTTTTTGGCTGACTTTGCCGAAAACTATGAATTTTTCACTTAAGATGAAATTCAGTCAGCCCATTGGAACAAGCAAAATTGCATGCTACACCCCAGTTTTATCTACTTTAAGATGAAAAGATTGCTTTCAAGTAATTTTCTGATGACAGAGACTTTGCAGCAAACTTTGCTTTTCTTTCTAAGAAGGGAGAGAATGGCATTTGGACTCGAACGATAAAGTATGTTGCTTGCCTATATGACAATGACTGGTGGGTTGCTATGACATTAATGAAGATGAAGGGGACTTTCAAATGACTTCATGCACCCACCTGAACCCACTCAGAACTTTACATGATCAAGCAGATCATACATATGCTGGGTATCACATTTACATGCTTTGCAAAACTGATTCATCCAAAACAATTACAGGTCAAACTTAGAGCTTCAGCTACAGTGACAATAAAGCAGTATCTCAGCTTGTCCATGGCTAGGAATCATTTTTAATTATTCTTTGTTGTCTCTGAATGTGAAATCATGATTGATTCAATGTTTTTAGCAGCTATTTTTTATTTCATGCAATATTACCTTAAATACAAATTTTTTTTGCTCACGATTCTTGCAAAATTATACCCATTTTGTAAGGTGCAATTAACTCAAAATACTTCAATTGCAATTGTAATCTTAAACATTTTCTGATAGCCCAAAGAATACACTTTCAGAATATAGCAAGCTTCTAATGCTATGATTCCAGCTACAGGACTTTTTTTCAATATTTATATACATCGGTTGGGAATATTTTCAAAAGAAGTGATAACCTTTAACATATGACTATCTGCTTCACCTTAGAGAATTGACAAATTCTGATGCAATATTTAAAATCTACAGTATCAAATCAATAATTGACATCATTTTCAAGTAAATATTGACAACTATAGAAAAGTTACAGCTATTGATAGAAAGCCGCGCCCATCGCTTAGTAAACTGGGTGTGGCATATTTGGCTAAAATGGGTCACTTTTGAAACGGCTACAAAATCGCAACCGTAAGAGATATAAGGATGAAATTTTGTATTTGGTGTTTTCTCCAAAGTGGCTCTTTGTGGTGAAAAAATCAAGAAATTCTAAGACCATGGGTTACATGGGTCTGATGATTTGACATGGAATGACCCATGACTCTGTTAGCATGCCATTTTTTTCCATCATCAGTGGTAACAGTAGACTTACTTTCTCCACACAAATTGGGTCTGAATATTTGCTCTGTAGTTTTTTATTTGATGGAAGTTTGATGTGAACAATGTCACCCCTTTGGAATCAGTTTGCCTTGACAAAAGACTTAAAATCATAGTGCTCTTTTCCCCTTAACATCATCTTTCTACTCTGTAATTCCTTTCTTTGTACACTTTTAGGTTGAAGTGTCAATAACTATTCTCATCTACCTTTCTGTCATCATTTTGAAAGGTGACTCCATTGTAGTGCAGTGTGGTATACTGCGAATAGTAACATGTTTGACAAATTCTCTCTCCATTCTAAGCCATCCTTTTATTCCAACTTGCAACAAGTTATTTATAGTTTGATATGTCTCTCAACAGCTCCATTAGATTGAGGACAGTAAATTGATGTAGTCTTGTAATAACTGTGTTGACCATCTTGCTGAACGCAATGCTGCTGTTTGCACCCATTGCCTTCTGATGACTGGAGCATAGTCACTAATCATTTGTGACCCTTGAAGAGTACAAATGGTTTTCCCATCCAATTTTGAACCCATTTTCACAAGCCCATATACATGCTAAAGCTTCAAACTCTCTAATGCTGTACTTTCGCTCTAAATTGGAAATAGTCCTAAAGGCAAATTCAACTGGTTTGACTGTACCATCTTCTTGGCGCTGTGAGAGTTCAGCACCAAGCCCAACAACAGATGCCTCTGTTGTTACAAAAGTCTCAGCTTTTGGATTGATAAATGCAAGAACTGGTGGTTTAATGCTTTGACTCCTTGCAGGCCTTCTTGCTGTTCCTTTCCCTAAATCCATGGCACAAATAGAGTTTTTCATTCAGTATCGAGACAGATGCACCAGTGTCTATTATCATAAACAATGGCTTTCCGTTGATGAGAACCTGACATTTAATGTATGGCATGGTTATGTTTTGATTCTCAACTTTCAAAATCCCAGGAGAAGATAAATTTTCACTATTGGTATTTGTAGAAATCTTTCATTTTGACTTGTAGATCAAACAACTCTTTTGAAATGTCCTCTTTTCTTAAATTTTCTACATACTGCATTAAGAGTGGGACAGTTGGACTTTCTAGCAAAATGATATTTTTGTGTCTGTTTACTCGCATTATTTGTCAAACTAACAGCTTGTATGTTCTCGGCAAACACACTGTTGCTATTGTCTGACAATAACTTTGCTCCTTTCATCCCAGTTTCAAGCTGCCTTGCAATCACACAGAATGTACTTTTAATGAATAATGGATTTCTACCAAAACCATCATAAGCAGGACTTATTCCAACAGACCTATCTGAGCCAGGGCTAAAAAACAATATGTTTTAAACAAGTTTAGCACTGACTCTATTTTTAATGCACAAGAAAAGTTAACAAATGGTAGTTTCAAAGCCAAAATTTAGGCCTGTTTCCCGCTTTGGACACCAAACAATTTCACATTTCACAAATTCTTGAAACATCAAATTCTTTTTCGAAGTTTTCCCCATAACCAATTACAAAATTTGTGTGTGTGCAAGAAATGCAGTACCAAACAGTTACCCCCAATTTTTGATTGTCATACTTTTTGGGTGTTTTCGAGACAGCTCTAGACACAGGAAGACAGGTGATACAACAGTAGGCCTGTCAGATACCTCAAGCCTTCCTTAGTCTCACCACAAAGGTGAAGTCAAACCAATCTGCTCTTTGAACTCTTTGAAGTCAGTCCAAGATTTATCATAAAAACCTGTTAGTTTCTTAACCATTCAATTTAGTAGAGGTGTTAGTTTCTGTGTTTTGATGTTACAATTCAAATGCCACAAAGGAAATGAGTAAATTACTTTATGGTATAGCAAAACAAAGGGAAAATTTGAACAAACTCACAACTAAAATTTCAGTTAGACAACTTTCAAAATGCTGTGAAATAATTTTCTTCAGTAAAGAGAAAAAAACCTGTATTAAGAAGTTAGGTCCAAGCTGCCTTTGTTTCTTATATTTTGACAACACCATCAAAAGTCAGAAATTCAGCTGGTGCACCATCTTAGGGTAATATGACTAATTATTTTAAGATAATTTGGTTAAAGTAAGAAAGGGATCAAGGTATTTGGATCCATTTTGTGACAAAGCATTTGATATGAATTGTGCCTCAAAGTTATAGAAAGAAACTTTGCAAGACTTTAGCTTATGCATGTTCAAACAACTTGATTGGCATTTCAAATAGTAATGCCAGGAAGAACTTTATACTTACTGAAAAAAGATTACACTTTTTTATTTAAGGGAGCAGAAGATGAAGAGAATATAGATGACAACATTGATGATCTGTTGTGCGATTATTGTCAGCAAAATGCTGATAAGAACCCATTTGGAGAGCCAGAGGAGCTACTAATTTGCAAAGATTGTGGCAACAAAGGTTAGTTTTCAAGTTTACAGAAGTTTATATATCATCAAAAGTCATAAATAACCTTCTTTCTTTAAAGGTTTTTACATTCCAGGCTTCTAAAATTAGAAGCAGAAGAAAAGCAATGAAGTTGTTGAGCTTGAAAAACAATCATTGAATTGAATATTAAAGGCTCTTGCGCAACCGGCATGCTTTGCGACAATATTTTAAAAACCGGCCTAATATCGTACTGCATGAAAATACAAAACACAATCAATTTCTCAAGATAGCTGCCGCTAAGCATGCCGATTGCCCAAGCGCCTTTAATGGTTGTGATTCTCAAGAAACTGCTATTTCAATTTTTATTTGATTAAAGGCATTGAGTCATGATAAATAGACTTTGTCTGTAGGGGATTTTTCGGTTTCGGTGTGAACCCTGCAGTTTCATGTGATATCGGCAACCGTTGTTGACAACTTGCTATTGATGGAAACTGTTTTGTTAATCAGTACTAGGTGAGTTCATGTGACCAGTTTTAGGTCAACCAATAGTATTGCAGCACGAAAATCATGACTCAGCGGATTTTGGTACGTTTGGGTATAACCTACTCGATATGTTTCCCGACAATAACCTTCTATCTATTCCTTCCAAAATGGACTACAATTCTTCCATTTTCCCTATTACTAGATTTATATGGATTAATTGCCTTCACGCGTTATTTTCGCTTTCAACTTACTCACGAAATTGTTCCTGGCGTTGCCTTGAACACACGAGCTGTATTTAGTTATTTTCTTTCGTCAAGTTTCAAAACTTTGTCTTGTTTTGTCTCGAAACTTTTCGAAACTTCCGAAGCGTCTAGAAAAAGCGAGTAGTGACATTAGAGTTTTTATGTGTGACGCCATATAAATATAATTTTAGAACTTTTAATTTTGTACCACATTACTGAATAGAAAACCACGAATTTTCTCTAAATATGCAATTTCGGTTAAATTTGTTAAAAATTGGGACAGCTATGGCTAATAAAAGATGTTACATTAAGTACCAACAATTTCGGTTGGATTTTATTTTTGACAAGGCGGGTCAACCGAAAATTAATCCCACCCAAATTTTTCGAAACCGAAATTTTTGGTATTTAACAGAGCAAGCTACATCACTTGAAGAAGACCTTACTACATCGAAAGAAGTAAAACCAAAGACTGTAGGAACTAACAGGAAGTTTGTCTCACAGACCCAATCTGACGACCTTTAATCAGGAGCGAATTGACAACTTCAAATTGACCACTACACTCCTCCAAATTGCAAAACCTAACTGTAGAACTGGATGCAGGTGTACCCCCTGTACCAAATACTTCATTTCTGGCTGACATAAGAAGCTTTCAGCGAATTCGGCAGAGATAACTTTTGTCCCGGCCTACTGCAATGCTGAATTCGAGCTTTCACGAGATTTGCAGAGTGAGAACCTGACCTGCACTACATTTTGTTAAGGACAAGTCCTTGTGAAAAACATTTTGACAGCCCATGCAGAATATGTTGAGGACGAAGAATTGAAAAAGCTTTTCAACGACCTGACAACAGCCAAGCACGAAGTGTGCTCACCATAAACTTCGATCTTTGGGCCCGCTTGCCAAAGGCATAACAGAGGTTATCGCGGTCAAAGAGACCCTCCTTCAACTTAAATCACACCTAGGGACAAGTTCCCAATTTTATTCAAACACTTCTAAAGACATGATTAATGACATCAAGATATTTTACCTTGATGACATGACATGATCAACTACTTGACACATCTTTCTGATAAAAATAAATATTTCTTCCAACTTTTGAAAGCTTACCTTGTTTTAGTTAAAACCACATATATATATTTTGTTAAAGTTGTGGGAGAACTGAAGAAATGATTTGAGAAATGAGGTTTTTATTGCTCCATCTACTATGTAATTGAACTTTTGTAGAAATTGGGCAAAACATCAAAAGCACTCCATCACACTCCTACCTCAGTCTAGGAGTGCAAAGTGCCACACTTGTGCTAAGGAAGGCCTGTTGAAACACATGTCCACTCTTCTTCTATTCACTGGAAAAAAACCTGATCTTCTCAACATAGTTGCCTCGTATCCATTTGAAGCAAGGAAGTGTGAACAGGAAGCATTTTGGAAAACTAACGTTTTTTAAGTTAAAAGTCTAATGTCACTATGCGACTTTCACAGCAAAAAATCTTTGTACACCACACTAAATTTCTGAACATTTTCTATTCCCCCTTGTTGTTTTGTATAATGTTAAGAGGCTCAGTATGGTCAAATTGATTCCTGTTAGATAGTTATTGTTTGATAGTTATATTACAACTAACATTGTTTTGGGGGAGAAACGATGTGGTGTTGATCTTTTCTACCGAAAATTGTTAACTTTGTTTGAAGAGGCAGTTTATGTGTCTATTTGGCAGACATTGTAGCTAGGCCCGCACTTCATTAGACAGAAATATGCCAGCGTTGTTCTTATCAAACTTTTAATTGACTTATTTTTAAATATTTGCTTTTCTATCCAATATATAGCACACCCTTCTTGTCTGAATTATTCACCTGAACTTGTGGAACAAATAAGGGCTGATGATTCGTGGCAGTGCATTGACTGCAAGGCATGCACCATTTGCGATGGCACCACTGACCCTGTGAGTATCTTTTATATATTCTTCATTTCATCAGTAACTTCATGGCGATTGAATTCTTAAGAGGGCTGAATTCCAATTTTTTGCAGACATCACTTTGTCCTCTAAAATTCACCTTCAAATATCCTGCTAACTTTGTATGCTGTTAGAAAAAAGTCGGTCATCATGAATGAAGTTTTTAGTATTCAAATTTTTTATTTTTAGTAACTGTGATTTATCATAGTTTTATAAATATGTTATTTTTACTTTTAAGATGTTGATAGATGTTAGAAGAGCAACAGCAAATAAAGGCTTAGCACTGAATATTTTCATGTTTTTTGAAAGAAATAGGAAAAACAGACATGACAAGTTTTCATTTTGATATGTAGCTCAACCTCCATTTATCAGAGCACATCTTTGGAACAGTGGTGTAGTGCTGTCAGAAAAACAAGGGGTGGTACTCTTGCACATAATGTTGATAATAACAATAGCAGATTGAAAGTTGGCTAATTTTCGGCATCAACAAGCGGCCTTTGGAAGCAGAGCTCGTTGAAAAGTTTTACTTCAAAAGGTTTTGAACGAAGGTAATAAATTTTATTGATATAAGATCCTGCATCACTGGCACTTTTTAAGTTTCCTTTGCTTGTTTTGTAGGATTCAATGCTTTTCTGTGATGCCTGTGATAAAGGATACCACATGAACTGCCATACGCCAAAGCTTGATCAAATGCCATCAGGTACATGGCAATTTTCTGGCGAGTTTTTCTCTTTTTGCTTATCATTTTAAACTTCTCAGTCAATTAAAAAACTGATGCTCTTTCTACTAGTACCTTCTTAGTTTTTTTAATACAATTCTTTAGTCTCTTCATACCATTCCTCTCAGTAACAGGCAAAAGAAAGATAGTTGTTTTCAGGATTGCAGAGAGTTCTCGAACCTGAGTGCTATGTTTCAATAAAATTTTGATATTTGATAGAAATATCTCCACATAATTACATAATAAGCTATTACTTCAAGGGAAGGGATAAAACGCACTTGAAACCTTCTTATGAAAATTTTGATTGGGTAGAACATTCATATGGAAAAGCATGTTGTTTTGCCATAAAGAGCCCGGTAGGCTGCCCAAAGCTTTTCTCAAAAACTTTTTCTTATCCGGAAGTTCCCCCAAAGAAATTTTTTGCAGCCATGGTTGTTTAAAAAGTTGAAGTAATTCTTTTTGCATTGTTGAATTGTGGTATCATCGCAGAGGAAAAGCAGTTTACATGGATGTCTGCGAATCCTAGATGAAGGAAAAACCACTGGAACTACAAATGTTCATTGCAGACAACTCAAATGTTGTACTGTTGATGACTTTTTGTTGAGTTGGTGAATCAAATATTAAAAATCAGTTCTATATAAGTCATATATTCATTAGTAACATTGTTAAAGATGATGACCTGAGACAAAGACCCAATTGGAGTACACTCATTTTGTTTTATAAAAAACCGTTTTTGTTCGGGAGAAGAAACCTACAATCCTCTGTTTCGAAACAATACAGTCTTAAACCAATCAGTGTTGCAGAGTCATAGCACATGCGCATTAATAACAGTATTCGCACAGCTGTTCTTTCTGGGACCACACAACTCTTGAACTTCCCGCCATGGCTTCGAGTGATAATGCGCATGTGCAATGACCCTGAAACGGGGGCTAGTGCATGTCTTCCAGACGGGCATGATTCATTCCCTGAACAGGTTTGTAAACAGCCGTGATTGTTCGAAAGTTAAGAAACCACTAACTGATTGTTAGAAATATCTTATTCAAAGATGGGATGGAAATGATTTTTTCGACGATTGGACACCCATCTCCTGTTTAATTGCCATAGATAAATTGAATGAAGCGTTTCTTGTGAATTTTTAGATTCTGTGTTTCATTTTATTTGTTGTTGTGTTTCTAAAATGTTGCTCTTTAGCATTTTATATTTAAGAAACCTTTTAAAGAACCTTTTGCAATGAAATCACACATGCTATGATTATTTTGCATATTATGATTTTTTTAAAAACTTTGAAAAGTCGAAAAGAATGTAGCAAATAAGAAAAACCGCAATGCGACGAGAATGAACAACAACAAATACACGTAAATCAGTGAAGGCTAATATTTCGCCCCGGCATACGGGGTTTCATCAAAGCAAAAGGGTTCTTAGTTAGCTCCAGATTTCTTGCGGATCATAGTTTCTCTTGGCTAACCTAGCCTGCGTCACAGACCAAAAACGTCACGGAAGTATTTGGTCTGTGACGCAGGCTAGGCTGACCTCGCTCAAACCAGTCCCGTAGCTAACATTACATTGAATGGAAAATCGTTGACCTCAAAGTCAAGAAACTTTACCTTGACTTATATTGTGCTCTTTTAGGCAAGTGGATGTGTAGCTTGTGCACTGCAAAACGGTCCCAAAATGGAAATGGACAGGTTTTTATAATCGACGAAGACGGATCACTAAATACACCTGTCGTTAGCATTGGAAGTGTCACATCCGCTGCTGCCATGACAACTGGTGGTCCACCGACTATGGTTCCGTTACAAAGGGCAACGCAGCTTAAATCGAGTTAGTATAGTTACACGGTGCACTTTTTCCTTGTTGCAAAGCAACTTAAGGAGAAGGGGGTATGCTTTCATTAAGATCTTCTCCTTGATTTATGATTACAAAGGAACAATATTTTCCAAACCTCAACAGCAGAGCCTAGAAAATCTCGTCAAGATCATGCCCATTGTGAATATATTGAATTCATTGCTTTACCGGGAATTGCTGTATCGTATTACAGGTTGAGCGGATACCGTATTTTCCTGTAATAAACGCCGCCCTCTGATAAACGCTGCCCTCTTTTAAACGCCGCATCTTGAAAAGCGGCTTTCATTAGAAAACAGACCAAACAAGAAGTAACGAATAGTTAAAACGCTTACTATTCCAAAGCTATTAACATTTTTATGTTATTGCGACGATGGCTCTGACGGAGGCAGTGACATTGACATTCCTTGACATTTCGTTAACATCTTTTATGATCTTCAAAACATTTTTCACACTATCTCGTTTATGTGTTTTTGGCAAAAAGAAAACATTGTTTAAAGTCTGTTTTTATCTTTTTTCATCGCACTTTTTCTTGTCATTTTTCATTTGACAAACTTTTCATTTTGTATTGAACGCCGCACTCTGATAAACACGGTACCCAAAAGTTGGACTTTTTAATGAAAGCTATGGCGTTCTTTAAAGATAATACAGTAATCAAAAGCGAATGAATACAGAAAATGCTTTCTTTTGCTTGCAGCCTTACAATCGCCGCAATTTCGTTCCAAGAACGATCAGTTACGAATTCGTCCAAGCAATGTAACGGTAAGGCCAGCAATGATCGCCCTGCAGTCTCCTACCTCACCACAAGTGCGTCATAACTTCCCTGTATTCCAGACTACTCAAGGAAGTATTGGTGTAGTACATCGTCCGGCAAAGACTGCAGTATATTCCATAAACGGACCAGGAGTCATACGGAAGCAAAACGTTATGGGAATAAATATCAATGCCCCATTAATACCTCAACAAGGTAGGTATACCTATTTTTTGCAAAAATATTTACAACGCTCTTGTACTTGGATCTCTTGGCACAAAAGTTTCGTAGTGACTTTCTCTGCATGAAACCCCGGGTATACCTAATTTAGTCTCCCCGGTCACTATATGAAGCATCCAATGAGTCAGAGCCACAACTTTTTGTCGCAATTCAGCATTCATGTGAGAACATGTACAAATGATCTAATCAGAGTCAGGAAAACATTCGCACGGCCACTGACCGGAGGAAGGTCCACGAAAAACAATAAAAGCTCCTATGACACACCCAAGCCACGCCCACTTTCTATTGTTTTTTGTTGGCCTTCTGGAATGTTTTTGTCTGGAGGCAGGTTAACAACTTTTCTGGAGTCTGGATCTAATAGAGAGACGTGACTGTTTCTGGCAAGAAATTATAGGGAATGGAAACTAAATTTTAAGAAATCGAATTAGGCCTCAAAGGTTTGATTACACAAGGTTTCTTAAGTTTCCCTACCGGACACTAAAGTTTCTGAAACTTTGAAAGTATGAGTGCAGCGTATTTTTATTTGATGATCAGACAGGTTTTTTTATTAGATGACCATTCGTTGGAGCATAATTTGTTAAATTTGAAAAGGAAAAATAAAGTTGCTTGCAGTTATAATCTGGATTGAAAAATTTTATTTTTAAGACCAGGATTTTAAACCGTTTATACACGAAGCTCCAAGCACTTTGATGCTGGACTTTTTAATCTTATAAAGCCGAAATCTCCAAGACGCTAAACGTTTCCTTCGTCAATTTTTTTCGAACAGGTCTTACGAATTTGAAAAGTTGAAAAGCTAATTTATTTAGATTTCCCGTCTTTCAGTTAGTTTGCGCGCAGACTTTCCTGTCTTCAACTCGGCTACTCTGTTTCCTTTTTCCTACCTTTCCGTTGAGTTGAATTAAAAATTCATTATTTGACTTAATTCAATTCAACAAAGAGGTAGGAAAAAGGAAACACAGGAGCCCAGTTGAAAACAGTAGAGTCTGCACTCAAGCCACCTTCCAGTAGGTTTCTTTGTGGATACCCCTACGGCTGGCTCTGTCATTTGTATGCATAAGTCATAAAACGCAGCGGAAACAGAAGTAACTTGCGTTTTGCTATATTTTGTGTTTTCTTCTTTCCATTAGTCCACTCCTTTATGCGAGAAGATGTTTTGCAGTCGCTACCCCCGGATGTTGCTGATTGGTCCGTTGCAGATGTTTGCTTCTATATCAAATCTCATGGATATCCGGGGGAATCAAAGTTATTTGAAGATCAGGTCTGTCGTAAAAATGATTTTCAAATCGGCTGTATTAAGTATTTTGTGCCCGCTAGCCCGCTTCCAGAGAGTATTTCATGGAGTTGGCCGATACAGTGTAGCCTCCATATAACGGACAATATTCTTACCAGTGTAATTGTCCATTGTGTAAAAGTGTTCGTTGTATAGAGGTTCCTTAAAGAGCCGTTTGAACTCTTGGGACAATTATGTCTGTCCGTTGTTGAGAGGTCTCGGTTGTATAGACGTTCTTTTAAGAGCTCTTTGAACACTTGGACAAATATCTGTCCGTTGTTAGGAGGTGTGTAGAGGTGTCCGTTGTATAGAAGTGTCCGTTGTATAGAGGTGTCCGTTGTATGTTCTTGTGGGAACTGTTTTTCTTATTGATTTCTGTTTATTGTTCACTTTTTTATATTTGTTTCTGAAAACGTTTCTTTTCATCATTTTTCCTTATAAATAATCACGTTTTTCTAGAAATATTTCCTTAAGTATTCCCAGTTAAGGGTTTAATGCCATATTTATGGCTCTCACTGTTTGTCCTCGCCTTTTAAAACGATCCTGACATTTATTGATCTCTATTGTAGCTCAGGTTAATATTTTTCTGATTTTATGTGCTTGCCAATACTTTTTGCATTTCAGGAAAGAATCTTTGTTTATGCGTAACTGGATCTTCTTTGTACAATTTCTCGTACAAATTTCTGCCTTTGAAAGATAAGTTAGCTGCCAATTTTTTTGTTGAAATTCGTTTCCTTACAACATGAATTAAATCCCGCATTTTCCTTTTAGGAGGTTGATGGAAAGGCCCTTCTGTTGATGTCTAGAAATGATGTACTCACAGGCTTAAGGCTAAAACTCGGACCAGCTCTCAAAATCTATCATTTACATATATCTAAATTACAATCACGAACAAATTTTATTGGAATGTAGGTTAAAGAGTAAATATAAGTTATTATATGTGAATTTTTTTACCAAAGTTTATTAAAAAGCTGTCATTTGTATTGTACTGATTTAGCAGCACTGCTGTGGCAAATAGAAAGCAATGTTATAGATGCTATTTTTCGGCCATAGTTTACACTGATGAGATCTCTTTTCAAGAAAAGGAATTGTATTTTGGAGTCCTGGATATCAATCCATCAGATTTTGGTTAGCAGATCCAAAAGACACACAATGAATTTTTTCAAAAGGAATAATTCACCAGGGAGACAGTTGATAACAATTGTTCTTCAACGTACTTACATTTTCGGGTGTATTTTGTAGATTTTATGAACTCTAAGACAGTTGAAAGACACTCAAAGTTATCCTAATTTATGCATTTTCTAGATTGGTCGGGTAGATAATACATTACACTTTCTAACTGTGTCTTTTAATAAAAGTATTGGCAGAACATTGAAGCATTATTACTGATGGTAATTTTTTTCGAGAAACGTTTGGTTTATTTTTTCTTTCAAGACATCTGTTCCATATGGCCTATCTTAAGAAAATATTTGAGTTCATGGTTAGCATATGTGTTCAACGCTGGTGCGACTACAATGCCTGCCATAATTACTTGGAACACCTAACATTTTACGCTTCGCTTAACTATTTTTCATTTGTTTTCCCGAATACTACTACTTCCATCCCCTTTCCCCCCAGAACAACGCTAAAAGTATAAAAAAGTATCATACAAGGCACATTGAAAGCGTACTCCATAACCTCTTTCTTCTTTCTATGGTAATAGTAAGGGGGTTGGCTGAATTTTGTTTTTAAAACTGACATTTGTGTTCCAAGACTGTTAGCTGGGATTGTAGTATTCACAGAAGCCTTTTCAGTCAATTCATCGAGATAGGATGCTGTTAAAATTGAGCATATTTTTCAAGTTAGTTTTTTCAGCCCCGTTTTGCACACAACAGTCTCTTCGTTACTACTTTTGGAGTCCAAGTGAGATTGAACTTTTAGACCAATTCAACTTAAATTTCTTTGATTAGCGTAAGTTACCTTTTTGTGCAGAAGATGTCGACTGACCAGTTTGCTTTATAACCGGAACATTGATTTTAAAGAACCCATATATGATTACAAGATTCTAACTAACTAAAAAAGGATCGCATGGGAACTAGTGTATGCATCGCACTCGCTGTCTCAAATTAGCCCCAAAAGTCCCTTGACTAAGCTGGGATGGAAATTATTCCTTCCAACGATTCCTAGCACTTTTATCCAGTTCAACTGACACATAATATAAAGAATAACTCCTTTCGACTGACTAGGTGCTCTATTTCATGTTTAACTCATTTGTGTTTTTTGGAAATGCTTGGTAATTAAGGAAGCTCTTGGTACTTGGTAACTGTGAAAAGGAGAAGCATGGGTAAGAAGAGCAATTATGGCTCACACGAGAGTCAAGGTGCCTTTGATCATATGCTTCAATACAACAAAGTTTTATCCCCACTCGTTATGAACGATTTTCTACAAGTTCACCCTGAAATGAATGGGTGAGAAAGAATAGGAGAGAAATAATGTGGGATAAGAAGAAAGGAGAAAAGAAGAATTTTGATCTTTTTTGTAAGTGGATATATCTCTAGAAAGCTAGAGAGGAGCCTCCTGACGTCATTTCTTGGAAGTTACGAGTGCGGGTTGCATTTATCGAAAACCGAGCAATTTGCGAAAAACTTCCGAACGGGCTAATCAGGAGTCTGTGTAGAACAGAGAATCGAAAGTTGGGAGGATAATATTGACAATCAAGAGTTGGGCCGCTTAATTCCTACTTTGGCTGAGCTTTTGTATTTATCGATACCTTAGGTACTGCGATGGTTTTCTCGGTGTTTTCCATATCAGTGACGGGAATTCATTTTTCCTGTGGAGGGCAATGACCACAAAACAAGCCCCCAACACCCCCGCAATTTCTGCCATTGTTCCATGTAACTATCGCTTTAATTAACTTTAATTAATTTATGTAACAATTGTGCAATTTTCGTTTCTAGCCTTGATAATAACTGGTAAATAATGTTGCTGAGTCAAAATATATTTGAATTTTGAAGATTTTCATTGATCTTTTTGTTGATGCGAGCTTTTTCCTCTGGTTTGTCCGTTAAAAGGAAAGAGAGGCTGTTTGGAATGAGAGGCCACCGAGAAAGAATGGGAGCGAAGTTTGCTTCTGAAGTTGGATTTGTTTTCCAAGAATTTGACACTAAATTGCAGGTTTCATGGCCGTGCACGTTTGGTAAGGCTAATTTATTGCTTTTATTAACTCAAAAGAACTCAGTTTCTAGCGCTCAATTTTGTTGATGAAATTTTGTAGCAAACAACAATTTTATTTTTGACTTCTTTCGAAGACATTCATCGACGTTGATTTTTTGTTTCTAAGTTTTAGGCCTACACGCAGGTTGGCGTGCTAATCCGGCTTGACAGATCTGTGTTCTATGTTAAGGGTTTTGGTAGTTTTTAACTTTCATGATATGCAACCTTTTTAATATGCGTCTGTACAGAAAGAAAAAACATGATTAGGTATGTATGGATGTTTCCAATCAACAAAAACAAGAAAGAAAGTTGATTGGAAAATTCCCAAAAATCAATCCAACTGCGTTGCACGAGATCTTCAGTCTTGAATAATTGATTTTTAATTTGCAATATCAAGTACGAACCATAATAATGCATAATGTGTACAATATATTTACTGGTTCTGCGGTACAGATTCCAACTTTCAAGGAGATAACTTCATTTCAAATAACATAACATTTCATCAATCAAAATCACTACTAGTCTTCAACAACTCACAACCAATCTGAATAAAATAGTTTAAACACTCCCTTATGTTACAATTAGTGAACATGTCTATGGTTATCAAATAAACAAACAAACTGTAGTTAGTATTGGGAATACAATCAAAAATAAATAATTTTAGTAAATAGAATACATGCTAAATTTCCCACGGCATAATATAAAAGATCTGTAAATGCATAATGGTAAATTATCTACTAGTTAGTTATAAAACAGATATGCGCAGTTACTTAAGCATATTCATTAACAGCAAACTTACACAACATAATGAAGTTAGACTTCAAAAAAACTTAATTCATATAAACTCAGTTTTTGAATACACTTATGTTCAAAAAGTATTGGAACAAATTTGATAAATGAATTATGGCGCTGCAATGGATTCGGTTTTGCAACAGAAACTTTTTCAGATTGGGCAGTCTTTTTCCAAATAATCTAGACCTATGTATCCCCAAAATGGAATGAAAAGTTAAGAAAATGCGTCAACTTATGAAGCATAACCACAAAAACATAGGATTCTTACGATCTGCCTGAATATAACAGGAAATATGCAGAAGGGTTGAATGGCTTAATAACGTCTGCTTTATTTTAGTAGAAATTTGTAAGCACTTTTCTTAACTCAGTTCTTGAATTTTAAGAACTTCCACATTTTTGTCTCAAGGCCTATAGAAATTTTATGGTCGATGTTTTTTAAATTGTTTGGCATACATAAAAGGCTTGAAAACATCAACAATGTTTTGTGAAAATTTCATGGAAATAGCTGCCATACATTTTTTAATGAGAAAGATTTTAAAAAAGTCTTTCCAAATTTGTTGCATAAAATGTCTTCGAAATTTCAAAGTTTGTCCCAATACTTTTTGAATAAAAGTGTATATAAGAAACTCTCTGTAACAAAGCCGAGCACTAAGATGACCAAAGTATTAAAGAATTATAGTATAGATCAACATCAACCTGAAGAAACTGTGCTAAAATCCTTCTTTCAAAAAAGTTGTGGAATAATTCTTTTTGACACTTAGCCACATATTGTTTGTTTCATTTACATTGAAAAATGGAAAGAATTGCTCCTTCTGACGTGTCAGCTGTTCTGTCTCATGTTACCTCAAGTAATGTTTTTGTGTTTTCAAAATAGTAACTTTTGCATTAGGTATTTAAGGAAACTTTAAGCTATGGTACTATCTAGATATTAAATTTTTTGAATGCTAATCTGACCCTGTTTGGTTTTATTACTGCAGTTTACTACTATGAATGTAACTTATGCTTAACACAATTCTTTGTAGCACCAATGAAAGGATGAAATTTAGGTAGTCACTAGCAAGACTTTGAGAAATGGATGTTGCAAAAGGATTCCGTGATGGTATGGGCGATGAACCTGTAGTGGTACCAGAAATCAAATTCATGGTAAATTTTTTGTCACAATTTTTAACATTTAAAATACTTCAAAAATAAATTATTGTTGATTACCTCATTATGTACATTTTGTTTATTTTCACTTAAGTCTTGTTATTGTCATTTAAAAATCTTACATACATTTTGTTGTATCACATATCCAGAAGCTAACAAGAATTGTTAAAATTAAGCTATGTTCCAAATGTTGAAATCCCAAAATATTTTCCAGAAGTTATATTTACCATACTGAGAGGCACCAAATATTTTTCATTTGCTGATTGTGTTGGCATCATGACAGATGCTTCAGATTTAAGGTTAAGAACAGAATGCTGGCCGTATCAAAGGGGTCAAGATTCAGACCTGTCAACCCTCCCGGTACTGCTGGGACACTCCCGATTTTGACTGCTTTCTCCCGGTCTCCCGGTTTTTGAAATTTTTCTCCCGATTTTAAAGATGTCTAGCAGAATGTCTAGGAACATTCTTCATCAAATATTTTGAATGAATTGCGCATCTTATGCTTCAAAGACAGGTCCATTGTGTTTTTTTTCTTTTTACAGAGGTATAATTAAGATATAATGGTCACATTGACTTTCCACATGACAAAAATTTTTTGTTAGTGCTTACTGATTTAGTGCTAACTGATTAACAAAAAAGCACTAAGAGTTATTATGAAGATACTTCTGAAGAAGGCTCTTGAAAAAGGCTCTGTGTCATTCCATAAGTGTCATGATCAGGGGTGCCAGAAGCACAGGGGGATTGGGGGTAGCTGCCCCCTGCCCTGACTCTAGGGGGCAGCAGGGGCAGCACTGTGCCCTTGTGAAAATTGCACTATTTAATGCGAATGGAATAAATATTTAACATTTCAAGTTCTTGGGTGAGAGAAAAGAAAGTGCAGTTAGGGACAAAAAGAAATCAAATAAAATATTGGGTGACTTTGTATGAACTTATAGGAACGATATTGTGTTGCAAGAATTGCTGTGGTTCCTATTTTTATCCCTTGACTTTCCATGGTTGATGTTTGTCCCAATCTTATTTAACGTGCAGAGAACACAGAGCCAGTGAGAGAGACAGTGTGTAACTCTGATGTGAACTGAACTAGCTGACTGACTTTACTTACAAATTAAGATGCTTATATACAGAAATCAAATTGCTGACTAAGGATTAGTTAGGATGATGATATGATGATGTAATGGAAAAGGAAAGATCTAGACTTGGGAAGAAGTCAGCATGACATAGATGTGTGAATGTGTAAACAATGGTATAGGGAATGTCCTATGGTATGTGATGCTGTGAATGACATACGTGGATGTCATGGTGATGATGGCATGAATGAGTAGGAAGTGCGTGTAAAATGGCCGAAGTAGAGTCACTACAAACTCATCTGAAATAATGCTCTTTTTCTTTTGGCGATACTTTTTAATGTAGGAAGTTATGTATAATAAGTTCAGTTAGTAACAGAGGCATCTAGAGCCCTAAGGGAAAACTGAGATGGGGCTCCTATTAATGGAATGAAAAAAAATTCCATCTTCCATCTTGTTTATGGGTAAAAAGGTACCCATAATTAATGGCAAGTCCCTGTAACTTCAAACATACCCACCCCTGAGCATCAGCCAAAACAAGAGAATGTTTGCAAATTTTCACAAAGATGATGATTTCTGGTATAAATGACGTTTGTACAGAGAAAGTTGCCAGTGAAATCGTTGCAAGGTTCCAGATTTATTTAAACGTTACAAAAAAATTTATTTGGGAAATCTTAGACCTTTAAGATTAAACGTTTTGCCAGTACCAAAGTATTATGTTATATAATTTTTCTGTTATAATTCTAATATTAGTCATTGAAATGTGCCCATTTGAGTAGCTGCCCCCACTGCCTGGAAATGCTTCCAGCGCCCCTGGTCATGATACGTTTCACATATATTTTTTCAAAAAGCTTTGAAAGGTAGGGATGACCAGGGGCATGTGGCCAGAGTAGCTGGATGGACAAGCATCCACCCTGTTCTCAAAAATTTTAAAAGCTTAAATGCTTTTTAGACTTTATTTATGACCCTATTTATAGACCAATCAGTTTACTCTCCCAAGTCTACAAACTCTTCATGAAGATCTTGAAGAACAGGTTGAATAACAATCTGAGTGACCACCAGCCGCCAGAACAAGCTGCCTACAAAAGAGGTCATTCAACCATCGACCATCTGCAGTCAGTAGTGCAAATACTCGAGAAAACCAATGAGTATAAAATACCCATTCATATGGCGTTTGTAGACTACGAAAAAGCCTTTGATTCTGTACTGCACAAGGCTGTTTTTGAAGCGCTAAAACAGCACAGCGTAGAGGAGAAGTACATCAACATCCTGAAAGAGACATATGATGGAGGCACTGCTCAGGTTCGGAACGAACCACTTAGCCGAAAGATTAAGATCATGAAGGGAGTGCGGCAAGGAGACACCTTGTCACCAGTGATGTTCACAGCAGCGTTGGAAGAAATATTCAGGAGAATGGAAGTTGAAGTGGGAATTAACATCAACGGAGAGAGATTGAACAACCTGAGATTTGCAGATGATATCATCTTATTTGCAGAAAAGGAAGAGGATCTCAGCAAGCTGATCAACGATCTGAACAAGGAAGGGAGAAAAGATGGCATGAAAATGAACAGAAAGAAAACGAAAATCATGTGCAATGAAATAGCTAGGAAAAGAAGAAGGAAAGGAATAATTGCGGATGGAGAACAACTGGAGGAGGTGGATGAGTACAAGTACTTGGGAAGACTGCTAACACCAGGAAATGAGATGGCGAAAGAAATAGACGAGAGAGTAACATCTGCTTGGAAGAGATTCGGACAGTACAGCACGTTTCTGAGAGATCAAAGAATGCCCATGTGTCTCAAAAGGAAGATCATGAACACTGTCATACTGCCATCAATGACGTATGGAGCTGAGACATGGTCACTTACCAACCGCCAAAGAGAGAAACTGGCAGTCACCCAAAGGAGCATGGAACGATCAATGCTGGGTGTTACGAGGAGAGATAAGATCAGGAACGAAGACTTAAGATCAAGAACAGGGGTGAAGGATGTCATCGAGAAAGTGATTGAAGCCAAAGGCAAGTGGGCAGGACATGTAGCACGAATGAAGAACCACGAATGGGCTAAGAAAACGACAGAATGGACTCCGTGGGACAAGAAAAGAGGAAAGGGAAGACCAAAGAGAAGATGGAGAGATGAGATCGAGCAGAAGGCAGGCAACACGTGGACCCGGAGTGCCCAAAACCGTGATGAGTGGAGAAAGATGTGGAGGCCATCCGCCAGCAGTGGTGTGACAGGCTAATGATGATGATGATGAAATTGTTTTTTTTAAAAGGCTTTATATTTTCCCATCTCAAAATGTCCCACTGTGCCCTTTGGGGCGACAGAGGCAAACTTTGTTGCAAGAGGACTAGTGGAGAGGCTGCAAATGTAAATTTATTGGCCCCTTTTTTCCTTTAGAAATTACTATATTGATGATTAGGTATTATTTGTTCAATTTTGTCAAGAGCCTTTACCTGAATTCATGGATATTTATTTCATTAAGTTTACTTTAACTTGCAGGATGGTTTGAATATCTATCATTGTGAAGTTTGTGACAAGTACTGTATGTCTTTGAATGTGCCTGTAGAAGTCCATAAAAACAGCCGAGGGCATGTTGATGCTGAATTGGTATGGCATTTTTCATTTTTTTATCTTCAAGTTTATTTTCGTGATTTTTTTCAATTAAAGTATAATGTAATGAATAGACAAAGAATTTAATGGTTATAGAGGAGGCTGTGTTAACACCCCTAACTATTTTATGTGTTAACATGACAGTATGTTTCTATCTGTGCACTAGGTTAATTATTTATTTTGGTTTTTGTCATGAAATTTGTCAACTGTTTGGCAGAAAACAAAATATGCTGTCAGATTTTTCTGAAAACCAAGGGCAGCTGTCTCTAGAAAATATCATAATGCCAATTCTTGGCATATTTTCAATTGGCTCAGATGGGTAGTCAAAATTTTCCGAAAAGAATCTTCACTAAATGAACCTGATTTATTCATGGGTCAGAATTTGAATTCATCATTTGCCTATATGTGGCAAAATCAAGCATATTTATTCACCTAGCCCAAGCCATTGAGTTTCTCTATTGCAAACCCAGTTACATTATTCATATTATGAATAAATTTGAAGAATTAAATGAGACTTCTCAAAAATGAAGAATTGATTGATTTCAATTTTATAACTCATTGATGGCATGCAAGGGAGCTGTACAGGATAATGTAATGTAGGACATGTGTGCCAGTTGTGTGCCAGTTTTGTGTAAGGGCCTGTAAATTGTTCAGCCAGTTGATTTCCTCTTGCATTGTAGCACACAATCTCTTGCAGTTCGGCAAGAAGCCTTGGCAGCTGACAAATTAGAATAGAGATTTACAAATAGAAATTGCAAGGCCCTTAACACATGAGAATACCTGCATGATGGCAAGCTACTCCTTGCAACTTGGAAAACTTCAAATAACTATTTGCTAAATGCTGATATAAACTGCCCTAACTTCAACTATGATCATATTTCCTTTAAAATGTTTAATGTGCTGTCAACATTTTGAAATTTGCTTAATATTTGTTTCTGAAAGAGAACTGCAAAAAAACTAGAAGAAGGCAATACATTGCCAATACTTCTTAATATCATTTTTATAAAAAATTGGATGGCCTGGTCAAACTTAACTTTGTTTAATAGTAAGTATGTTTTCCCGTATATGATACTCTATCAAAGTTTAAAATTTCTTCAAAGTTGTTTATCCAGATTTTTTATCACATGTTGCCTTTTTATCACCATGCTGAAATTATAATGTTTTTTATTCAGTAACTTAGGCTGTTGAGTGTTTGCAGATGATGAGATCTGCTTTTTGGTTGCATTATAGTAGTTTTTCTGCAAAGAAATTTTGTCCCTATCTAGATAGCTAGACTGCGAGTATGTAGATATGAGTGTAAATGTCAAACGAAGTATAGTTGTAATACTTTAATTTTTTTACATGAAGAAATGGATACAAAATGCTTTGAAGGATGACACAACAGTTCAGCTAAATGACTCCTTGGATAAGATGCGACCAGCTGTCAAAAAAAGGACAGAAAAGGGTAGAGATGCTTTCAAAGGAATGCCCTCAGCCCAAATTACTATGGAAAACATAGATGAGATCTCACCACTAAAATCAAAGAGCAGCAATCGAATGAATAGCGAAGTTTTGGAGAACACATTGCTAAATATCTCCACAGAATACGGCTTAGGGAAAGAGGATCTAGAAACAAGGAAAAGGGTGCTTCAAAGTGTTTTCACTAATCTTCGTGAATTGTACAAAGGTAGTGGTAAGTAGCTTTGTTTATAAAGGTGTGATAACTGTATCCCACACCAGGTTATCAACGCTGAATCTTGCATTATTTAAATAGTGCAAATGGTTAAAATTGGTTTGAAGAACCTTTTACTAATCTGGCCTTATAATGCTATATAAGCAAGGGTGGGTCTCATATCCCAGCCCTAATACGTGGATCTTCCTCATGCTAATTCTTGGGGATGCTGTTAATTTTTAACCGCGGGACAACTTGATATATCTATTTGACTTATGTACAGTATTATTGGAAAAGTTCCCTTGAAAATATTATGTTATCTTCTATCCTGGGCACTTTTGTTTCTTTGTCATTTTGAAGCTTCTAAAACGTTGCTTTAATTTGTTATTCAAATTTCTGAATCATTGTGGTAACCGCAATATTTCTCTTTAACGGAGCAGCTTTTTTCTCATTTTGTGTTGAGAAGATTTATTGTGGTAGGGTGCTCAATTTTTTCAGTTCTCTGTTTAAAGTGTTTCCTTTTCTGTGCAGATCGCCATTTTCGCCTTGAATTGTTTGGATCATCTGCGACCGGAGCTGGACTGAAAGATGCAGGCATTGACATTTCCTTTCAAAATGTACGTTTCTCTTTGTTGATCACCGAGCAATATGTTTCTGCTTTAGCTTTTCAATCCTGCAAAACAGGCTTGCTATTATTGAGGTTATTTCCACTTTGGGGGCATTGAGGTTGAATAACTAATGAAGTTCTAGTACAAACAAAATTTCAGTTTGGAGGGTTTAATCATAAATTTCGCTAAATCAAAAAAAACTCCTCTATATTTGACCATCATTCATGCGCAAGTGTGTTTTAGAAATTTGACCTAGTTTCAAGGGTAGCATTTTGACGCCTTTGTTGATTTTATCAAGGTTGGCATTTTCGAACCAACCCTTGAACTATGGAAGGTTTAGTGGTAAAAATTTATTTGGTTTTTTATCTTTTAGATTCATAATCATTCCATTGTAGTATGTTGCTTTTTATGCATATGTTTGAAATTTTCATATTTTTTTGTTTTTCTTTTAGTGTAGTGTTCAGGACATGTTAGGTGCCACAAAATTGATAAAAAATTCAAGTAAGCTTTTTAAATATTTAATTGAACTAGCATTCTTTGCGTGTCCAATGTAAATTAGCATTTCTGTTTACCGATTATAGTTATTGCACTATTATTGTTTTCAAGCTATTTGTGTTAATCTTTTAATCCCAGTGTGTAGCTGGATTAAAATAGAATTGGAATAATGAAAATGGTTAATTTGCAGCGGAAATTTGCAATAAACAAGCGGGGCTTGCGATCCCTTCTGATTTCTATGTTCTTACTCAACGACTAGAAAGTAACAATCTTCCATAATTCATGCTGGGATTCTACACAAGGTCTTCCTCGACTTCAAGAATTCACTTCTTCAAATCTAGTCATAAAGATCTACATTCCATTTGTTCCTTAATCCTTCTCTTCCTTCTCATGCAACTTCATCATATGTTAAGCAATAGCCCGAGAAATCAACAGGTCAACAGTTTAGCAAAAACCTATTAAAAAATTTGTACTCTTAATTTGCCAAACAGCTCGTTTTAAAGCTTATTCACTTTGCCGAAGTTCCCTTTTGAACAAAAAATTCTACAAAGCGATATTAAAAACAAAAACGTTGCGAAAATACTTCTTTACTTATACTAAAAACTAAAATATCCTTGAATATGCGATTTGTCACAACCTTGTCTTGACTGAAACCTTTCTTGTAAATTTTTTCATAAAAGGATGGGTGCTTATTTGCGCTGTGGGGGCCTATGAAGTATTTTTGCTTCCAGATTGGGTGCTTATGCAAGGGAGGCTTAAACGAGGAAAGGAGGCCAATTCAAGTATATTTTGCATATTATCCCTATATTGTGGACATAAATTTTGCTTCAACTTTGGTTTAAATGAGGCTTTCAAAATAAGAGTTTGAAAAGAGCTGCGAGAAATACACATTTGCTTCGGATCCCCGACAAATTTTAATTTTTTTGTCCAACTGAAGCTGAAAAACAATGGTGAAAATCGCCAAGGGTTAATGCTTGGCAAGAATATTTCGGTTTTCAAACAAATTTTCTGCCACCAAAAGAGGTCCAGCCCGAAAGGTTGGCCACAGACGGGTCCTTGTTTCGCATTTTGTACATTGATGTGTATGAAAATAGCCCACGCAAAGTATGCTGCTAAAATGTGCCACACTAATGGGGATGCCAAATTGTGCCACCGAGAATTTCATCCGATTTATTTGTTGGTACTTCAAGTGCCATAGGAAGGTGATTAACAAGGCAAGCTAGTGACGTGTTAAATGCAGTGTTGTAATAGAGTATTTATGTTTTTCAAAATATCTTAAAGAATAAAGTTGACAGATATCGTTTCATCCTATCTTTTATCCATTCTATCACTCCTTTCGCTGAGATTGCTACCCTTTTTTGCAGAACGCTACACTAATGTTGAAGAGCTGCTCCATCAAAATCCACCAAAGATCTCATTCACAGATATTAAGAGGTATTGTATCAAATGTACATACATAATATATCTTTTTGTTGTACATAAATTGTATTCCATTTGTCAAATATCCGGTTTTCAAAGGTCACATCTTTCACTCGAGATGAATTAACTAAATATCATCTACGTTTCTATGGTGGACACTTGGTTGAATATTGGGGGGGTATTGGGGGGGGGGGGTAGTTAAGCCTATTGTTTTGGTAAGATGACGTCACATTTTCCTATTGTTTAAGAATAAAATACCATTGTCTTCCAAAATATTTGGGGGCAACCGCCCCTCTCCCCCTAGGTGTCAGCCACTGTTTCTATGTTTTTTATTTAGCATGGTCGCTTTCTGATGAAATCCTTGTTCTCTTTTCTAAGTAATATCTAAAACTATCGTTGTAATACATCGTAGTTTATTTTGTCATATTTTTCTCTGTTTAAACAATTCTTGGCAGTCAAACTTAATGATCGTTAATAGAAAGTTGCATTATCAGTGAAGCCGCTAGCAGGTTTCAGTAATCGGTTTGCTTTGTAGGACAGTTTTTAATTTCGTTTTTTTTATTTATTAGTACATTTCTGTTAGTCTGTGGAACTCTTGTGTCTTTTTAATAAAAATAGAGAAGTCGTTCATTTAACTTTGCATTTATTTTGCATAACTTTGGAAGATCATGACATTTGCATTCCCTTTCAGTGGATTGCGATGTCATTTGAGCTGCAACACTGAAGAGGTATTTGTCGAAATATAGCTTTAATGTGAATCAAGACTTTTCTTCTTGCATTCTATGCTGCTCGATAACCCAGTGCAATTTAATTACCCCTCATGTATTTATTTTATAATTATAATTTCGCTCTCTGACAACATTTTGCACTTAGCTAATCCTTGGAAAATAATTATCAGTATCAAAAGCTGGATCTAGGCTATTTAAGAGTTTAGAAGCCCCTGTAAACCGTTGTTAGAACCTCCTTTTTTTCTACTTGCCGACATGAGGTTAGCAATCTATTCTATGTTGCAGTACGTGAACACAAGCCTTACAATTGGAATGCTGCTCAAGATGTACAGATTTGCATTGCCATTTTGTCATTGCATAAGATATTGGGCAAAGGTAAGGAGATTTGTGTTTGGCGTGAGGCGTATGTAACGAAAAAGCTAGTGATTATTTTCTTTCTTCAGTAAGCATGGAAATTACTGAATGTTAAAGCTTTATGAGTTTGCAAACTTCGACCCGCGTAGCTTCGACCAACGTAGCTTCGACCAGCGTAGCTTCCGCTTTACTTTCAGTGCAACACAGTTCTTTTTCTTCTTTCACTCTCTTGCTACGATTTTCGCCAATTCAAAAGCTCTGCTTCTCTGCTTAGATTGTTGCCTACTTCTCATTCCATTTGTTGTCAATAGTTGGAGCATCAAGTATTTTCTGCTACTGGTATTGGTTTTTCTATCAATTGTAATCCACAGATAAGACAACTTGTTTATGACTTTGAACAAGGATTACAGATCAATGTGGCTCAAAGTAACTCATTGCCTAATGCTGTGCTTAATTTGGTGCCTGAAATACTGTTGAAATTCCTTCAAAACGCTCCTAGATATCGCCTAACATGCCTTTATTTTTATGACATTTTACACACCTGTAAAATCCACGTTTCTTTGTATATACAATTTTAAACTGTTTTGCAAAAGCATATGGAGCTTTATAGCTTAATAAATAAGCTAATTTTGTCATCTTTATATATCAAGATATATAAAGATTTATCAAAATTTGATGCTAAGAAAAGCTGCATCATCTTGTTGATTCATATCATCAACATTTCTAAAAATAATCCTAGATTCCATTTTCAACTTCTAGATCTGTGAACTGGATAAACCGGAAGAGGGAACACTAAGCAGCTGTTGCTTCCCACTGATGTTAATCCATTACTTGCAGACCATCCAATTGCTTCCAATTTGGGGTACACGGCAGGTAGAAACGAGTTCCGTTGTATATGAATTTACGTGCCAGTGTGATTCTGTCTACGTAGGATGCACTACCCAAAGATTAGAGGATAGAATAAAATAGCGTGTTCCGTCTAGTATTAGAAACAAAACTCATCCCCAAAGAGAACAGCCACCTTGGTCTTGCAGATCTAGAAGTACAACTAAAACCTGCGATTCTGCTATCGGGCAGCATTTACTGGCAAACCTAGATTGTGCAAAAAACTATAATGGCGACATGTTTCGGATTATTGGTAAAGCCCGATCGTCGTTCCGTCTAGCAGTTTTAGAAACTATCTACATAAGCACGAAAAAACCGCTATTGTGTAGACAAAGGGAGTTCGTTTTCACCTTAGGGCTCCATTGGTAACATTCTCAATAGGCAAGCGGCACTGATTGGTCGACCTCAACAGTCATGTGTTCGCGTTTCTGATTGGCCTATTTCGATCCACAACTGGGTATATATATTTCCTAGCGTGGAATTTTCGATCTATGTTCTGACGTTTTATACTCTGAAGAGTGTCAGACAAAAAGCTTCAGTGTATTCAAATGTTTGCTTTTTCCAAAGCCATTTTCAAGCTTTGTGCCACCAAAAGATAGTTTCTCAATTCTAAAAAATAGCGTACTTGAGTATGCTTTCTTGCTAAATTTGTTGCATTTTATATGTCTAAATTTTATCAAGGACAACTTTATGCATGCAAAATTTCCTTTTCAGTGTCAAGAATTTTTTGGCACGATTGTAGTTTTTTCTTTGGTTCTTTTATAGACGAGTATGCTCTTGAGTATGTCAAAATCTTTCCTTTTCATTTCTATATACCAGTCATAGACACAAATTTTGCTAGACTTTAGGTCCCTAACTTGACGTTCCACGCTCATTTTGCCTGTGACAATAATAGTAACGCTTAAGAGATTGTAATTCAGTCCCCTGATTCTAGAATCCCTTACCCCGAAACGTGATCTTCTTTCATAACCGAGTTGTTTTCTTACTAAATGTTTTGTTTCGCTTTATCATGGAAGGCTCGATCTTGGAAGTGCCCTGAGTCCAAGGACTGGAGCATGTTATGGACGGGATTTTTAGGGTGAGTTCCTCGTGTTTTTCTAAAGCCTAGCTCATGCATTGAAGCTCTGCCAAGTTAAGCAAAACATTAGGCAATCAGTTACTATAAACCGAATTGATCTGTTATCCTTATTTAAAGTTATATACAAGTATTTTAATAAATTGATCTAATCTAATCTGTAGAAGGTGCTGGAAGGAAGGTTATCAATATAGGAAGGTAGTTAATCGGTTACGAATGGATGGAGAGGGATGTGTATAATCGTGGAAAGCTAAGTCTGGTGGAAGGTTAATGTATGGGAAGGAACCTTTGAAAGCACCGAGTTAAAATTTGTATGCATAATAGATGTATATAAAATAAAAGTTTAAGGGAGTTTTCGGTTGTTTTTGGATACAGAAGACTGAAAGAGTTGTTTGATTTTGCTGTTGTTGCATTTCCAATCCTAATTTAGGCTCGTGGATATAGTGAGCGTTTTAAATTGATGAGTCGTAAAGAAAGTTGAAAAATCGCAAAAATCAGATGGAAGAGATTGTAGATAGAAAAGGAATGAAGTTGGGAAAACGCGATGAACTGGGTAAAGTGGATATCAGGAAAGGGTGAATGATCGTTTTTTATGCAATTGGTAATTGCAGCAGAAAGTTAATTGATGGTGAAATGTGATTGCTTAAGATAGATATCTGTGGACGATGGTTTAGAAAAAGCCATTAGAGACTGAATCGTGATAAGGTTGTCTTTGACATTTGTGACAACGTGAAAGATGATGCTTTCATAAATCTTTTAACAGATACTACCAGTATAAAATGAAACGTGGAGAGCTCTGTCTCAGTGTGACTAATGACCAGCCAAGGAAACGAAGGTCCACTTTAATTCATATATCAGGTATTGATTTTCATCTGAAGTGTATCACTTTCTGCGCAAAGAGTGTAAAGTGGATCTTTAATAAAGAGATTTTGTATTAAGAGATGGAAACCATCGCGTCATTCTGAAAGAAATAAAGAGTGCCATTCAGAATGGCGTCCTGATTCTTGTGATGTGTTGCAGTTAAACTTAGTTTAATTATCAACAATGCTTGTTATTTTCAAATACCAACACTAAAATTTGTCGCTACCTTGATCCTATATCTTTGTTGAAATTTTGTTTTTATCATCAATTGTTAGCATTTCGTTAGCTACATTTCATGTTTCAATTTCTTGGTTAAGGAGTCCTTTCGATAACTGTTCTTGCTTGGCCGTTAGCTGTAGCTTTTTTATATGAATTTTATATCTATTTTAATTACAATACATTCTATCCTAGATCCTTCCTCTACTTACAACCTGGGAAAAACTGTCATGAAGAAGAAAGGTAATGCGGCAACCCTGTCTGAAAGCAGCATATTTTATTTCGCCTTCTTTATATTATTGGTACTAACGCAATTAATTTCTCTCGTTTTTAAATCATTGTTTTGTTTGTCAAGATCATCAATATTTCGATTTGCCACAGTCAAAACGGGTATGATTTCCAGTATAGACAACCCGGAAGTAGGCCATAACTTCTTTAATTATTTGCTCTTCTACTAAAACTCTTTGCAGAGTTGCTCAAATACCAAGATGCTCTACTTCAAAGCTAAAAGCATGTTTTTCTGTATTTTTTAGTTTTTTTCTACATTAAGCACTGCTTCAAACGTTCTTTTGATTTCTTCCGGCACAAGTCAAAGTTATCTGCAGGTATGGCCATAATTTTTTTCTAAATGTTGTTTGAGATATGTGAATATTGTGATATTTCAATTTGATATTTTGCATGCAAATATAACAAAGCAGATAATAGTGAAAATACTGGACTGGAATTCAATAAAAGAGGGAAAATACCGGGGTCTGTTGTTACAGTAGAAAATTTAATAGGTACAATGCCTGCCAAAAGTCTTGGTACGTTAGGCCTTAGTTTTCAAGGGCAAATTCAGCCATTCCCTTTCCCACCTTTGAACAATTGTTGGTTTACAACGACACGACGCAGGAGAACTTAAGAAGTAACCTTTTTTCTGTGACTTGTGTGATGTTTGTCTAAAATATCAACGTTGTTTTGGGGGGAAGGGGCGGAAAGTAGGGGTATTCGCGAAAAGAATTGAAAAATATAGACCCCGTTTACACTACAGAAAAACGAGTGGAACGCCTCGGTTCCGTGCCTGAAAAAACGACGATAGGCCTTGCGTTTACACTAGGCATCTTGGTTTCATGCTAGTCTGGGAACGGTTCCGTTCTTCTTTGGTTTCGCTAAAATGCAAAACTGTTTGGCTCCATTCCCATATTGTGCTTGTTTTCTCTAGTGTAACGGCTAGGAACGGAACTTTTTGGTAACGATTGAAAACGGGGCTCAAGCGTCATTGCCGCGCCATTGCGCATGCTTCACCTGAAAGTTCCGTACTTTTTACTCAAATGTAAACGGGTTCAAATTTGGTTCCGTTCCTTTTTGTTTCAGTGTAAACCCGATGAAAAAAGAGGTATCGTGCTTGTATGGTATTTGTCTAAACTATTGTTTTGGAGGGAAAGGTGTGCGGGAGTAGAAGTATTCGGGAAAAGAATTGAAAAATATAAAATCACAACGCAAATGTCAAGTGTTCCAAGAACTTTTTGGAACGTTGTAGTCCTGATGATGAAATTCGAGATTAACAAATGATGCTCTCTTTTGATTTTATCAGATCAAGATTGAAGCCATTACACAAATCAATAAAGGAAATAATAATTGTGATAATTATATGTTTACAAACAAGCATTTGTGTCCTAAAACTCATCAAATGAGAATAAATTTGTTGTTTGCGAAAAGCTTTTAAGAACATCGTGGGTTGGTACTGTGTTTAGATGGTGATTTATATCAAGTAGAAAATCAAGTAGATGATTCATTTGTTCAATGCAGGCAAAGATGGTAATCTTCAAAGCCTACTAGAAAGAGCAAGGCCGACCAGTGAATCAGAGAGCATTGCATCAAGGGACGGTTATCAGTCTGATGACGAACAAGATCTTGGGACTTCCGTTAAGGATAACGGACTGTCTAGCAATGATGAGGATTCCGCCGACGAAGGGGATTCCCGCAGTGAATCTACAGAGGAAAGTGATAGCAACGGCGCAGAAGATGACAAAAATTGCAATGATGACTCTCAATCCGTATTTGCAGCTAAAAATACGTCAGCAAGTGAAAACCGATTCCATCAATCAGATGACAGCGATGATGATTCATTTGCAAAATCGGTATCCCCTCTTAAAGGAAGGGCTAGAACGTCATCGAAAGGAGAAAGTAGGACGCTTCAATTACTTTCTGTTTGCTTCATTTTTCAATTATAATCAAAAAAATAGTTTTGACGTTAGGGGGGGGGGGGTTTATTTTTATCTAATTTTGTAACTTTGTGAGTATAGGGTCCCTTTAAAAATCAGCAACGCTTAAGGGCAACCCACCTTAAATATCTAATATCAATCAATTAATCAATCTGCTTTGTCGAAAGATCTTCTTGTTTCATCCCCACTAACTCTTTCATCCCACTGTATTCTGCAGTATTGCATTAGAAAGAAAGATGGCATTCACTATGGAAGAGAACAATCTTTGATCATATAAAGGAATCCCCTTACTATCGAGATTTAAACTGCAAAATTAGCTAGTGAATGAAAGATATAATAAACTTTTTTTGTAAATTGGCATAAGATCCCTCCTGAAAATGTTTTGACGCATTTATTGTTTATCTATCTTTATAGGAGACCGTATCTTGATCTCATTCACCAAAAAGAATTTCTGCGACGGAATGAAACGCCCGTTGTTTTGTTCTGGATGCCGTAAAATTGGCCACATTAGAGTGTCTTGCCCCACAGAAAACTACAATATCAACCCTCTGCCCGAGCTTACGAAAGAGTGGGTAACCTCTCTCTCTTTTATGTGTAATTCTTTGATGAAAATGTGGGAGCCGGATTCTCAGGAAATTCGAGTAAGAAACGAGAAACTAAACCTCTTGGAAATGCACATCCAGAACAGATATCCAGGTAGGGACAAAACTGCATTTATAATGTTGTCACGAAAATATATATGCTCTAACTATTGCTGTTGTAGAATTTTTTAACCGACTGGAATGCTTCTTTAGGTGAACGAGAAAATCGTAATTCAATGAATGGAAAATTGGAATAGAAATATATAATTTTTTTTAATGTTTTCTTGAACCGCTGCATTTCTCATCTGCATTCAACTTGAATAATAATTTTCACCTCATCGCACAGATAATAAGCGACTGCTTCAACTCTGAAATATGCAAATTTTGCTAAGTAAAATAAAATATCTGCTTTCTCTGTGAAGACAAATATACATTGATTTCTCTCTTTTCAAAACATTGATATTTCCCGAAGTTTTTGTACTCTGAGGTGGAAAGTTAATCTTCGTCACAATTCCCCTTTTTTGTACCACTAATCTTGCATAGTCAATACTTTTTGATTTCCAGATGCTGCTTTGAACCTTTTTGGATCTTCCCGTAACGGATTCGGTTTTCGCAATTCTGATATGGATATCTGCATGATTTTGAAGCGTTTCAAACCGGGCGAAATCGATGGGCAAAAGACCATACGCGAGGTTGAAAAGATTCTTCGTGGTTGCAACTTCACGTCAAATGTCTTGTCGATCAGAACTGCCAAAGTACCAATCGTCAAATTCAAGTTCAAGGATCCAGTCATTGAAGCTGACATCAGCTTGTATAATTCATTGGCTTTGAGGAACACGGAGCTGCTGCTGTCATATGCTCGTATTGACCCAAGAGTCAGGGAGCTTGGCTATACAGTAAAGTATTTTGCCAAGGTTGGTGTTGTGTCAAAATAGCTTATTGCAATGTCATGGAGGACGATGTATTAGCTAGTAGCAAGTTCTCTGCGGTTACTATCACTTGACCCAATGCTCTGGTCCTCTCTCTCATTTTTATCATTGGCTTTCTTGTGTGCATGCTTTCTTCACATGCGTGAAATGTTAATAAACGTGCCTTCTATACATCTAAACTGTCAAATTCGTGCGAAATGGCAAGAACACGTGCAAATGAAGTATAATTTTCGTCCGAATCTCCTCTTATCAGAATATCTGAGTCAGAATATCCCAGTCTACTCGTGGATAACTCAGTCCTCCTGTTGGTAACTCAATCCACCAGCGGGTAACCCAGGTGCACGTAACCCAGGCCACCTGTGGGTAAACAGGTCCACCCGCTAGTAACTCGTTCCGCCCGCTTGTAACTCGTTCCGCCCGCGGGTCACTCAAACCACCCACAGGTAACTTATTCATCAGTTGATAAACAAATAATATGCATTTACCTCTTTCAGTTTTGTGAGATTGGTGATGCATCTCGGGGGACAATTTCCTCGTATGGCCACATAGTCATGCTCCTTCATTTCCTGCAACAACGCAGTCCCCCCGTACTGCCTAACTTACAAACAATCATAGCTGGAAACCGGAAAAGTTTCATTGTTGATGGCTGGGAGACTTGCTTCTTCGATGATATCCTCAAACTGGTATGAGATTCATTGACATTTTTATGACATAATGTACATTCGAGTTTGGAAAATTTGTTCTGAAAATGTGAGAATCGTTTTTTTGTAAAGATTCTATAAGATGGCCGACGAAAAATTTTATTTTACGTCACTGCACTAGGATTTAGTCACACCGGGCTCTAATAGCGCCACTTGACTGCAAAGCAGAAATGAGGCAAACTGTTACCTGTCCAGTGTGACCAGATCACAATTTCGGAATTATGCCAAAATTGTCATAAAATTATGCTAGATTTACAAAAAAAGTGCTAACTTTCAAATCAAGGCTATCCCCTTTCAAAAAGAGGCTAGAGCATGCGCGAATTAATTAATTATATATGTAAAAATAAGGTGGCCCATATTTTTCACTGACAGAGCTATTTTTAAGAAATCATCATTGCCAACTTAGACAGTACCTTACACTGAAATATTATGATAAGATGGTGTCACAATTTACTCACATGATAATAGCCACGCATGCGCGTGTGATGTATTTGCGATAGACAGCGGATCACTTATCAACGGAAACAATGATTTTCTTATCAAATATTAAAATGATGCCAGAATCATGCTAGATTTCAAACTATGCCAGATTTTATGCTAAAGGACGATTTTTGGCCAAAATTATGCCAAAAGCATAATATTATGCTAGATCTGGTCACACTGTACCTGTCTTTCCTTGACGATAAACAATGATTATTCATTATTTCAACGTGTTTTTTTCATATGTGTGAGAGACTGTCATGCTTAATTTCAGCCAGTCGTTTGGCCTGGTTATGGACAGAATAAGGAGTCAGTTGGGCAACTCTGGTGTGGATTTCTGCAATACTATGTGGAGGAATTTGATTTCGAGTCAAAAGTCATTTGCATAAGACGAGACGAGCCATTGACAAAATTTGAGAAAGGCTGGGGTCGCTATACAATGGCTATAGAAGGTAGCATAATGTTGTATATATTGTTTTGAACCTGTTGCTATTTGCTATAGACACTTAGAGATTTTGCAGTCTTCGCTAGAGATTCTTCTCTGTATTATTAACAGTTAACTTTTTGGTAGGCAGTTTTTTGTCTTGATTTAGGACGTAATTTACAGAACTGCTATTTCAATGCCAGCTGGAAAAGTCCCTTCTACATTGTTATTGAAAAGTGGCATTACGTAATTGTCGAGAAGACAGTCCGACAACTAAAGACCAACGCTTCAAATAGAAATATTTTGGTAAAGTAGCGAGGAAATGGTAGTCTTTCATTATCATTATAGCTCTCTTAATGTTAAATGAAAGAAATTTTCTCCCCGTAGATCCGTTTAAGCATGACCACAACCTGGCTGCTGGAATTACTGAGAAGGTTTTTCGATACATTTACCGAATATTTGTAAATGCGAGACAGAGGCACTGTACCCCAAAAGTGGATGCTGGTTATGATATTCGCGATTATGCGTTCGATGCCGCGTCTCTCAAAGGAAAGTTACTGATGCCAAATGATCGATTATGCACTAAGTGTGGAAAGATTGGGCACAGGAAGTCAAAATGCCAAGTAAACAATTCGAAGACTACCGAAGAGAGTGCAAAGAGGAAGCCCTCTGCGTCTGCAAAGGAGAACTTGAACGAGATTAGGAGCAGAAGTAACAGTGGCCGGGTTTGTAAAGATTGTGGAGAGGCTGGACACATAGCATGCCCGGCTGGCCGGAAAACAGTTATTTCGAAAGAGATTGTCGATGAAACTGTAAGCAAAGATGATTCTGGGTTTGAGGTAGATGATTTTCAGTTCTGTAAGGATTGTGGAAAATTAGGGCATGCTTCATGTCAGGAAAGTCTGAATGGAGTTAATACGGATGAATACTCCACGAAGAAGAGAAACGCCACGAATTCTAGAAATGAGATTGAAGTTGCTCAAGCATGTAAAGTTGGAGAAGTGCTTGAGCACACGCCTCCGCAAAATGCAAATAAGTCTGATTTGGCCAATAAAGCAGCACCATCTGAGATTGCTTTGTTAAAAACGCTCCAAGACTTAAGTTTGGCTGACAATCCATTTTTCGGAAAGGCAGCCAGGAATGGTGTCGGTGAAAGTGCCAGGCTTAATTTCCCAGCTGATCTCAGGGCATTCGGCAATACGTTTACGCAAAGACAAAGGGGAATTCAGCAGTTTATTCCAGGAGAATCGGCAACGGATTCCAGCTCTAGCACTTCAGAAGACAGTGACGATGAATGCAGTTTAAAAAGTGCGCACGGAGGAGCAATTAAATTGGCAAGCGGGAAGCAAGCTCTGAAGAAGGAAAGTGAAGGGGACAAAAAGGCTAAAAAGAAGAAATATCGAAAGAGGCGACAGCATGTTAAAAAGGAGACTGTTAGTAGATATTTTTCTTTATTTTCTCACTGTTTTTCGACAGCTAAAATGCAAAGGCATAACAGATTTTCAAGCATTCGTTATAAAGCTTCGAGCTTTCTAGGCCATTTTTCATTCGAGACGATCTTATAAATATCGTAAAATATGGGTTGCTGGAAGGCATGCTTAAGTAGCATTAAACCACAAAGGTTTATTTTTGGCTACATCATCCTTTTACTTGTACAAGTCACTGAACAACAAGGCCAGATTTTTGTTGACAGATAGAGTTCGCTTTTACTTTGAGCACCTTCACGTCACTTTTGGCTCAATGCATTTGCTATCAAACGGCTTTGTACATTGGAAAATAAATTTTTTGATCAATACTTGATATCAATTTAAGTATTTCAAAAGTTATCACGCCCACAACCTGCTTTAAGCCCCGGCCAAACGCTCTCGACATTTCACTCGAGAACGCTCGATATTTTGTCGAATCAAATGTTGAGAGCGTTTGGCCACCTTGTTGATTTCTGTCGAGCCTTGTCGAGACAAATTTATACAAGGTCAAAATTTTCGAGTGGTAACGCGCGCTATTGTTTTAGGCGTTGTCGAACGTTGTCGAGAGCATTTGGCCAGACCCTCGACATTCTGCTCGACTTTTGCGAATGAACCCATGCGAAATATGCAACACATCTTAATTTTGCCCGCCAAAGTTGTGTTTGCTTTGTGATTTCTTCGGATTTCTAAATTTCGGCTCGAAAAAAATTAAAATGGAAAGTTGCAGTCAATTCGATCTCACGTTTGATGAACGTTGCAATTTCTATAAAGAAGGACAGAGATTAATGCTAGCTCTTCAAGCAGCGAAAAAGAGGAATTCAAGCCTTGATGAAAGAGCGAAAAATTTTTTAATGATGCTAGCAGCAAAAAATTAATGTGGCTTAAAGTGAAGAATTAATGGGGGTTTTAATGAACGTTAAATGTTGCAATCCCCGTTTCGCGTTCAGTATTAAAGGCGGCCTGCTCTTTGGTTTCGGCGTGATCGCTGCTGTCTCACGTGATATTGGCATCCGTTGTTGACAACTTGCTATTGATGGAAACTGTTACTAATCAGTACGAGGTGAGTTCATGTGACCAGTTTAAGGTCAACCAATAGCATCGCAGTCGTGAAAATCGTGGCTCAGCGAATTTTGGCACTTTGGGTATACCCAATCCATTTTATCATGACTCAATGCCTTTAATGTTCAGTGTTGACTTTTTTGTTAATTTTAGTGCCAACAGTTTCTTAAAGGTTTCTTAAATACCAAAAAACGTAACAAGAGATAACATGAACCGCACACACTTATAAGTGACAAGGAACTCTTCTTTCTATTTTCTATGTAAATTAAACAGGCAATAGGTGTCTAATCGTGGGAAAGAATCCTTCCCATCCCATCTCTTAGCTAACGATTTCCGATCAGTTTCTTAAGGTTGAGGTGGGTCAATTCTATGGTTTCTTAATTTTTTAATTATATTAGGGCACGGTTTCTTAAAGACTGTTAAAGAAATGGGTGTATTTAATAAATGCTGACCCTGAGATTCCTACATGACCTCTAAAACAAGACCTAGAGACAGTCTTGACTCTTGGCTTAACTACGTATTTTTTCTTTGCTACATAGGGTGAATATGCTGTTCTTGCAGAAGAATTCTCATTTTTTCCACCACTGTTGTCCAAGAATGTATTCTATCAACCTGTTCCGTGTGAAATTCCGCCATCCTAACCATGCATACTCTGTAAATCAGATTACTCTAAACATCACTGGAATTTTAACTTGGTTGGAAGTTTAATCAATTTTTACAATTTGGTTTTTATTTTTTCACAGGAAGTTATTGAAGAGTCAAAAACAGGTCCCACAAAGAGATTTTCTAGGCCCATGTTGATGGAGGTTACTCCAAACCAACAGAAAACAATCGTCCCTGATGCAAATAGTCGATCCGAGAATTCCTCGAAATTTCTTAAAGATGGAATCCAGAATAATATGCCTCCAAAAGTCGTTAAAACGAATTTGCAGCGATCAAAAAATAACCAAGAGTTTCTGAGTATGCTGTCGTTTCAAAGTAATGATGCTGGTCCAAAGGTAGATCGTAACAACCAGAAGATGGGCGGAAACAAGAATTACGCCCAAAGTAGCGTGGATTTGCGGAGCACAGAAAGATTTGATATCGGTGGTACATATGACATATCTCAGAATGCACCTAGAGACGGAAATGGTGGAAAAGGCGACAGTGGAGACGGAGGTAGTGGCAGAAGTAGGGGTGGTGGAAGAGGCGGTGATAGGGGTGGTGGAAGAGGCGGTGGTAGAGGTGGTGGAAGAGGCGGAGGTGGGTTTGGCGGAAGAGGCGGTGATAAGGGTGGTGGAAGAGGCGGTGATAGGGGTGGTGGAAGAGGCGGTGATAGGGGTGGTGGAAGAGGCGGTGGTAGAGGTGGTGGAAGAGGCGGAGGTGGGTTTGGCGGAAGAGGCGGTGATAGGGGTGGCGGAAGAGGCAAAGGTAGGGGTGGAGCCAGTGCTCAAGGAATGAGGCAAGGAAGTACCCAAGATATGTTGCAAGGACTTCTTCGAGAACCATCAGAGAATCGGTCTGAGGGGCAAAATGTAAGTCATCATAGGGGCCGTGGGGCCCGAGGGCGTCAAGGCAGGCGGAGCAATGCTAGAGGTGGCTTGGGAGGAGAAGGCGAGAGAAGAGGCAACTACCGCGATGAACTGTAAACGTTTTGTGCTCAAAATTTCACGAAATTTTAGAAACTGGCAAGAAGTTTTGAGTCATAAATGAATCACAGTTATGGCAAAGAGAAGGGTGTGTCATTATCTGAGATCTTGTTAAATTGTTAATATTTGCATCATAGCTGTCTTTTTGCAGCCAAATTTGGATCTTTTGAGGTAAAATCATTTGACCTAAAACCAGCTCGCTTCTGTATTGCAATAATGTCCTCGCCATGCAGTTGTATCTGTTATTTAAGAGGTCTCCTTTTTTGCCAGCTACAAACCCCGAACCGCACCCTTAAACTACAGAACACTAGACATTCAGCCTATACTAATATCAAGATAAAATATATTCAACATTTTCTCACCGTTGTAATTGCATGGACTCTTATCGATCGTTTCTTATCGATTTGTCTGAGATGAAAACTATTTAGTTAATATCGCATGAATTGTTTGATCCTCAGCAAAGAACGAGATTGCGAATGAGCTGTTTTGAAAACATTTGAGCAACAAATCTTGGCTGCAGTTGAAAAGGATAGCTTGAAAAGGTAGTTTTATGTCGAGTTTAGTACTGAAATTGCTAGTGTTCCAAAACGATATCTTTTGCTTTAAATCTAATGCATTGGCCAACGAAATGTGTTCCTAGACACAGTCTTAAGATTCGGTTGTCGTTTTTTCAATGGATTTGTACCTCATTTTAGAAATGTGATTTTAGTCCATCGTAGTTTAAATTTTAGTCAGATATGTATAACTTTTATTGTGAACGTTTAAATTTATTTGATATTAATGTTGATTAGAGTCGATACGCGGCTTTTCTTTTCAGAAATGTTTCAAACCCTGGGATTGAACATTTTGGTGCATATCACTGCTCGTGCACACGCCCGGGTAATTTTGTAGCGTATGCTAGACGGAGGCTGCCTTTCCACTAGCCGGGGTTGAAACAAAAACGTGTTAAAATGTATCCGTACTCATTATGTGGGCGTCTAAAGAGGTACCGCCCACTGATCTATAAAAAAGACTGGATCGAGCTTCTAATGTAACCCGAGTGTCGCTATCCGAGAAGAGGGCCCCAGAACAGCCCATGCTAGGAGACGGCCTTAAGTGTCAGTCATAGCAATGTTTTCAGCTGCTCTGGCCTTGTTTTTTCTCAGGCAGCATTACAGCTCTCACTTATTCATATCGTTCAAGTATTGCTTTTGAGGAATGGCTTCCTGCTATTGTTTGGGGCCCTCTTCCTTTTGAAATTGAACAGGCCTCAAACTTTGGTGTTTCAAGACAATATGAAGCTCGATCCAGTCTTTTTTATAGGTCAGTGGTACCGCCGGCGACAGGGGGCATCTAACTCTACTAAGGGCCTTGATAACTGTCTTCGAAGGATTTGTTGAAGCCTCTTGCCCAACCGGCATGCCTAGCGGTAGCTGTCTTTTTATGCGACGAGACGTTGACTGTGTGTTTTTATTTTCATTCAATACGATATTAGGCCGGATTTAAAATCACAGTTGCAAAGCATGCCGGTTGCGCAAAAGCTTTTAAGCAAGATCGATAATGAACAGAAAAATCAAAGGTTATTATGTTGCCGCCCAATAGTATAATTATTATCCAATGCTGCTATTTTTGTCGATTTCTGAATCCAGTAGCCTCCTTAATGAAGCCTGTATTTTTACTTTGATTCGTTGCCAACTTTGCGTCGAAGCATAGATTCAGCTAAAATGTTTTTTGGTGTTATGACACTAATAAGGACCTTTTTCATTGTTAAAGTCAACTCTACTTGTTCATTTGTCGTAGATTGTTAATCAATTCATGGAGAAAAGTGTCCATATATCTAGTGAAAGTTATTTTGTTGTACTATGTATCCTGTGCATCAACTAAAGCAACTGGCAGTCCCTTCACTGAATGTATACTCTTTGCATACACTCTTTATAAGAAGAACCAGTAGGTTGAAGTTCTTTGTTTTAAAAATATTTGGGGCTGGACTGTTCTTAATTTCTTAAATTATTGAAGTGTGAGCGGTGCTAATTGCATTGAAGAGCAGTGCTAAGGCCCCTTTTGCCAACAAAGTGAGTAAGCCACCCTTTATTTGCCGACAAATTTCGAAATTCACTGAGAAAGCACTCCTAAATTGTAAAAAACTCCTCGTTTTAAGGAAGGAATTTTTTAAGGGGGTTTCATAACTTCGTTCAAAATTACATTATACAGTGTATTTCAGCCTTGGATTGTTCTTGATTTGTTCCCAGCTTTTGGCCAGTTTTGAGGCTCGTTTTCTTATGAAATTATTAACAATCTTTTGGTGGTGAAATTGCTTTGGAAAAAAGCAAATTTTTGAGTCATACTTACGCTTTTCGTCTGAAACTCTTCAGAGTGTAAAACGTCAGAACATAGATCTTCTGGGTACATAGATCGTCATATAAATTTGTTCTTTTTAAGAAACAGTATAATTTAATATTTGTTCCAGGTTACTAAACAAAAACCATTAGCAAATAAGGGTAGGATGGTTCTCAGAATGTTTTACCATTGTCAATCATAAGACTGAAGGTGGTGTTCTCTCATCATTTGAACCATTTAGTTTTGGGCTGTCGGTGCGCCAATCGCAAAAAACGGCCATAAATAAAACCCCAACCGTTTTTGAGGGGGTTGAGAAGAAGAACCTTTCCTCTCCAAAGTCCAACTTCAAGTTGTCGTGCAACGTGTGAGAATGAAACTGTGCTAAGACAAAGTTTATATACCCAAAGCCAATGCACACTTGCACGCTGGTTGCTTTAGCCGTATAAAAAACACAATGTAAAGCTTACTCGAGCACTGCTACAATAAACACAAACTGCACAATTGTGCAATCTGTGCCCAAAAACAAAAGCCCAAGGGGCACCTAAAAGGCGTACCCTGTCACATATTAAACGTGATTAAACTTCATTTTATCAAGCTTAAAATGCTACACCAAATGATTTGGATTGTAAACCAAAGTGACCTCTATTAAATCTATTAAAACAATCTTGTTTGATATTGTTCCCCGTATTTCAAAATTGTGTGAAGATTCTGTGCTTGTTATTGTGGCACTTTCGTGAATTTAACTCCCAAGTGAATCGCGTAAGCAATGTGCCCCGTATGCTCCAGGCATTTGTTTTGTGAGCATGCCATGCAGGCCAAGCAGTGACTGCAGAAACGTTCTTGACATCGCGGTCAAGACGTTGCCATTTGGTCTGAAAGACAAGCTGAAATACTGAGAAAAACAAGATAAGGAACGCGTCAGAATTTCTTGATAGTTGCTTGCACGGCTTCTGGTAACAGGTATGTAGAATAACTGTTGATATACTGCAAATTCGTGACATGAATTGTTTATTGGGTCGGTGGGCCTAGTTCAAGATGACGCGTTTTATGCCGTTGAGGCCGTATTCCTGTTCAACCTAAAAACACTACTGCTAGAACTTTTATCCTGTAAAAATTTCAAGACTATTCCGTAATGTTCTCTTCACAATTACATTCAACTTGGTTTTGCCGTAAAGGGTCGCCCCCAGTAATAAGGAAACGCCGAAGTACCCTGGGTACCAGACTCACTTTTTATATAGTGAGTCTGGTACCCAGGGTAACGCCGAAGGCGCTAGACGCCCTACTCACAGGTGCACAGGAGGCAAATGTTTGTTTTGGCGGTCACTGAATGGTAGCAAAAATAATCAAGCTCCGTACGAAGCTCTTATAAGTAAATTAATTTCTTTCGAATATCGACTTGAATTTGGTGAGTGACTTAGCATTGTACTTACATTTAGTAATTCGTATCAATTTTGGAATTGTGGACCGTGATTCACAATTTCCAAACATTTACCGCCTTTGTGCTTGCGGCGGTGATTTCTGTCTCATCGAAATTCCTCAAAATGGTAGTTAATTTGTTTTATAACGAATCTAACAAGCACGGAATCTGGCAAAGCTTTTTTCATGATATTTAGAAAAAGAGCAAAACTTTTTTATGTCTCTTTTCGCTGATCCAATACGCTTGTGGGCAGTGGCGGCGCCAGCTACTGCCGAGTGGGAGGGTAATGGGCGTGGCCATTGAGACCACGCCCTAATCGCTTCTTTTCATTGATTGTACCAGGTCAAATTTCCTTAGGAAATATGATCTACCCCTACCTAGTGCATTTTAACCCGTTTTTAGACGAAATATGTAGACCATGTTTCGAAAAAAGTGGGGGG